CCCTTTGGGTTCTGGGAAATGATTCTGACAAGCCAGACTGCGCTCGCATGGACCTACGCAAGAGCAAGTCGGAGTCCGAGTCCGAATAAGCGTGCGCTGTACCTCCGGGATGATTGATTTGGCGACTTGTTACCAAGTGCTGTTTAAACGGGCCTGTCACTCGAGACCCATCAGGCATCGCACACATTGCGCTCCTCACTAGCTTCGCTGCGCCAGCCAATCGTGATCGCATTTCCACATTCCCTTGTATGGTCGCAGCATTTCAGCCAAGCCGAATCTTTGCTCTGCATCGCATCGAGCTTCCCCTCCCATGCAAGGTTCCTTCGCTCTCAGCTCTCTTGTGATGATCGATTCAGTGATGGAAGAGGCGCAGGTTGGTCCTGGCAACAACAATGCCATGGCCGTTGGCAGCCTCGACGCAGGCGTCGTCCATGACGCTGCCTCCTGGAGCAGCAATGTAGGATGTGCCGCTACGAGCAGCGCGATGAACGCTGTGCAATGATCAAAAGAAGGCAAAAATTCAGCGCGCACCTGGCCGGCTTCGCCAGGGCATCACATGCAGACTCACTTGTCCGGGAAAGGGAAGAACGCGTCCGAGCTGCAGACGACGCCTTTGAGCTTCTTGGCGTGCTCCTTGCGTTCCTCTTTGGTCAAAGCGTGCGGAACTTGCTCGAACGCATTCTCCCACTCTTTGCGTTCCTGGCTGTCTTTGAAATCTTCATCTTCCAATGCTCCCTCTACGAACAGATCGATCGCATTGGACTTTTCTGGCCTCTTTGTTCCTTTTTTGAACGGCAGTGCGAGGACACGAGGGTGCTGGCGCAGCCACCAGTTGTCCGCTTTGGAGCCCGCAAGGCGTGTGCAGTGGATGCGGGACTGTTGACCTGCTCCCAGACCGATCACTTGTCCGTTGAGCGCATAGCAGACCGAATTGCTCTGGGTGTATTTGAGCGCCAAAGTAGCCACAATCATGTCCAGCTTTGCCTGCTCCGTCACCGTCTTGTTCTCGCTGACAAGATTCTCAAACAATTGTGGCACGATCTTGATGTCGTTTCTGCGCTGCTGGAGCGTGATGCCGTACACTTGCCTAGATTCGACAGAGTCAGGCTCGAACTCGGCATTCACCTGGATCACGCAGTACTTGCCCGCTTTTTTCTTCTGCAGCACTTGCAAAGCTTCAGGAGTGAAGGAAGGCGCAATGACTGCGTCCGAAACTTCTCTGCCAATGATGCGCGCCGTCTGAGCATCGCACTCGTGAGAAAGACCGATGACGTCGCCAAAAGAGGACATTCTGTCTGCCCCTCTGGCACGAGCGTAAGCGGATGCCAGCGGCGAGAGCTCTCCGAGATCGTCCACAAAGCAAGCCTTGGCTTCCACCTCGCTCAGAGGCACTCCAATGGCAGCTCCAGCGGGTGAGACGTGCTTGAAAGAGGCAGCGGCGGGAAGGCCAGTAGCTTCCGCAAGCTCCTTGACCAGCGCCCAAGCGTTGAGGCTGTCGAGCAGGTTAATATAGCCCGGCGAGCCCGAAAGAGCTGAGAGTTGCGCGGCGCTCGGGCGGGTCAGCAAAGCCCTCTGACTTGATTGCTCCACACACCCTCACCTTTGATCGGCAGCTCGCCCTTCTCCACAAATGCCTGAGCCGGCTTTTGATGAGGATTGGCGCCGTACCTCAGTGTGATCTGCTGTGCGGTACCAGAAGAGTTGGGGGTGCCTTGATCACCGGACGAATACTGCTTCCTAAAGTAGTCGCTAATAGCTCGGTCGTAAGAAGCTGTGGCGGTGAATGCCTTCGGTGAGGAGCAAGGCACCCAATCAGCATCATGTCCAGCGCAAAACTTGCGGAACGCAGCAGCATCGCGCTCACCTTCAACGCTAAAGTGTTTCTGAGCTTCTTGGCTTCTTCATCTTCCTTGCCAAAGCTGCTCAGGAAGCTACCGTAATCCTTGGGGTCGCTGAGGACATAGACGCGCTCGTGATTCTTGGCGGCCGCTCTCAGTAGCGTGACGCCGCCAATATCGACTTCCTCGACTGCACCTGCAATGGAGACGTCCGGCTTGGCGATGGTCTCCTCGAAAGGGTACAAATTGCAAACGACGATGGAGATTGGCGAATAGCCTTGTGCGGAGAGATCTTGAGCGTCGGACGACTTGGACATCTGAGCCAAGATGCCTCCGTGCACTGCCGGGTGGAGCGTCTTGACTCTACCGCCGAGCATCTCGGGAGCTTTGGTGATGTCCGAGACATCTCTGTCGCGAGGGACGGGCAGAAGATCATCGCCATCATCAGCATGCGCGATGTCGCTTTTGAGCATCGCATGCACTCGCAGAATGCCAGCTCTCGGGGATACGCGCATCCCATCATTGGAGCATGTCGTGCTCCTCGCCACTCACCCAATCTCGATTCCGCTTTCTCTGACCAGCTTGGCAGTGCCTCCACTTCCCAGCAAACGGACACCTTTGGAAGCCAATCCGCGCGCCAAGTCTACCAAGCCCGTCTTGTCGTATACAGACAGAATAGCCGTAACGGCTTGCTGTGCTTGGGCTGCAGTTCCTGACATGGTCGTCTGTGATCAATCTCTCTTTGAAGCTTTGGTGATTGGGCTCGATGATGTGAAGAGAGGGGTGGTGGGCAGTGCAAACGATGGGTCAGTCAATGTATGTGTGCATCAATCAATCAAGCCAGCCTGCCTGCTGCCCGCAATATGCGCTTCAATCGCATTGCTTCCCCCGCTTGATCCATCCATTCACATTCACATTCACTGATTCAAATTTGGTGTGAAGCGCGTCCATGCGCCTTCTCACCAGCAGCCAAGCGAGTTCTTCTTCTCAGTCAGTCAGTCACGAGTCTTGACTGAAAGCGTCCCCTTCCGAAGCCACTTTTTGAAACCGTGAGTATGAGGCACACCAGCAGCAGCAGCTTCCATCGCGAAATTGAGCCCGCGCAACTTTTCAACGGGGAAGCATCACGTGACACAAGACTCCCGCGGACCTCCGAGCGGTCACTTTTGAGCTCAAAAATTCGTACTTTACACGACGTTGCATTCAGATCCACAACTGCAGTCATTCATTCTTGATTTCCGATCTGCTCCTTTGTGAGCGGAGCACCCTATTGACCACTTGTGACTGCTTTGGCATTTTGACTTGCTGCCGGCTATACCAAAAAGCATGTATGACGCACGTCTCGACCTCGCTTTTTTTTGTTTGCGCACACAACATTCGAAATTGACGTGATTTGATTCACATTAACAATTTTGAATTGATTCGCATTCACATTTCACCGATTGTTACTGCCGCACGCGCAACTGGCTGAACGCATCAGCATCATGCAGCCTTGACAAACTGGAATGTCTCCTTTGTGAGCGCGCTCTCGCTCTCGCTCTCGCTCTCACCCTCACCCTCACTCCCACTCTCACCATCACTTTCCACCACCTCTCACCCCTCGCACCCCTCGCCCTTCACGGGCATCTCGGTCAGCATGTCCTCGCCCTCGGACTTGACGGTGCCCTCCCCTGCCGACTTTCACGTGCACCTTCGTCAAGCGCCCTTGACGTCTCTACTAGTGCCCCATGTCCGGGAAGGAGGTTTTGATTTGGCCTACGTCATGCCCAATCTGACTCCACCCTTGACCCTACCTTCGCACACCGTAGCTTATCTACAACATCTACGCTCCCTGGATCCACGCACACATTTTCTCGGCACGCTTTACCTTTCGCCTGCACTCACACCTCGGCTCATCGAGGAGGCGGCACAGGCTGGTATAGTGGGCGTGAAGAGCTATCCTAGAGGCGTCACCACCAATTCGGATGGGGGCATTGAGAATTATGAAGTGTACTACGAGGTGTTTGAGGAGATGGAGAAGCAGAACATGATCCTCAACCTGCACGGAGAGGTGCCCAGCGATCATGCAAACGTGAGCGTAGCGCTGTGAAACAGGTCTTCCGATCGGATCATCCCTCTTGATGCTGATGCGCTCTCTCTGTGCACAGAACATCTCTGTCCTCACAGCCGAAGCAGCCTTTCTCTCCCATCTTCGCAAGCTTCACGCCCGTTTTCCCAAGCTCCGCATGGTGCTGGAACACGCCACGACTCGAGCAGCAGTAGAGTGCGTCAAGTCGTTGGGCGAGACTGTAGGATGCACCATCACGCCTCATCATTTGGACCTGGTGGTGGACGATTGGGCTGGCAAGCCCGTAAATTTCTGCAAGCCGGTAGCCAAGCATCCAGACGACAGGCAAGCGTTGCGAGACATCATCAAGGCAGGTGAGATGCTCAACGTCTTTTATGGCGCGGTGTAGTGCGCTGCTCTCACACGCATCTCGTCTTGGGTTCAGGTCACCCTCGCTTCTTTCTGGGCTCCGACTCTGCTCCTCATCCTATGCACTCCAAGCTACCCTCTGCCTCGACGCACGGTGCAAGCGCACTTCAACATTCCTGCGCCGCAGGCATCTACACCTCTCCCATCCTCCTACCTCTATGCGCGACGCTCTTGGAATCCTTTGGAGCTCTGCACAGGCTCAACGGCTACGTCTCGGAGTTTGGTCGAGCTTTCTACGGCTTCGCGGCCGAGCCACAAAGCGGAAGCGTAAAGCTCAGAAGGACGAGGTGCAAGATCAGGGATAGTTTTGCGCCAAAGGCGCAAGAGGGACTCGATAGCGCGCACAAAGATAAAGTGGAAATCGTACCCTTTTGGGCTGGCAGACATCTCGAATGGGAAATTGTCAGGTAGTGGGAATAGCAGCGCGACGAAGCGAATACATGCTCGGGTCTGGATGCGCAAGCAAGCAAGCAAGCAAGCGATCACGTTCCAGTCCGATGTTTTGACGACCTTTCCACCTAGATGCCTGCGCGTCTCCTACATGTTGCATCTGCTCGTGACCGCTGCCTGCGCTCGCGCTCTCGCTCGCCTTCGTGCGGTGATGTTTGTGAACGGGTCACGGTGCTGAATGCTGCATGCTGCACGCAGGCAACCCGCGTCTGCCATTCAACAGCGCAGCCTTTTCAGTCGTTTGCGATGAAGTGATTCACACGTATACATTTCGAATCAAGTCGGCGAAGGGAAGCAGGAGCGCACGTAAGGTAAAAGTGTACACGTAGTCGAAAACAGGGGAAGGAGCCTCGAAAATCCTTCCGGAACGAGGCGAGGCTCGGTATTACGATGAGTTTTGGAGTCGGGGTGCGACTGGATGGGAAGAAGAGAGACAGCGCAAGGACGATACTAAAGACTACAATGATTTTACAAGGTTCTTGTCTCTTCTTTCAGATGGGTAGGTAGGCACGATGTGCTGTAGACAAGAAGCAAGCGAGACGATTACGTGGTGCAGGTGTGCAGACTACCCAAGGTGCGCACACGCTGCGGAGCGAGCTTGCAAACCAGAGCAATCGTCAATGATCAATGGTGCTTCTGTCGCTCCTGTGTCTCGCGCTGTTGCTGATCTTGCTGCAGCTGTTGCAGACCCGCAGCATTGCTGTACGCAAAGGGTCTCAGCGGGCTCAGCCCATCAGTGAGTCCACTGGACAGCATGCCGGAGCTATGTTGTGCGCCTAGCGATTGGCTCATTGGAGACATCGAGGTGGATGGCAGCGCCATGGTGACATCGAGAGCGTGCGTCAGGTCGCCGCCATAATCGAAGGGGTCGTCAGAGGTCGTGCCCGCGGTCCGCGACATGCTGATGGGTGTCGGCCCTCCAAGGGACGACTGCTGCACACCAAGACCACGCGCTGGCGTCTGCGTCGGCGTAAAGCGGCGTAGTCCGGGAGTGAACAGCCAACGGTTCAGACCAGTCGAGTTGGGCGTACCCATCGCTCCTCCCAGCGTCGAGGAATGGAGACCGCTGCTGCTTCCAGCCGCGGAGGTAGGCAGGCCGGGCCGACTGGGTGTGACCATTTCGAGATTGCTCAGCGCGTCTCCTACAAGCGATGTGTCGCCGCTGTCATCGTCCTCCGGCGAATCGATTGCGAATTGAAGACTGGCACCCGCAGGACTGGGTCCCACCCGACCAATTGCAGATCCAACAGGTCGGAGAGGCGAGCCTCGCAAGGGACTGACCAAGAAGGAGCCTCGACTCGTCGTTGATGAACCTGAGCTCCTGAGTGTGCCAAGACCAGTGAGAGGTCTGCCGCTGGCTTCTGCCGCACCTGTGGCTGCACCCTTCGCGGTGTTTGGCGACTCGGTCTCATCCGCGAGCGGGGACGTAGAGCGACGAGCGCTTGCAGGGCCGGCTTTAGGACCGGAAATGCGAAGCGAGGACACTGGCGACTCCGTGCTCAAAAGCTTCGGAGGGGACCCAATCTCCATCTCGTAACCTCGCTGAGAGCGTCGCAGTGGCGAGCCGGTGTACCGGCTAGATTGTGCGTGCAAGCCAGGGAATTGCATCTGAGAGTGGGGTTGCTTGAATCGATTGCCTATGCTCGCGAGGGGTGAAGCTTGCTGCGCAGCCTGAGGTGAGTCCTGGCCGGGGGAGGCAGCTGGGATGCTAGTCCAATAGTTGAACACCGAATTTAGGTCGTAAGCACCAGCCGCTGACGCCTGCGATTGACTGACGCTGTAGTGCAGATGATCATGCGCGTTGTCGCCGATCTGTTGAGACCCTCGCAAGTCGTTCGAGCTCAGTCGTCCATCCCGGGTCGACTTGTACATTCCGGCCTTGGCACCATCAGAAGCAGCCGAGTGTTGATGCATGCCACCTTTGCCAAGATCTATCATGCCACTCATGCCTAAGATGGGGCTGGACGGCGGGCTACTGGCACTGTCGGTCAGCATTGGCACGGCACTGACATGGGTGCTTCCGTGTCCACTGCTAACGTCGAAAGCTGGCTGACCATGGCGGGCAGGCGTATTCGTGTCCCATGACGAGGATGTAGGCGCATACACGATGGATGCATTTGACGCTTGTGAGACTGATGCTTCATTGTATCTGTGACTCGGCCCCATCCAAGGTATGTCTGGTCCGCCTGAAGAGACCGGGGTGTCACCCGGGACGGACCCTTCGCGGACTTTTGTTCTTCGTCTTCTTTGCGGAGCGCTCCATCGTCCTGATGCGATTGGATCAGCGTCATACGGGTGATGGTTGACCATCTCCGAGTAGTGAGCCTCAGCGGGCTCAGCGCGCTTGCGCCGCCCTATAGACGATGTAGAAGCAGGTCTCGCAGTCGAGGTACGAGCAAGTATCGGCGCGTTCTCGCTGCCAACACGTTGATGTTTAGCAGATGGTACCGTCGATTCCCAACCTCCTTCAAGATCCGCGGAGGAAATTTGGAGAGAGGCCGTCTCTGGTAGCGACGTCATCACAGAAGGCTCGGGCAGGGCCGACGGGGAGACGTCCATGTGCAGGAGTGGCTTCTCTAAGCCACTTTCAGCTTGCATTCCCTGAGTGTCCAGCTGCGCTGACGTTCTAGCAGGGGACTTGGCGCCTTCATTGTCTGATGCGTTGGGAAAGTAAAGGCCGCAGCGGAATCTGCTCTCGTGACCAGGCTGAATAGACCAGAAACCACCCTTGCCGGGCAGGTCTGGACCTCTTTCGACCTTGATGAAGCTCTTGTTGAGGCTGAGGTTGTGCCGGATGGAGTTTTGCCATCCTCTATCACCACGAACATAATACGGGTACGAAGCGCTGATCCAATTGTAGATCTCATTCAAGCTTAGCTTGCCGTCTGACGACAGCAGTATCGCCTGCCCGATGAGGCCAGCGTAGGACACCTGGGAAGGTCGGGTCTTCAATGTGCCCCAACCAGGGAGCAAGCGATAAAAGCGTGGCTTTGGTGCTTCCTGCAAAGCACCACTGTCAAGCGCCTGCTGAAGCTCTTCCGAGACCAGGCGAACGATACGACTGCCATCCTCGTTGTCCCAAATCGAGCGTCCGACTTTTGCATGTGCGTCCACAACGGAAGTGCGGCCGACTCGAGGCTTGGTCTTGCGCTGGGGACGTGATGAGGAATCTGACCCGCTGGTCCGAGGCGCAAACAAACCTGTACCGCCCATGCCGCCGTCCGTCGCTGGGCTCTCATGATAGGGCTGCGAGGAATCTTGTCGGCCACCCACCGGCGACTGGCTCGGACCAAGCGCGTGGATCATGGCACTAGTGTCAGCGCTGAGGCGAGCTCGTGATCCCGGTAGCGGGACACCAAGAGCCGACGCGAGCGACGAGCCCGCTGATACAACTTGCTGATTTGCAGCGCGCAGAGCCAGGTGATTGTTAAGGCACGGGCTTGGCTCGCTGTAACTGGGGCTCGTGTTGCCCGATGCGTTGTGGGCACTGACAGGCCTTTCAGGTGCAAATAGCTCCCGCAGAGTGGCCATGTCGGATGCCGACAGTTCCTGGAGAGGGATTTCGTGTGGGCACAAAAGCGAGCTCTGGTGACGACAAAGGGCCACACTCACCTCGCACTCTGCAGTCGAATTCCAGGTGACCTGCGCCGTGGAGGCATTAGAGACCAAGCCATCTGCAGTACTAGCACTTTCGGAGACATTCTTTTCCGCCACAGACTCGACTGTCGAGGGTTCAGTGCATCGGGACTGATTGGCGCCCGCTGGACGGTTCGATGCGCCGAATAAAGCAGCGGGACTGACGGTGGTCGAGCATTGACGAAGTGGGCTCCCACCCGCCCATCCACGCGGGAAGCGTCTAGTTGCACTGCTGCTCGCGTGTCGGGAGAGTGCGCGGGCGCCGGCCGGTGACTGTGGACTTTCATCAGATCTTGTTCGCACAATACTGTGCGTACTCAAGCATGCATCGGCCGCGGTAGGAGATGATGGAGGACCTTGCATCGTGTTGAAAGGAGCAGCAAGAGTGTGAGCTCGCGCACGTGTTTCTGGACTCTCACTGCCTTTGGCTGGGGAGGTCGCCAAGGTTGGACCGTGCGAAAAAGTGTCCACGAGCTCAGGGGACATCGACAGGCTGCCGCCGCCGGCAAGCACTTCAGCAAGCGCAGCAGCGGACATTGGGTAGCCAGGAGCGGCACTGGGTGTGTTCGAGCCGGACTCTGGAAACAGCAGTCCTCGACGCGCTGCAAATGGGGTACACTCGCCACCCCCTGCGCCCTGAAGATCCAGAGCTAATAGGTCAGGCGAGGCTGGCACCAGGCCGCTATGGTGACGGGCAGAAAGAGGCGACGTGTTGTAGGAGGCACTGACTCTCAGCATCTGGACGTCGCTCTGAATGGGCTCGGAGGCGCTAGCGCTCGCCGGGCGCCACGGCGTCTCGCCCGTCGCACCGTGCCACGGAGCTGACGCTCCACCGTCCGTGCTTGCAGCTGGTGTCGCCGTCGTCGGCTCGAGGCCGTGCAGCATGTAGTCGTAGTGCTCTCGCGTGGTCATTCGATGATGATTGCAAGCGCTTGTGTCGGCCCAACGTACGCTCTTGAGTGTTGACGGGGGATTCTCGACACCGGTGAGATCAGCTGCGTTCAAGTGTTGATCTCTGTACGTGTCCGCTAAAACGGAAGCTCCGAACGTGTCACCGTGCGTGCCTCTGTCCTTTTGAACGATTGGACCGCTGAAGTGCGTTACAGAAGAATCAAGATTTCTTGTGTGCTGCAGGGCTTGAAGCTTCAGCGCTGTCTCGCGTGCCTTCGCTTCTCTTCTCAACCTTACAGGGCTTGTTTTGACGGCCATAATCTGGTCCAAAAAGGTACAACGATCTTTGGCTGGTGCCAACAATCTGGTACGATCAACAACAAGCGATCCGACGATTTGTTCCTGACGAGCGGCGCTGACGGTGGCGGAGGAGATGTCAAGGTCTAGCTGCGCGGGAGTACCCTCGACTGACGGTACAGTGAATGGATCTACAAGAACGCCAGAATCGTCGTTGGCGCTGACCTCGTCAACAAGCTCCTGAGACGGTGTGACGATGCGCAACGTGCCTCCGGGGCTCACGCGAGCTCGACGATTGATGGGCCCCCAAAATACACGAGCAGGACTGTCCAGAGGTGGGGCCGAAGTGCTGCGAGTGATGCTGGTGGGGGAAAACGCCAGCGACGCCACGGGACTGCTAGAGGGCTGATCGATTTGTAGGCCAAGACCCACACCTCGCGGTCGCTTGCGCGTCGAGCTTTGGGAAAAAAGCGGTTCCGCCTTGTCATCGGTCGAGGCGCCGGAACCAGGTGCCACGGATTGTGTGCGGCTTCGCGAAGAAGGTGTTGTGAGGTTGTTGATGTTGGCAAGTGGCGGTCGGCCAGCGTCAGGGGTAGTGCTCGCAATTTGCGCTTTCGAGGCGCTTTCCAGCCTTGCTCTCAAACGACGACGCTTATCACGTCTTCTGCGATGTTCTTCGGCGTTGCTCACCTCGTCGAGAGTGCGACGCGGACGCTCGATCTTCGCTTCAACAGATGGAACCACAGCAGTGTAAAACGCTAGCGCAGGACTGCTGATAGCGTTGGAAGACCGAGGCCGAACCAATCGGGGCTTGTGGCTTGAGCTGTGCACCACTTCAGCGCTTTGCGGCTGTGAATTAGCGCAGGAAGCGCCCTCTGCGGTCGTACCCACAGATCGTCCCAAATGAGGAGAGCCGCGTCCCGTCAGCAATGCCGCCTCGTCAACGTGGCTGGCGTTGGTGGCAGGAGCGGACGAGCCGGCAAAGGCGGCAGATGGAAGCCTGTCCGCCTTGAGGAATGCTGCCAAACTGGCTTTGCGGTGCTCGAATTCAGCGCGAGTCATTCGCAGACCTGCAGCCTGGGCTTTCGCGAAAAGATCGTCCTCCTCAATCTGCTCCTTGGATCGCCGGGGCTGCGCTTCTTGTTCTTGTGATGCACGACTTCTCTGAGTGTCAGCGGGAAGTGATCGCGTTTCGGACTCGAGTGAGCGGTGCGTAGACCTTGCTGGGGCGGCGTAGCCCTCGGTATCTGTGGCTGTCTCAGAAACATGATTCGGAGAGCGCGCGCAAAAATTGCGCGGTGCAAACGGAAAAGTCTTAGAGGAAGCGACTTGGGGACTGTTGCTTCCCGCGGAGACCGTCGCATCGGATCCAGCCACCTCCATTGCGTTCAATTCGGGCTGAGTGGCTTCATCGACAGTATGACCAGCACGCCCGCCCATCACGCCAACATCCTGAGAGTTCTGGCGGATGGAGAGCGCCATCGCCAGAGCCGGATTCTGTTGGGGAGGCAAGAAGCAAGGTTGGCGCAGAGGGTCAGAGTACGCCAAAAGTGAAGCAAAAATCCTTGACTCCGGTCTCGGCGTTTCCAGGGCCCTTGCGACAGCTACGGCGTACCAGCCACCACAAAAGGATGCTCGGTTGTGTGCACAGCGCCAACACGTCGCTACAAGACCACAATCGAGATGGCGACGCGGCCAACAGCACGTCGCTGGAGATCGACGAACAGGCCCGAGATGGTGAACGGGCAGAATGACTGTTCGCATCAGCGTGGGAACCCTTCGTCCGTTGCCACAAGAGCAGAAAAGAAAGGCTGCCCAGCTTTGTTCTCGCGAAGTCGGATGTCCGAGCAGACACTCACCACTCCCTCTGTGCTAATGCCGTCCCGAAAGGTACTCGGTAGGGCTTGAATGGCTCGGTGCCGAAACGCTACGCCGCGTCAATAGCTCCTTCGAGCAATGTGACGCCTCGACCTCGTACTGCTGCGAATCTTGACTTGCAACGTTGTGCTCGTGCACTATATGCGGACTTGATGGCGGTGGGCAAAGCGCACCGAGGTCCGCTCTGGCTCGTCTGCCGTTGGCGCGCGTGGAGATCGACGCAGAGATAGCTGCGATGAAATACGCGATGCGTGACGCCTTGGCCTCGCTTTCTACGCCGCTCAACGGAGATCCTGAAACTTGTGCCGCGGGTTCAAAGGTTTTGCTGCTGCTATGATTGCCTAGTATCGTCCTCGATCGAGCGGGTCAGAACATTCTGATTGGACGCGCTCCGCGGTTCGAAGATGAGTTGCCGGGTGAAGCTTTTCTGCGACGTTGCGACTGGCCAACGCGCGGATAGGGTATGCACGTACCGATGCGTGCTGTTCACGCGAGTTTGATGGGCCAGCTGTACGCTGAGATGATGGGGTGGATGGAAGTGTGGATGGAAGGAGGTAAGAGACGAGTCGTACGCGCAAAAGTGTTCTTTGTGTCGGTCTTGCGCGCGCAACTTTTGCGACGCGTCGCGCACGGGGTGAAAGTGCTGCAAGCTGCTGCACCGCCTATTATTGCTCAATCGCGCGTGCTGAATCCAATCCATCAGCAGTCACCAGCATGCAGCGGTCTGGGGTGTAGCTGCGCGCGCGTGCACGTCAATTGCTGCTGCACATGCCTGCATGCTTGCCCGGCCACTCTATGCTGTCCGACACCGGCACACTGCCCGTCGTCGCCATGTAGCCGCGCTCATTTTCCCCCTCCGCGCAGGTGCGTGACAAGACCGAGCCGCGCAGCGAGGGGGGGACCCTGTACTCATCAGCAGAAACTGCAGCTGCTGCTGTGCGGCCGCGCCGCGATCGCGTTCGAGTGCGATGACTTGGGCGTGCAGCGGAACACGCGTGCTGCAAACCGACATGCATGCAGCAGCAGCTGCCATCATCATCCACGCATCCTCGCAGCAAGTCGAGATGAGGGCGGGCAAAAAAGGCTGCGCGCCCACAACGGCTCGGAAATGAAAGGGCAGCTTTGCGTGGCTTGACAAAGAAGTGACCGACCATCACTACTCGTCTCGATCCCGTCCTAAGTGTTGCGAGGTGACGGACTGACATGTGATTCGCGATTCGACGTCGTGACTGTGCTCGGCCAATTTGAGCTTGCAGCTGCCGGATTGGTATCGGGATTCAGACTGCTGACAATCAATGGATCGAATAGCCAAGCAACGGGACCCTATAGTAAAAGTCTTGATGGTCACCCATCTTGATTTGAATCCCGACGATCGAGCTGATGAGTCTTTTGAGGGTGTTGAACGTGGTGGAGTGGGTGTCGGTCACGTGACATCAAAGTTCGAATTCGCTTGCGGTCGGCCCACGTTCCTCGCTTCTCCACTTTCTTGGGCGGGTGGTGGTGCATTTCGGGGGGCGAGAGAGAGAGAGAGGAGAGAGAGAAGTTCCGGCGGGCCTGCGCGATGTTCCTGCCTTTCTCTAACCGTACTCCAGCTCCCCTCACCTCTCTCTGACCATCACATCGCAGCTCATCCTCACGACGCATAGCAGGGAGCACTGTCCCATCCGCGTGGGTGAATTGCAAGGATGGGTCACTACATCCCAAAGAGGCGCTTGCCAGCGTTACACGCTTACAAATATTCGGGACAAGATGACAGCTGGATATCTGCAAACCTTCTGTCTCCCTGGTGGAACTGGCTGGTACAGCAATTTCCCCTCTGGGTTGCCCCGAATACAATCACACTTTCTGGTCTAGCGCTCGTAGGCATCAACTTTGCGTCGCTTCTCATCATTGATGGAGGCATGGACTGCGGCACGAGCGCTAGCCTGGACCCCCGTCGGCGGACGGAGAATCTCAATGCGAGCGGAGACAAGTGGGCGAGCGTCAGCCTCTTTGAGCACTGGGGATTTCCCGAGAGTATGAAAGAGCATACTTTCAGCCAAGTGCGATGCATACCGCCCTGGGTCTTTCTCAGGTGAGTCAAAGGTGCCAGAATGTGCCAGCTGCCGCAGGTCCCTTGTTCGGAAGGAAGGCTGATAGGGTAAATCTGTATCAGCTGGTCGATCGGTCTGTTTCTCTACCAGTCACTCGATGCTATCGACGGCAAGCAAGCGCGCAGAACGGGCATGGCGGGGCCATTGGGAGAGATGTTCGATCATGGTTGTGATGCCATCAACACCACGCTAGAGAGCCTGCTTTGCTGCGCAGCTCTCAACGTAGGAAGGAGCTACTGGGCGCTCGCATCTGTCGTAGCAACTCTCTCCAACTTTTACCTGACCACGTGGGAAGAGTACCACACCGGCACACTCTACTTGTCTGCGTTCAGCGGTCCTGTGGAGGGCATACTGATGATCTGCGTCATCTACCTCATTACGGCCATCGTGCCAGGCGGGGCCAACTTTTGGAACAGGGGGATCTTCAGCCTGAGCGGCATCGAAAGTTTGGACGTTCCAGCTCTTGCACATTTGGCGGCGTGGAACATCAAGGCCAACGAAGCCTTCCTTTCCTTTGGAGCGACAGCTCTCGGCTTCAACATCCTCGCAAGCTACGGCAACGTTCGCAAAGCGAGGGCCGCCAAAGGTCTCTCTACCGTCACACCGCTCACCGGCCTGCTCCCGCTCCTGGCTCAAAATGTCGTCATGGTCGCGTGGGCGCTTGGAAACCACGGTCAATTGCTGAAAGACGGCAGCGTCTTTGTAGCCTTTATATCGACCTGGGGTCTTGGCTTTGCATACTCTGTAGGCTTGCTCATCGTCGCCCATGTCACCAAGGCACCTTTCCCGTATTGGAACATTGCGACTCTGTTCGGGCTTGTGGGTGCGGTTGACGCGTGGTTACCTACGTGAGTGAAGCGACCAGCAAAGCGAGGATACTCCTGCCTCGACAAAGCTCTTATAATCGCGCTCTTTCTCAGACCCATCCTTCAATCGTCGCCGCAGCGGGTGCAGGTCACAGTGCTCAGCTCGCTTGGCCTTGCAGCAGCATTCTATCTGCACTTTTGTTACGATGTCATCACCACCATTACGGTAGAGAGTGAGTAACACGTCGATTTGAGAGAGGCTTTCTCTGATCGCTCTCCTGCCTCCTTGCACACGCTGCCTTGCCCTGCGTAACGCTCTCTTTTAGCTGGAAAGGTTAGTCGGCATCCTAGAGATGGACTCCGGGAATCGAGATTATGTATTACTCAGTACTAACTGCCTTTACATCTCTTTCTTGGGAACTCCGCAGCCATGCTTCCAAGTCGTACCACCGGAGCAGCAGAAGCCGAAGAACGAGGGAAAAGAGCTGTCCAAGAAGCAGTAGGAGTCAATAGCGGGTGAAATAGAAATCTGGGTTGTGGCGGTCCTCTAGGAGGTCGCCATTAGAGCTGCATTGGTGACGTTGGGTATAATACATATTCATTCTTGCAGTCACGGTTCGCAGGTGCGACTTTTTGCGCGACTTAGATCCAGATTTGACTTTTGCGGGATGTAACATCTCGAGTGTCTGCTCGCGCGCTCTGTCACAACCGAGCATTGCTCGTCTGCTACGGCGCGTTCAGGCAAGTTTTGTTACAGCGCGCTGATCCGAGATGCGGGAAGACTCCTCCAGTCTGGTGAGCAAAGTTCCTGATGTGAAATGCTCTGCGCATCTTTTGACCGGATCCCTTGTGGCGGTCGCCCGATGAGACGCCCTCAACACAAAGCGAAGACGGCAGCACTTCAGCCGCTCCAATGACTCTTGAGTGCGTTCCACCTCGCTATGCTAAAGCCCGCATTCAGCGTAGCAGCGGTCACGCCTGCAAATCTAAGACGCTTTTGGTCCGCCCGAGTGAGTTTGTTGAAGACAATGTAGAGAAAGAACACGGAGACCAGTTGAGTCGCGAGCTCCGAGAGAAGGAGGAACAGGACCAGTTCTACGGAAGGCATCTTTGCGTCTCGCCCTTTGGCGGGAGAAGTGGTGGTCGAGGCAGATGCCCAAATGTAGGCTCCGCGGTCTTACCAACGGTGCCAGAGAGTGGGCGGGCCTGAGGGCTAAACGAGAGTGTGACTGGATGAGGTGAGCTTTGGAAAAGCTTAGCTCGGGGCTTGAGCGCCAGGAATACACGCTGTGTGGACGCCATGACTCACATTTCGTTTTGAGTAGTGGACGAGGTCCAGAATGTACGACGCGGCGTAGGTGGTCTGCAGAGGCCCGTGGCAGTAGTGTGAGTATTAAGGGGCCTGCCTACAGGCGCGCTGTACAGTCTGGGTATTACAAGCATCAAAGAGCGGCAATAAGGCGCGGGAGCGACCCGATGATGCGCACGCGTGCGCGGCTATATAGCCGATGCTCATGCTATGTATACACCACGCCGGCATATTCATTGAGCGCGCGGTACCTAATGGCTGAAAAAGGGTTTCATGCGACGGTGTCTGCTGAGACGCGCATCATTTCAGCTGCAGCTCTGGCTGAGCACGGCTTTTTGTTTTGCGGCGGTGAAGCCCCTGGCGCAAATCAACCCGCGCTCCTCGACGCAAGGCAAGTCGACATTCACTTCACATTCACATTCGTGGTTGTTGAGGCTGTGACCACTACCGAGCGCAGTCAAGCGCAGAACCAGCTTGCCTTGCAGCGCGGCTCACCCCTGTCACCTAATACATCACTTTCCCACCTTCTCACCCCCATCATCACGCGCACTCAGAGCCTGTCTCACGCGAAAAGCACGGATCGGCATCAACGCGCATACACTCGATCACTCATTCCTTCAACGCGGCCCCCCAAATCGTCTTGAAGCAAGAGGGGGAGGACGGGATCGTACGCGGACGGGCTTGCCGCGCCTTCGTACTGCATGGCTCCCACCATGTACAGCGATCCCGCTTCTGATCCGTACGCCACTGTCCGATCCACCAACTCGCACAGGCACGGCCACCAATCGGTTGGCTCGCAAGGCATCTTTGCGCCCTTGGAGACGCGAGACGAGTGTCCCTCGCACGAGGCTGGGATATCAAGCCTTGATGACGAGGAGCTGCTGTTGAAGCAGCCAATACACCAAGCTGGGTCAGCCTTGCCGGTTTCCAAACCGAGCTACATTCACCGGCTTCTGCCCTCTGGCTCAGAGCACAGAGCCCAGCAGGAGGCGATCGCGCATCACCGGTGGTCATCGTGGACCGGAACTACTGCTTTTCATTCGCACTCCGGCAGCGATCACGACGACACTGATCATGATCGAAGTGGCATGTCTCTTGACGAGGATTGCATGTCGTCCTCTCTGAGCGGCTCCAGGCGGCCCTCGGCAGACTTTTTCGGAGCCGAATACACCGGTCAGGTGTACATCGATGCCGACAACAGCAGAACGAGTGCAGAAAGCGCAAGCAGCGCAGGTGTAGCGAAGAGGAGGCGGCGTCATTCGGGAGAAGAGGTGTGGAACAGATCAATTGAGCCTAGTCCAAGTCGCGTCTGTCTACCACCCGAAATTGTCGAGTCTCTGCCGCCACAAGCCATGCATGACGACGAAGCAGCTCTAGATGCAGCAATCGAGTCTACTGCACGGGCATTTGAGCAAGCGACGGCGCTCTTGCGATCCACTTTTTCAGCGCAGCAGGATTTGGTGCGCTTCCGAGCAACGCAGGAGGTTCTTGGCGATTCCATGGCGCTTCACGAGGCAAGGCTGATGCAGCAGATAGCGCAGAATCGACGCGCGAAGGAATTAGTCGCGAAGGCGACCTCTGATATCAGCGCCTTGGTGCCTGCCTCACGACGAGTGGCTGCGGCAAATGGGAACTCAGCGCCTCGGCCCACTCATTGGCGTTTGCCCAGCTTTGGCGCGGCGCCCATGGTCGCGCCTCCTACTCACAGTCGGAATGAGAGCGCAGGCGCTTCGTGGTTGAAAGCGAAGGACGTAGATGCTACGATTGGCAAGTCGGCTGCCAGAAGGCTCGAGAAAGCCCTCTCAGCGAGCGCAGCTGCCGCGGCTGCGGCAGCAGCAGCAGCCGGCGATTCTACGAACCAGGAGCAGCTGTCATCCGCGGGAGGTGAAGGAGGCGACGATGCGGAGGAAGGCATGCATGGCTCTCCAGCTCTTTCCGCGAGCTCGCCCGTGATGCCAAAACTGCCCTCCCGCGCGCCCTCCGTCGCTTCAGTCGTCCCAACAGATGGTGCACATCCTCCAACATTCGCCGAAGCCGCACCAACATTACCAACGCACAGGCGCAGCTCGAGCAGCAGCGCATCTGCTGCTGCCGCTCTCGCCGCCCTAAATGGTGGGCACAGCCACCCTGCCCAGCCTCTCAACCCTATCCGTGAGGTGAAACAGATTGGTGAGGGCTTGGTGCAACGCGTGCCATCCACAGATCCTGAGACTTCTGGATCGACGGATAAAGGCAGCGCAAGCAGGCCACGAGAGACTCCCGCCTCCCAAATTCTCGCGCGCAATCGCATGCCCAAAGGGATGGGCTTGAGGTTGGTCTCGATGCCTTCCAGTCTTGCCCCTGCCATTACATCTTCGGCCTCTTCTGCTGAGCACTCGCCGCTGTCGTCGCCAAGTCCCGGCAGCTCCACATCCTTCAGCTTGATTGCAAATTCCGCGAACGGCCAGTCAGCAGCGTCGGGCAGTAAGTCGCCCACCGGCTATTTTAATCCTTACCTTCGAAAGTCAAGGGACAGAGGGGATCGATCGGGATCACGTGCCAGCTTGGCCAGCTTGGGAAGTCTTGCTAGCATCGACGAGAGGCTAGCTTCACCTTCACCTACAACACTCAGTCGCCCCACCTCGGCGTTGGGAGTCGCCTCTTCTGTCACGGCGCACGCAGGTTCAGTTGACGCGCGAACCAGCGCGGCACTTCCACTCAACCCGAACCTTACCTCTCGAACGACGCTCACCCCAGCGATGGCTGCTCTGTCTGCGAATGCGGGTCGCCGCGCTGTTTCTGGTGCTTCTAGCGCATCTTCGGCCTCGGCCTCTGTGTCGTCGCAGGCTACTCTTAAACCGAGCGCAACTTTGCGAGCTGCAGCCTCGTTGCCCATCGACACCAGTGCCGCGATGGACTGCTCTTCTGAAACGGGCTTTGATGGGGACTCGGATACAAGCGCGCGACTTGGGTTCGAATCAGAGACGGATGGCGGCGAAATGTCGACGACACATTTCGCTTCACTTTCTCCCTTTTCTGCTCATGATCGAAGTGGTCAGCATGGACTCCTCGGCCATAGATCCCCCAACTTCGCGCCTCATCGCTCGCCCAGACTGTCGCGAGCGAAAGGCCGGGGCCAGCATTCGGCGTCCAGCTCAATCTCTGAGTCTGCTCATGGCTGGCTCAGCGCCGGCGTCCACGGTTCGTCCTCTGAATCCGAGGATGTCGACAACTCGGACGGACAGTCGGGGCATCGCCAAGTGCGCGATGCGGCTTCGCGAGGTCACCGACGCAAACGATCAGCGACGGGCTCCAAGGGCGCTCTTGCCGCCCTTCGCAGACTGAACGGTGCCTCTGCAGTGGCAGGCGAAGGTCTCGTGCCGCACGTCGTCCAGGAGAATCCATCTACAAGTCCTGCTCTTGACGACTCGCACGCAGCAGCAGCTAGCGCGAGCCACTCCGGTGCAAGCGCTGCTCAGTCCGACAGTGAGCCTCAGAGCGCAGGATGGAGAGGCTCACTGACAAGCTGGATGAGGGCCGGAAGCGTCACGCCTGCATGAGATTGCTGGTGTCCTCCTGCCCCTTGGAATCGCGATGTCTCTGTAACAGGTCACGATCTGCTAGCATCACTGGTCACTGAGCTTCGTCCACATTTGCACAAGTCACTAACCCGGAGCCTATCTACCTCGGCACACATTCTATACCAAATGCATCCACGATGCACATCGAAGACTACTCTGCACCTACAGGAGCCACCCTCCCTTGTACTCTAACACGTCTTTTGCACAATTTCAGTTACTCGAAAACGGATTTCACCGGTACTGATGAGCTCGCGCGGGCTGAACGACGAGCGACAAAACGGAGGTAGGACAAATGGTATGCCAATGGCGTGCGCTACAGATGTGTGACATTGCTGGAAGTTCTAAGAGTATGACATGCATTCGAAACAGTTCGATTGTGCTCGAATCGCCGACCGAAATGGAGCGCGTCTCAACGCTTCCTCTCTTTGCTCCATCTCCAAATCGATCTAGAGGACTTGCCATTGTCATCTTCCGCACCCGTGGCTAGCGAGAGCCCATGCTTGCCGGCCACGCCACCAGCTGCCACCGCCTCTCTTGCGTTCGCCTCCTTCGCTCTCACTTTGCGAGCGGATGTTCCGCCATTTTTGGAGGTGCTGATGAGCGCTCTGACAGTGGAGAGCTTTGACAAGACCGACTCGAGCGTCTTGAGACGGACTTGGCGCGCCTGAAGCTCGGCAAGCAGCGCCGAGGCGTGCTTCTGAATGCGACCGAGGTTAGCGAAGGTTTGAATGAGCGTTTGTGGCAAGCCGATGCACGTGCCGGGGAGTCTGTCGCTTACCTCGAATGTTTTGCGATCCGCTGCTCTCGCGTCCTGGTCCGCTTTCTTGGCCGCACGACTGGCTGTAGAAGCAGAAGCTTCGTCCGACTCCACGCCGCTCGCAACGTCATCAGACATCGCCGCATTCTCCTCCTCCTCCTCCTCCTCTTCGTCGTCTTGGCCCTTGATCGATCCCACTCTGCGGGCCTTCGGCGCGCTCGAGGCTGCCGCAGCTGGGGAGCCGAGCAACGGTAGCTCCGAAGAAAGCGGTGTATATGCGCGTACTTCACAATTGATTGCAGAAGTCAGTCTGAGACTGCACGACAAAGCTGTGCGCTTCTTCCAGTGGCAGACACTTACATGCTTCCACGCCGTCAACCCACACTGTTCTTCTACCACCGAGCCCAAGCGTGTCCGCCATTGTAGACCTCTTGCTTGTCCTTGGCTCCGCAGCGATCAGTCCAGCAATCCTAAGTGCCTTCCGTCGTTCCTCTCTCGCATCTAGCCACTCTGAACGCATATCCGACACCATTGGAGCGATCCTCTGCACCAGCCCCTCTATCCTTTTCTTTTCCGCTCTGATCTGAGTGACGATGTATGCGCTGTCCTGTGTCTTGAGCAAGGCGACTTCATCCCGCGGCAACACTTGAGAAGTCTCTCGACTTGCGATATGCACACCGCCCTCTGTCCGACTCTTGATCATGCCAAAATAGAACTCATCCTCATTCTTGTCCATCGCCTTTTGTCCCAGACGCTTCAACCTCTCCTTTTTGGAATTGTAATCCCGTGCTCGCTCCACATAGTCCTTGTGCTTCTCCAGCAGACCGAGGTTCTTGCGCCTATTGAGCTGACCACGCTCTTTGTGCTGTCGCCGATGCACAGCATTGCGCAGAGAAGAAGACTCCATGGTCACGCCTGTGGAGAGCAATGATTGATGTTGTGGCAAGCAACTTCAGTCAAGACAGACGATTCTTTTCGGGCACGCTCGGCACCCTCGTCAGCAAGAGCGCGCTGAAGGATTGGCAGCAGGTGCGCACCGGCGATCTGGAGGTCGATGGAGCGCGAAGGCACTATATGTGGTCAATGTTGTGGTTTGCACGGCATGTACCCGGTCGGTAGTAGTGTCTAGAGCGGGTGTGGGTGAAGTGCAAAGACTGGCCGTCTTTGAGAACATCGGACGAGGCAAAGATCAAATCTTGACTGGAAATCACTAACCGCGCATTCAGATCAAAATCATGAATTCAAGATTCTGTCTGTCCCTTGTGCATGCCAAATCAAAAAATTCGGGTAGGCTATGCACGTGACAGCTTTGGAAAAAAATCTAGACCATTCCCGCAGGGGCGAGCGTCATAAAGTGGCGGCGGAAAGAGCTACCGAATGGTCGACGCCGCTTTCCGTTACTACTCACTCAAAACTCAACGAGTGGTATTCACGTCATTCTTCATGATCCATTCGTCGTACACAAGACTGGCACCACGGAGTATGATTATGTCATGAACTAAGAATGGCAACATGACTCGAGTACAGCAGCGCTCGACCTCTGACACCGGACACCTGAAGGGTATTGAAACTACAGTAGATGCGGCGATAGTCTGCGATGGATGGTATCTTGGCGACGGAAGCGTCCAAAAGGCAGATGTAAAGCGCCCAAATAAAAGGGATTCCTTCGTAGCATTTTAGTCAGAGTATCACTGACGATTCGGGCTCGTCGTACCAAGGTGAGCTGAGAAGTCGGAACCTCCAACAACGTCCGTGTGTTCAGTGATTCGTGGCTCTTCGAGCTGGAATTCAGTTCCGGCGGTCACGCTCGCCCGTTGACGCGAGGTGGGTTCATGTCGAGGCCTCCTTCGAACCGAGTCGCAGAACAGCCGCTCAGGATCCCTCCCTCTCTCGGCCTTGTCATACTGGCATCTAGCCCCCCCACAACGTGCAGCTACCAGATACGGCAGTCACAGTCTGATTGATGACCTCATAAAGGAAGCGACGCTGCGCTAAAAGGACGGTGCTTTCATCGCGTACGGAGATGCGGAAGCCCACATGTAGCTCCGGAATGCTGCGGCGGAACGACTGACGAGTCATGCACCATCCACGATCGAGATTCTTTCTATTACCTCTATCCAAACAGCGGGTAGGGGTAGTGAATCCGCGAATGTGTAGCTGCATGATTAATGAGCTTACCGAAGTGACGCTTGGCTTCTCTTGGATTTGTAGTCCTGGGTTTAGTCACCATGGCTCGACTGATGACGAGCCAACTGAGTCATATCTTACGCTTGCGAGCGATGGAGATATCGTTGCAACCTTTTGATCCCATGTCACGTCGGCATGAGGCGGACTGGATTCAGAGGTTGAACGGAGTCACAAAGCACCTTGTACGACTAATGATGAGTTAAAGTTACGTTTGAATTTGGGCTCCAGCAGTCGAAGACGTGTTCAGCCAATCGTGAATCCAGTCGTGAGTCGAGTCTGGGTCTTGATGAGTGAGTCAAGTGAATCCATGATGTTTGCAGGGCTCCAATCACGTGAATCAGGGCTGCCTGCAGGTACCGCACCCAATTTTGACTCAAGCACCGGAAGCTGTCTCTGCTGTAAGAAGGCAGAAAGCCGTGCGATATAGGCTTCAATTGAATCACGAAACGCTACTTCACGGATGGCGAGTTTGTAGCATCCAGCACAAGCAATACACAGCGTGCGCTTGATCCGGCAAACGAGATCTAGATGCGTGATCGATCTGGACAATCCAAGAATGCCCTCGCGCAATTAGACACGGTGATGCGTGAGTGCGCACGCGCGTGTATCGATTTTGGTCTTCGACCAAATCACGAATGCATCAACCAGCTTGTTGAAGACCGCCGCTGCATACTCACACTGTACCGGTACCATACACGTGCTGTTTCAACCTCTGGTGCAATTCAATAATTCAAGATTCGCGTGTAGGCTAGTCTAGGAACGCCGCCGCCGCCGCCGCCGGCCGCTAGAGTCCGGGCAGCTGCAGCCCGCTTAGGGTTGTGTTTGAGACTCTTCATAAAGCGTCATGGACTTTTAATTCAAAGTTCAATCATTGCCAAATGTCAGACTCGTGACTCACGAACAAAGTTCAAGAATGCTGCTCTGGCCTCTGCGAGCCTAGAAGACCAGAGGCATGACTCGGCAACAAGCCATCTCGGGACAGGTCGGCCTGGGCGAAGAGAGGATTTGCGGCTCATCAGTCAATCGTGAATCTTACGATCGAACCCTGCGCGATGAGCAAGTCGATGTTGACGAACGTCGTCGTTGTTGCGTCGGTTGGTCCTTTAGCGCGAGCATGGAAAGATCTCTTCCGACCCTGCATGTGCCCCTTCCTCGGCCAAATTCGCGTTCAGCCGCCGAGGTACCGATCTCAACACCCCTGCTTGCCTCCGGCCGGTGAGCTCGTGCTGCGATCCGTGCTCATTTGTGACGAGACTCCTGCGCATCGACTCTCGTCTCTCATCTTATCTTCGCGACTCCGAAAGTGGCGTGTTTGTTGGGTTGCGATGGTCTGTCCGCTCTCTTCAATCACACATGCGCGATGCCATTCGCGCTTTGTCGAAGCATGCAACCGTCAAGTGTCACAACAGTCTTCTTGCCGGAAACAGTAGTCCAGTGCCACTCACGACTCTGCAACATTGCCGCCGGATAGCCGTGGTAGAAGTGCACCCAAAGAATTCCGCGCAGACGCTTACAGCCATGAATGGTAGCCGGCCGTTATTGCTGATTCTGAGTCGTGCATCGCGATCGAAGGACGTGCTATATGTGTGCTATGCTACCCGCGCCGCGACGCGTGGCTATGGCTGCTGCTGTCTTTGGTCTTGTCGTGGTCAGCTCATCAGGGCAACGTTATGAGCCATATATCATATGCCACGACTGCGACAAAGACATCAGTCTCGGCGTCGAGACAGATGCTGGGCTTGCCCTGACTTGCGATAAATTGAGAGGCTTTGCTATATGGGTGCTGCAACGCGCGTTGACACAGTCCGACAATTGAATTAATGCTGCCGTGGCTGCAGAGCGCTCGCGATGTGAGACCCGCCGGTCTGTTTCTGCGCAAGCCTCACGGGCCCGCGGTTAGCCATGCAAAACACCACGGCCGAGAAAGGCTGGCGGGGCGCCTGATGCAAGCGCATGAGCCGAGGCCTCAAACACGGCATGGTGCAGCAGTCGCGGTTACTCTTGAGTACGCAGGCACGGCACCAGCATGCAGCAGCAGCTATAGGGCCGCGCCTTGCGGTGGTAGTAGTCTTGCTTAATTCGTGATAATTGCTGCATCTTTGTCCATAATCCGACCGAGCAGCGCGCAGGTGGGCCGCTCCTTGCACCCTCGTTTTTCATGATTGCGCTGACGCGGGCTTCGTGCCGCAACGTACCTCGGCTTGCTCTTGCTCGATCAGGCTCTTGGATGGTCAGGCTGCATGCAACGGCAACGTTTGCACGCGGCCGTGCGGGCTTTCAGCGGTGACGCCATGGTAGATACGGTACCGAATATCGTGGTTGTTACAGTATTCACGAATACGAGAGACATTCTGATTATTAGCAGGCCCTCCGCCGTCTTGCTTCCTTTTTTCTGCTCCCGGCCGCGGATGAACGGCATCAAACACGTCGCACCACGGCTTGCTATTCAGCTTCTCCTCACCTCACCTCAGCCCACTTGTCGTGCTGCTGCTTTCCCTCCATCTTACCTCTCTCCCACTCGCCACTCTTCCTCTCCTCCTTTGCCAGCTGCATTCGTGACTGCTCTTTTGCGCTCGCTTTTCATTCGTCATTCTACAACGCTGCGCAGATCCCCCGCGCCCCGTACCACAATCCACGGTATAGCTTGTCTCAGCCCAAACTCAGTCGTGAGTGCAGCAAGCACTGGGTGAAATCTGACGCCCTTGCAACGCCCAGCCAAACTAACAGCCAGCATATTTCGTTGCGTCTCGAACCTCTGCCCCCCCCCCCCCCCCTTCGTCCATTTGTTGCCTATTGACCATCATCCAAAGCATCGCCTTCCTTTCTTTCTTTCGTCCCTTTCCCACTCCATCCACCGCCCGCTCTCGACTCACCGTACTCGCACGATTCACGATTGTAAAGCTTGCTTTCATTCTTCGACCCGCACCCAAACACTCGACTCTCTGACAAACGGACGCACTCCAGGTCGCTCAGCGTACTACTCTGTTCGACCGTCACATCGATCTACTCGCCGCGCCTCTGAACCTTGGACAAAGGGTCAGCCCAGCCAAAAGCAGCACAGGCGCCTACTTGTCTGCGCACACAGCCGCCTCGCCCGTCATCACCTCCATCACCCTCTCGCTTGACATCTTCAGACGTCGTGCGTCTGATCGTGGGTCTACTAAAATCTCCCCAAAGATCTCCGACCTCACCCCTTCACCCCCACCCAAAAGGCTTTGAGAAGTCGACTTTGGTGTGCACACCATAGCCTCGATCTTGCTGGTCAGGACCATCTTCCACCGTAACCCTCCAACACTCGCGTCAACACCACACCAACATGCGCGTCCAAGCTATTGCGCTCGCCCTCTTGGCATTCACTGCCTCCACCATCGCCGCCTCTTCGGATGCGACGATCCCTCACCTCGCTCCTAGGTCTCACGAGTCCAAACTGCGCCACCGTGAACTTTCTCAAGTATCTCAGGTCAAGCGTGAGGAGCAAGAGCTCGAGCACGAGCTACAAGCACGTGGCAAGAAGAGCTGGCTCATGACCGGGGCCAAAGCTGTGAGTTCCGCAACACTCCCTTGCCGCGGACTCCGGCACGTTTCGATGCTGACAATTTTGCTGATCTCCAATGCGCCTCTACAGACCTGGTACGGTGGTGGTCAACTCGATAACCCTGCCTGCGGCGGATCACGCCCATCCGACAACGACCTGGTCGTTGCCGCTTCGGAAAGCTCCGGCATCCCTTGCCACTCTACCGTGCACATGTGAGTGCTGGGACGTCACCGTCATACGAGTGTTTGACGCTGATGGATGTTCTGTTCCTCTTTTCCTCTTTTCCTTCCGACAGCCACTACCATGGCAAGATGGTAAGCGCGAAAGTTGTCGATCGCTGCGCTGGCTGCGACGCAAAGTGGCTCGACTTGACCAAGGGCACCTTCAAGAAGCTCGCTGGTCTCGACGTGGGAGAGTTGCACGGTGTTCACATTCGCGTGTTCCCAGCATGAGCGTGGTCATCATCACGTGCCCGGCGCGCAATGCGAAACGCAATCGTAATGCCATAACGAGCGCTCCCCAGTCATCCTCCACTGTCACAGCTTTTTCTAGAAGTCCGCCTCAAGCAGCACACCGCTGAGCATACCCATCTCCACCTGACCGGATGTCTGTACTCAAGTCTTATCACCGTGTACATGGGACTGCAGTCGGATCACATCATCACAAAACCAGACACGCCATGTCGTCGACCTCAAATCCCGTCTTTCCACGCCCAACCTGCCACGCGTCACCCGTCACCTCCAAGAGCCAGCTTCATCGAGGGTCCTCGTTCTCCTCCACCAACTTTGACCATCAAACGTCCAACTCGAAATGCCTTCTTTGTCTCGCTCTCAGCTCTCTCCTTGTCCAACTGGATTCGAGAAAGCCCAAATCGCCCGTCTCGTCACTTTTCACGCATCGCGCTACGGCTGGTGTTTCTCTCTCCGTCATCCGATCGCGATCACGAGCATACTCGCGCGCAATCTTTCATCCCACCCTTTCTCCATTTTCGACTTCCCTACTCTCCCCCTTCCAAGCTCACGGGTCCATCACTCTCTCCTTGGCTCGTCTTTGACTCGTTTCGGCGCGGCAAAATTGTCTCTGTACATGCGCATCTCCTGGCGAAATGCTATTGCTACTCGATTCTGATGCGTCTCAGGCGTCTGCGTGACGACCGTCACTTATTCGTGAGCGAAAGGTGTGGCTTACAACAGAATGAGTGCAGAAAGCGCTCTGGAGCGATGTGGCCGCTCAATAAGGCATTAAACGACGGCGTTCTTCCATCTCCGCAAGCTCGATTGTCTCTTGCGATCCATCGAATTCATGCAAACTTTCTTGCTTGATGCGAGGGGAGAATTCTTCCAGAGACTCGTGCTTGATGCGCGTCGGAGAGTCTTCTCGAGGCTCTTGCTTGTTTCTGACTGTATCCTGTGTAGGAGCCGCTGAATCTAGTCCCCCTCCGAGTCGACGGCTTTGGCCATCTCGCGACGGTAGGTCTGTGAAGCTACTGAAAGTTCGAAGTTCGCGCTCGCTCATGGAGCGTGCCAGATCGACCAGTTCCGAATGGCTCATCACCTGCGAAAGAGGAGGCTCAAAAGCTGGCCAATACAGCTCTAAGCGTGGGGAGAAAGCAGATCTTTGTGAGCAAGCGGATAGGAACTTTTGGAGTGTAGCGACACTATCGGTCGGACGCACCTCGATTAAATGGACAGGCTCGAATGGCCCGATAGAGCACTCTTTTGGCCCTCTCGCTCGCCTGTCGCTGCTGCTTCGAAGCTTCTCTCCTTCTACGACGCCCTGTGCGGTACACATCCTCGTCCGAGCTGCTCGTGTGGGCATCTACTCCACGAAATCTGTCCGCCCTGATGGCGAGGCGTATCTCGAATCCGAGGTAAAGGTGCCACAAAGTTGCCGAAGAAGAGATCGAGGCGCTGCAGGGAAAGTCAAGGATGTTGGTCAGAACGAGACGATGGGCAGATGAGACTACGGTGCGGGCGTCACGCTGCCGACACCTACGTGTCATTCGTCAAAGCGCGCTCAAAGTAGTGTCGTATCGTGTGCTCATTTGGGTGCGAACGTAGATTGAGCTCCGAGTAGATGGCAAACAACCAGCAAGCTTCCGCTTGACTGTGCCGGGCGGCGTGCTCAGCTAGTGTGCGATGCTCCGACATTGCAAGAGCTGACTCGGAGTGAGGGAGCACGTGACGCTCAAGGACTGATCTGAGATGTCCTTCCACTTTCGCACGCATCTCGTGAGCAGCGAGTAGAGACAAAAGCGCCGTGTTGTTTGGGAATGCTTGCACTGCGCGGGTAAGTGCATTGCGCACGGTAAGGGGTCTGTAGCCTGTTGACCTCGTCTCTTCTCGGTTGGTGTAGACCCAAAGAAAGCGTCCTTGTGACAGGTAGACTGACTCGAGCGCCGCGTACCTTGGCGAAGACCAAGCACGCACCTCTAGTGCGTCCTCTCCGTGTTTTAGATACTCCATCGCATGTTCAATCACCTTGCAGTAAGATTCGATCCCTCCTTCGACCAAGTGCTCGAGAAGCGCTCGACACGACATAATAGCACCCCTGGCCATCGGAGATACTAGATCGCCCTTCGCAGCGAAGGACTGGCGAAGTGCGCTGGGGTCAGCGGCCCCTTGCTCGCGCGAATGGTCCAGGAAAGTTGCTGCGCGAGCAAGGACCTCGATCGCACTCGCATTCTGTCTAGCCCTCCACTCCATTTCTGCCCAATCTCGCAGCATCGGCAGCGCTTCAGAGACCGCCAACGTGCGTGAGTCAGCCCGGAGCTTATCGAGCGCACTGCGATATACTAAACGTGCCGAGTCGAGCTTCCCAGCGCTCTCCTCCAGCCAAGCAAAAGCGTGCCACAGCTCCATGCTGTCTCGATTCGCGTCGAGCTCGCCCCGCGCTAATGACCTTGCTCTACAATGAACGCGATCTGAAGCATGAGCATTGCTGGAAGCTGAAGTGCCACCATTGCTCCACTCACGCTTTGTGACCCCGCGTGGCGTGCTCAAATGCGAAGCGAGCAATTGTTCTCGAAAGACCACCGGCGTCGGGAGGTAGATGGTCCAAGACATTGCTGCGATAAAGCGGACATCTCATGAGCTAGGTGTAGTTGGCCTCCAGGGAGCTACTCGATCCGCTTGGCTCACCTGGCAGTTTCCAGATCTGCGTGCTGCAAGTCATCAGTGCGCACGCTCGTGAACCATTGACTCCCGAGTTCTACTCTGCTCGTCGAATACAGCTCAGGCAGTCGTGGGGCCCAGCAGGTAATCGGGACATCAAAGGGCTGAGATAAATTGTTTTGTCGAAGTCCTCCCATCACTTCGCCTTCGGTCTTGGCGATGAGCGGTACATCAGACTCTGTTCCGCCTGTTGGCGACAAAGAGAAGGGCCAGAAGCGCTGTTGTAAGGCCAACATAGCTGTCGGACCCGCTCGAGTCTCGCCCTGAAACTTTGCGGAGCTCTGAGCTGGATCTCCAGCCCAGGCTATGCCAGGTGACATTCCCAGGTAGCCGAGCGCAAAGTCCAGAACGCGCGACTTGACAGCGGGCGCCGTGATAGGCACCGCCACAAGTTGGACCACGTCAGAAGACAGGATGAAAGCATACGGATCTACCTCGTCTTCGCCGTGGAGAGGTGTAGCGGTGGCGCGCGCAGGCTTTTGTCGCAGACCTGCTCGTGCCCTTTCCCTTTCGACCCATGGGACGCTATCATCAGATTTGCTGGACCGGTAAGGGAGGGACGAGGGATCTATGGACGGCATTGATGCACCTGCATCGGGCACGTCCCGATGGCCATACTGATTCGCCCACCCCTTAGCGCCCTCTTCCCCAATCCTCGGCCCTTCGTCGTCCCAAAACTGAGAGAAGCTATCTATCAAGCGCTCGTGAGATTCTTCGTCTTGGCTCTCAAGTCCCAAAGGTGCGCAAAAGGTCACCTCAAGCTGCGCTTGTACCAACGCAAAAGCTCTCTCATAGTAGCCTGGAGGAGCAAGTCAGCGACACGCTGCGACCCGTGGCCATCATCGGCACTCACCAGCTTCAGAAAGATGCCTCACAGCTGTCGTCCACAGCGTCACAAGTGCTTGTTCTAAGATTTGTCGCTCTGCAGAGGAGGAAACAGTCTCAGAAGCCTACCACAGCAAGGAGAGACTAGGCTGTGCTCACCCTCGAATAGCTGCGCTTTCCACGTAGCTGACAAGAGAGCTTTCAGACCCTTCGTGACCGCTTCCAAAAAGGTGGACAAGGGTCCAGCTTGTCGAGAGCTCCACTCTAAATACGCCACCCACACTGCTCCCAACCTCTGCCCCTGCATCTCGCCGCTCTTCAAAAGCGCACTCCATTCCTTGTCGCATTTTTCGTTCTCCCAGATCAGAGATCCTTTACGGAGGTATGCGAGCTCCAGGGATGCATTACGCGGGTTTGAGCGCCTTGCACGTGTTAATACGGCCAGAGATGCCTCGGCTCCGGCGCGGTGTTGCCTATGATGGCCTCGTATGCTCTGATTCCCTGAAGAGCTTAGAGCTTTGACCAGTTGGGCCTGCACGTGGGCGAGCTGCAGCCAACCTTCGACATCTGACGCATCCTCGCGTACTCGCACATCCAAAGAAGACACACGAGCTCGCAGGATAGTAGCCGAGTCTGATTCCACTTTATTTGACGTGTCTTGCGGCGAGGCTTCACGCCTATCGCGTCTAGGACTTGCCGAAGTGCGCTTTCTATGAAAGTCTCTATAGTCCGGAAGGGGGTCGTCATCGGATGCTGACCGAGCTCCTCCTCGCACCTCTGACTCGCTCAGCGCTTCATACTCTCCAAATGCCGCAGAGGACGGACTGGTTCCTGGGGCGATCCGAAGTGGCGCGGGCTGACGCGCACGCCAGCGCTCCTCCTTGTCGAGGTAGCGGACTCTCTGTTGCGGAATCAGAGAATCTTCAGAGGCAGCAAAAACCACATCACCAAGCTAGTGACTCACCCTGCCGCCCTTTGGAAGTATCTCGAGCACCTTGCCGTCCAACCGAGCGCTGGAGAACGAGATCCGCAGAGATCTCGAGAGACCGAGCACACAGCCATCTGTGTATTTTTCGATCGGTCCGAGCATCAGCTCGGCTACAATGTGAGACACAGGAGGCCTCGTCCACACATCCATGCTCACCCCCAAAGCGTTGGTAGCGAGGCAGCTTGCTCGCGCTCAACCCGCCACATGTCGCAGCTTTGTGGTCACCTTTCGCGTCTACAAAGTAGGAATCTTCGAGATGTTGGAGATTCACTTCGTTGGACACGCTGCGCTTCACATGTGATGCTGTGTGTACAGATGACACCCTTGCGATATACTCCTCGGATGACTCTGGCCGCCTAACCGAGCGCGACTCGGTCTCCAGTTGTCTGAGAGATCTGGATGCACGGCGCTCATCGCGATTGCGCGCGGAGCGCAGCTTTCTTGCTGAGCGGTCTGCGTCACTCTCATTCTCAGAATCGTGCCTGCGTCGCCTTTTGCTGGAGTGAGAACTGCGATTATGACGCTCATGACCGGACTTGAGCTTTTGATCTTTCCAGTTGGCGCTGCTCTGCGTTTCCTCTCCACCCTGTGGGCGCGAAGAAGAGCTCTCAAAAGCGCTCATATGCTTGGAAGAGCGAGAAGCCTTCCTGCCCGCATCTCTTGAACGCTCTTCTCGGTCTTCCTGGACTGCATCCGGCAACTGAAAAGAACCAAAGCTTGGAACCTCCGCTGCATCCATGGCGATGAATCGCCTACAAGGCGTCCAGGTCTTCTCCCAAGCACCCGTGCCTCTCCTCCTGACCACTCAGTCTGCCTTTCTGTGATGACGGCGATGATAGACGTGGAGCAGGTTGGAACGACCAGTCTCCTCAGGATGTTCAACCCTCGCCGGCAACTCAAGTGTGCGTATGTGTGTGTATATGTGCATGTGTGCACCCGGGATGCGTTTCTACACTTTGACTTTTGACTTCATGAAATCACAAATTATCGAGCCCTTGCAGCGTCCAGATCACGTGGAGGCTATCAACCAGACCTCCACACGCGTGATGGAAGCTCACCTACAGCTGACTCTTGACTCAGGACGGCGACTTGCGCCTCCCGTCAGCAACCAAACAGCATGTCTGCGGGTGCGCGACCCTTCCTCAGACGTGTGGGTGGGTGTGAGTGTATCCATGTGCGTAGAACAGCAGTACCCTTAGACTCTTCCTTGTTCCTGCCATCTTACCAACCAGGCAGTCCAAAATCCACCTGCGTGACCGGTTGCAGTCATGTCAGGAGCCGGAAGCACAACAGCAGCGGGAGTGTCCGCTAGCGCTCCCATTCCCGATGATGCGTCCCACAACATCAGGCTGGCAGGATCCTTCGGCATCCACAGACCCAGCACACTATCCGCGTCTCCTCGATCCGAGCTCCGTATAGCTCTCGCACAAGTCACACCATCCTCTTCCGACAACGCCGAAGCGGAAGGCTTGGCGATCGTGCGCGCATACGCCAAAAGGGCTGCCCATCAAGGGGCCGATGTGCTCGTTCTGCCCGAATATTTTTTGAGCGGAGCCACGCACGATCAGTGGAGAGCTGTCGCGGAACGCGGAGAGCCAAAAGGAGGCGTGCAGGATGCTCATTTGCGAGAGGACCACTTCTTGTCGGAAATTGCGAGCATCGCAAAGGAATTCGACCTGGATATTGTCAGCGGTACGGCCGTCGAAGCTGGACCTCATGTTTCTCAAAGTCAGGAGCGAACCAAGCATCATGCGCCGCACAGGGGTGAGAAGGACGCTACGCAAGCACGCGCGGAAGCGCCAGACCAGATAGATGTCTTCAACACCGCTTACTACGTCGGTAGAGATGGTCAAGTCAAGGGTTCATATACCAAACGGGCGAGTAGAGACTGGGATCGACGACCAGCACCTGACACTTCGAAGAGAGCTCATTGATCTCGAATGCGCACCACAGAACCTTTGGCATCCTGAGCGTAGCGTTCTGACCTCCGCTACCGCTTCAAGTCATCCGGCCCCTCGAACGTTCGATATCATCACCAAGGCGGGGCGGTCACTAAAAGTCGGAATGCTTATATGCGTGCGCCGGCCTTCCTATCGAGTGCTGCATGATCTGTGATTCCGGCTGACGCACAAGTCTACTACTTGCGGCTTCAAGTGGGACTTGGGCTTTCCAGAAGCGTTCAGGGAGCTGTATGAGCCAAATGCAGATGTTCGGGGAGGACCAATGGTCGGACCAGATGTGTGGGTCACACTCGACGCGCAAAAGGAGTGGCGGGCATAATCAGAAGCTGACATTGCACGCCGTTGATTAGTGTCTTTGTGCCCACTTGCTGGTACGCCACCGATGCCGGTGCGAAAGGTTTGCGGTGGAACAAGGATGGAGAGAGCGCTTTGCTAGGTGAGTGAGCTTACCGACGCACCTGTTTTTCTCACCTGCCAAGGTGCCCGGCTGACGATGCGCTGATACACGTCTGTGCGCACGCAGACTCGCTCGTCCTTGCCCGAGCCATCGAAAACGAGTGCGTGGTTGCCATGTGTAATGTGAGCGGCGCGTCCTGGCCATCCGGAGAAGATCTGCGTCGACCTCTGGATGATGCATCCAAGGCTGATCGAAGCTTTGGAGGTTCTTCTCCAAGCGCAAGCAATCAAGCTGGTGATGGAGCAGTCTTGACGGCCAAAGGAGCTGGACCAACGCTATTTCCCACGCCTGCTGGCGGCAGACCTACGATACAGCCTACGGGTATCCCCACCACCTCCGATGGCAAGCGCATACAGGCCCCTGCAGATGCTGTAGGTCACATCTCGCTAGCGGAGAAGGACCTGACGGCGTGTCGCGCTACAGACGAGCAGGAAGAGCCTATAGGTGTGGGAAGATCGCAAGTATGCGCACCCTTCTTGGGTCGAGTGGCGGTGGTGAACGATGAAAAGGAAGTTCTTTTGCTCGCAGCTTTGGACCTCAGAGTTCTCGACGACGCTCGCGATGTGTACAAGATCAGAGAAGACTTGGGCAAAGCTACGGTGGCACATTGATTGGCGCACTCACGCACATCAAACGCGAATGTTATTCCGTCGACTTACCAAGACAAAGGTGATGATCTGTACGAGTCAGATGGCCGAAGCCGACCAGTGCATGGAGCCAGGTCCCTTCCTAGCGGCTATACTACGCCGGCAAAGAGAACATCCGGCGAAAATGTCCTTTTGTAGCGACGTACAGCAAATCCTCTTATTCACCATGCGGCATGCACGCAAGGCCGTCAGCTGTCCTTGCATGCATCGGCACTACTGAGAAACGGGCTCCTGTCCACGTTTGGCTGCCTCGAGCGACTGCGCTTAGCGTCTCATGACTTGCTTTCAATGCTGTGAGCTTCTAGGTCGTCTCGTCTAAGCATCCACTCGATGCAATTGCTTAATGACGCATTTTACAAAGGTACGAAGATGTGCGGGTGTACATCTGCAGCGAAGGAACGGAAGGAACGGGAGAGTGAAATGTGCCGGTGTTTTGGGACGGCTCGTGACTGACTAGACAGCCTTGTGCTCGTGGAGCGAACCAGCCGCCGGCGGCCGAAGAAGCATGCATGACAACATCTGGCAGCGCTAGTCGAATGCAGCGCGCGCGTTTCCACACGACTTCCGATCTGCTTGTAGGGTGAGCTAAAAGCCTTGGCTCGCGCTTCTCTTCCGGAAGTGTTTGTGTTTGCAGTGCACTTGCACAGATCTCAAGCGTAGTCAAGAGTGATAGGGGCATGAACAAAAACGCGGGAGAATTCAAACAGTTCGCGACTCCGAATGGGTGCGGATCGAACCATGGCAGTGGGGCTCCGGCCGAGTTGCCGCAGGGTTTGTCCGCATCCGCCTCCACAACGGCGAATTTCTGTGGGGCAGCGCGGATCGACTCAACTGTAGGCATGGATTGCCGCAACTCAGACGTGCGGAGTGTCTGAAGCTTCTTAGCGAGGCCCTTTGCTGAGATTACCGCAGGCGTGGGACGCTGAGGGGCAGACCTTGCATATCACCTAAGGGTCTGCAGAGTCTCTTCGTCCCAACCACCATCACCACGAAGCATTCCAGCTCGAGCGGCCACAGAAGATGGCGCTCACTCCACAAGACGTCGAGAGGAGTTCTATCGCGTCGCAGACGGTTGAGAAAGGATCTGGCTTGGAGAGAGAGGGCAGCGATCAGACTGCGACCGGCGTTCCATTGAGAACAGAGCGCTCTCATGAGAAGGGCCGCACACCATCGCCTGGCATTTCGGCTGCTCACGGGGCCTGGTACAAGACACACGAAGATGGTACCAAGATCATCACATTTGCCGGCGAAGATGACAAGGATAATCCACGAAATTGGTCTCGTGGGAAAAAGTGGTACTTGACTCTGCTGTGTTCTTGGCTCAACATCCTGGTTGCTTCTCAAGCTAGCGCTTACTCTACAGGCCAGAAACAGATCCAGCAAGAGTTCGGCATCAGCAACGAGCTTTCCATCGCGGGCTTGTCGCTCTACGTGCTCGGCTTTGCGGTCGGACCGATGGTGGTTGCGCCACTATCGGAGACTTTCGGACGACGAAGGATATATATTTGGTGTTGGGCCCTGTTTGTCCTTCTACAATTCGGAGTGGCGTTTGCACCCAACGCGCCCGTGATCTTCGTCTTTCGCTTCTTGACTGGATTCTTCAGTAGTCCTCCGCTCGCCAACACTGGAGGGGTAATTTCGGACCTGTTCGCCCGGGACGAATCTGGCGTGCCGATGAGCGTCTATGTCTTTGGCTCCTGCATCGGCCCTCCATTCGGCAATGTGTATGCCGGGTTCATCGCTCAACAGCTAGGCTGGAGATGGACGCACTACCTCACCAGTCTGCTCATCATGGGGGTGCACTGGTTCCTCATCGTTTTCACGCTCACGGAGACGAGGCACAATATCATCCTGGCCAGAAAAGCGCACGCGATCCGCAAAAGCACGGGCGACGAGTCCTACGTTTCGACGCATGGAGACGAGCGAAAGCCTATCTTCACCTTGATCAAGACATCCTTGGCGCGACCTATCCTCTTCCTCTTCACCGAGCCCATCACCGCGTTTGGTAGCATATGGAACGGACTTCTATATGGTCTCATCTTTCTTTTCAATGATGCCTTCACCATCGTATTTGGTCCGGGCGATGGCTACAATATCCAGCATTCCGGCCTCGTCGAGCTTACGTTCGTGGCCTTCATCATCGGCGAGGCTTTGGGCCTAGCGCTGTACCCTTGGACCCAAGAGCGATTCTATCAGCGCGCAATCAAGAAAGCAGGACAGAGTGTCCCCGAAGCTCGAATGGCGGGAGGCACGATTGGGTGCTGTCTGCTTCCGGTGGGCCTCTTCATCTTCGCGTGGACGTGCTACCCGTCCATCTCCCCGGTGGTGCCCCTCATCGGGGCGGCCGTCTTTGGTCTCGGCTTCTTCTTTGTGCTATTTGGCATCTTGTCCTGGACAGTCGATTCCTACAGGGAATACTCTGCTAGTGCGCTAGGCGCAGTGGTCCTCGTGCGCAACATCTTTGGCGCGGCTCTACCTCTGGCCGGCGCTCCCATGTACGAAAAGTGAGTTGTTGCGCGAAGCGAGATTTGACAGGTTGACTCATCTGAATCGCGCTGCATCTTACCTGCTTCGACAGCCTCGGAAGACATTGGGCGACGACTTTGGTCGCCTGTCTGGGCATTCCACTCATCCCGTGAGTAGTGCCTCCCGCGCACGGCCGGACAGGGCTGCTCTGACACCCTTTCAACCCTAATATCATAGCGTGTCCTGGTTCTTCTACGCCAAGGGCGACTTAATCCGCAAGCGCTCTCCTTGGGCCGCAAGTCATTTTGCGGACGATGAAGATGCACCACATTAGGCACGACTGAAGCGCCATTCTGGCTCTGCACACAATCTCAATTCAGCCATCTTTCGTTTATTGTCGTTGCAATGCGTACTCATTCTTCCTTGTCCGTCCCTTTCCGCTCTCGAACTGCGGGCCTCGGGAGATGCGCGTGTGAACGTTCTTGAGCAGCCTCGAGAGATGTTGAGCGGGCCTGGCGAATGGGCTTGGAAGCGTGTCCAGGAGCTTGGCATCTAACGCTTGTCGACAGAGACGAATCAAGACTTATAGATGACTGTGTAATGCTCGTGACTGCTAAGACCAATCCGCGTTCGTATCCAGACTTATGATCCTCGATTCCCATCATGCACACCCTCTGCGATGCTGAGAACATCTGCTACAGGAACGGTTGTGGCTCCTGGAGCTATAGGCTGCTGCTGCTGCATGGATGGCGCGTGCATGCAGGCAGCCACGCAGGTCATCGTAGTTCGCGCGCCCGCCACACCGCGCGCATACAAGCGCGGATGCAGCGAGGATCGCGGAGGCTCGCCCCCGCGTTGACCGCGATCGCGGTCTTCTCGCCTTGGCAAGTGTGCACCGCCAAATGACCGAAGGGGGCCTTTGCTGCATGAAGGCACATCAGCGATCGTCATTTAGCCCTGATGAGCGTGCCGGCTGCCCTCATTCTTGCAGGCCGCTCGGTGCTCCCTGCATTCGTGATTCGGCGAGGCAAGGGGAAATGCCAGAGCATACACTCGGTCGCAAGCCTTGGAGGCCCTTTTCATAGATCTCGTCTGTGCCGACTCGATACCCCATCTCTCCTCCACCACTCTCCCTGATTCCTTCGCATGAGGTCCTCGTCATAGCCACCTCATTGTCCTCCCGCTCCTGCAGTAGACAGAGCGACTCGCACACGTTTATACCCTTGGGACCAGCTCTTCTTCGACCCACTGCATCGCACACCGACTTGCCGCCCATCATGTCCTCTGGTGGTCGCCGTACACCCACGCAAAGCGATCACAAGGAAGATGAAGAGGCGAATCTGACGATCAACATTCCTGGCGGCGGGGCTCATCGCGCATTCAATCGTTCTCAATCGGATCATCCACAGCCTCAGAGGAAGAGGCGAGAGCGTGAGTGCACGACGCGGGACTCGAGCATGGCCCGTTTGTTGGCAGAGCATTAGAGAATCGGTGACTATATACCGCGGAGGAGTCGTGCCAAACCACCTGCGCGCAATACGCTAGCTGGTCAGTCCGTTTGCGAACCGACGAGCGCTTCATCAGAAGACTTGTTGCGCCCTCTGGACCAGGTAAGCGGAGCCCTGTCGGAGCAAGTGCACGTCTATGTCAGCAACGGCTTCGCTGCTCTCCGGACAAGTCGTGGCTGCGGCGGACAGCTGAGGTGTTATGCAGTCACCAGTGCAGCATTCTAGGGTTGCTAGTCACGAGTGAGCTTCAAGATTGCTCCGCTCCAGAGCTGAGCATCAGGCACTGGATCTGGTCGGGAAGTCTGATGAGATTTCGAGCGAGAGCATCCGTGGTCTGTCTGCACCGCACCGGTGCGAGGGTCCAAACAGCATCAGGATGACTGTGTGCGTATGTCGCGCACCACACAGCACATGCAGTGGGCATCGAATAAGCCAAGCAAAGCTGGCGCATGGTGACCCCAACGCACAGCAGCTTTCTGCTGCACAAGTCACGAGTAGCAGCAGCCGGCAGCTACATAGCGCGCCATGCCCTCATCAGCAGCCGCCGCCTGCCGCCCTCCGCGATCGCAGTCATGAGTTTTGAGCTTTGCGCGCAGACAGAGGCGGGCGCGGGGCGTTCTCGCGCGCGTGTAATACCTATATCCGCGCGCGTGACGAAGCGATCCTCGCGCGGCCGCCTTCGTTGCCCGCCAGCAAAGGCCATGCATTGCATGCAGCAGACGTAGCAAAGCGCAGAAACCCTGCCACTGCGCGTGCACGGCGTGTAAAATGTCTGTCAGAGCTAGGGCGTGCAAGTTGGGCGAAGCGCTCTGCCCTATTCGTGATTGTATAGCTTTGCGCAGCCAACACGCGTAGATGATCGAGAGCCTCGCAGCCACAAACCTTGCACCTAGCCCGCTCTACAGGGCCCCCTGCTCGCGATCGAGCAGTCACGAGTCGATGAGAGTTTCGTGCGCTGCATGTTCATCGCGATGCACGATACGGGCCTCTATCTGCAAGAGGCCCAGCAGCAATACGAGCTTGCTCTGATGGCAATCGCAATCATTCAGATATAAGCGCTACGCTCTCTGATGGCGCTGTCATCATTATTCATCAGTCTGTCGCTTATTCGAGTGTCGCGTCGCTTCTGACCACTTTGCTACTCACCCGCCTCAACAGAGTCCGAAGCTACAGTAGTAGGCTCTGCAGACTCTCAAGCTTACCAGCGTCCGCGCTCGAGTTCACGACCATCCTTCCACTCGCGCGACTCCGTCGCCCTTCACCAAGCAGAGTATCACCCTGATCTTCGCAGTCCATACACCGTGAGTACGTGCTGTGCTGAAAGCTTGGCCCGTTTCGCCGCGCGCTCATACATTGAACACCGTAATCGCCTCGCAGAACCCTAGCCACTACTCGGCCAGGCCTCAGACATATCATCAACGCTCGCAGTCGCATATGTCTTCCGTTCCTACCACACCAACCTCAGCGCAGCGGACTGGCCGGCATGGGCAGGAGGGTAGCAATGATGATGTAGGTCACGCGCGTGGGCCGACCAGCGCCATAGATCGCGCCATCGAAGCGAATGCCACAGACCGAACTTGGCAGACCGCCGAGGAGGGCAGGCTCGACGAAGATGTGAGAAAGGAGCGGCATTGGAGGCGATGGGGCTGTTATATGAGCGAAAGGCAGTGGGTGAGTGAAACACATTTACGTCGCTGCAGCAACAGCGACCTATGACGGAGACTGATGGTCACAGGCGCTTGTTAGGGTACTGTCCGCGAGGATTACAGCGGCAATGGCGATGCCTGGACCCATTTTCCCCACGAAGTTGCCCGTAGCCGCACCTTCCGGTGGGGCGAAGATGGTATCGCGGGTCTGTGCGACAACCATGGCCGCATGTGCTTCAGTCTAGCGCTGTGGAATGGCAAGGACAGGATGCTGAAGGAAAGGCTTTTTGGTCTGGCCAATAACGAAGGTGAGTGCAGATGCTGAAATGGTTGCTTGCAAGCACCTTTTCTGACCCTGCCCTCGCTCATGCAGGCAATCATGGTGAAGATGTCAAGGAGCTGTATTGGTATTTGGACAATACTCCGACGCACAGCTACATGAAGATGCTGTACAAATACCCCCAATCTTCCTTCCCTTACGAGCAGATGGTCCGCGAGTCACGCAACCGGAGCCGTGATGTCGCCGAGTTCGAGATCACGGACACGGAGCTGTTTGACGAGGAAAAGTACTGGGACGTCTACATCGAGTACGCAAAGGACAAGGATGAAGAAAATGCGATCTCAGTACGGATCAGCGCTTACAACAGAGGGCCAGAGGATGCTGATCTGCACATCATTCCTCAACTGCTCTTCAAAAATTACTGGAGCTGGCCCAAGGAGGAGCCAGCCAAGCCGCTCCTTGAAGAGAAGGCTAACTTGACCATACAAGCGGATCATCACGAGCTCGGTCGATCCTACCTCTACTGCTCCACAAGTCCCGCGCCTTCAGCGCCTCCTCGCAAGCGTGGCGCACCTCCCGAGTTGATTTCCGAGGAGGAGATCACCCCTGAGCTGCTCTTCACCGAGAACGAGACAAACTTTGAGCGATTGTACAGCGGCAAAAACAAGTCTTTCGCAAAGGACGCTTTCCATGATCACATCGTCCCTGCGCACAGACTCGAGAAAGATCAGCCCCAGCCGATCCGCAAGACGCGGACTGTCAAGCGGAGCATCACACGGACGGTCAAGGTGCCCAACAAGGGACCCAATGGTACTTCAGCACCAAACGGTGTCCCCGCCAAACAGAATGGCATCAACGGCCAGCTCTCGGATCTGTCCGTCGACGATGGCGAAGATGAGAAAGAGATCACCGAGGAAGTGGAGGAGGAGGAGGAGTACTTCGAAGCTTCTCAGGACACGAAACCTACACGTGACTATGTGAATCCCGAGAAGAAGGGCACAAAGGCGGGCGCGCATTACTTCTTCCAAGGCGTGCCTGCAAACGGCGGCTGCGCAGTAGTGCGCATAAAGCTAACGCCAAAGAGCGCACAGCAAGATCCAACGATCAACGATGATGAGGCGTTCGACGCTCTTATTGATGCTAGACAGCGCGAAGCGGACGAGTTCTACACGCGTATCGCCTCTGGTCCCATCTCTGACGACATGAAGAACATCATGCGTCAAGCTCTGGCTGGAATGCTTTGGTGAGTGATGGCTTGGCGTTTCGTCGGACTGCAAGGATGCTGAACGCTAGTCTTTGGCCAATCCTACTGGCCTGCAGGAACAAGCAGCACTACACGTTTATTCAGCCCCAGTGGATTGCGGGAGATCCTGGGCAGCCCCCTCCGCCACCCGAACGCAAACATATTCGTAACAAGGACTGGAGACATCTGCACATGGAAGACGTGCTGTCCATGCCCGACAAGTGGGAGTACCCTTTCCCTGCTGTCTGGGACTCTGCCTTCCACTGCATTCCGCTCGCCATGGTCGATCCTACGTACGCCAAGAAGCAGCTCGACCTCTTCACACGAGAGTGGTACATGAAGCCTGACGGTGCTTTGCCCGCTTACGAGTGGAACTTTAGCGACGTGAACCCGCCTGTGCACGCTTGGGCCACTTTCCGTGTTTTCAAAATCGAGCGGAAAATGTACGGCCGCGAGGATCTGGACTTCCTCGAACGCGTGTTCCAAAAGTTGCTCATCAACTTTACCTGGTGGGTCAATCGCAAGGATTCCGAGGGCTCGAACGTCTTCGAGGGCGGCTTTTTGGGACTGGACAACATTGGACCGTTCAATCGCTCCGAGCCTCTGCCAACGGGCGGCAAGTTGCGTCAAGCTGACGGCACTGCATGGATGGCCTTCTACGCGCTCAACATGTTAAACATGGCCCTGGAGCTCGCCAAGCACAACCCAACCTACGAGGACATCGCGTCCAAATTCTTCGAGCACTTTATCTTCATCTCCGACGCGATGACGTATCGCGACAGTGATGCGGGCGGTGAAGGTGTGAGCTTGTGGTCTGAAGACGACGGATTCTACTATGATGCCATCAGTTGGGGAGATGGATCCAGCCAAGTCATCCCTGTTAGAAGCCTGGTCGGATTGATACCCCTGTACGCCACGTTGACGCTCGAGCCATCGGTACTTCGCCGCTTCCCCTCATTTGCCAAGCGTATGCAGTGGTTCTTGGACAACCGACCAGAAATGTCGGGACGCAACATTGCCAACATGAAGGCGGCTGGGAAAGGCGAACGTCGTCTGCTCTCAATGGTCTCTCGAGAGCGCCTTGAGCTCGTGCTTAGGCGCATGCTGGACGAGACGGAGTTCTTGAGTCAATACGGCATTCGCTCGCTCAGCAAATATCACCAGGACCATCCATTCAGCGTGCACGTGGGCGGAGAAGATTTCAGCGTGGCGTACTGGAGCGGTGATAGTCATAGCCCGATGTTCGGCGGTAACTCCAACTGGCGTGGACCGATCTGGCTCGCGGTCAATTTCCTGATGGTCGAGTCGCTGCAGCGATTCTACCAGTACTATGGGGAGGACTTCAAGATCGAATGCCCTACGGGAAGCGGCGACTTTATGCACTTGGGCCATTTGGCGGAGGAGCTGCAACATCGACTGATCAGAATCTTCTCGCAGGACGATGCTGGACGCCGGCCTTGCAATGGTGGCGTCCCCATGCTGGACTTTGACCCCAACTTCCGCAATCTGGTCCAATTCCACGAGTTCTTTGATGGGAATAGTGCAAAGGGACTTGGTGCATCTCATCAATGTGGCTGGACCGGCCTGGTCGCCTTCAGCATCATGAGCGCCGGTATGACCTACCGCGCTACCACGCCCCGAACGCCACGGTCCACAGCTCAACACTACTTTGATGAACAATTCACGGACGATGGCAAGAGCGACGCAGGCTCTGCTTTCAGCATGCCTTATTCGACCAGCTTCAGTCGACCGCCCTCGCCAGATGAGCTCTGAGGCGGTAGGTAAATAGAGCGCTCACGATAGAAGGGGACTTGGTCAATCGGCATCTAGATCACATGAAAAGCAGCTTGTCCTCAAAATTGATCATGATACAAGTTTTCTGCAGTGTCCAAATCACTTCCCTCTCCTTTCCCCCATCAAAGCCCCCTTTTCAAGTGATGCCTTTGAATCTATACGAATGCATTTGGAGTCCAAGAGATGATCGCGAAATATTGTTTGCGGAATTGCCCGAGCGCGGGTGTAGGCCTGAACATTTCATGCCGCGTGTGAGGGAGGGAGTCCTCACGTGTAGAGCTGCTAGGTGCTCGATGGCAAGTCACGAGGGTCGACGAGCGAGATCGTCGTTTCGCAGATATATGCGGCTAGGGCGGCCGTTGCGCGGGTGAAGGCGGAAGAGGAGCGGCATGCAGAGCCATTTCGCATGAGCTGCAGCACTCCATTCAGATTGATGTATGCATGCATGCTAGCATGCATGCATGGGAGGAACCGGTGGATCTTTCTTGTTGCGTTCAGAGAGAGGGGCGGATGCGCTGGAGCACTGCATGGGTGAGACGACGAGCTGCAGCGCTTACGGTATCCGCGGTCCCTCCGACGCAGGAACTCCGTGACGACGGACGGACGGACGGGTCATGCGAGCCAGCATGCATTTCATTCAAAGAGATGGAACTTACTTCTGTGTTGGCTTGACTGATCTGAGTCGCTCGCTTGCTTTTTCTTTGTATACGAGCGTTGAGTAGCTAGCATCTCGGAGCGTGATGGTGCCGTATAGTCAGAGTATGAGTGTGCGGCAACAGCAGGGTGCTACAGTCAGATAACATACTCGTGACTGCGTGCGTGTGTCGTCAATCGTTTCGCTTTACTCACACGTCATGGCTTCTTTTTTTTCACGATCGATGCTCCTCGTCTTGCTGCGCTCTGTCGCCCTGTGCTCTTTGCCGGACCTGCATGACCGCACCGCTGGTCGATCTGCCGGGTTCGGCAACCCCACTCGTGACTGCGACAAGACCCTCGCGTACTGTCTGAAAGCCAGAGAGCATCGTGAGCTCGAGGCCATCAGAGCCCGCCGACTAGCATTTGTCTGCCGCCGGGGCTGCGCGGCTTCCACCCGTCGGAAGGTCGAAGCACAATCTGAGTCATCTGAGTAATCATTACGAACCAAGGTTGAGCCTATCGTCCAAAGACTTTAAAAGGGCTCGGTTGGCAAGGCTTGGGAGAAAGCAAACCTCCGCTTATCTCTCCCCTGGGAACCACCTAAACACCATACCACCCCTCTACTCATCGCTCATCTCCGTCTCATCTCAAGCCTCACAATGCTTTCCCTTCCTCGTGGCTCCGCAGTCGTGCCCGCTGTTGCGCTCTTAGCAGCTGTCGCATCGGCGCAGGATCCCAACTCCATGTCTCGCGTGATCAACATCAATTCGGTGACCGACTTTTGCGTTTATGCTCCTCCAAACGGAGGCGCCGTTGCCGATTTCGAGTCCAGCGTGGTGTCGTACTGCACCAAGTCGGGCTACGGTACCAGGCTGATTCCACAAGGCACCATTACCGGCGCTCACTTTGTCAAGACGCCACACTATGTTCAAGTCACTGGTAATGGAGACTTTACCAAAATCGGCATTACCCCCGGCGACGCAGGAGGAGAGTTGGATCCCCACGGCGCTGAGGGAACCGGAAATCCCGTGGGCGGTGTAGTGTACACCAACAACGTGCAGACTCCCGAGTGGATGCACTTCATGTCAGCAACAGACTTTTGCTTCAGAGCATGCTTCCCCGGCAACCGAGCCACATCCCTGTGTCGCCACACCTACGACGTATTGGGCTGCGGATTCAACATGCCTGGCAACTACGCATCCGGCGTGTTTGAGGAGTGCGACGGTAACGATGCGCAGGATATCATGTACGGCTACCCCGGTCTGTCTTCTTTCCAACAAGACGACACCTCTCGTGGGGTCGCCGTTCCCTCTCCTCACCCTGCTCCCGCGTCATCCAACTGCAGGTTCACGAATGGGGCAGCCCTCGGAGGCGCTGGAACTCCCGGTGGTTCGGGCGCAGGACCAACCACCACCTCCAACTCTACGTCTACAAGCAGCTCAAGCTCGACAGTGAGCTCCACCAGCACCTCGAGCAGCAGCAGCAGCACCACCACCACATCCACCGTCACATCATCAGTCGTAACTTCGACCGTTTCATCCCCAACGCCCACCACTCAGACTCAGACGACTCGAGTCGCGGTGGCAGAAACGACGATTACTCCCAGCGGTAGTGCAGCCGACTCCGCTTTCTCTAGCAACACTGGCGCCTCCGGTCTCGCTGCCGCCGCACTGGCCGCGTGCATCGGCGCAGCAGTGATCCTGCTGTAAATGTCTTGACTCGCAGTACGAGTCGCTTAACATCATGTCGAATGCTTTGCGGCGCACTTCGCCTTCGATTTCCTTTCTTTTCGAATCCCGATTCTTTGATACCTGCAACCTCCCAGTGTACGTCTATCTCCCACCAGGACAATTTTATTTGCCATTGGACTCGCACACGTCGCCTGTGAGCAGTCAAATTCGAGCTCTTGTGAAGCTTTGCAATGCCTGAAGCTCTTGACGAGTGAGCCAACGCTGATGATGGCTCATCGCAAATCGGTCCGAGCCGGGTTTTGATCCCTACTTGATGCATTGCGAAGGGTCAAGGTGCACATCTGACAAGCTGCCGAGGTGATTACCAGAACTTGAATCCCTTCTTCTTCTTTTGTCGCTCCTCCTCTTGCTCGATCTTGTGCCTGATGCTATTCTGGTTTGCCTCTTCTTTGGGCTCTTCAACCTGTTTGGACTCTTCCGGGCTTTCTTCAAATTCCTCGACTTCTCCCTCGTTCCCGCGCCGCTCTTCTGGATCCTCTGCGGCCAGCGATGCTTGAGCTGCTTGTTCTGCAGCGATCTTGGCAGCTCTTTCAGCCTCAGCAGCGGCCTCAACAGCAGCGGAGATTTCAGCTGCAGAAGCTCTCAATCCTGGGGGACCATTAGCATCAGGCTTGGGTGACAAGCCCAAACTCTCTCTGGCCTTCATGACTTTTGCTCCATAGATCCTCTCCAAGCGGGGAATTTTGGCAAGATTTCTGCCAGAGTCGGCCGTCTTCTCGAGAGTGAGTAGGTCTGCGTCGGCATTGGCGATAGCCCATGACCACTTGAGACCACCGCGAATGCGTTCCGGTCTCAACATCGTCAACCGCCCTGTATTCGCATATCAGAATGCTGAGTGATCAGGTACCATGAGGAGTGCGCACATACACGTGGTCAGGTCAACATACCTCGCCAAACAAGCTGTCCCCAGACTCTCGCAGGGGTACCATCTTCCCTGTGCTTCACCTTGGTGACGTGCCAATAGCATTCGTGCTCCTTATCTGTCCTCCTACTGAGCTCCTCATGGGTCCTGGCAGGTCCTTCGTATTCTTGACCATGAAGCGTGTCCACACCTTTCGCAGCCCATCTCTTTTGCCGCACTTTGTACCCTACGCCTGACTTAGGTAGTGTGGAGAGAAGCGATGGTAAGGTCTTCTTTCGACGTGAAAGCTGCGCTTCTGCGGCGAGGCTCGACTCGGCAGAGGAGGTCGAGGCGGTCGCCGCCTGTTGCAAGAGCGCGAGTGTGCGTCGTAGCATCATAATTGCCCGGCAAGCGTTACTGGAAGGGGGTGTTTGCGATGAAGCTCTTGCGCTATGGAGGCTTCTGGTGCTGGCTATGGAACGGAATGGAGGCACAAGGACTCATCGCCCTGCATCTTGGCGTGGAGACCGCCCTCACAGACATCCCATGATGCAAAGGCTCTCGCCGTCACCTGTAGCAGCGTGCGCGGCAGACGGGCATGAGAAACACGTGATCGCATTTCAAAGTCGGCTCTCGCACGAGAGCCTCGGACGCCCCGCAGCGCGTCGAAAAATGCAGCCGCGCAGCCGCGGGCTTTTGCCACGTGGGTCTTAGCTGACGTTGAGAATTCTATGCGGCCAGCCTAGCCTTGCAACCTCGAAGCCCTGCTCTACAACCCATCGTTGCCTCTCATCGACCGCAACGACCACGTTTACAAGCTCTCAAGAATACCGGCGCCACCAGCACAGCTCAGCCCAACATGTCGCTCGTACCTCCCGACCCTTCTCAGAACTTTTCGCACATCTTGCGTCTGCTCAACACCAATGTTGACGGCAAGAACAAGATCATGTATGCCTTGACCGAGATCAAAGGTGTGGGACGCAGGTACGCGAACATGGTCTGCAAGAAGGCAGATGTCTCGCTCGAGAAGCGGTGAGTGTCGATCAAGGGCAAAATCGGCGATTGCGAAAAGGCGAGAGTAGGAGAAGCGGGTGCGATTTGAGCCGGTAGACGTGGTCGTGCGGTGAAAGGCCTGTCCAGGAAGTGCAGCTGTCGTGGAGCTACTGGTCGCTCCAAATCATTCCAGCTAGGACGACGCGCGATTGGGACGTTCGCAACGAAGACTATCGAATGATCCGACGCACACTGGGACTGTAGGCAGCCATCGATGATTGTGCCATTCAGCATGAGCACCAGCTGCACAGCAACGCTCATCGCTCGGTTTTGGCGCAATGCTCGTGGTCTTTTGCCTGGCAGTGACCGGTGCACTCTGTAGCACGTCCCGTACCCGTGAGGTCCGGGTTTAGGTCTAGCTTTCGTATTTCGTTTCGGCGAGACAGACTCGCAGCGCCGAGCCGCGTGCGGATAGACACTCCCTCGACCGCAGAACAATCCATAGCATACCTCTCATCCATTGTCTATGCTCACTGTCGCTTCACCTACATCATCCAACCTTACAGTGCCGGCGAGCTCAACTCCGACGAGCTCGAGCGGATCGTAACCATCCTGCAAAACCCTGCGGAATTCAAGATCCCCAACTGGTTCTTGAACAGGCAAAAGGACATTGTCGACGGAAAGAACTCTCACATTCTGTCCAACAACGTCGACAGCAAGCTGCGTGACGACATTGAGAGGCTCAAGAAGATCCGCGCTCACAGAGGTCTGCGTCACTTCTGGAACTTGCGTGTCCGTGGTCAACACACCAAGACTACTGGGTGAGTCTTCTCACAAATGTGACAGGAGCTTCACCCGCAGCAGACTGAATTGACCGACCGTTTTACCACACACCACAGTCGTCGCGGTCGCTCCATTGCGGGCAAGAAGAAGTAAACAGCGAGTGCGCAAAACACTCGCAGAGGATCAGATTGGCGTTGCTCGAAGCGGTCAAGCAATGCCAATCCTTCTTCGCCTCCTCTATGCTCATCACCCCGATCATCGTCATCACGCCCACAAGTCTTCACCATGTGCAGTATTCAGGCTCTCTTGCCCCCAAGCAACAAAAGTACGACCCGCGCTGTTTGACTGTCAGCATGCCTGCATGACCGAGGCTCGGTGGCCTGCTCGAGCGTGTTGCAAGGCAAGCATGGTAGAAACCGGGCCGTTCATCTCAGCCAGTCGGTATCACTGGAGGCGTCGCATGGACAAGGGGTGCATGCGTTCATTGGCTGCGTGGGTGCGCGTACACTCGCACTAGTGACGGATGGCATTCGTAGTAGCTAGCAAGAGGTATGGGGGTCGAGTGCTTGTGTGTAAAGTTTCAGTGACTTGATCGTGTGCTGGGTGGAGATACGATGAGGGCAGCTTTGCGCTCTAAGCGAGGTAGTTGTACACATTCATGGCGTTCTCAGCGCGCTCAAGATATTCCTGGCCAGCGTCGGGGTGGTTACGTCAGTCGAGCAGGTTGCGAATGTCTCACGACGTACAGAAGCTCACTCTGTCTATGAGACTCTCAATGCGTCGCTTCAGCAACGCTGGAGAGGGCTGGAAGCGGCTTGATAGCTGTCGAATGACTTCCGTGACGAGCTCGTTGTGTGGCATCGTCTTGCGATCTTTCATTACTCGCACAATGCACGCCTGGCAGTGGAGTCAAAATTGGACGTTAGCGACGATCTCTTATCTTATGTTGAAGTGTGGACGACGAGAGCAGACATCACACGTACTTCGACTTGATTCTTGCGCTCTTCCTCGACTTTCTCTGTTGTCTCTTTCCGTTCTGCGGCTGACTCCACGCGAGCTGCGACCTGATTGATCTTGATGCGCGCCAGATTGCACGAGAAGCCAACGTTGAAAACGAATTTGTCAGAGATGCTGATTTCGCGACTCTTGGGCTCCTTCATCAAAATCTTGTACTTCGCGCAAGCCAAGCTTTGAAGGGTGCGCTGCAGTTCACTGTCGGGTATGCCGGTGCTGCCGGCTATTTCTTGGTAGCTGATCGCGTGATCTTCCGCGACGTCCTGGAAGAGCAGCAGCACCACTAGCGCGTACGTGGACACGTTCAGCTCGTGCTTGCGCGATTTGAATTGCACGCGGACATCCGCATTACCCAAGTTGGGATGCCAAGTCAGAATGCGACCACTGTGTCGCGACTGGTAGAACCTAGTGAAGATCTCGCGAGCCTCGACCATTGTCGCAGCCATGGTGCAAGGCTGTGCAGCCGCAGAAATTGGCCAGTATGTCGAGGTGAGGACGTTGATGGAGAGCTCGAATGGCATTTCCTATTTAGCATTGAGTTGATGCTGTCAGTGGCAAGGGTCTTCAGTGTCACGACTCTGCGACTCACCCGTCCAGTACGGTGTACGGACTCGTTGAATGCGCTCATAGTATCTTCTGACACCTTCATGTCGTTCAGCATTCCTTGTAGCTTCTGAACGTAGCCATGACCGCATTCGATCTTCAGCTTCGCCATCATACCGCGCTCGGCATCATCGGACACGCTCCGTCCTTGGAGCATTCGCTTGGCGAGGTGGCTTTTGTAGTACCTCTCAAAAACATCCTTCTCGTGGAGGAATCGGAAGACCAGGATGGTGCGGTTTAATACTACATCAACTTCCTCCTCGGTTTTCTTTAGAGAAGAGACACGTCGGCTTGTGAGCGTGACACATGCGGAATTAGGCAGACAGATCACTCACACCTTTGAGACCCTTTTTAAGATTTTCATCGATAAAGAGCGAGATGAATTCCGGGGCCCTTGCATTGCTGTTGATGAACGACTCAAACGCCTAGCATCGATGGTCTCCGTGTTAGCAGATGTGCTGTCGTCTGGCAACAGCGCCATCACTCACCTCATTGATAGCAGTCTCGCATCCCGCGTCTGCCGTCTTGCCATCCAAAAAACAGTCGCGCAGGACCTGGTCAAATCGAGTCTTGAAAGCCAAGACATCCTCCACCCATTTCAGGGCCAAGGCAGCCTGAGGTGTGGATGCGGCGTTAGCGTCGTTCGCTGGAGCCGCAGCTCTGCTCTTGGGCGCTTTGCCGGCCGCGCTGGGTTCCACCTGCCCTTCTCCATCGATAGATGGCGCATCCGTATTCGTAGAGCCTGATGTAGCAGCAGTGCTTGCCGGCGGCGATGTCTTGTTGCTGACTTGCTCATTGATAGCTTTGCCTCTACTCGCGATGTATGATCTGATGCCCTTATTGAGCGTGGGAAGACCTTCCGGGACCCTCTTGAATAGGGCATACATGCGCATTAGATCATCATCTCTGCCTTGATCCAACATGGCGACGAGCCCAGATCCCGACATGTCCACGATTGTCTGCAGGTGGTGCGTTAACAATTCTTTCTTGAGAATCTCGCGCAAAGGTGCTTCGGTTGCGTTGTTGAGGTAGAGGCCCACGCGCTCCGTCTCTTCCTTAAGTCGCCTGTCCACGTACTTGAGATAAGCGCCAGCATCGCGAGAGTCGAGTAGACGCGTTGCTTCTGCTCTGTAGAATTCAGTGCTGACAGCTAGAAGCACGGGCTCAAATTCAGCTTGATAGACAGTCCTGGGCTTGCTCGAGCCGAGATATCTTTGATCCATCGCCAAAGCGGAAAGCATGTCGATGTTCGATTTGAGAGCGCTTCGATTGATGACAGATCCTTCCCTTTCCAGCTGGATCTGGATCAGCAAGGTGTGATAGAGGTGCAAGCGGATCTCATGGGTTGTCGCAAACAAGACAGTGTCGCGGAAGAGCTCCAAGCCTAGGTCGTAGATCTCTGGCACCTGAGCCTTTGCAACATACACACGATCCTAATCAAGCCACGAAGGCGTTAGTGTACAGATGTACGTCAGAGCGTGCAAGCGGCTGCCAAATCAGACGTACTTACCACGTATTTCAGAACATCCTTCAGCTTCCTGATGCATGCCTCATGGTCGTCCCACACATCTCGAACCGCTCGAAGGAAGCGCTCCCCTGCTTGAGCTAAAGCAGCAGCGTCTGTCTTGTCGCCTTTCGTTCCTGCGCCCCCTGCCGTGCTGAGTGTAATGGACGCAGATCCAGCGCTTGGCCCATCGATAGATGCGGTAGTTCTGGTCGTGCTTGAAGATGCTCGTGCAGAAGCTTTGCCTTTGCTGCTATCTCTGCCAGCTTTGGAGAGAGCTCGTATGTGCTCAGGTAAGGAGGCGACACTCGCACCCGCCGGAAACGTGGGGCCCACGTCTTCCGAGCATTGTCTTTCAAGATGACTCGCAATCTGCTTGCGCACAGCGCTGTAGAGCGAGTCCCCTTGATCATACTGTTGACGCAGTGGGTTGGCCGAACGTCAGCAACGCATCAATTCCGTCTGGGAACGGACCTCTGCCAGAGAATTGAGTGCACGAGCGCCAAAATCCAGGACGACGATTGCTCATCCACTCAACCAGGAGCGCACTTACGAGCACAAGATTGTAAGCGTACCTGTAGTGTTCTTCGTAGCTGAGTGTAGAGATGTTGTGGTTCTGGATCTGAGATATTGCCAGATTGAGGCGTTTGAGCATCTCATCGCCGCTCAAATCCAAGCCAGGCTGGAGAGCAGAAAGGGATGGGGTATCAGCGATTGAATTCCACCACATAAACCGAGATGCACCCTTGTTGTGATTGCAGCTTTCCTGCCTCGGCTCCATCTAAAGATAAAAGCAGGCAGGGCGTGCCACCCCGCGCGCAGGACGTATGATCTCGGAATTCAGCACTAACCCGCTTGGGAGCCTTCAGCTTAGCACCTCCTCGAGCTGTGCGCCTAGCAGGTACCGACATTCTGCAGCACGATTTGCAGAGGAAGGAGCACGGTTGCTGCTGCTCCAGCGCTGGACTGTACAAATGTCGGACGACCAAGCGTGGATGGGTGAGTCTCCCAAGTGACGCTAAGGTGCGGACGAGTATTGATGCGGGCGGGCGTCCCAGGCGCGGGGAAGCAGATTGTCAGACCAGTAAAGATTGCCACTCAGACTGACGGAATGACAGGGTGATATAGTGAGATGTGGTCTGTGGTATAAGTCAGCGTCAGGGTAAGTGAGATGAGTGGATGCATGCCAATCAAATCATGAGGTTGTCGAGGGTCCAAGCGCGTCTATACAAGGGCCGGTGTGATGGCGCGGCAACAGAATTATCTCGATCGCGCGCACGGCAAAGGTGAGTGCGCACTCCAGCTTACTTCTGCGTTGGCTCGAGACGGTCGCGAGTCAATGATGGCTCCTCTATCGGGTCACCATCAGACAGGAGAGACTCCCTAGCAGAGGCAAGGAGCGAGTGCATCGCTATCGCATGGCTCCAAGCGCCCATCCTGAACGAAGAGGAATCCATGGCAATCACAAACGACAAACGGCATGTAGCAGTAAAAGAGAGTCGCGAAAGATGACGTACAAGAATCAATATAGGTTTACAGACAAGAGTGAGGTGCACAGCCGCATCATGAACCTCCGGCCATGCACCTCTTTAGAACCATCCGGTTGCTGTGCTCGCTCGGGAGCCTCCTGAGCCAAACGTCTTGGCAGTCATTGTAGTGTCTGCGCGCACGAGCTGGGTGGGCATGTTCGACACGAGCTCGAACACGTGCTGGTAGTCGAAAGGCATCCTCCCGCTCGCACGCCGACGCTGTGTGAGAATGATGGGGCTGGATTCGGTGTCGCTGGCTGGAGAAGCACCGCTAGAGACGAATCGCAGATCCGATGCTCGGATGAGCTGCACCAGTTGTCCCGTGGAACAATCCCGCACTTCGACGAAGCGTTGGTCGAACGCAAGAACGTACGGCGCTCGGAAGGCGACTGCACATGTAAAGAAGAAAAAAAGAGAGCACGCGTGAGCCCGGGCGCGAGGCGCAGCAAAAGCAGTATCGGCGACGTGACATACCTGAGTGTGGCGTGCCCTCCCACTCGATCAAGTGATCCAATCGCACTGGTTCACCCAGCCGGTCTACGTAGCATGCAAAGGCTGCAGCAGCGTTCGCATGGCGTCAATTTGCAGATCATCCAGAATGTCGCGGTAATATTCACTATGACTCACCATCATAGCACAACAGGAATTCCGATTCGGAATGCTTGAACATCCCAAGAGGCTTGGCGCGATCCACCCGATTGACGAGGTTCTGAACGAGTGGGTCATCTCTAGGGCACTGCGAGAAATCGGGAATGGTGCCCGGCTGCAGTGACTCGAGGCTCATAATCTCGAAGCCGCGAGCGCAGACGATGCACAATTTTGATCGCAGAAACTGTATCGAATATGCCTCCGAAGGGATGAAGAAGGTCTGAAGCCAGGCGGAAAATCTTGATCAGCATCAATTCAAGCGCAAAGTCGTTGCTGTCACTCACCTTGTAGATACGGAACCAGTCAGTGTTCTTGGTCTCCCTGCCCAATCGGCTGAATAATCCTCCCCCTCCGCGGCCGGACTCTGCTTGTGGTGCATTGACAACAGGCTCCAGCGCTCTGAAGACGGATTCGTTAGCCTTCTTCTTCATGTACACCAGCAGCGTTCTATCCTTCAACTGTCCCACGGAAAAGAAGACGACATCTCTGTTTCCGCTAAGCTTCTGCGGCGGGCGCGGGGCGTTCGTGGACCCAGCGCTGGGGACCAGTGCCTCAAGGCTGTACGAGATAAGCACCTTGTCTGCCAAGACGACGAAGATGCCAAAAGATTCGAGCACCGCGCACTGCGTCACAACCTTGAGATGCAAAACTTTGCGCAGAGAGCGTGGATCATGTCGCAGCCCAATCCAGACACCATCCGCGCAGCCGACGGCAATGAGGTGACGCCCATCAGGCGTAGAGAAGGGCACCGCACACGTCACCCGTCCATGGAAAGCGCCTGTGTCGATCCCTGGTGGAGGCTTCTCGGGATCGATGGCCGTAATGCTGGGGAGCGCGAAAACGTCGTCGCTGACAGTGTGAGCTTCAAAAACCTTGTTGGCTTCCTGTACCGCCGCGCGAAGGCCCTGCGCCTCCTCGAACTTGCGACGCCAAACATCCCTCGCAGGTCGAGAGGGTGCGTAGAGCGTCAGGGGTTTCATCTTTCCGCCTATATGATGCAACGTGAAAGGGAAGAGATCTCGCGATTCGCGCTCTGAACCACCCCGGAGGTTGAAGTTGCTGAGACCGATGGAGCGCGAGATGGAAGGCTCGTTGAAGCCAGAGAGCTCCATCATCTCGATCGGAATTGGCTAGCAAGCGGCACTTCGCGTCAGCGTTGAACCATTTCAATCACGCGATACCAAGACTCACCCGTTTGACCAGAATATGCTTAGGAGCTGCAGGTGCACTCCGCTCCTCGTCTTCTTCCCGCTTTTTGGCCCGTGTCACGATGAGGAAATTATCAAAAAGAACAGCTTGCAAGTCGACCCAGTCTAATTCCTGGAACTCGGGCTTGCGGTATACGCGACCTTGGTGCACAAGCTGACGCTCGGGGTTCAGCAGATCCATGTCCTGGGAAGAGGAAGGGGGGGAGGGTTACTGAAGTGTCAGCACGTGCGAGTCTACGCAGGCCATTTGTACTCACAGCAAAGCCTCCCTTGCGCTTGGACGAGATATTGTAGGCGAAGTCTCGGATCCGGACTCGTACTTCGGCCTCTACCACACCCTTCTGAATGGCCCGACATTGCTCGTCGACTATCTCGATCGCTCGCGCTAGACTTTCCCGGTCCGGATTGGCTTCCTCGGTATCTGCCAATATGGATTTGAAGTGGAGCTGATACCTGGGCAAGCGAGTTGTTGCTCGCTGCAGGAAATGGTCCATGGGCAAGCGATGACAAGCTGGATCTCTGCGACAGATCTCGAGAAAGGAGGCGAAGCGGGTATTGACGCTGGCCTCTCGCTGTATGCGTTGCTTCGCCAATGGGAAGTTTGTCATGTTCGTGTCAAAGGCTCCGCCCCACTCGAGTGCAGCATCGAGAAAGATGTCCCCGATGCTCTGAACGACTGGAGACTCCTCCCGTTGCCTCACATGCAGCCGCTCCACGAGGCGCTTGATATGAGCAACAAGCTCTGTGTGATTGGAAAACACTTCGCTGATGAAGTTGTCACGCTCTGGTCCGATGGGAATGGCAGGAGGGTCTCCATTGTCGAAAGGCCGCTCCAATTTGAAAAGAAACAAGCCGTCAAGCAGCTCGAGGTCACTCAGAAATTCTTCCTCCTTTTGTATGGTCTCGAGAATGGCATTCTGGCGCTTGATCTCTTTCTTAGGAATGCTTGCCAGCAGCTCTGGCGGTACCAGATCAGCCCAGGCTGCATTCAGGTGGCTTTGACCAGCAGCTCCCGACTGTGCAGCTTGCATCGGCTGTCCCCACCGACTTAGTTCTCCGGGAGCAGGCGGCGTGATGTCGTCCGCCAGTGGAACTGCGACAAGTCTCGTGTTCAGCTCGGAGCTTCGCGCTCGCGGACAGCTGGCAGCAAAGCAGTGGGTGCCCGGAGGGGCACCGGGCTTGCCACACAACGGCGAATAGCAGGCTGTCAGTGGCGTGAATACACCAGTCGGTAGCTCCTCCAAGTCATCCGCGGCACCACTTCGAGCCCCACCGCGCTTTGTGCCCTCCCGGTGTGCTCGCTGTAGTTCGCGCTCGAAAAGATTCTCTTCTCGCTCCCGAATGTCTGGGGTGCGTGCGCCGGCCAAAGAATCTTCCAAAAACATGTAAACCTCCTCCACGCCATCTCTCAGCTCATTTTGGCCCCAGTCCACCTCATGGAAGAAGAGTTGGCTTTTGAGCGTCTTCGCGACGAGTAGAGCCACCTTCCTCTCCGACGTAGCGTCGAGTCTACCACCGTAAAGGCCGGCGGCCCAGGCAGCGTGCTCACGAGGCACCAAAGCCTGAATGGTGGAGACCACATCACGACCAGTGAAGCTGTAGGGATACTGAATTGATCCTTTCACCTGAGTGCCTTTCGGGATAGACTCCCGCAGCTGCATTGCTATGACAGATAGCAAAGCAAAGTCAGAGTCCCCGCGAGCTGCCGCAGGTGTCAGAGGCGTTGAGGGGCCAGCATATGACCCGAATGACGGGGCGTGCGGCAGTCCTTCTCCGTTGTATGGGCTGCCATAGCTCATATCATCCGAGATCTGGCCACGGGAAGGTGTTGAAAGCAGGGGGTTGTTTTGCGAGCTGGCCCATCCAGTCACGCCATTCGTCTGAAAGCTTGACTCTGATCTCACATGCGACGATGAAGGTGTGGGCGATGCGCCGCTCGGTCTTTGGTAATCGCCGGAGGGACGCTGCTCGTAAATCGCCGGTCGCGCAGCGAAACTCATCGGTAGCAAATCCTCTGTCGATTGGGCAGGGAGCGCAGGTAATGCATGAGCTGTCTTGCTCGATGGAGAGTAGTACGGACCAAGACGACTCCCTACTGGCGCAGTGCCTTGAGCCCCCCAGTGAGAAGCTGCAGATGGAGATATTACCGCTTCAGTTTGGCCCTCTGGTCCTGACAGCTCCCAGACGGTGCCCACATCAACGGGAGCTGCCGGGGCGCTTGCCGCGAGAGGGATCTCAGGTCCATGCGTCCCATTGCTTGAGGTCATGAAACGCTCGCTGGTGGCCACGATTGCTGTCTCTCGGTTGTTCGTCCCGCCCGTGGAGGCGGCAGATTCATCGCGTCGGAGCGAAGGCTCGTGTACATTGTGCCGCGATGGTGATCGATGATAGAACCCAGACCCATCATGCTCCGCTTCACGCCTGCTCGAAGATGCGCCAGGCCGCGTACTTTGGCCTCTGACTCGCACAGCTGACACTTCTGGTGACCAGCTGGGACTTGACGAGTGGAAGCCACTCGACCCATGACTGACAGTGTGAAGGTGGCCCGCAGTTCGTTCTTCGTCACGAATACGACTGATAGACTGCGAAGGGGCAGGAGAGCTACGCGAATTGGCTGTGTTAGAGCGCGATCGCTGAGCGTCACCCTGGTGAAGCTCTGCTGGAGGCGGCGGCGGCAGAGGGCGTGCTGCTCGCTGGCTGCTGCCCTCGTCCTGGACAGCATGGCCGTCCACTCCAGCAGGCCATTGCTCTGGCGCTGCACTATGTGTAATTCGCGGCGGTGTAGCCCAGGGAGCTCCTGTATTTCCTGTCCCTCCATTGCCGATCGGAGAGGAGGCAGAATCTGACGTAGCATACAAATTGATGATGGCAGACGCTGATGATATGGGTCGCGCCGCGCTGTAGCCGCTCGAGAGCCGCTGTCGAGTGAAGTCGTCTTGAGGTCCCGGTGCCTGATAGGAATCAGAAGGGGCATTCAACGCTGGGAGAGGTTTCGGCATCCTCGGCGGCGGCAGCGCAGCCCGAGAGGGTACTTCTTGGGGGAGATGCGAAGTATTCGGGTCGCGGCCTCGCGATGGGTGGTGAGGGTCATGCTGTGTTGATGCAAACTCGTGCGTGAGCTTCATGTGCTGTTCGATATCAGACATGAGCGTGTCCAGCGTGCCCAAACTCGGAGAGTACTGCTCTGATGGGATCCGCGGCGGAGCATCGTAGCGCGCTATTGAAGGCGCCAGGTCGTCATCTTCCATTCCGCCGTAAGGGTCGAACGGTCGAGGCATCTGTGCGTAAGTATGCCCATTTTGACCATAGTCCACCGCGGACAAATTCGCAGGAGCAGGTGATGCCTGGTACTGCTGCCGTCGCTCCGGCGACTCGCGATACTGCCCTGGCTTCGGTGGTAGCCTTGGTGCGGCCATGCTTTGCCGAGTGACTGTAGGTGCGCAGCAATTGTCTGCGTGTGGTGTGCACGCGCCTCTTGGCAAAAGGCAAAATTCACGAATATTGGTCGCAGAGGTCGGTGAAGGTAGCGCTTACAAGTACACACCGCGCACCCTAGCAGCTGCTTGTTCGGGCCGGAGCAATTGCGAGAGGATACGTACTGGGCTGATCGGTGGAAATACTCACGAGGCCTGGACTGAGACATCGAAAGTACACGCCGTTTGACGTTGCGGTGGTTGTTTAGCTGAATGGCCTGGCGCGCCGAGAGGCCGGAGCTGCGCGGGAGAGGAGCGACGTGCTCCACAAGTCTAGGGCAAGAGCACGTGACCCGCTGGCGCAAAGAGGTCAGCCGCACGCGTATTTGAGATAAATAATGTTTGAATATTCTTGGTTGTCGGTTTCGTAATTCCATAATTTTGATTTTAGATTGAAATCAAGGGAATCACGTGAATGATTCTGCTGGATGGCATATGTGATTTGAATAGGTGAGTCGTGAGTGCATCTTGAATCGTGAATCGTGAATCTTGAATCTCCTTGTGTCAAGAATGCTGGCGGGCAGGATCGCTGTCATACGGACAGCTCCAACCTACCTCCTGAAGCTGCTTTCTCCATATCGCCTCCATCGAAGGTTTTCAAGAGGTTGAACACACGGCTGCCATCTGCTCAGATTGGAAACGAGAGGCTTGCGCCAGCTTCGTAGCGAGCCTTGCTATGTCCACAGCTCTCGTTAGTCTCCGCAGTATCAGTGCGCTGGTCGGACCATCTTCGCGGCAAGTGTCGCCAAGCCGCAGTGTTCCTGAGCATTTCATTGGCCATTCCATTGCGCGAATTCCTGCGAGGATGTCAAGCTCCCTTGCTGATGGGACCTGCGTTCCTTGCAAAAAAGGTGCGCCCTCTCTGGCCCAAGAAGATGTCGAGAGCAAATTGCAACAGCTCAACAACGCATCTCGTGCGTTCGCATGGGATGCATCGCCGCTTAGTCAGTCTCCATCTCAAATCGCCTTGCAAAGGACGTTCAAGTTCCGGAATTTCAAGACCGCTCTCGCCTTCACAAATTCGGTCGGTGCCATTGCTGAGGAACAAAAGCATCATCCCCTGCTCGTGCTCGAATGGGGTAGCGTTCACGTTGCTTGGTGGACGCATGCGACAGGCGGTGTCAGTAACCATGCGCAAAAGTATGAGCTGCACGATTCTCAGGGTGGCTGACGTAAACGACATTCACTTCTACTACTCCGCTCATCAGCTCCACGACAACGACTTCATATGCGCAGCCAAGACATCGCAAATCGCTGATGATGCTGAGGGAATCAAGAAGTGATACAAATTACATTGCGACGGTAGCATGTATGCGCAGAAGGCGAACTGTTCGGACCGCGGCTGGGTCTGAGATATAATACAGACGACGTTTGGATCGCGACATTCGAGACATAGGGCGAGCGAAAGCCGTTACAGGGTCGAGACCCCGCGATCAGTCTCCAGCAATCACGAACGCAGCTACAGACCCAATTCAGCGATTCGAGGAAGCCGCAGTGCTAATTTGCTGTCGGACGAGGGACAGCTGTCCACACCAAATTGTGCCTCGCCTTGGCCCGCCAAGCATCGAGGATGAAGTGCTGATCGTGGGTGATCATCAGATCGCATGCTGTGCAGCGCCTCTTCTTCATCTCCTAGCTGAGTAGCGGAAGCTGTCATCCGATCGAAACTCTCTGCTAGCGTTGCGACCTCAAACCTTTTTGGGGACCCAAACGTCGGCTTTGCTGAAGCCTCCTCGGCGCCAGCGTTCTGACTTTCAAAGCCTTGACGGTAGTGTGGACCATATGGACTGCTAGGAGCGCAGGAGAAAGTAAACCACGTTTCGGATCTAGTCAGCCTGAGTGCTGCTTTGTTGGGCACGACGTAGGGGAAGGTGCTCGAAGCTGGGGTTGCAGTCGGTCCGAGTGGAAAGGAGAAACGCGAGCTTGCGCTGCTTCCAGAATGAGGAGGACGGCTCCTGGTGGAGTTGCTTCTTCCTGCTCTATGCCCAGGTAACAGCGCTGCTGGACGATCACTTTGAGGGTCTGGCAGCGTAGGCGCAGCGTGGGACCGCATTTCGGGCCGGTTGGCATATGGTAGCCTAGCGGCAGACCCCGCTTCGTACGGGCTCTGGCAGGAGTAGTGTCGTGCTGCAAGACGATGCGAGCGAAGGTGGTGCTCATCTGCACTGAAGCCATTCTGAGATAGAGGATATCCGGAAGAGGCGCATTTAATCATCGGCTCTGCCGCCGACCTGACGGCTCCTGTATCTTCGTTGCCATAGGAGCTAGCGTGGCCCTCCATGCCTTGGTTGAACCTTGCACCTTCTGGCAGGGAGTGTGACGGGCGGTGAGCCACTCCGTTCCGCCTCCTCACCTCTGGGCCGGCTGAACGGTGATGATCCCTTGACGGCGAGAGCTGCCCTGAAAACTTCACCCCACTGGCTTCCCCGACTCCTCCGGACACCCCTTGGCGCCGATGCTTTTGCCTCTGTTCATGCGGGCTGATGCCATGTCAGTGTTGCCACCCAAGTGAAGATTCACGGTTGTTTTGGCGTCAATCACCTACCTTGTTCTGAAAGAATACTTGGACTACATTCGGTCAAGCCAACGCAGCATCATCAGCGACGCTTTTGCGGGTCTTATCAACGACCGCTACACACCTTTCCGTGGGGAGAGGTGTAGCTCTCGTGCTACAGCGATTCTCTCTTCTGTTGAAGGAAAGTAGGTGCGTTCAAGAATCTTGTGCAGCACTATGGGGGGGAAGAAGAGTAGCCAAGTTAGGGTCGATCGAAAAGCGACGGGTTGTGCGATACTCACCGGCGCTTTGGCGGGCAGTGAGCAGTTTGCGTGGGCGTCTGTGGACCCCGTCATCCTCGCGTAGGAAGGGAAAGCGCGCTTCCACGTCAGCCCAGGCCCCGACGGGCTCGGGTGACACGGAGCGCGCCTCGCCAAACGTAGGCCAAGGAAATCGGTACGCAGGATCATGCGGCATGGTCGAAGGTAAGGGAGTGGAAGCCCACTTGCTAGATCGTGCGTACGATCCCGCTAGATCATCAGCTGCAGGGCCTACGGTATTGAGCATCATGGCGGCTGTAGAGGCTTCTTCCGAGCACAGGAACTTGTCACTTATGCCTGGGAATCACCTTTGGAGGTGTGGGCGGAATATGGCATGCACGGGTCAGACTGCGGGAGAGGATGTAGCTGGCTTTTCGAGGGAGACGTAGGTCGATGCAGGGGATATCTATGTAGATTTTAAAGCCAGGTCACATCATCTTTGCATAGAGCTCTGTCTGGGCCACGCCGGCATTCGGCATGAGCTCGACTTGAATGCCGTGGTCACCTATCGAATCCGCTCCTCTTGCTCTTTGACCTCCGATGACCTTTCATCGAAACAGGCCTGGTCTGCAAGCTCATTTCGTGAAATGTGAGGGCACGAACCGCACGCCGGGATAGGAGCTCTATGGCGGCTTGTGGGAGCTTATGGCGCTTCATGCTCTGAGTTCAGCGGGCGAGAATATTCTGTTGAGACGATCAAGGCTCATAGCAGGTTGATAAAGAGTCTTCAATAAGATTGCCTGACTCATTAACGAATCGAGACTTGGAAGATGAAATCATTTCGCAGAAGAGATGGACGACGTAAGTCGGAAATCGATGTCACTGGGACAAATGGGTTCCACAAGAGACTGGAATGAATTCCGACTTTCTTGATGACCAGACGCTCGGATCCCTGGGCAGCCACCCTTGGCAGGACCAGAGCAGCTGGATGGGGTGCAAAGGGCCGATTTCGCTCAAGTTCAGCGTCGTGAACCGCCGCTCATGAAGCGGGCACCGGCGCGATGACCTGCCTACGTGCTCGGCTCATTTCGAATGACCGTGTCGCTTTGAGATCAGCTGCCCAGACATAGCAAGGGCTCGCCCTGGTCCGCCAGGATTGCCAATCGTTCGCTATCGAAACCGCGCGGCCCGAGCCTGGGTGCCTGCTCTGATGAACAGGGGTGCTGGCAGAAGCGTGCGCTTCTGCCTTGTTGAGGGTTCAAATGGGAGCGCCTGTCACGCTGGCCCCGATCCCGCACGAGCCGACGCTGCGCAATGGAGTTTACTAACGCATCGCCTGTGCCTTGGGTCACAAGAGCTTGCGTTCGAACAAGGTGTGCTGCGAATGGGGCTCGAGGCCGCCAGGCTTGCAGAGCTGAGCTCTTCAGTGTCAATATTGGCGCGTGTCGAAAAGTTGCACGACCCTGCAGCAATCACTGATGCCATACTTTCTAAGAGGGGCGCCAGCTGCGCAAGGATGCAATGCGAGGGTCGCTGGAGTGAGGGAGGCCCTCGTCCCATCGATGCAGGGTCGACTTCATTTAGAGTCGAGGGGGCACAGACCGCGAGAGCTGCGAGCTTCATTTGCCGTCCGCGGCCATTGGCATCTTTGCAAACACTGATGCACAGGCGAGGCGAGGCTTTCGACCGCATCCATACTCCTAGGCAGACTCGCCAAGAGTCAACGGTCGGCAATGTGAAGTCGGAAGCCCGTTTATCCACAACATGTCGGGACGAGACCCGTGAGCCTAATGTTGGCTTTGGGACGCTGTTCAACTCTCGAGACTGCAGTTCCGTCTCGCTCCGGTCGTCTGACGTCCAGACAGCTCAAGTACTGCTTGCCAGTCAGCATGGCCTGTCCATGGTAATTTCACAATATTGATGTCTCGGGGACGCGGCGCTCATAGAACAACAGCGAAGGCTGGGAACCATGGATTTAGACTCGAATCGATCCCTATAGCTTCTGTCATTTCGCGCAAATCTGCCCGCGGCAAGTATCTGTATGCATCTAGTCGAGTCGCACAAGCCAAACAAGAGAGCCGTCATTGTCCAATTGTCTGGTTTCCAAATGAAGAGACCGTCTTGTCAAGTAGCCTGTCGTCAATGCAGGGCCAATCGCTATGGTCGAGGCTTACATAGTTGAGCGGGTCTGTGCATCATGCGATGTGTGCATGCACCTATTCATTCAGTTTGATTGATTCTTTGTCCACACCCTAATTCAATCTCAGTCACGAACGATGAAGTCGTGGATGGAGTTTGACGTGTCCGCGCGACGCGTCAATTAAACGTGCGCCATGCAGCGGAGACGCGTTGCGTCCTTTCGCACGTCACGCGCCTGCTGCTGCTGCTGCTCATACACAATCGTGAATCAAAATCACGACCAAGTCGTCATTATTGAGAGTCACAACAGACTGTAGTGGGTGCATACACGATTATTCTTGATTTCGTGATTGCTTCTGATGTGTGTACAGTACGCGAGTCAAATCGGTCGTCCAACACTCACACTCAGAGTCAAGACTCGTGTCTTACGACTGCTGTGACTCTTGACTGGTGAAGTTGATCACTGCTGCTGGCTTTCCGACAGGCAACACTCTTGACTCCTCCTGCAGCAGTATCGACAGCTCTCTCTCTCTCTAGAGGTCAAGCTCCCCTGCTTTAGCGGCACAAATCCTGCAGATCTCGTCAGCCATTGCGCCCGATAAAGCTGCCATAGAGCACAGCTGTAAGCTCGGAGATCCAGGGAAGGAACCCAAGAAGCGATCCTTCTCTGAAGCCACTTCGCCCGTCACATCGACTTGTTCGATCTGCTGCCAATTTCCGCACCACTCTCAGAGTTCACGGGCCGTCTGTCGATTTGACCAGCGCTGTAGACCGAGCCACAGCACGACTGCTTTGGTGACGTCAAGCATTCTCGACCGGACGTGCCGACCTTCGACATCTTCAACCTTGTTCTCCTCTGCTTTGCCGACCCTTCATCCCACGAGCACACGAGGTATCCTGCGCTCTGTCCGTGCTCATCAGTCGATCATGGCTCCAGGTCGTGCCGCAACAGCCGACAGCTTCTCGGCGACCCAACTGCGGGATGGCAAGGCTGTCACCGCGAGGCTGCTCTCGAGAGCATTGGGTATTCATCTCGATGAAGCACGGAAGTAAGTTCTGCTTCGTGGTTCATGGATTGATCACAGTCGGTGGTGCTGATCCAGCCCCCCTTCTACATGTCCTCTTCGCACTCGCGGCGCGCGCCAGAGAGCTAGCAAAGTACGCAGAGGCAAATGCGGAAGCGGTATGTGCTACATATCTCATAAGTGGCCGGTTGCGGCCGAGTCCGGCACAGAGATCAACTCATCATGTGAAGGAGGTTCATGAAAGTCGGCTCGAGGCAAGCTCATCTTCAGGGACTTCCCAGAGCGGCCAGAGGGGGTACGCCGAAGCAGTTTCTCGCACAGCTATGCTTCTGGTGCCGTCCGAAGAGCTATCAAGTGAGCAGAACGTAGCTGGCGAAGCTAAGAAGGTGGCTCGGGCGATCTCAATCGCGGTCCGACTGCTCCGTTTGCAGGCCGATTGAAATGCTGACACAAATCAATGACGCGCTTTCCTGTGCAGCGATCGGCTCGCGCTTCGATGGCGAGCTGTCGAAGCAGCTCTACTCGCTCTCGCCTGTGATCAAGAGGCGCGCATCGGAGCTTGGTGACGGCAAAGTTTCAGCTGCAGGTCTAGATCCAGCCACTATCTCCCAGCTGATATCACTTGGTGTGCAAGTGCGAGAGATCGGCCTTGACAATGTCAAACCGGATTTCGGATGCATTGCCCTAGATGGGGTTCAGCAGGTGCGTTGAATCATGGCACAAAATCTTGAACAGCGGCTAGGATGTGCTGAAAGCAAGCTCGGATTTTTTGGTCGTGCCCGGCAGGTAGAAGCCAAGTCTATGCCAGCAGGTCTCTCTGCGCCCTCCCATCCCAGCGTACAGAAAGCCACACTTGCTGCCCGCGCACCGAGCGCTACCATCAAGAAAGAGCAGACAGAGACAGGACTATCCACGAGCGCAGCTGCAAAGAAGGCGCCCGGCGGTCTGAGCTGGAGCAAGGCTAAGTGAGACTATGCGTAGCATCAACTTGATGCATGCGAAGCTCAGCTCAGATTCATTTCCCTTTCAGCAGACCCCAGCAGACCCCTTCAGCTGCATCAAAGAAACGGAAAGGGCTGTTACCGGACTCCGAAGACGACGATGAGTACGAGAGTCAAGATATGGACCAGTATGTTGAGGACGCCGAGGCCGCATCCCGGGATGCAGAACAAGAGAAGATCGGGTACTCGATGACCACAGGTGAGAGCGTGTACCTGCTCACTAATTGTAGTGAGACAGCGTCGCTGAAGTGACTTCATTCACGTCAGACGGGGACACAGAAATGGCTAGCGATCAGACAAAGGTGTTCAACATCGCAACGAGCTCCGCAAGCAAGACAGCCGAGCAACGACCAGCCACGCTTAGAAAGAAAAAGGAAGGTGGCAAGCGTGTAAAGAAGCAACGAGTGATTGTTCGAAAAGTCAAGACGAAGAATGCAAAGGGCTACACAGGTTGGTGTCGCTGATGTTGATGTATACATTCCTGCTTCTGCTGACCGCCCAAATCATGAATTGTGCCGTGCTCCAGAGATGAGGGAGGAGCAAGGCTACGAGTCGTACAGTACGCAAGAATCCGAGTCTGACGCGGACGTAGAAGCTTCAGTGAGCAAAAATGCGCCCGCAGAGGCTGTCGCCAAGACCACCAAAGCGAGGGACGTCGGCTCCGGCTCGAGCGTGAAGCCGCAAGCTCGGAATGAAGACCGACGGCCAGAGTCCAGTAGTTCGATTGAAGGAAGCAGCGCTGCTCAAGAAAGGCAGGGTCGTACTTTTGCCCCGCATGCGTCCGCCGCGACGAACACGACGCAGAACAGCGCTGCTAGCTCTGGCAACGCTAAGAAAAAGCCTGGGCAGCAAAAGCTGAGCGCTTTCTTCAGCAAGCCCAAGTGAATGCAACGTCTTGCAGTGTGGGGATGCCATGGCAAACTTGATTCGGTTGTCACGCGATGCGTCTGTTTCACGCAAAGGTGAGTGAAGGGGACAACAATCGCCGGGCTTCTCTTTGCCGTTCGGACTGTGAGGTCTGGACCAGACATTCAGAACTTTCCAAGACGCTCGAGAGAAACAGCTGGCCTTGATGGTACATTTAAGGCGTTCTTTGATGTCCCAGAACGGCTGCGCAGCATCAGTGAACTGCTGAGGTAGACTTTCCTCAGCAACACAGCGAGACGTCCCTGCAGCGGATCGAATGTGCGCGTCTTGATGACCGAACGACTGATAAAGCCCTGCCGGCCTTTGTGGCTTCCTGAAGAGCAAGAGTGGACCCACATTGCGATCCTGAAGCGCGATTCGAGGAGGTGCGAAAGCGCTGCTGCTCTCCTAGTCTGGCTTGTCGTGAACTTCATCTTCGGACCATGTGACTTTGACCACTAGCGAGCAGCCGTCGCATTGAACGAGCAAGCCTTGCTTCGCAATGTCGTGCGTAGTGGAATCCATAGCTTGTTCGAGCCGATCAGCTCTGACGGCATAGCGATTGCCGCACCTGCATGGATGCGCAAAGCGCGGTGCAGCTGGATGGAGAACGTCTGCGTCTTGTTGCTCCAGCAGCTCGAACGCATCGATATCGATGACAGCTGAGATACGCGATTCTGCCCGCTTTGAGGACGCAGCATTGCAAAGGGTCTGGTGAATGTCGAGCTGGATGTCGTAATCGATTTTGCTTTGAGGGTCGCTCAGCACCGAGTAAGCATGGGTCAGTGCTCTAATGCGAGCGTCCGACTCGGAGGTGCGGCCTGTAGCAAGGCGATCAGGATGATGCTAGTCATGTTGTCGCATCGTCAGCTCTCCCATCCAGCTGCAAGTCTTCTAGTCGTTCGAGCCAGCTCACCAATTTGGCTTGGGCCAGATATGCAGCTCGGACATCGTATGATGATGCACCTCTTTCAACCCCAAGCAGCTTGTAAAAGTCCTCGTCTCTTTGACTCATCTCATCGTCGCCGACCTCCCTGCGATGTGGACGCCTTAGTGAAGGATAAACAAGACGAAATCTGACCAAGAGGGCGCAACGCTATCGAGGCAGGAGAGTTGTGAGTGCGTACGAGAAGAGAAAGGTTCCCTTGTCGTTTGGGCACTGTTCGCCCTGTCCACGCCAGAACCATATTCACATTAGACAAGGGCCGATTACGGCAAAAAGTCGAAGCAAGCAAAACAAAGGTCACGTGACGGTCTTTTTTGCACCTGAGTTGCGCCGCGTTACCGCGCGGCCGTCATGAGTAGGCCGTCTTTTCAGCCCGCGCGAAGATTTCTCTATGGCTCTTCTCTTTCCACCAACAACGCCCCCCCCCCATGCTGCCCCAGGCATTGACCATCCACCAGCGGTGTCTGACAGGCAGCGAGCAGTCGTTCGCGTACAGCTCATGAACGGGGTGGCGCTAGAACAAGCGACCAATCCGTTCCTCCTTTTCCAACTTTCAAGCACCTCGTTCAGGCGCGCTCTACGCGCGGGGCTCTTAATTGGTCCTGCTGCACTTGGGGCCGCGTTTGGGATGAGGTGTGGGAAAGGGAGGGACCATGGTTAGGTTCTCGCTGGGGACGCTGGGCAGCGCGACGCTCAAATCTCATCCACGACGTCGTGCAATATCAGCTCCCCAACACACCCGTTACTGGACACTCGGGATTGTACCCGATAGAAGCATCTTGAACAACATTCTTCTAGACGATCGAGAGTTCGCTTGAATCGAGAGTCCACTCGCGATCACGACTTGAAGACTCTGGTATCAGTTGCGACGAGCGCGGAAAGTGCAAGTTCAGTGAAGAGTACTCGTAATCATGATGGCTATGTAATTCCTAGCATGTATACGTTGCAGGTGCGGCAACAGTTGTGATGGATCAAGATGCGATCGAGCTGCGCATCAGCTCGGATGTTTGTCGGTCCTCAGCTCCTACCATATAGCGCTGTCCCGCTACCAGGAGGGTGGCGATGTGAGCACTCATAGCAGCGCGGAGTCTCCTTGCGCCTTGCCACGTATCTTGTCCTTGCTGACAAGGCCGAATTCGCGACGTTTTGAGACTCAAGAAGATTGTATATCTGCAATCGATGCGAGTCCAGCCCACGCGAACAGCCACGCTCGACTCGAGTCGCGATCGAGTCTCGATCGTGGCAGCCCCTTTGCGTGAGACCGATAAATGTGAGATCCGAGTCGCACTTGTCGCGGTCGTTCAGAGACTGAGGGCTCGATCCCTTATCTCACCCATGATAGCAGCATCATGGAGCAAGTCTTGTCAAGCATCAAGATCATAATTACCAGCAGTCAAGTGTCATGGGGTACGTGTCTCCCTGAGACGAGGGATGGTGCCTGCACCACGCAGATATGAAATTTGAATGAGTGAATGATGGGTCATGATCGATTGTTGCGACGAAGCTGGCTGAGCGGCAGCAATAACAAGATAGCACCGACCCTTGTGGCTGAATACGCGCACACCTTGGGTGCAAGCTTCATCATGCACTCGATCGTGAATGCAAGCGAGCTCTTTGCAGAGTCTTGACGAGCAGCCGAGCAGACCGGGTCATGCGCAGATGCTTCCTCTGCCGACGTCGTCCGGGAGCATTTTTCCATATGCGATAAGCTCCCCAAGCGACTCGCTGATCTCCATCGTGAAGTCAAATAGCTATAGACTCGTCAGTTTTGCAGCCTCGTCCCGCTGCATGCCGGCCGGCACCCGACGTGCGATGCCCGCACACTTTGTGCTGACTATAGCTGCGCCAAGCTACATAGGTCGTCGTCAATGATGCTGCGTGGCGGACCTGATGAACGCTCAAATCCATCTGTCGACGCTCCCCGCCGTGGGTTGAGACATGCAGGCACCCACATTGCGGCCATTCGTTCCAATGAAACGATCTCGGTGCCGCGTTGACGCCATACGAGGCAATTTCGAGTTCGTCATGATGACGCAAAAGTCGTAATAAGCGACCAGCAGCAGCACTCGTCGTGACTGCGTATCCAGGCGGGCGTTTCTCCTCTGCGAGCGTGTACCGCCAATCATGAATCCGCGCACATGAATCACCTTGCGACGACACACGGACACAACTTTCCGTGATCCACACCTTGGCACTCTGACTTGATGACGATTTGTCCTGCGTCACAGATGATAGCAAAGCAATCTAAAACCCCTCATTGCTCTCGGTCGGGACGCGTGGCTGACAGGGGGTGAGTTGTGAGTCAGCGTCGTGAGTGTGAGCTAGTCTGCTGCGTGGCGGCCAGGGCGATGATGCGAATGATCCATGACTCAAGATTCAAAAATTGAGAATCCCGGAGCGCGGATGCTCGATCGACTGCGATATGAAAGTGCATGGGCAAAATTGCATGGAGACGACGATGCAACATTCGTGACTCTCTGATGAGAGTCAAGTCTGAGAGTCGGATGAGTCGTGAGTCTGACAAGATGCGCCAAGCTCGACCTGAATCTTGAGAAACACCAACGTCACGAATGGTCGAGAGCCTTTTTTTTTTTCTTCTTCTCCTTTTGTGTGACGATACCTTTTGCATGTATGCGATCCACATCACGATCCCATGATGGTTGATGTCTGAGGACGTAAGCCGAGGTGCATGCGCTAGCGTCATTTTCTTCCGAAGCTTGGCCGAGCACCCGGCAGCGGGATCGATCGAGCTTCGCGGCTCATCTCAATGCTGGCGGCTCTCATTGTGCCCTTCCCGCGGTCTGCTCCCGCGCTCGCCCCTTTGCTGGCTGTGCAGAATGACCACAGCGTGCGGCACGCGACGCGCGCGCGCTGTGCGTTCTCCTGCGGCCGGGGATGTGCGCGCATTTAGCACCTCACCTGCCTATACACCGCTAGTGGCCATTGCGATGACGCTGCGTTTGGTGGGTTTGAGCCTGAACCAAAACATCGTTTTACCGCCTTGCCACAGGGCAATTTAGGCTCCACAGCAGCAGCAGCAGCAGCAGCAGCAGCAGCAGCAGCAGCAGCAGCGTTGATGTTTCCGGTATCACCTTTGCGCAGAATTGGTGAGTCAGTGGGAACGAGGCGAAGCGCGCGAGAGCGAGAATCGCAGGCTATAGGTCGCATCTCGGCCGGCCATCTCATCCGTCTCATGCCTACCTCTTTCAATGTATAGAGACAGGTATACCCCACAAACTTCCTGGACGGCACCAAACCTCTTTGGAGTTTGTCGAGAGCGCGCCCTGCGGCAGGTAGGTCTTGGCTCCAGCAGGAACACTCACGACTGCTGGTCGCTTTGTCTGCCTCTGCCGTTGCAATTTGTGGAGAAAGTGGGCTGGTCTGCTGCTGCTGCTGCTGCTGCTGCTGCTGCTGCTGCTGCTGCTGCGAAAAGTCAGGGACGAGACTAGCGAGGGCATCTGGGGTTTGCCCTGCATCTGCAGCATACAGCACACGGTCGATTACGGATGTGGACCATGAGCGTGCATGGTACGACTTTGAGAGCAGCAAGTCCCCCTCTTCGTGGCATATAAAGAACGCACCCGGATGGACAAGGAAAATCCCCAGGCATGACCCACAATCAAGCCGCTTCCTGCTCTTACCCTCCCCCTTCCGCGTCAACGTCCAAAGCCCGCCGCTCCACTTCTTCGATCTCGAGTGACCGCAGTGAATTAGCCGACACTCATCCTTTGCTCGCTCCGACGACGTCCAACTACACCATGACTGGGGAGCTCGCGCCTTCCACTGGGCCCGTCGTGGGCGACCAGCGCAAGTTCAGCAAAGCGAATTTACGACCGCTGATCTTTTGCAGCATCGCTGTAGTAGGTGCGGTCCTCTACGGCTATGATGGGTGAGTGGGAACGGTGCACGCCCATGCTCATCGCCGTTCCGCTGAACTCCTATGTCGACTTTTCCAATTATTGCAGAACGTACTTCAGCGCCATTCTGGAGATGAGGAAGTTCAAAGAGGATTTTGGTACAGTCATCGACGACATGGGAACCATCGACATTACGTCCTCTCAACGATCCCTTCTAGCCTCCATCGTCCAGGCGGGCGAGTTCTGCGGAGCGCTCGCAAGCGCACCCATCGGCGACTTTGCCGGACGCAAAGGTGGCTTCATCAGTGCTGGTAGTCTCGTTGCTTTGGGCACTGTGCTGCAGATGGTCCACACCGGCAGCATTCCCCTCATGACCGTCGGACGGCTCGTTCTCGGCGCAGGAGTCGGTGTCATTTCTGCGACGACTAGTCGTGAGTAGACGCGCCTCATCAATGCCCAAGTGTTGATGTTCATCTCAAGCATCATGATCACTTTCACGCGCGTATCGCAGCCTACCTCAGCGAAATTGCTCCCGTCTCTCTTCGTGGCCCTGTCGTGTCCGCATGGCAGCTCATGCTTGCCATTGGTCAAGTCATCGGAGCCGGTGTTGGTCTAGGCACAAGGGACATGGACAATTGTGAGTGCTACGATGCGGCTGGAGCAAGGAGGTGTCACAGACGCTGACACAGCGTCCTTCGCTCGGACACTGCCTTCGCAGCCTGGTCTTACCGCATTCCGATCATTCTCAACTTGGCCATCGTGGCCATTCTCATGTTCGGCATCATCTTTGTCTGCCCAGAATCCCCTCGTTGGCTCATCAACAAGGGTCGCGACGAGCAAGCGCGAGCAGCTCTTCGACGTATCCACAAGGGCCAAGACGACCCCAACAAGGTGGTGGACCTAGAATTCTCCAATTTCTACCAGGCGCGACAAGATGAGATCGCCTCCCAGGGTGAAGGTGGCTGGCTTACGCTGTTCAAGAGCAAGCATGACCGGAGGCGTCTCGCAATGGTCATCGGCGTGCTCATCTGCCAGCAGATAAGGTGAGTCCGCTGCCACCTGAGCACCGTCAAGGACGCATCCAGGCACTCACATCCCTTGCTGGCCTTCCGTCTCTTTCTGCGCGTTTGCCCCACAGCGGAGTGAGTGGCACGTGAAAAGCCTTTAAATCTTCCCTTAAAAGTTGTGCTGACCCCTTGTCTAATTCCGCTCTCAGATTCAAATCGTCTTCAGCTACTCCGCCGTCCTCATTGCCAGCTTATCGCCAAACTTTGACGGGATTCTAGTCAACATCATCTACACGATCGTCGAGGTGGTTGGAGTACTCGTCGCCTTCTTGCTGGTGGACCGTTTCGGCAGGCGACCACTGCTTTTATGGACCAGCGTTCCGATGGTGATCAGTCTCCTCATTGCCGCTGCTCTGGGATCCCTCAACGACCGCAGCGACAATCAGAACCGTGCCATCGCCGCCATGTTCGGCATCTTTGTCTTTGCCTTCAACAACGCTTGGTGAGTGTAGGTGCGCAAGTAAGTCTTTGACGCTTGCGACATCGGCTGACGTGCGACTCGCATCGCCACAGGGGTCCCTTGGCTTGGGTCTGCGCATCCGAGCTATCTACTGGTGGGCAGAAGCAAAAGATCATGGCTGTCGGCTCTGCATGCTTCTGGATCTCTGCTTGGGCAGTCACCTTCACTCTGCCTTACCTCTTTGATGAAGGCGAGGCGAACCTTGGCTTCAGGGTCGGCTACATCTACTGTGAGTTCAATCCACCTCGCTCGAATAGCGCATGGTGTATTCTGACGCGTGATCTTCTCACCTTGAAAACCTCCAGGCGTCGGTGGTCTTATTGCCGCGTGGTATGTCTGGACTTTCATCCCCGAGACGTGAGTAGTGCAGGGCATGCAAGCACACATCATTCGTCCTTGCCATGTACTTACCAGTACTATGTGTTTGCTCTTATCCACTTATCCCCTAGGTTCGGCCGCACTTTGGAGGAGATTCAACAGATGATTCAGAATGACGTTCCCACCCGCAAGTGGACCTCTTACGTCACCCACTTTGAGGGCACGACTTGGAACAACGATGTGGCTCGCGATGGAACGAGCAGAAACTCTGCCGACAAGGCCGGAAGTCTGGACGTCAAGCCCGACCAGCAGGCAACTCAGGTCCTCGACGCCTGATTGTGCCAGAACAACAGGCCGGAAGTTTGGACGTCAAGCCCGACCAGCAGGCAACTCAGGTCCTCGACGCCTATTTGTGCCAGAACAACACGCACAAAAGTCCGGGGATCACGGCTCACTCGCGGGACACTTCCATAGACGAGGCATGTACTTTATCACGACACGATCTTGCAAATCGACAGATGATTACGACACGGGCAGTGTGAAAGGCAGGGGCAGTTTCGAAAGGCGCTTGATCGACGAAACGAGAAGCGCGAGTCGAATGGTGCCATTCTCAAAGGACGGTCAGTTGTCGGGGATCTGGTTGATATCAGACACGTGTTTAGGTTCACTGCCGTTGAGGCCTCCTCGAAGACGCCTGCTAGCAGCGTAGACGCCCTTGCGCAGTCTGTTGAGTGATCCGAGAGGCTTGTGAGCTTCCAACCCGTACCAGGGATTGATGATCAATTCCTGCTCGTGGAAGCGGACGCGATGAATGGCAAAGCTTTCTTGAGGAGGAATGTTGAGCTTTGCGACTGTCACGAAGGGGTACTTGTCCTCGTCCCATCCGTTCCTGTTGTCCTCTACTGCTTGCTCTTGAATGTTCTCCAACAGCTGAACTTGGAAATCGTACGTCGCTTCGTTGGACTTGTAGTACTCTTGCAACCAGTCCCTGAGGATAGTGTTGCCCTTGTGCTCCGGCTTCACCTCCCTCTTGGCGGCTTCTTGAGCAGCAGAGCTTGGCACCAGACGATGCTTGGCGACATATTCCCCATGCCTAAAAGCCGATTGGCTGTACTGAACTTGAGAAACCAAATGGATGTTGGGTATATGATTACGAGAATCTTGCACTTCGTAATCGTCCCTCTTCTTTAGCTCCCCATCCAGCTCCTTTGCATCGTGTCCGTGCTCAAGTCTAAGAGCCAAAATGTCTCTGCAGACTCGAGCAGTACCGAGCTCGATGGCTGGAGCGCTGTTGAACTCGAAATCTTGCGTCTTTGCATCCACGTCCCCCAGCTTGGCACCTTCCACGCCGAATATCTTGAGGCCTATTCCGCGTGGCTGTGGAACCCTATCGTCGATCAGGTCCGTCGTCTCGGTACTGTAACGCAGGTGCACCTGATACGTTCCGCTCTTGGAGAAGAAACCTTGCGCGTACTCTGAAGGGGGCGTCGAAGCATCTGGAGAAGGAACAGTGATGGTGCCTTTGACCACTCCTTGCGTCTTGACGTGCGTACCGCTAAAGGCTCGGCGATGACACTCGAACACTCGGCGTTGAGATTCGTTGATCTGTTCCTCTACTTGCTTGATCAGATTCTCCTCCTCCGCAGTCGACTTTGAGTCCACTCCCTGCCGTTGGCGAGGAAAGAAGAGGAGGCGTCGGTGAGAGCGGATTAGAGCAAAGCCAGCAACACTCACCGGGGCATCCCATCTGATGAATCTGGCAGAGCTACTGGTCATGCTTGGAGGAATGTCTTTTTGCGGTGCGGAGATCTCTCCGGTTCTGGAGATGATGCAGTAGTAGTATCTCTTTCAGACCTCGGATGGCGGAAGAAGCTTGCGTGGATTTGTCGTGATTCAAGGCGTGTCACGATGAGGTAGATTCACGATTGCTGTTCCCCTCCCTCATGACGACTCGCCTATTGGAGCGCTGCTGATGAATGCCGAACCGCTCGTTGGTCGGCGAACCCCACACGGAATCGGGATTCATTCAGTGATTATCCTCCGATATATTCGACTCCCAAGCCACCAGGAAAAGAGAAGGAGCAGGACCCTGTGCTGCAGGTGTTTCGTATGCCTCCACATCGCGGGTCGGATTAGTTGTGATTTTCGAGTCTACATCGGGGCAACCAGCACGAATCACGTGACCGACTCATACCGGCTTGCGTCTTGATTGTGACTGTTGTGATTGTTCAGGGCAAAATCAGCAAGCGTGGCAGTCAGAAACCGTGAGCTTAGCAAGGGTCATCAGCACCCAGTCAATCGAGTCCTCAATTGGTTCATTTAGAAAGCATTCGTGATTGTCTTTTCTTGCCAGGCGAAGTGTGCCTGAACGCATGACAGAGAGCAGATTTGGTGCAAGAACACACACTCTTGACCAAGTATCTACGTTCGCGCGGGAAGCGTCCCTCCAGCACGGTTCCCAAGCGAGTCCCGGAGGTAGAGAGAGGTTCGCGCAGGTCGCTCACCCACGACTGCCATTCATCTTGAGGATCGTGGAGTCGTGTCGCTCATCTTACGCCCAATACTCTCACTCTCCAATCAGCCGTGAATGCTGGATGGGACCATTTACGATTCGATCGCAGCTGTACTCCCACGACTGCACGCTGTTACCCCCGAGGCTCCATGTGGACAAAAGGCATCTATCATCAGCATCGCGCTTGGATTAGCATAGCTAGCTATCTTATAGCTTTGAAGGCACCGCTTGCAAACGCGTATACGTGTGGCTTGCGGCGAGCGCCGCGCTGCATGCGCCGCCCCGCCCGCCTAGCTGCATGCAGCGGCGGCGATCCTGCTGCAACATCAAGCCCGCGCGGTTGAGCCAGAGCACCACCAAATATATAAACAGCGCCGCGCTTCTGAAGACGCCGCGCGGCGGGCTTTTGTCCTCTCCGCGACACGATTGACTGATACCAAGCAACAGCAGCAGCAGCGCGCGAGGGCAGGAGGTTGATGCATGCATGGATGGATCGAGGCGCGAACGCGCGCGTATCCCATCTAATGCATGCCTGAGTACGCGCGGTGCCTTGATTCGCTCCTTTCTCCGTGCGAACTTTATTGATGCTCGCGGCTTGGCTCGCTTATACAATCGCTGTTTTGTGACGGCTAGAGCTAGCTTGCTCTGCCTGGCATCTTGGCGAAGCGCCACTTTGGGAGGACAAAGAAGGCCTGAATCATGTTTCCCGGTCGTCCAGCCCCGGCTCCTTTATTGAGCGCTCAGCCACTTTGCTTGTCGAGCGGACGCATCCGCAATGGTGCACGCAGGAATCGGACTGGCCAACAGCTTGTACGTATTGTGTCGCCGAGCGCCTCGCAAAGTTCCTCTACTGATGGCCCCGCGCGTAGCCGTCGAGGAATAGCTTGGAAGAGCTGCTCGAGCCTCGCATTCTCAACTTGTAGAAGAAAGGACTGACGATTGACGACTCGCGACTGTTTGTCCCTTTGAATCTTTGCTGGGAGCGCCTCAACGCGTCAGCGGCCGGACGCTGCATGTTGCACGCACGGCGCTCCCTCCGACGCGCGCCCCCACCGCGTGACTTGCTCTCTCCGCGCAGCAGCCCTTCTCTGCGGAGCTTTCCTCTCTGCCGCGCTTTTGCTGAGCTGCATTCGATTCGCGCACTCTTGATTGCGAGCCCTCCGGCGGCGGGGGAGCTTGCAAACATAGCACGTCGTCACCACTCACTGTGCTTGTCTAGCGCATCGTTCGGCGCACCTCGACCAGGGTTTGGCGATCGGACAACGGGGAAGCGCCAAATACTGGACCGCGCGGCCTGTTACTCTGCCCACTGCGCTGAATAGACCAGTCAAGACTTGCTCGCGTTCCGGCATGCGACGCAAGATCATGCGCAAGCTATACTCGAGACTGCGTGATGGCGAAGGAGGTGAAGAGTCAAGCCACACGAGCATCGAGAACCGCGTGGTCTTGTGAGGTGTCAAGATTCATCCTCGCTGCTCGCATGCATGGACGGCATTGTCGAGGTGGATTCGAGCTGTGTCCCGATGCCCCCTTGCTTCGACCCCTCATCGTCATGGATTTGGCGCGGATGCTTCAAATATCCGCATGCACACCATCCAAAGGGTCGTCCATCGACTTTAGCGTCGATGTTTGCCTTTCGTAGCGTGTCTCTCCTCCCTCTCTCTCCTTCTTCGCTTGCTCTGCACAAGTCCAGCACCAGCGTTTGCAGGTGGAGCTGCGCAGCCAAGCATCTCCCACGCTGGAAAGCTTGCGCATGCTGCCTTGCAGCTTTTCATTGTGGCTTGCCACGAATCGCACCTCAAGTCGAACGTCGTGAGTATCAAACAGGCGTGCTGATGCGGTCGAATGGCTCTTTGTGGGCCTCGTGTGAGCACACCGGTCAATGTTGTGCCTGCAGCTCGATTGACCGTGCCTACATCTCTCCCATGTGATGGAATCAACAGAGCTCCATTGCGGACGAGCCGCTTCTTGCGAGGCATCACACTCTGCCAAAGTTACGAAGGGCCTAGACGGCTGCTCAGCGCTTGGTCCCCTCGCTCGCTGCTCACTTGCCCGGTGCAATCACGGCAGCCAATCACCTGGAAGGCAGACTCGCATCTGCTCGCTCCACAATATCACAGCACGTTCAGCAACAACGGCGATAATCATACAAGGCACATTGTCTCTCTATAATAGTCTGCAGTCTCTCGTCTAGTACCTTGCTCCGTCGCGGAGGTTCAAGACGTTCCAGCGCTGAGTACCCTCTCGAAGAATACAAAAGGACATTTCTCGCGACTCGAATCATACCATACCTTGTCTCTCTAATCAGCGCCTTCCATTTTCCGGCACCAAGCACCTCAGCTAATCCTCACCATGCTCCATCAACGTGCTCGTGCGTGCGGCCTTTGGGTTTCACTCGGCCTACTTGCTTGCGTTTCCCGAGTCAGCACATCACCGATTGCCCAGCTCGTTCGGCCCTCTCATGACACTAATGACCTCTCACACGTCGCTCTCGAGCGATCAACTTCCGAGACATCGTCCGCAAACATCCTCGACGCTCGCGACGACTGCTCCGATGGACCTCGAATATCCACCTCCATGGGACAAATCGCAGGGGCATCGGTAGCGGATGGCAGAGCCCAGCGCTTCACCTTGCCTTATGCTCAACCGCCTGTGGGATCTTTGCGCTTCGCAAATCCCCTAAACATCGTATCTTTTGGAACGGCGTCGTCCGTCTATGATGCTTCGAACCTTCCTCCACGATGCTACCAGTACGGAGAGGATGTGCGCGGTGGCACCGAGCCGTCGGAGGACTGCCTGTACTCGATCGTCTACAAGCCTACCAACGCAAAGCATGGCGACAAGCTTCCAGTATTGGTGTGTATATGCGTCCGCCTGGACTTTGTACGATGCTGCTGATCGCTTGCCTATATCTCCTCCCTCAGGTGTGGGTCCACGGCGGTAGTGGCATTGGTGGCGGCGCTACCAACGCCGGTCTGGACGGTTCCAACCTTGCCACGAGCCGAAATGTGATCGTCGTCGTTCTTCAGTACCGTCTCGGCCTCTTTGGCTGGCTTCAAACCTCGGCATTGGTTGACGAAAGCAACGGTGGAGCACCAAACGGCACCAAGGTCTCCGGAAACATGGCTTTCCGAGACGTAGTCTCTGCCCTGCAACAACTTCGATCGGTTGCGCGCTCCTTCGGCGGAGATCCCAAGCTGGTGACGCTTATTGGACAAAGCAGCGGTGCTCAGCTCATTCGCTCGCTGCTAACTTTGCCCGTCGCTGCTCCACTTTTCCAACGCGCCATTCTCATTTCGGACACGGAGGACTACGGGCCAGCGACTCAAGCTCAAGCCAACACACTCGGAGACTACGCTCTCAAAGCTCTTGGCTGCACCGATCTGGCTTGTGCACGTGCTAAAGACAAGGATGACATTCTCAATGTCAGCTACGACACCTACTCAACTGTCCCTTTGGCCGACGGCTCAATCGCGGGCGGGACACCATGGAGACCCACGCTCGGCAAGTATCTCCCAAGCGGTATCGAGGTGGGCAAAGGCTTTCCCAAGCCGGTCATCCTCAGCACCGTGGCCAACGAAGCAGGCACTGTGGCTGGCAGCCTATTTGAACCGTCCACCCTCAACCCGGGACAAAATCTGAGCGCGCAAGGCTCCATCATTACTCTGCGACAAGGCAATGCGCCTCTTCCGATCGGACAAGCTTTGAACTTGATCTTCAACCAGAACCGAGGTGTGCTGGCAACCAACGTTGCAGCATATTCTCCTGGTAGTCCGAGCAGCTTCCGCGTTCCATCGGCTGGTGCGGATGACGCTCCGCGCAAGCTCTTCGAAGAGATTGCGACGGATGGATTGTGGAGATGCGCCACCCAACGCAACGCTCGCACCCTGGCTTCCAACAGTCACGGCAAAGGCATCTGGCTGGAGCAGCGCAACATTGGCGCTCGCTACCCGTCCAATGAGGGCGTCGACTACTGCGAAGCTGCAGGCACCGTCTGTCACGAGGATGACATTTACCTCATCTTTGGTACCACGCCTTCGCCTACTGATGCGCAACAGAAAGCCAGCTCAGAGATTCAGGCCAGGTACTCGGCGTTTGCACGGACCGGCAACCCGAATGTCATTGGCAAGACTATATGGACGCAGGTGGGAGACGGCAATGATATCGATCTGCTCGTCTACGATGACCAGGGCAACTCTAGCGCCCAAAAAGGCCAGAGAACGAGCGCTTGCAACAGCAACGACGCTTGGGGCTCTAGAGTCAAATTTGACTGGCAGATCTACTCGTACTGATCCCATATCCTCTGCTTACCCGCTCGGTTTCCCTCTTCTCCTGCGGATGCACCTCTTTCTGAAATACCACATCATACAATACCAGGTCTGACGTCTGACTTTGCACAACGCGTCAAGCATGTCATCGTGCGATGCACAGCGCAAACTTGAAAATGTTTATGGTGGTAGAAAGAGGCACACATCTTGATACATGATGAGAGGGGCGACCAAATTTGATGCGTGTGGCGTTCAAGGTGGTCATAAACGTGAGAGCTTGCCGAACAATTTGTCACGCTCGCCCCCCCTGTATGCGGAAAGCACCAAGAGCAGGTGGGTGATCGTCGCGACGGGTATCGCCGAAGAGCGCTGCGTAGTCACGAACGGCCGAAGTATGGGACTCGTCGTTGCTGTGAGACTTTGAGACGTCGTCGTCGCTTCCCGTGCCTTCTCGAACCCAGTTCCTGTCGATGTTCCACGCGTCTTGATCGCTTTCTGTCTCGGGCCTGGTCCGCCTCCACTGTTCCGCATCGATCCAGCCTATCCAGCTCTCGTCGCCAAATCCGCCTACTCTGTACACCCTTTGCACCTCGAACCTGACAAACTTGGCCAGGTGAGGAGAGTCTGAACCGGGTACCCAGTGCGAAGCGTCGGGATGATGATGCGTGAAGCATTTTTGGGACGAAGGGATCTGGGAAGAGGGAACGTCTTGCATTGTACCGAAGAGGGTCAGTCGTTGTTTGGAAGGCATTCCTTTTCGCCAGGATGAACGAGAGGGTTGCCAGGTCCCTCGAGAGGTCTCGAAGCGCGGATCAGGATCGGTAGGATCGGCCGATGGTTCAATGGAGAGCGTGCCTCGACGAGCGGGCGTATTCAGCACGTTGCGCCAATTTTGAGAGCTGCGAAGTGTGAGGGATAGGACGTTTGGGTCGCCGACAGTCATGAGTGTTTGAAACACCAATTGGCTCGGATCAACAGAAGGGTGTGCACACGCTCACACTGGTAGTGCTAGGAATAGCAGATCGCCATTGTCGTAGCAAGGAGCAAAGTACTCGGGACCGCTCAGCGCTCGCCCTGCCAATTCCTTGGGTTCGTAGTCTGAAGCGTAGACAGTGCTCAATGTGGCCACTCCGAATGTGCTCTGGTCGACCAGCAGATTTCGAGCTTGCTGAATGGCCTGCGAAGCCGTCTCTCTGGTCGTCGAGGCTGAAGCAGAAGAAGCCCTGATGGGGTATGAGGCGATAATGAGAAAGATGGAAGCTAGAATGTGGGATGATGAGAGGTGCATTGTGAGCGTAGGCCTAACGTGCACAGCAGCCGAGCCGATAGCTGTGTGGTGGTGGTGTTTGGTGGTTGTGGTGTCCAGTCACTTTGCGTGGGGAGCGCGCAGTACAGTGCAGGGAACAATGAGTTGCGAGGTGGACAAATTATGAAGAGGTCGGTTCGAGCCAAGAGAATTTCGCGATTGTGAGTTGATTATGAGATCCAGAATGCACCACTTGAGCCTCACCACCTGGTTGAGCAGCAGCAGGTCGTGACTCTTGATGACTCGTAGCTTTGTGAGCTCGCAAGCCACGATCGATCGAGTGGAGGGAGGCCTACGCAGTCCACGCTCGCAAATCAGTTATCGTGCTTATTGTTGCCCAAACCAGACTTGAAAGCTAAGTTTCGGACTCACACTCTTGATTCATTCTCATAATCAACATTCATTTCCCCGCCTGTACGTCGCATTCTGTTCTCCGAATCGGCCACTCGAGAGGAGAGGCAAAAAATCAAACCAGTATTCAAACCACGTGACTTGATCATCCCAGTCGGTGCATTTGGTGAGCACGGACCTCACAGCACCACGCAGAATTGAACGTACGACAGTCGATCAAGCGTGAATCATCAGGGTTCATGATCTACCTTGCTCCCTTACGGACATCCATTCATCACTTCTTTACCAAGCCTCACAGCATCCCGCGTCGCATGACAGTCACAAGCGTGCATAGCGATCTGCATTCTACAGATCGACAGCGCCCGCACTAGCCATTGACCCAACGTCATGTCACAGCCGGTCCAGACTGGCGGAAGCTTGTCGGAGCTGGACACAACTGGAGCTACGCAGGCATCGGCCTCTACGTGAGTCATTGTTGCTGCTATGTCCGGCGCTCGTCCTCCCACACTCTTTGAAATGACACTCTGCTTTTCTTTTGTTGCCGTGCATCACTCAGCGCTCGACCAGATGCGCATACACAGCGGTACGATCGTCAGCTTCGACTCTGGGCATCAAGCGGTCAACGTTCGCTCGAATCCTCCAACATCCTTTGCGTTGGTAGCTCTTCACTAGCTTGTGCCATCTTGAAGAACCTCATCTTGCCCGGCATTGGTACCTTTACGATTGTGGACGATGCCAGGGTAACCCAGGCAGATCTGGGCGTCAGCTTCTTTCTGGAAGAGGAGTGCATAGGGAGGAGTAGAGCGGCTGAGCACACACGATTCTTATTAGAGCTCAATCCGCAAGTCAAAGGCCATGCTGTGCAGTTGGTGAGGGTCGAGCGCGAACGGGCCACTTAGCGGCGCTGGTCTGGCTGACACCTGCCACAAAACCATCTCACAGCCTCCTTCACAACTTCTCTCCTCCTCCTCATCCCTCGTTACTTCTGCTACGCTAGTGCTCCTCATCAACCAGCCCGGCTTTGTGTCGGACGCCATTGCAGATGCTGTGTGGCAGCGTGGAGTAGCAGCTGTGCCTGTTCTAGCCGTCAGAGAATCTGGCTTCGTTGGTGAAGTGAGGGCGCAGATCAGAGAGGCAGGCGGTGAGTACAAGCTTCGAATGCCTCCAGAGCACTCAATTCGTCGCGACTTACGCAGATTCGCGTGGTCGCGGTGCTCCAAAATAGTCATAGAGACGCACCCGACCTCCACAGACGACTTGAGACTGGCCCTCCCTTGGCCTGAGCTCGCCGCATTTGCTACCAACTACGCAATCGATCCGTCCGACAGCCATTCCTATGCGCATATACCCTACATCGTCCTCTTGCTACGAGCCATTGAGTCTTGGAAAGAGAAGGTCAGTGTGGTCTGGACTCAATCTCGGGTGTTCTCGTTCTCACTTGCGCTCGTCATTCCTACAGAATGGACCGCCCCCAAAGTCTTCGGACCGGAAAGCGTTCGCAGCACATATTGATGCAAGCAGAGTGGCTGAAGCTGAAGGCGAAAATTTCGACGAGGCGCATGCGGCACTTGGAACCCATGTCTGGAGAGCATTCACTGCACCTCCTGTTCCTGATGACGTGCGGAAGCTGTTCGAGGACCCAGCTTGCCACAGCGTTGGACCGCAAGTGAGCATTCCGCTTCGCAGCGAGCAGAATGGCATGGCGCAGCGCTGATATGCCTATCTCCTCGAATCATAGTCCTCCAATTTTTGGTTGCTTCTGCATGCGCTCCGATCCTTTGTCCAAGCCGAAGCTTCATCTCCAATCCCAGGCGGTGCTGGCCTTCTGCCGCTGCCAGGAAGTCTTCCAGACCTTAAAGCACTCTCGACGACCTACGTCGAGCTCTCAAATCTATACCGCCGCAAAGCGAAGGCAGACCTGGAGCTGCTCAAGCTGCATTTGGCACAGACCTTACGTACGGCTGGAGTGCCATCAGATGCGATTTCGAGCGAGGAGGTAGAGAGATTTGCTAAGCTTGCTGGACACGTGAGACTGGTCAGAGGTCGCAAGCTGAGCGAGCAGCGAAGTGCGCCTAACAAGGAATCGGTCTGTGAGTGTGATACGCATCCCCTTTGGGCGTATCTTGCTCTGCTCTGCTCACAACCTCGCGGTTCCTCCTTGCGGCTCCGTAGTGATGGCACTTCAAGACCCGGTCAATCCAGTAGTCGTGCCTCATGCTCTCGCATTTCTAGCTTCAGATCGCTTCTACGCATCACACGGTCGTCTACCCGGGGCCTCCAGGGCCTACACTAGCTTGGTCCATGGAGATGCTCCGTCCAACTACTTTCCCCAAATTCACAACGAGTCCTCTTCGAACGGTCTGGGCTCGTCTCAAGAGAGAGCAAACAAGAGGCAGAAGAGCGACGAGCCAGAAGATGAGGACGAAGAGCTAGTTGCGAACGATGTGGCCGTCTTGAAGGGCATCGCCAAAGAGTTGGCGCAAAGTCTGGGGGTTGATGACGATGAATTATTAGAGAAGGTCGAGCAGGCAGCCCATGAAATGTGAGTGAACCAACCGGCTGGCCGGGATTCGCATTGCGACTTTTCGCTTGACCTGCGCAGCGACGGCTGACGGAAACATGAATCGCCTCGTCTCACAGCGTGCGCTCTGCTCACAGCGGCTTACCTTCGACGTCGGCTTTGCTGGGCGGTGTGGCAGCACAAGAGGCGATCAAACTGATCACGCGTCAGTACCTGCCGATCGACAACACTTCCATCTATGACGGCATACAACAAGCCATTGGTACCTTCAACTTGTAGAGTCAGCAGTACGCGCTCAATGCCAATATGACTACGCCAACGGCGCAATGAAGCTCTGAACAATTGATTCGAAAGTAAGATGCAGCAATATCTACGAGGATCCAAAGCGCGAGCAGATGATCAGCATCAATGAATGTGGATAGGCCCGGGCGGGCGATGTGGTCCTGAAAAAGAGCGTGGTGTGGTGGGAAATGATGGGAAAATCGCTAGGGATGGGCAAAAGATTTCTAGGCGTTGGGAGCAAAGCATTGCTCGCGGTTGAGGCGCGCTCGTCGAATCCAAAGAGGTTTCAGGAAAGATGCGGAGCTATCCAAGATGATGGAATACTGTAGAGATGACGACGACTAGGGAACGTGGGAGGGAGATGTTTGCTGGCGTGTGGGCTGGGGCATTTCAGCTCAACGACCCGTCATGGATACGCCGAGGCCAAACCCGACCGCACCAGGTGCAGGGCTGGCAGGAGTGGAAGGACCGCCAAGCGTCCACTGTCTGCGCAATTGTTCGCACAGAGATCTGAAAGCGGTGGCAGAGCCCTTTTCATGCACCATGTGGCAGCTGGTCGAGTACATGACGTTTTCGCGTTGGGCCGAAGCGCCGCTCTTGCCCGAGTGGTTGCTCAATGCCGGGCTTGCAGCTCCGAATCGACTACCGTTGGATCCCACACTGAGCGCGGGCGAAGCTCCCACATTGGTGGCCGTGTGGCTTAGGGACATGGCGGCAAATTCGACCCGGAAGCGTAGAGGCTTGGAAGCAGAGATGCTTCCTCCTCCATCCCTGATCTCGGGCAAGGAGCACTTGAGCACGTTGGCGTTTTCCGAGTCCTCCACATAAACTTTTGCACCTGGACACGTCTGCAGGATGCGCTTCACCTCGTTGTGCGTCACCGAAAAGTTTTCGACGGAGTACAGAGTGTGATGCACCGTCTTCCACTGGAACAGGCTGGTGAACCAGCTCTGCTTGGGGCTGTTTGGTGCGCCGCCCGAACTGCTTGCTACTGATGCTGGCGTACCTGGCACCGATGCATTGGCTGCCAAGGGGTTCTGCACATTCTTGTTGAGCGTGGCAAGGTCCAGTCCAAGTCCTGCATTCTTCTGCTGTTGCAGTCGCGTCGGACCTCGCGCACCAACGGCACCAGCTGCCAAAGCAGCCTGGCGTGCAGCTCCAGCGTCTTGGAGACGCTCGTAGGCGACAGACGAACGAGCAGACTGAGCTTCATAGGCTGCTGTCTGAGTCTGATCAGCCGTAGAGGAGCTCTTGCGCCTCACACCCAAAAGACTGCGTCTTCTGCCCAAAGTCGGCTGGCGTTCGACTGCAGGCGTCGAGTCGTTCTTGAAGTGGAAGATGCTGTTCGGACGCGAGCCCGTCGGGGCCGCAGGCTTGGGAACGGCACGAGTAGAAGCGCGGTGCTCCTTGTCCACTACCGAGAGAGGAGCAGTGTTCACCGCAGGGCTTGGGAACGTCGGTGGCATCGGCGAAGTTGGGGTATAGGGATAGCCGCTAGACTCTGATCCGCTCTGAACGCTACCGTGATCGCCCGCATCATCGCTGTCCTCGTCAGCATCTTCAAATTGGTTCTGGTGATCGTCCTCGCCTTTAGGGGTAGCCGTCAGGCGAGCCCCGATACCAGAGTTTGCGCGGCTACGGCTGCTCCTGGAGTTGTGTCGAGGGACACTTGGGCGCGCTTGCGCTGTGTCCGAGCTTCCAAGGTTTGCAAGCTGTTCGGTGATGTCCTTCCAGATGCTTTGACCACTGGCCTCTCCTCGACTGCTGCCACCTCGAACGATGCTTGCGGGGCGTCCAGTTGGAGATGCCTTGCTCGGCGACGTAGACGTGCGCGCAAGAGGCTTTGGTGTCAGCTCAGGCGTGCGGGCCGTGTTTGCCCGCGATGGCGTTTTGTCGTCAGGTCTGCTCGGGGAAGTGTTGGGGCGAGAAAGAACGACGCCCTTTACTGGTGTACGATGAGCGTCTTTTTCGCCGCTGGCACGCGTAGGGGAAAGCAGAGGCTTACGACCCGTGTCGAGCGCAGTGCGATCGGGTGAGCGTCCTCCGGTGCGGGGCCCAGCAGGAGACCGACGAGAGTCGATAGAGTTTGCACGACTTGGCGTTGGCGAGGCGTTTGCTTGGCGACCTAATGTCGACACGAAGCTTTTGGCAGGGGAGCTGGGCGCAGAGCCGTGAGCGTATTGCGGATGAGCGGCACTCAATCGGTCGTTCTGAGCGCTGCTAGGCTGAGTACCTCGCACCGGAGAGACAGGGCGAGAGCCGTGCTGTGCTGGTGCATTTGCCTCTATGGATGAGCCAGACGAAGTGGAGCCATCAGCGCGTGCCGAGCGCGAGCGCGAAGAAGAAGACGAGCCATTATCGTTGGAGCGACGGGGACGCGCGCGTTCCTGTTTGCTGGTCTTGAGAAATGTCGAGCCCTGGCTCTCTTCCGCAGCAACAGAGGCAGGTATACCCAAGGCGACTCCGAGGCTGTGGCCGCTGCGTTGTCGAGAGGGTGCCCTGACGGGCCCGGGCTCGAGTTCGGGCTCAGGCTCAGGCTCAGGCTCCTCATCGTCATCCCCTCCATGCTCCTCGCGATGGCGCATCAACAGAGAGTAGAAGATCTTTGGCCAGTTATCTTCGCTGCCACAAAGTTCCGTCATGAGCATCCGTTCGTCGTATTCAGGCCAGAGGGTCTTGAGGTTGCCGAGCAGCTCCACATCAATCGTCGAAGGGTCCATGCGTTCTAATTGACCAGTCTCATCGCGTCCGAGAAGGGGCTGGACGGGATTGTACGAAGACTCGCGGCCACCATTGGTGAACCAAGGGTGCCTCATGATCTGATCCATTCGCAGACGTCGTTCGGGTTGGATCTCAAGCATGCGAGAGATCAAATCCTTGGCGCCTGGTTCGAGGAATGCTGGCATCTCAAAACGACCGCGCTTGACCTTGCTAAGGAGAACCTGAATGTTGGGATCGTCAAACGGCAAGCGTCCGCAGAGTAAGGCGAAGAGAATGATGCCGCAAGACCAGATATCGCTAGCGTCGCCCCTGTATGCCTTGCCGCTGACAATCTCCGGCGAAGCATAATGCGGACTGCCGCAGCTGGTCTCGAGCATCTTTTCTAGAGACACCGGCCCGCTAGGTCCAGATCCCAGAGCGGCCATACCAAAGTCGGCAACCTTGACGATCTGCTTTGTGGCGTCCAGCAACAGATTCTCTGGCTTCAAGTCACGGTGGCAGATTTTATGCTGGTGGCAAAAGTCGAGACCGAAGATGATCTGACGGAAGTAGGACCGCGCCTCATCTGGCTTCAATCTACCTTTGGCGACCAAGTGGTCGAAGAGCTCTCCGCCGGCGACGTACTCCATGACGAGGTACCTGTATGCAGACATTGGCTAGTCAGCTGCCAGCTCAGTGAGCTTCCGCAGTCGGCAGCCGACTCACAATTCTTTCGAAGTCTCGTAGACATCCCAAAGACCGATCAAATTGGGGTGCTCGATGAGCTTCATGATGACGATTTCCCGTTCGATGCCGAGCATCATCTTGTCCTGCTTTGCGCTCGCGTCGCGAAGAGAGACACGGGATGAGAGGATGAGCTGCTTGGGTACAATCTTGACAGCAGCTTGCTTGCCGGTGTATTTGTGTCTGGCCAGGCGGACGCGACCTGACGCAGGGCCAAGGGAAGTAGTAAGGCGATCTAGGTCAGGATGGAGGAGCGTGACGAGCGCGTCTTGCGCAGACTCACCGCTAGCGCCCTGACCAACAAGCTTTTCGAGCACCCAAGGACCGATCTCTGCGGGATCGCGGTGCTCTCGCCGCTTCTCCGTAGCCAAGCGACCGCTGGGTTTACTAGCTTCTCGCTCTTGCTGCTCGCGCTCCTTGCGGGCTCGCCTCTCACGCTCAGCATCGCGGTCCGACTTGGAAGTAGGACGAGCAGCAGATGAGGCGGCCTGGTAAGTGTCGCGAGTGCGAGGCGCTGCGCTCGTCGCTGCTGCTCGAGCGGCTGAAGAAGGCGGCGCCATGGAGCCTTTGACGGGAGACGCCGGACGACCTGAAGCATGATGATTGGCCACTGAGCTCGGCTGCAGCGCAGCACGCGCAGTCGACGAGCCTCTTGAAGTCATCGCTGCTGGTGCCGTCGTCAAGACAAGCAGGCTGATGTGGAATTCAGACCCGCGACCCCAAGGCGAAAGGATGAAATGTGCTTGTGGAGGCTATTCTTGGTCGAGTCGAATCAACGCAAATGATCTTGAAGAAGTCGAAAGTCGGAGAGGACGGGGAGGGAGAAGGAGGAATATGGTGGGCTTATGTGGGTGATGATACCTGAACAGGAGAATCTAAAGGCGAATGGAGAAGAGGGAGCCGCAAGGATGACCGGGTTGATGATGGGTCAGCGGAGAGGAGGCTCGCTATCCAAAGCGGCTGATTGCGTTCAGCAGGTGTTTGCTAGGAGTGCCGTAAGCGTGCTCACCCGAACGTCGCTAACCGTCTTTGGGACGTGAGCGGTGGCTAGGAAGGCTGGGCGACTCGGGCTCTGCAACTCAGGAGCTCGCTCAGTAGCAGTAGCACAGGCAGCGGAGAGGGGGTTGAGTGGGAGCGTGGGACAAGCACATTGGTGGCCAACGATATCAGCTTGGTCGTTGTGCAGTGTGCGACGTTGACCGTCAATTCAAGCGTTGATCAAATCGGGCTGATGCAGACAAGGGAGAAGGGCCAGGCAGAGAGTCAGACGAAGCGTGGCCCTGCCTGACACTTCTGGCGGTTCAACCGACGTGACCGGCGATCTGCAGCTGCTCTTTCCGCAACGATCAGGCTTCTCGCAACAAGCAGTCGAGGCCTCGGACAAGCACCGCTGTGTGCGCATCGGAGCGTACAGCGCGAGTGAAGGGTCACGGCGGGGCAGCGGATTGGAGCAACAAGCATCAGCAAAGCAAACATGCTCGATGCACGGCAGTAGAGTTCAAACGGGTCGGACCTGGGCTGCACATTGACCGTCAAGGCGCGCAAGGCGTAGCGAGGAGAGGCATCGCAATGTGCCCTCCTGCTGCTCTGCCTTTCTCGCTGCAAGCTATCAACTTGGGTGTCCCATAAAGGGCCGAATGCAGATGGAGCAGGCCATGAGGATGTCCAACCAGCGTGACAAGGTGGCAGCCCTGTGGCGGCGGGGCTAAGGCTAGCGGTTGAGGGAACGAGCGAGCATCATTTCCGTAGCTTAGGATGGCACTGTACCAATGTGCAGTACTCGTGACTTCTGGACAGTCGAAGGTGGCTGCCGGTGACGGTAAAGGTGCATGAATGCTGCGAATCAAGCTCAATGGTTGGGTCGGGGCTCGCGTGAGATTGAGGGGGGCGCGCCGACGATCAGGTTGAGATGGATCGATGGAAGGGGTAGCAAATGTAGGCTACTCGACTGCCGCGTTGTGCGTGGCCTGCTGGCTGCCCACTGGCTGGCTGGCTGGCTGGCTGAGCGAGCGAGTGATAGGACGAAGTGAAATGCACGCCAGTCGTGAGTCATCTTTCAATCGAAAGAACCTTTTGGGGGACGCGGGGGGCGGCTTGCACATCCTGCACATCCAGATCAACATGTCACCAACCTGCTCGGCATGTGCATCACATATATATCCATCGCCACGGCGCGTTCAGCATGCAGAGCGCATCGCATCACGTGTTCCCCACCAGGAGCTGAGTTCGAGAATATTTGATACGCATTGAAAGCAGATGGCTCACGTGTATCTGAGCTTCATGGCTTTGCGGCGAGCCCGTGCGCATACAGCCCGCGAGCATGCAGCATGCGCGAAGTTCGACGACGACGCTTGCCGGATGACTCTGCGCGCGCAGCGCTGTCGTGATGCTTATTGCCAGCGCCAGCCATGCATGGATAAGTGGATGGCAGCAGGAAGACCTCGTTGCTGTGCGCACAGCTCGCCCGCGCACGCACGCAACCAGTCGTGAGTGTCAATCGGACTCATGGACTGTTGCGGATGCACTCAGACTTGTCCGTTTGGTTGCACGGCACACAGCACCGAGCTAAGTCGACGGCGACATAGCTTCCTACAACCATTTCCCGACGGCTTCAGCACATCTTCACTTCACTCCTTTCTGCTGTTGCATCGTCTTGTGAACCTTTGAATCGCACTCGTAGCGACGTCCCTTGCTCCTAGCCTCACGCAAAGCAGCCGATAGAGCGCCGTGATAGCACGACCAAGGGTCGCCTGACCCCCTACTCTTCGTCCCTTCTACACTCGACCCACCGCACTCGACACACCTGCCTCCGGTACCATTCAAGATGGGCGACAAGCCCATCAACTTCAACGAGCATGTCCAGCTCACTGCGCTGGGCATTCAGCCCGATAGCATCAGCTTTGCAAATGTGACGATGGAAAGCGAACGCTTTGTTTGCGTTCGAGAAAATGTCAATGGACAAAATAGCGTCGCAATTGTGGACTTGAATGACTCTGCAAATTTGTAAGTGCTCTGCTTGTCATCGAAGAGCTACGAGGAGCAGCTGGTTGATCATTGCTTCGCGGCCAATGCTTAGAATGAGACGGCCGATCACGGCAGACTCTGCAATAATGAATCCGGTGCAGAAGATCATTGCGCTCAAGTCGCAGAGACAGCTGCAGATCTTCAACATTGAGGCAAAGGCGAAGGTCAAAAGCCATCTGAGTGAGTCTGTTTGCACTGCTACCTGCCGTCCTATTAGCAGCTTGGCTCAAGGTGTGCTCCTCCGTTGCGCACGCAGTGCACGAGGATGTCACCTTCTGGAAGTGGATTAGCAACACAAGTCTGGGTATCGTAACAGAAGGCTCGGTGTATCACTGGTCGATGGAAGGCGAGGCAGGACCTCAGAAGATCTTCGATCGTCACGCATCTCTTGCAGGCGCTCAGATCATCAATTACCGGGTATCGGAGGATGAGAAGTGGTTGGTGCTGATCGGAATCACTGCCAACAATGCGCCAGGAGCTTTCAGAGTCAAGGGTGCAATGCAGCTCTACAGTCGCGATCGAGGGGTCTCGCAACCCATCGAAGGTCACGCAGCTTCCTTTGCCGATCTCAAGACTACGGATGCGCCAAACCCCTTCAAGCTCTTCACCTTCTCCGTCCGCACGGCCACTGGCGCAAAGCTTCACGTTGTGGAGATCGACCACCAGCAGGGCAATCCGACTTTCACGAAGAAGGCGGTAGATGTATTCTTCCCGCCTGGTGAGTACGATCAGCGCAGGCATTTGCAAGGCGAAGAGCCGGTGGCCTATGTTTTCCTTGCGCGTTGAATCCTGAGTCTGGAATCTAATCGCTTTGTCCTTGCCCTCTCTTGCCCATGCAGAGGCAACAAATGACTTCCCCGTGGCGATGCAGGTCAGCAAGCGCTACGGCATTGTCTACTTGATCACCAAATATGGCTTCATCCACCTTTACGATTTGGAGTCTGGAACGTGCATCTACATGAACCGTATCAGTGGTGAGACTATCTTTGTGACGGCTGAGCACGAGACGACCAGCGGCATCATTGGGATCAACAGGAAAGGTCAAGTGCTGTCGGTTTCGGTTGATGAGGGAACGATCATTCCATACATTCTTAGGACCCTCAACAACACTGAGCTGGCCTTCAAGCTTGCTTCGCGCGGTGACTTGCCAGGAGCGGACGATCTGTACATGCAGCAGTTCCATCAGCTATTCAGTACGGCGCAATATGGCGAGGCAGCCAAGATTGCAGCCAACTCTCCCAGGGGCATTTTGCGAACAACGCAGACCATCGAGCAGTTCAAGCAGGTACCTAACCAGCCGGGCAGTCTGTCTCCCATCCTTCAGTACTTCGGTATTCTCTTGGAGAAAGGCTCTCTCAACAAATTCGAATCGCTTGAGCTTGCTAAGCCTGTCCTTGTTCAAGGTCGCAAGCATCTGCTGGAGAAGTGGCTGAAGGAGAACAAGATCGAATGCAGCGAAGAGCTGGGTGACATCGTCAGACAACACGACATGAACCTGGCTCTGAGCGTCTACCTGCGAGCCAACGTCCCTAACAAGGTGGTCGCTTGTTTTGCAGAGACCGGCCAATTCAACAAGATCGTCTTGTACGCCAAGAAGGTTGGCTACACACCCGACTACGCCGCCCTTTTGCAGCACATTGTCCGCATCAGCCCCGAGCAGGGTGCGGAGTTTGCTAGTAGCCTTGTTGGCGAGGAGGGCGGCCCTCTCGTTGACGTTGAGCGCGTGACGGACATCTTCATGGGCCAGAACATGATTCAACAAGCTACATCTTTCTTGCTTGACGCACTCAAAGAAAACAAGCCGGAGCAAGCCCACTTGCAAACGAGACTTCTCGAGATGAACTTGGTCAACGCTCCGCAGGTTGCAGATGCTATACTTGGCAACGAGATGTTCACCCACTACGATCGCCCTCGCATCGCCAACCTGTGCGAGAAGGCTGGCCTACTCCAACGCGCACTGGAGCACTACGAGGCCGATGCAGACATCAAGCGCGTGGTCGTCCACTCCAACCTTTTGGATGCTACTTGGCTCGTGGACTACTTTGGACGTCTGACTGTGGAGCAAAGCTTGGACTGCATGAAGGAAATGCTGCGCGTCAACATTCGCCAGAACCTGAGCGTCGTTGTTCAAATTGCAACAAAGTACTCTGACTTGCTCGGGCCCACGAAGCTCATCGAGATGTTCGAAGGCTTCAAGAGCTTCGAGGGACTCTACTACTACCTTGGCAGCGTTGTCAACCTCTCGCAAGATGCAGAGGTGCACTTCAAATACATTCAGGCCGCTACTCGTACCGGACAAATCCGAGAAGTCGAGCGCATCTGCCGCGAGAGCAACCACTACAATGCAGAAAAGGTCAAGAACTTCCTCAAGGAGGCCAAGCTTTCCGACCAGCTGCCGCTCATCATCGTGTGCGACCGTTTCGGATTTGTTCACGATCTTGTGCTCTACCTCTACCAGAACATGCTCATCAACTTTATCGAGGTTTACGTCCAGCGAGTCAACAGCTCCAGGACGCCACAAGTTATTGGTGGTCTTCTGGATGTGGACTGCGATGAGGGCGTCATCAAGAACCTTCTCACGTCCGTCACTGGCCCCATTCCTGTTGACGAGCTCGTAGAGGAAGTGGAGAAGCGCAACCGCCTCAAGCTCATCTTGCCTTGGATCCAGTCGCGCATCGACGCTGGCGCTACAGATCAGCCCTTGTTCAACGCCATAGCCAAGATTTACATCGACAGCAACAACAATCCTGAGAAGTTCCTCAAAGAGAACAACCAGTACGATCCCCGAGTTGTCGGGAAGTACTGCGAGAAGCGGGATCCGTATCTTGCGTACATTGCCTATGCGAAGGGTTTCTGCGATGAAGAACTCATTGCTATCACGAACGACAACACCATGTTCAAGCACCAAGCTCGCTACCTCGTTATGCGCCGTCAGCTCGACCTGTGGTCTACCGTGCTCCAACCGGACAACGTGAACAGGCGCCAACTTATTGACCAGGTCACCTCGACGGCCGTGCCCGAGTCCACGAATCCAGATGACGTCTCCGTCACTGTCAAGGCGTTCATGGCTGCTGACTTACCCCACGAGCTCATTGAGCTTTTGGAGAAGATCGTCCTCGAGCAGTCGGCGTTCAACGACAACCGCAGTCTTCAGAACTTGCTCATGCTCACCGCTGTGCGCACCGACAAGGGCAAAGTGATGAACTACATCGACCGTCTCTCTGGATACGACGTCGATGAGATTGCAAAGATTGCGATCGATCATGGCCTTTACGAAGAGGCGTTCCGCATTTTCAGCAAGGCAGAGCAGCACACTGATGCTATGAACGTGCTCGTCGAGCATGTTGTCAGCATTGAGCGTGGCCAGCAATATGCGAACAAGCTGAACAAGCCAGAAATTTGGAGCCGATTGGGTAAGGCGCAGCTCGACGGTCTGCGTGTCAAGGATGCCATCGACTCGTACGTCAAGGCGGAAGATCCGAGCAATTACGCCGAAGTCATCGAGATTGCCGAGCATGCTGGTAGAGAGGAAGAGCTCATCCGCTTCCTCCAAATGGCACGCAAGAAGGCGAGAGAGCCGCAGATTGACACCGAGTATGCCTACTGCCTTGCCAAAGCCAACAGGCTTGGCGACATGGAGGAGTTCTTGGGCATGACCAACGTTGCTGACATTATGAGCGTTGGAGAGAAGTGCTTCAATGATGAGCTGTACGAGGCTTCGAAGCTCTTGTTCAGTAGCGTGTCCAACTACGCTCGACTGGCCACCACACTAGTATACCTTGGCGATTATCAGGCTGCTGTTGATGCGGCTCGCAAGGCCGGCAACACCAGCGTCTGGAAGCAGGTCCACGCAGCTTGCTTGACCAAGCGCGAGTTCAAGCTCGCGCAGATCGCTGGTCTAGCCGTCATTCCGCACGCAGAAGAGCTGCCCTCCCTGATCAAAGCTTACGAGCAAGAGGGTTACTTCGACGAGCTCTTGACCCTTCTCGATGCTGCGCTCGGTCTGGAGCGCGCTCACATGGGTGTATTTACGCAAGCTGGTATCGCGCTCGCCAAGTACCGCCCCGAGCGCTTCATGGAGCATCTCAAGCTGTACTGGAGCCGCAGCAACCTGCCTCAACTCATTCGTACGGCTGACCAGTGCCACCTCTGGGCGGAACTGGTCTTCCTGCACCTCAAGTACGACGAGCCTGACAATGCCGCTCTGATCATCATGGAGCGCGGTGGTGTGGCTTGGGAGCACGACCTCTTCAAGACGATCTTGCCTAAAGTTGCAAATCTGGAAATCTACTACCGAGCACTCTCATTCTATCTGGAACAGCACCCACTCCTCTTGACTGATCTGCTCACCGTCCTGTCGGCTCGTATCGACCACGCTCGTGTCGTGCGCATGTTTGCGCGCAAGGACAATGACAACCTGCCGCTGATCCGAGGATACCTCATATCCGTGCAGCGTCACAACATCGAGCAGGTCAACGACGCGTTGGCAGACTTGCTGATCGAAGAGGAAGACTACGAGACTCTTCGCTCGTCCATCGATGCGTACGACAGCTTTGACGCCATCTCATTGGCGCAACGCTTGGAGCGCCACGATCTGTTGGAGTTCCGCAGGCTCGCTGCCCACTTGTACAAGCACCGGTCAAGATGGACTGAGTCCATCGATCTCAGCAAGAGCGACAAGCTCTGGCGCGACGCCATCGAGACGGCCGCAGTTTCTGGAGAGGCGGAAGTAGCCGAGGGCTTGCTGTCCTACTTTGTCGATATCGGCATGAAAGAGGCTGTCTCTGCTGTGCTGTTCGCTTGTTATGATTTGATTCACGAAGATGTCGCCGAGGAGCTCTCGTGGCGACACGCTCTGGTAAGTCGGACTCAAGTCTTGTTGTGGCGATGTTTCAGAGACTCATGCCGCACTGCTCTCCATCAGCACGATTATCTGATGCCTTATCGATTGCAACGGATGCGGGACCGAGACACGCGCTTCAAGGCGTTGGAGAAGGAAGTTCGAGAAAGATCACTCAAGGATACGGCGAAGGAGAAAGCAGAGGAGGATGCGCCCATCCTCGGCCCTGGAATGGGCGGCACTCTGATGATCACTCAGGGAGCGACAGGGTGAGCACAAAGCTGTTCGTCGAGGTTATTTCTGTTCTCTTACATTTGACTGACGCGCATCACGCTACCACCGATTGCAGGATGAATGGTCCACCCGTTGGCGTACAACCGACCGGCTTTGGCATGGGTTACTGAACCCATCAACGACCTTCACTTTGTCAGCGGCCATCCCTTCTCTGCTTTGTAATTGAACCCACTTGTGCGCGAAATCCTACCCTTTTGACCCTGCTTCAGTTTGGCACTGCGTGCATACAGTCAAATGCGTGTTCATCTCTGCCATTGCGAAGGGGGTAAAGTGTGTGGGTGGTAAGGTACATGTGTGAAAGGGGAAGGAAGCGCTGACATCAAGTCAGGTCTTGCTGAAGATCAGCGCATTCTGTAGCCGGCCGATCATCCTAGAAGGTCGAAATTGCTAGCAGAAGGGGCAGCGCGCGCATTCACGGTCGGCTCGCTGCAGACACGAAAGGGTAAGACGTGTCAGCATGGGTGGGAAAAGGCTCAATGTGGTATGAGCGTGGCGTGCATACTCACGGATGATAAGTCCAGACCGCCAAGGGTTTGGCAGAGGTGACGGGGACGAAAGAAACCCACGGAGAGGCGGAGGTCGTCTCGCTGCTAGAGTGTGCCTCCGAATCGGAACCTGCGGCAGGAGATTCGCTGGCTCGAGCAGATGCGGTGGGAGAAGCGTTGCTAGACACGAGCGTCACCGCATTGCGCCAAGCTGCTGCGGCGATGCGCTGTGTGGCACTGGCTGTGCTTTCACTGACACTTGCTGAGCTTGGCGAGGTCGACATGGTTGATGCCGTTTCCGCCGAGGAAAGCGCGCTAGTCGTGGGCGTCGCACTAGAGGTGATCATCGCCGAAGGCACAGTCGGAAAGGCAGAGGGCGCGTCGCGCAACGCTTCCACGGCACTGGCATGTGTCGGCAAAGGCGCCGTCTTGGTTTGGCCTTTGATACTCTCAGCTCCGCCCGACGAGGTGCTGAACGAAGAAAAAACAGAAGCGGGCGACGATGCAGTGGATGCGCCGAAAGCCATTTGAGATCCTGCCGCCTCAGTGAGGTTCCCCTCCTTCGCTTGCTGGTCCTTCAAGTTCAAGGGAAGCTTGCCGAGAATGCCGCTCAAAAGTCCGCTCGCTTGGCTGCCAGTAAGCCCCGAGAGGAGGCCGGACGCTCCAGCAACAGCGCCCTGTCCCTGATTCAAAACTCCAGAGAGCTGACCGCCGACCAAAGGAAGGCCATTGAGCGTGCCTTGTGCATTGCTCAGGGGACCGGTGACCGCGTTCGGAGTCAACAAGGAAGTGAGAGATCCGACATTGATACCCTTGCTGGCAAGCGCACGAATGGTGCTCGCATCGAGTCGAAGGCCCAGCTGCGTTAGCTGACCCAGCTGATCAACGTCGACACCTTTTGAGGCTAGAGCAGCGATGGTGGCCGGGTCAAGACTCAGTCCTGAAGACAGTCCCGAAGCGAGACCCGGCAGAGGCAAAGACTTCGCTGCAAATTGGTAAGCCGAATCCGCAGTCTTGCTCGATGCGCCAGCGCTCGCTGTAGGGGTCGCGGTCGCATTCTGCACATTTTGAGTGGTGTTGCTGGACAGAGGCTGCTCCTTGAGAGTCTGCAATTGAGCGGGACTCAGCAGCCCTGGGTTCGCACTGGCAGCAGCGAGATCAGCAGCGTCGATGAGTGGCGGCTCTCCATCTTCCGCTTGAGCTTCGGCATTAGCCACACTCTGCGCTGCAGCTGCAGCTGCATCGGCGGGTGTCCAGTTAGGGCCGGAAGCGCCTGTCGTAGCTGCACCCTGTAAGGCGCTTTGCAGTGCTTCAATGACCTCTGGAGTCAATGAGGCCAAGCCAGGCGTCTTCGAAGCTACAGATTGAGTGGGAAGCAGGTTCTCTAGACTCGAAGGCAGCGTCGCAGGAAGCGACCCAGACCCGAGAAGACCAGAAGCCAAAGGTAGACCGCCCGCGAGGCTTCCAAGAATCGAGCTTGGGGCAGCTACTGTGCCCAGAATACCAGACAGAGCGGTCGGAAGGCCAGCATTGGCGCCGCCTGCCAGACCGCCAACACTTGCCGAGCCAAGCAAGGCGCTAAGAGCGTTAGGGTCCAAAGAGGCCGGCAGTGCTAAAAAGTCCTGGGCTGACAACTTTGCACCGAGCTGTGAAGCCTGACCGGCGCTTGCTGACCCAAGGATACCCTGAAGCTTTGAGAGCTCAGCAGGACTGAGCTGAGGCGCTTGCTGTACGGGAGCTGTTCGGCCTAAAGCATTGGAAGAGCCGAGCAAGGCTTGTAAGCCGGGCAACTGAGCAGCTTGCTGGACCTGTGCTGCTTGTTGAGGCAACGAGCCGACCAGTGAAGACAGCTGAGGGTTTATCGTGCTCGAGACGGGAACGCTTTGGGCTAAGCCTGGCAGAGCATTCGTAAGACTCGAGAGGCCGCCACTCGGTCCTTGTAGGCCACCGAGAGCAATAGCGAGCGGAGAGTATCCTTGCTGTAGGGTGTTGCTGAGCGGCCAGCTTGCCTGCGGCGCCGCCCCAGATAGGAGGGACGCAAGTTGAGCAGCGATGTTAGCTGCTTGGTTCTGCGCAGTGTTGGCGCCATTTCCCAGCCCCGAGAGTGCAGGAGGCAATTGACCGGTCACACCGCTTGAAATGCTCCCCAGCGGTGATGTTCCAAGACTTTGCTGCAGAGCGTTGGCCACACCGCTGAGCTGGGATGCGGACAAGCCTGGGAACGCTTGGGATAGCGCCCCAGTCAGAGCCGAAGCGGCGGCATTGCCGTAATTGGTAACTGGTCGGACGCCGTTGAAGACTGCATCTGGATCGCTGAGCGCATCTAGGCCTTGCGAGGAGTCACCAATGATTGAACCTTGCAATCCTCTCACGAGTCCTTCCATTGCAGCTCTTTGCTCCGAAGTGAAGTCTTCTGTGCACCATAGGGAGGCGATCAAAGTTAGCCTCCGCCTGTTCGAGCTTCCCGATCATGCTACACTGGAACTCACCTTTTGAGGATTCGCCTTGACGTTTCCCAAGTGTCTCTGGGTTAGCCTGGGCTTGAGAGGATTCGGCGCGTCGAAAAACTCGGTCTTGGCCCTCCAGCTCGTCAAAGTCATCGGCGTCAGCATCGCAGTCGTCTTCCTCGCTTTCATCTGCGCGCGTGACAAATTCCTCGTTCTGCAAGTCGTTGTCCTGATCGTTGGCACTCAGAAAGTTAATGTGAAGCCCATCCTCTGTGTCGGCGTCCGACACGAAAGCGCCATCATCAGCATCCGCATCCACTTCTGCTTGCGTGTCCGAGCTTGCCACGTTGTCGACATGACTATGCACGGTGACAAGTCGTTTTCTGAGATCCTCGGCAGTCGAGTCATCATCCGCAGGGGCGTCAGGCGAATCGGCCTCGGGAGCTGCATCGTTCGCAGGAGGCTGCATCTTGGCAGCGGCGGGCCTCGAGGTGGGCTTGGCTTGCTGCCAATAAGTATGTGTACGCGTGCGAGTGGTAGTGACCGTCGTGTAAGGCGTCTCATAACCGTATCGATGACCTCCATGACGCTCGTGCTCGCGCTCATAATCGTACGAGTGGACATGCTCGGAGGTGTGACCGTGGTTCTCGGGAGCAGCTACATCTTGTGCCTCGTCAGCGGCCCTCAGCGCAAGCCACACTCTGCGAAGGACGCCCGCAGAGGCTCTTGCAGATGGTCTGACATCTTTGATCAAGCTCGAAGTGTCTGCCAGAGACTGTTGAGCGGAGCTTGACGAGGAAGACGCGCTTGCGCTGCGCCGAACACGGACCATCCCGCTCGCCCCATCCGCGCGATTCAAGGTGTGGCGCTTCGACTTGGCAGTGCTCCGACGGGAGCCAGCCGCAAAGTCAGCCGGCTTGTTTGTTTTCGCCGGTTCTTCGGAAGCGGTGCTGCTAGGAGCGATCACCATCACGCTAGCCGTGACCGTAGTGGTCGAATTGGCTTCCTGCTTGGCTTTGTTGGCCGCCTGTATGGACCCGGTAGAAGTCGGCTTGGTGGCTTCTGCCGTGACGGTCAACGTCACTGTGGACCTGGGCTTGTCGACGCCTGCAACGGCGCTCGAGCTGACGTCAGCAGAGGTCACGAAAACAGAGTCGTGAACAGCAGGCTGTCCATTGATAGGCTGACTGGCTGCTAGAGCGAGAGCAGCGGCAACAGCGGGAGCGCTTGCGGCGGTGAGCTTCATGTTTACAGTATTAGAGAGCGGTGCTTCGATCCCAAAAGCCTATAGGGCAAGGATAAGAGGACCTTGAATGAGATGGATTGGTCGCGGCGGAACAGCTGATAGGACGTAGACCAGCTACGTATGTGAAGCCTGAAAGGTGGGAAGCAGATGTGATCTGGATAAAGTATAAGCAAACGTGTGAGGCAAGAACGGATGGCAATAGCAGGGATGACACGACAAAAGAGAATGATAGAAGGAAAGGAAAAGAGAGAGTCAAGCGAGAGCGGGAAGCCAATAAGCTGTTTCATATGTGTAGAGCTTGCCTCACCTCCCCTTGGAGGGCGCGTTTACGCATCCGCACTGCGCACAACTTGGTCGTCTGCGAGCAGTAAAGCTGACCGTAGCCGCAACGGCTGCCATTCTTGTCCGTCTTCAAGCAGCAGCGTAGCTGACCGTGCGAGACATAGCATCACGCTTCTTCTATACGTGATGGCAGCCAAGCGCCTGCCACAACAGTGACGCGCCTTCTGCAAGTCGACCGTTGCACTCCAATAACGGTCGCCTGTTGAGGACCGGTGCTGGTCGAATTAGTGAGTGTTCACGCAACATCGCCAGCGCGACGCGACAGCAGACGAAGCCTCAGAAGACTGATGTGGTCTTCGACAACGGTCGAGTCCGTGAGATGCCAGCGCATACCCTCCGAGCGCTGGGTTACCCTCCTCTGACGGATGGATGAAGGTCACATCAGTCAGAGTCACGAGTGTGCGTGCGTGCGCGTGCCTGTCTTTCGCCCGTCCGTCATCTAGCGGCACGAGACCGCGCCAGTCGTGAGTGCCAGTCAAAAGTGTGTGCTTGCGGGACAGCCGGCCGAGTGCTCACGTGACTACAATTAGGCACCGGCGGTAGGTCACGCGAGCTTTGCCTTCGCGGACCAACGGCATGCAGTCGCGAGGCTCGTTCGAGAAGTCATCACTGAGAGAGCTACCGTAGGGAACACTGCTGAAGGGTGACGACAGCGCAGAGAAAGCCTCGAGTCGAAGAAGAATACGCTGCGCAAAGCATCCGTGTGTCCACGCATCCTATAGCACATTCGCTGGCCGTGACTGATGCGTGAAGAGGCGTGACCAGTAACGCGCGCAATCATGAGTTGCGGGTGCCGCGCGGGCGTCTGCATCCAATTGCAGATCCCCTCCAAACACCAGAGCCAGGCTCCAAAGCAAGGATCGAGAGCGAATCATCTCCATCTCGAATGGTCAATGAGGATTCACGGATTGTAGAGTCAAGATTTCAAGAAGATTTAAAAGTCTGGCGTCTAACGCCGCAAGTTCTCAGGCCAACCCACGTCATCACAAGTTGCATTAGCCTGACTGGGCGTGATGCCGCGTGTGAAGCACAGCCGCGTCAGCGAAGAATAGACGCCGGCCCTGTTGCTGCTGCATGCAAATGCTGAGCTGGTAGACACGCTACGGCAAGTTCCGCACCTGCATCTGCATCCAGACTCGGTCTTCCGTCGAAGAGGGCTCGCTAGGCGTCTTTTGACTGACGATCGACTGTTCAAACTCAGGTTGAAGTCACGAGTATAGCCCCTTCACGATCTGGGATGAGCCACGGAAAGGACCCTCGTTTTTTGTTGCACCCGCGATGCATCCCTGCCCGCGCTCTGACGTATGTGGTTTCATCCCTCGTTTGCACGTACAGCTCGCCAGGACTGGCTCAGCTCGAACCGTCGGCCTATGCTCGCTTGATTCGGAATGCGTGATCGAGGGCCCTGTACCAGTATCGGTGATCGTGTCCTAAGCATCGGCAAGATAGTCATAAGGCAAGCTGGAAGCGCCTAGCGTGTGTCACACACCCACTCTTGCCCTGACGCGCTGGGGATGCATCGTAGCAGACGATCCGCCACGACGCAGACGAGGCCGCGTGGAGGGGCTCTTGCGTGAGGGGCAGCTGCGCCCACCCCTTTTTCTGACGTGGAGCTCCGGTGCGCGTGATTGTTAATTGTATTTCAAGCTTTGACTGTCAAACTCTTTTCTTTGAATTTCTTGCACTTTCGACTCTTGACTCGAACAGAATTTGGAGAGGCGCCCCGGACTGACATTTGGTTCCCCGCCTTGAGCTGAGTTCCAGCTTGCACAAGCCTTGATTCAAATTGCTTTCTGCTCAAGACTACTCTTCAAGATGATTACCAATCTATAAATTCAAAGTCATCAACTATTCGAAAGTCAAATGTCGCACAACTCTTATTCAATAATTGGTAATCTTGGTCGTGAATAAGCATGTCAATTCGAGTTTGAATGCGAGCTCTACCAAATCATCAATCAAAATGCAGCATCCTCCGAATTCGTCTCGTGCGTCTCACAAATCCATCTTGACTGGTCAGGTACCGGAACCGCGCTTGCCGCCACGATGCATGAACTACGCTGCGATATGAGTATAGGTACCCGTACTCGCGCCGCTATCACGTATAGGCCACAGCAAAGTTGAATGTACAAATTTGTCCATGGGCGGTACGTGTGGTGCATGCTGGTTGGTGATCGAGCCAGCCACCGCGTATGGAGCGCAGCGGGCCCTCTGTGCGAGCTGCATGGCGGCGGCGGATTGCCAAGCATGCAGCAAAGCGCTGATGTGCCGCGTGCTCGCGTTCAGCTTCAAACGGCGCGCGGTCGCACAGTTCGCGGTGTTGTCCAAATCTAGAAATCATCGAATTCTGCCTCCGCAAGATGGTTCGCTTGCAACTCTTGAGTTTGACTCCCAACTGTTTTATTCCACCGGATGCAATCCTCTCACCTCGACGATCACGACGACAAAGGAGGCGCAGCGATTTTGGTGACCTTCCGCGCCTGGCCTTCATCACCACATCACCAAAACCTCGAGGAGTTGTGACTTCTTTCTACGACTAGTCTGCCTTGCAAGTCACATTCACGTGCGGTGATCGCGAGTCGATCTCGCCGTCTCTCAATTCATCTATAGCATCCGGTCTCTCCCTTCGACTCCTCGGACACGACCGGCGCTCCCACGTTGGAGCGAATCTCAAGTCCAACGAGCTGCGCTCGTCGCCTTGTCATCTTCAGCGTCGTCAAAGGCAATCTCGACGGACGCGGCAACCGCCCCAAACATGTCAGATTCAGCGCAGACCGAAGGCGGTGGAGGAGGAGGCGGCAATGTGATAGCTGACAGACTGTCTGCCGCACTGGTGAGTCAAAGCTGCAGATCTCAATTTGCCGGGAGGATTGCATGCTGCGAGAGCTCCATGTTGTGGACGAGCCAGTGCTGATGGATTCTGATCTGCTGTTCGCACGTAGAATGACAGCGCCAAGCTGGATGGAGGGAGAGTTGCGATCGCTGCTGGCGCTTTTATCGGACTAGCTGCCATCACGCTACTTGGATTCGAACTGGTTCGTGGCAACAACAAGATGGTCTACGAGCCCAAGCGCAAGTACGCCGAAGCAGGCGCACCTCCTCTGAAACCAGTCAGGTACAGACCGCTTGGCTGGCTGACGAAGTACAGCGAAGAGGAGCTCTTGCCCTTGGTCGGTCTTGACGCGATAACCTTCCTGCGCTTCACGAGAATGATGCGCTGGCTCACCACCTGCCTAGCGATTCTGTTGTGCGCGGTGCTGATTCCCGTGGATCTGGTGTCCAGCGCTAACGGGATACCGACCAGTGGTGGTAATGATCAAGACCCTGGTCTACTTCGAAGGTTTACGATTCAAGCAGTGAGCGGTGGTGCGATTTGGGCCCACGTCATCATGAGCTACGTGGCAACTGGAGTCATCATTTTCTTTCGTGAGTGTTTCTGCACTCGACTTGCGATTCGAGTGCAATCATCACGGGGTTCACCGAGCATCTGCATCCTTTTGGCTCCTCTGCGCAGTCATCATCAATTATCGAAAGATGGTGCAGCTCCGGTGGGCTTGGTTCCGAAGTCCAGAGTACCAGGACCAATTCTACGCTCGTACCTTGATGATGACGAATGTGCCCAAGCAGCTGCAATCGGACGCAGCGCTCAGCGGTTTGCTGTCGACCATAGGCATGCCGTATCCCACTACAGAGGTGCACATCGGACGCGTGGTGGGTGCTCTACCTGACCTCATCGAGAAGCACGAAGAGACTGTGCGCAATCTGGAGCGCGTACTCGCTCGCTACTTGCGCGACCCCAACAAAGTACCCGCGAAGAGGCCCACAGTCAAGGTTGGCGGCATCTTTGGACGCACAGTCGATGCCATTGACCACTACACAGAGCAGATCCAGAAGTACGAGGCTGCGATCAATCAATGGAGAGAACGTATAGCCGAGAAGAAACCCGAATCCTTTGGTTTCGCGTCACTTGCATCGGTCCCTTATGCGCACGCGGCGGCTCGCTCTCTGCGTGGTAAGAAGACGCAAGGGGTACGGATTACGCTCGCGCCGGCACCAAAAGATGTCATATGGCACAACCTCACACTGTCCAACGCCGCTAGGCGACGGTCAAGCGTTATCGGCTTCCTGTGGCTCGTCTTGCTCTGCTTCGTCAACGCAGTTCCATTGCTTGCCGTTGCTCTCATCTCGCAGATGGCCACCTTTCGCGACATCCACTTCCTCGGCGCCTGGTACGCGGAGAGTGCGGCAACATTCCAAGGAGTTGCCGCTCTCGTGCCGCCAGCCATTTCTGGCTTGTTTGGCTACTTCTTGCCTATTCTGATGCGTCGCATCGCCAAGTACAGAGGAACTACGACTCGCACCCGCCTCGACAGAATTATCACCAGCCAGTACTTTGCTTTCCTGGTCATATCGCAATTCCTGATCTTCACCCTGGTCGGGGTTGCGATTTCTGTCATCGTGGGCCTCATCAACAGGGTCGGACAGCACGAGTCTTTCGGCCAAATTTTCAATTTTCTCCGAGGTAACGTCGCAAATCAAATCCTCGTTCAGTACATCAGCTTCAGCAATTATTGGATGACATTTCTGCCGCTGCGTCTCTGGGTCGCCCTCTTCGACCTTGCGCAGGGAGTTCGCCTCGTTTTTGTTTGGTTCCAAAAGCACTTCCTCGGACGCACACCTCGCGACTTCCGCGACTTTTCAAAGCCGCCCGTCGCAGAGTACGCCATACTCTATGCCAACCTGCTTTTCGTCTTTGCAGTTGCCATGCTCTATGCGTGTGTGGCTCCATTGGTGGTCGCATTCGCCGCTTGCGTTTTCTGGACTGCTAGCATAGTCTTCAAGTATCAGCTCATCTACGTCTATCGCACCAAGTCGGAAAGCGGCGGACGGCTCTGGAGAGTGATTGTCAACCGCATCCTCGCGTGCATCGTCTTCATGCAGCTCATTCTAGCTCTAGCCCTCTTGCTGAGGGGCAACAGTCGTCTCCAGGCGATTGCTGCCCTTCCACCCGTCTTGGCTGTGGTCGGTTTCAAGATCTATTGCGCCAAGACATTCGACCAGCGCTTCGACTGGTACATTCCGAATGCGCAAGAGCTAGCGACTTGCAAAGTTCACGGTGGAGATCAACGTCACAACCGATTGCAGCGGCGCTTCGGCCATCCGGCTTTGCATCAGCAGCTCTTCACGCCCATGGTGCATGCCCGCGTCAAGCACTTGCTGCCACAGATCTACCGCGGCCGCATGGAAGCGAGCACAATCTCCAACATCGATGGTCGCAAGACAGAGGTCGAAGAGATGGAAGGCGGCCTGCGGATCGCCGCAATCGAGGAGCAAGATCTCGAGTACGACCCGCACACGGATTCCGATGTCCGCTCAGTCATGTCCGGTACCACCTTCGCAGGAGTCGGAACCCCCACTGGATACGGACCCCCGAGTCGTGCCGGAACTGCACCAGACTTCGAAAACCAATATGCCAACTATCTCGCCGGCGTCGATGCACCCAGCCTTCCTCCTGCTGGTGACCAAGACTACGAGATGGGTAATATTGGAGGCCTGGCAATGCATGGAAGCCGAGACAACCTTCTGGAGAAAACTCATCCAGGCTCATTGTACAGCGATCACACCTTGATGGGAAGCGGCGGCCATGGCAAGAAAGGTTCACAGGGTCAGTACTCGTACTACACCTCATCACCTGGCCCCACGCCCGGATTGGATCAGGTGCCGCAGACCAACTATACTCCCGGCGGCGGGCGAGGTCACCAGGCGACCAGCAGTGCAGGCGGCGGATACTTCCCTAGAGTGGACGCGAGCGGAGATTCTCGCTACCAGCAATACTACAACAACGGACCTCAACAAGGCCAACAGGAGCTTCGTCATCAGGCCTCGCATGGAACCTTCGCTCCAGGATCTTATTACACCGCGTCACCTCAAGGCTCTCCACGGGCTCAGCCGCAACGAATGTACGGCGGACCGCAGGGTAGGGCTTCTCCTGGCCCAGGAACACCGGGAGCGGCCGCTGCCGCATATGGGGGCCAAGCACCGTCGCAATATAGCTATGGTCAAGGGCCACGGCAGCCTTCCGGCGGGTATGGAGGCTACCAAGCGCCGGGTGGCAACTCGGGTGGCGGGTATAATAATGGCGGTCGGGGCGGCGGTCAATATCCTCACTCACGCCAAGGCACAGGAGGTTACTAGACAATGTCAAGCAATGCTCAACGCTTGGCCAAAGCATTCGCGAGCGACATGGTCATGTCATCTCTGTGCCCTTTCTTCGCCAGCTCCTTTTGCTTGCCGCGGCACGTCTGGTCAGACGCTTTTTCGACAGGGCGCAACGGTCATCACTCTACTTGTCTGCTCGCAATCTTGCTGTTCCGCATTATCCCTCGAATCCACCCTCCACGGACACTTCTTTGTGTGCAGACTCACGCGACGAGTAGTCATCTCATCCGCCGCGCGGTACGTCGAATCAGTCTTGCACTCTCTCACACTCCCCCTAACTCCATTCCACGCCTCTTCCCCATCGTCATCACTATCACAACCCTTTCTGAAGCCCCTTTATGCCGCCCAATCTCGCCCGTCTCTCACATACAATGTAAGCTCGCTATGGCACTCGCACGCACTCGAAATAAATTGCGACTCTTATTGTATCTTGCTCTAATGACTCTGAGAAGTTATGAACACGATGAGAATGCTGCTTGACACAGCACCGTGACTTGCACGTGTGCCGCAAGCCTGTCCAGAATAACAGCGCAATAGACCAGAGCTTTTGATTCGGCTGACATTGACCTCACATCACTTGTAGACTCGCAATGGCGAACCTAGCAATGAAGCCAAGCATTTCGCAAACGTCTCTGATGTCATTGATAGCGCTACCTTTACAGGATGGAAATGTCTGGTGTGTGACGAATGAGAAAGTAGGCTACTGTGCGATCTATGGTGCCGCGCTGCCATTACTCGGTCTGGACGCATGCAATGCAACAGAAATCAGCCACGAGTTGTTCTTCGCGCGCGAGCTTTCATAGCAGTGTCACTTACGGGGTCAGTTATTCCCTCTGGACCGATGCTGAAAACCGCGTCAGCCTCGGGGAGACATGGAGAATCGGCGATTCGGCAGATGCGTTGAGTGCCTCGACCTTTGCGGAAGTTCAGGCTAGATTGTAGGAGCGAGTATTGTCAGCAAGGTGCTGCTCCGAAGGGGCGTATACCAAGGGTCATGATGTGGAAGTTTCTCGTTCCGAGACTCACCGGGTAGTGCTGGCATGCGCAACGATATTTCCTCCGATTGGCTTCTTCGCGTCTGCACCCGCATATTGTCCTCCATCGACCTGCGCTACCACCTGATTGGTGATGACGACAGCCACGCCGAACTCGTCTGCGAGGCGCATCAAGCCTCTCAAGAAGCGAGCGAGGTGGGTCTGCCTAGCACTTAGCTCTCCTCTTCCAGCAAAGTCCGTGCGGTAGAGCGAAGTGAGCGAGTCGACCACTAGAAGGGAGAAACGAGACTCGGCCATCATCGCCGCTGCTTGAATCAGCAATTGCAGCTGGTGGTCGGCATTATAAGCCCTGGCGTAAGCCACATTGTCGAGAACTTCCTCGCCATTAAGACCGAAGCGCTCCGCAACAGCTAGCAATCGTACAGGACGCTGTGACGAACGTCTGATGATTGTCAGTGGCGCATACATGCTTGACACGGTCCACAGAAGCTCACAAACGTGCCCTCCGTATCGATGAACAAGCACTTGCCTTCGCCTCCACCCATATCAATGGGCAGCTGCAAGCATGCCAAGCGATGTGAGCTGAGTGGGAACACAGAGGTGCATACATTCGAAACGCACCTGGCAAGTCACCGCAAGGGTGTGACACAACTGACTTTTGCCCGTCCTAAATTCTCCATACAGCTCAGTGATGCTGCCAGTCTCCATGCCGCCGCCAAGAATGTTGTCCAAATTCTTCGAGCCTGTAGTAATCGTTACGAGCTCCGTCCGTCTCTGATGGTACTCCGTCGCGGTTGTAAAGCCCATCGGCACGAGCTTCGAGGCTGCATAGGAGCCTAGAGTCAGCTTTCCTCCGACGCATCGATTGAACCCTTATGCCACTAGACGGATCTCTTACCCTCTGCAATGATCTTATCGGCCTTCGCTTCGCTGATGCCTTTTACAGTGAGCAGTGTTTTGCGAGGTGTGAAGGCGACGCTTTCGACCGTGTAGTATCCTGCCTCTGCCAGCTTCTTTGTGTCTGAGGAAGAGATACCAAATTCCTACGGCCACCAAATGACGATCGAGGTGAGCACCAGAGAGCTTCAGTGGTGATCCAGCCGACTGCCTTGAAAGCATCGCGCAAACATGTAACGTGACCCCGCCGCTGATTCAGTGCACGCACCTCTAGCTTTTGGACCAGCATGGGTCCGGCAACATCATCTTCGAACCCTCCCTCTTCGCCCTGTGTTGGTCTCTGCTGGTCAGACATCCTTGCGTAGCAGGAGGAGCTCGCTTAAAATGCTGTAACACAAGGGCGATGAACGCCCTGTATACGCGGTAGAAGAAGAATGAGAAAACGTTCCACAGCCCAGAATGAGGCGATTCACAGGGTCACAGCTCTTGAAAACCTCTCGCAGAGCAAGGTGCGACCACTCGGTTTGCCACCGATAGCCTGGGTGTATGCTGAGGGGCTCAAGCTTCGGATGAAGGCAGTGTGGATTTGTATGAATAAGATGCAAAATGAAGTGGCGATGGGTGAGCGAGATTGCAGGTGTGTGCTGACTCGTGCTTGTGACAGGCGGTGTGGTGGTGAGGAACGAGGTTGGTCAGCGCCACAAGGTCCTCCTGAGACTTCCGTTTCAAAGCGGATTTTGCGAGCCATCAGCACTCCAACACCTGCACCAGAAACCCACACAGCCCGCGTGCCCGGTGCTCGGATGCGCAGCCGCAAGTGTTGGACGCACGCGTGCCACCGCTGCCGCAAGTCAAGCGTGTGCGCGCGCTGCTGCTGCTGTGCTGCTGATGCTGCATGAGTATTATACATAGCACTGCTGTGGCGCGCCCGCGCGCCCGCATCGCGAGACGCGTCACGCGTCGCACCTCTCCATCGATCCGCTCTCGCGAACGCTCAAGATTTGCCGGTGATGTGGTTTCGCAGACGGACAGCATGAGGTTCTGCTTTTGGCCACACCACGCAAGCAGCAGCGACGGCAGATCAAGTCTCACAAGCCTCTCAAACCACTCACGCCAACCCTGTGAGACACCAAGCATATCTGAGACGTACATCAGCAGAGCAGAAATCAGCGAAGCGCACATCAGCGGAGCCTTGACTCAGACTATCGACTAGGAGACGCTTGAGACGCGCGTCTGTCGGGGCTCGCAGACGACAAGCGTGATGACCGATTCGAGAGCGGGACCATCGGCAGCGGGGGTTTTCGAGACCCCTGCTGCCCGTACCAGGGTGCGCAGATCGACCAAGCAGGTCAGCGCAAAGAAATTCGACAAGGTGAGGATCTCATCGGAAGAGAGGATCAGCACGGTGGACCGTGCGCGCATCCTCGCCAGCAATGACTCGCGACAGAGGTAGGCTGACATTGGCGTCGACTTAATCCCGTCTCGAAAGATGCTGAAGAATCTCAGCTCTGTCAAGAAGGGTAGCGAGCGCTTCCCGCATCTGAGGAGCGGCTCCATCGACTCCGTTCCTGGCCCGGGCGCTGCGACGAGTAGCCCGCCTGTTGGCGTGCACGGACAGGTCGATGCTCGCGAAGAGCAGAACGCAGCGCCCTACACGATCGGCGAGGAAGGCGAAGGCGGCTCGAGATGGACAGGTGGACTCGGAGACAATCATCTGAAGACGGAGTACTGGCTCAAGACCATCAAGCGAAACGATTGGAGTGAAGGTCTGAGCAAGGGTCCAGGGCTCGGGCCTGATGGGCCGACGATGGCAAAGGTGGCTAGGCGACAGCTGAAGGGTCGCGACAAAGGTGGGTATGCGCATCTTGCGACGAAGAGCGATGAGAGCGTACTGACTGTGTCGATTTTGTCTCGCGCCGACCGGTTGCCCTGCAACGACGCTTTCGCCCACCTTCAGTCGGGCAAGACTCCTTCGCGCACGAAGCTTCAACCATTTTCAACCCTCTTACCAGACGCGTTCCGGCTGCCACACCCCACAAAATCAGAGGTGCAGCTCCAAGGAAACCCAAAATGACTGCTAGGCGGGATGACGACGCTTCGGCAGGGGATTTGACTGAGGTCGGCGCGCAGACACGAGATGAAGATGGAACGCCAATTGGCCTTGCAGATAGGGAAACCCAGGAGGCCCTCATATTGCATGATTTGCTGAACGTGCTAGCAGTGAGTCATAACGCTCCGCTTGGCGACTCTTTCTTCACGATAGCTCACACTTGACCGCTCGGGCAATTAGGGCCTGGAAGGGCAGTACATCACGTACGAGGACCGGTACAAGCCTGACAGCCCCGCTTCTCAACTTCGCGGTGCCACCTGGTCTGTCGACCCCGCGTTGGGTGAGTGGATGTTGGCGGGGGTAGTCAGACGAGGTTGCTGACCTTCAAGCGCTCTACATCTGCTCCAGATCCATCGCTGAGAGACTCCGTCGACAGGATACTGCCGCTTGCCACGTACTACACATCTGTCTTTGCCTTTATTGACGCCAAAGGAACCTTGGAGGCTGGCACTGTCATGCACGCTTTGTGCTCAGCGATCCGTGAGCTTCTCAAGGTGCGTACATGTGCCGCTCTTCGGGATACGAAACGGATCGAGACCCGCATACGAGTTTGCACTTTCTTCGTGACAGGATTATCAAACACTCCTGGTGCAGCTCGAGCACCAGCTACGCATCTCCAGGGACCTTACTTTGCAGCGTCTCTTCTACTATATCACTCCGACATTGCGCACATTGCAGCTCGTGCACGGATTGACGAGCGCGATCAGAGATATCACCCACGCAGCTCTGATGAGCGAGGACAGCGAGGAGGAAACCGACGAAGACGACGACGATGAACCGAGCGATGATGACGATGGGAGTCTTGAGCGCAACAGGCGGGAGGCGCTTGGCTTGGACGATGACGACGGAGCGGAAGACGCTTTGGAGACTGTCCCAGGTGGTCCAGTGAAAGGAGGCGAAATTCTAGCGATGGTGTGGGAGAGGTGCGAAAAAATGCGAGGGTGAGTATGTCCGAGCTTCCAGGCCGAAGGGGGTCTGCTCGGGTCACTAAAGCGTGCTTGTCAAGTGCAGGGATACCACGGCCCACAAGCTCTTCATGACGCTCTTTCAAAGGGCTTCCGAGCCGTATGGTCGCATCATGCTGCGATGGATCACTACTGGCGAATTATCGGACACCTATGACGAGTTCATGATCGCCGAGGATGCGCATGTGAACGTGGCGAGCCTGGAATCGGACCCAACCGACGAGTACTGGGATCGCAAATACACCTTGCGTGATGACTTGGTCCGCGAGCAAAGGGAGCAGCGCGAGCAAAGAGGCATAGACTTGGCGCACGAAGACGAAGAGCTTGGAGCTAGGGGCTTTCTCACCGGCGGGGCTAGGATACCTTCGTTCCTGATGCCTTGGCGAGAGAAAATTTTGCTTGCCGGAAAGTATCTCAACGTGATCCGAGAGTGCGGAAAGGACGTTCGCAATACCGGGAAGAGAGGAGGTGCCGGTGCAATCGAGGACAGGCGAGCAGAAAGCGGCCTTGACAATGTCGATGTCTCGCCAGAGGTTGACGGCGACTTGATGAGCGACCAAGGGTGAGTGGCCTCGCGTGATGATGGCAGACAGACACTGGTCACTAAGTTTTGCCCTCGCACAGCTTCCTTCGTAGGATCCAAGAGGCGTACGAGCGCGCCAACAAAGCGCTATTGCGACTACTCCTTGTTGATCACAGCATTGTGCCTCGGATGCACTCTATGCGCCACTACTTTCTTATGTCTTCGTCGGACTTTTTCTCGTCATTTGTAGAAGCGGCTGGCAAGGAGCTCAGGCAGAAAATCAATCCTACACATATTCGCGACACTACTGGGAACCGCCTGCAAAGTCATTTGGGCCTTGTGCTCGGCAGCTCTTCCACCGTTGGCTTCACGGACCCGTACCGCGAGGATGTCAAAATTGAGCTGGCGACGGAGAATGCTTACGATCAGCTCAAACGCATTGCGGAGACCAAAGGTGGCGTCGAGGCTGCTCGCGAGCAACTGGCTCGAAGAGCAAAAGATCGCAACCACGACACAATAGCGAGTGTGTATCTCTGGTCTGAGGATCAAGGGAGTGCTGTATGGTATCTGACTTCTTTCTCGCTCAACAGTACTCGAGCTGCTTCAGTTCAGCTTCTCGGTGCAATTCCCAGCTTCTCTCGTCATCTCCAAGAAGGCCATTCTGCGCTGGCAGTTTCTGCAGCGACCGCTGATCCACCTGAAGACGCTCGAAGGGAGTTTGTCGGCATTGTGGCTTGTGCACTCGGGCACAATATGGAGAGAGAAGCTTGCATCTTTCCCAGCCTTGGAGCAATGGAAGAAGTGCGTGTTCCGACTGCGACACAGGATGCTCTACTTGATACAATCGATGATCGCTTTCATCACTGCGGAAGTGCTTGAACCAAATTGGAAGAATCTCGAGGAGAAGTTGGAGAACGCAAAGACTGTGGATGGTCTGATGCATGATCACTTCAACTTCCTCAATGTCTGCAGGAAAGAGTGCATGCTTACTGACACTCGACTCGTAGACGTGAGTTGAACGGCAGGGCAATTCGTGCACGGCATCCGACACGTACTGACGACGCCTTTCGCGGTGACTGCAGGCCCTACAGAAGTTGACTTCGACGATTGGACTCTTCATCGACAGGCATAACCAGCTAGTCGACCAGCTCACAATCGAAAGGTCACACTACCTCGCTGCTGCGCAAGCTGGTGAAGAGAGCGGCGTGACCCTGACGCAAGATTTGATGCCCTTCTTGCACAAGTACGAGAAGAGTTGGGAATCGCGATTGAGGGTGAGTTGGGTGCCATTGGTTTGGCCCTCTTGAAGTCTGCGCCCGGACTGCCCCTTTGGCTGACGCTCAGCGAGACTCGTGACTTGTTCCCTTTTGACCATACGCTAGAACTTCAAAGATGTCGTCAGCTTGCTGGCAAGCACAGAGAACCCCGCTGCGCAACCTTTGATGCAAAGGCTCATCAACGCCTGACGCCTCGTTCACAAGCCTCTGGACTCTCCTGCCCTTGCTGCTCGGTCTGAAGCTGAGCACCTTGCTGTATACTACCTATCAGGCTCGTCGCAGCTTACACGAATCGGCGCGCAAACGTCTTGATCAGTAGCGCGCTTTCAATTCGGCGATAGCCCGAGGGCGCCGGAGTGCAGCCTCAAAAGGGGCGCCAATGCCTGCTGGTTCCCTCAGAGATTGGCGGAGAGACGAGCTGGAATAAGAGATGGATATGGATTGCGCGGGAATTTGTGGTCAAATCAAGAGCGAAGCGTCAACGGTAGGAAAGGGGGCAAACGTAGTGTGGGGTGATTGGGGGTTGTAAAAGCGTTCGGGTAGGTCGCACAACCCTCGAGGGGTGAGCTGAACATATGCACAGAAAAGGAATGGTAGTGGTGTAAATGAGAACCCTTCCAACTGGTAGCAACAGCTGGAAGGGAAGAGATGGATACGACAGAGTCTGTTCGTCGATCGCGATCGAGCTGGTTGGACGAATCGAGCATTGGCGGCGGTGCGGTCGGCAGGATGGGGTCGCGGCATCTGGAAAAGATAGGCCATACTCGTGTTAGTGGTGCGACTTGAGATCTGATGCGTGCTGTGCTCCGGGCTGATGAAGCCCGTCGAGATTTCACGACCGCCCGAATCGTCTGTTTGACAGCTACCAGCGCCACGTGTGGCTAGAAGTAGTGGCACGGGCACCCCAATCGAACACACATCTGCGGCGCTACCGATTCGGCAGCAAAGGTCCGTTTGTCCAACTAGACATCACCCCGCCCTCGCCGACGTTCCGTTGATCAGGTGGTTGGCGTTCCTTCGACTTCGTGGGTCACTGTCTGCCGTCCTGCTCTCCAGTGCTGCCCATCGCGAAGCAGTCCCGCTACTCACCATGTACGTGCGCGTGCCTGTCCCGCGCAATTTGGACCAACCGACCCTTGCCAAAGCTCGTTCGGCCGCTCAATACGGAGCACATTGACGGTCGCTAGAGGAAGCTGGTTTTGGACAATTGAAGAGACAAGATGATTGCTACGAGTGGAAGTCATGTGATTGTGGACGAGAATGAGCTGGTTGGATATGTGTGAGCTGAGAGCGTGATGCTGGTAAGGCTTGGCTGCATCTCTAGATTGGCTGTCGTGTTTGTAGATGACCCAAGATCGAAGCATCTGAGCCGCATAGAAAAGAGAGGGCACCTGAGCCCACAGAATCCTCTAAGGCTAGTGCTTCGCCATTTATCCTTGTCTAGTCCTGTTCTCCTTCTCGGCCTGCTTGAGACGTTCCTCGAGAGTCTTGGACTTGTGAAGTTGACTAGCGGTCAAACGTTCCCTCTCGGCTCCCGAAGTGCGGTCAGAGTAGCGCATACCATCGGCGACGCTTCCGTGGTAGGAGGAAGTGGTACGTTGAAGGTCGTTGCCGCTCTTGGAACCCTTGGTGTCGGTTCGCTTGAGGTCCTTCTTGGAGGGAGAGGAGAGGCAGGAACCCTGGTGGAGACGGTGGCAGATGGACAGCCAAATGCGCAAAGGTCAGTCATACGCATCGAGGAAGCTAAGCGGTTTGCAAGTGCTCCTGCGACTGTCCCTCGACACGTAGCAAGGGAGCGCTAACGTGCCTAGCAACAAGGAGTCGTGCGAGATACGCACCATGGTGGATGCTGAGGTCTGGTAGGTGTGTGAGTTGTGTGCAAAGGAGGAGCAAAGAAAGCTTTTGCTCGATTCGGTGTGCGATGAACGCGTGTTGATTGTGGATGCAAAGATGAGGAATGATGGAGGATTGCAGGAAGGATGATGAAGTGGCAGATTTGCAAAGCGATCGCTTCTGCATGCTCAACTCAGTTGTCGCCCCACTGAAGAGAGCGCGGCAGCCTGTACGCGGTAAGCGTCAAATGATCGAGACGAGCAGCCGCAACCGCTGCTTCGATCGATACCGCTCGAAGCGTCATCCTCTGGCCTCACCCTTGCTGCACGCCCGTAGAGGCACCACACCGCTGCTGATCGCCCACTCGTGATGACTGGACAGATCATGCGCGGCAGCACGGTGCCGAGCCTTTGAGCCGCGCGCTGTCTGCGCGCAGCCGCGCGTCATTAGGGGCCGAGCTGCACGATAGCTGATGCGATACACTCGTATGCGGCAAGGCATGCACCACAGGCGCGCTGAACGAACATGCAACATCTTCGCTCCTGCATGACTTGCTGTGCTATCGAAAGCGGTCGCAGGCTCCCGCTTGCGTACGAGCAGTGTCGCAGCGCTCAAGTGTCATCCTGAATGCAGCCTTCAACGCGGCGTCGACGCGCCCCGAGAATTGGCGCGATGAAGAGGGGGGGGGGGGGGGGAAGCACAGGAGTCACCCTGGGTCTCCGAGGCTGACTGACTCAATCAAGCAGCTCCTCGAGCCACATCAGCCCATCTTGCAGGCCTGGACGTACGCGTGCAGTCAGCGCGCGACTCAGCCTCCTAAGGCCCGCTGTCAAGCTTAGACTGCTGCAGTGCATTGCCATTCATTTCCGACCTACTATGCGGATCCTGTCCTTGAAATTGGCATGATAATCCGCTTGAAATACTGCGAGCAATTCAAGATTGTGAATGTCAATTTCTTAATTGATATTGCTGTGCTGTATATATGCATACACCGCATGATGCTTGCGCAGAGGCGGCTCGAAAGTATTCCTGCCGGCATACGGTGGCGTAAGCTGCGCTGCCACTGTGCTCATTTTGTTGCTTTGCGCACGAGCATCACAGCGGTGTACTGGTAGAAGAGGAGGCAGGGAAATTTGCGCAGCCACCCATGCAATGTCACAGACTCCATCGTCACCATCAGGAGCATACGCCGTACTGTAAACTGGCGGATTCAAGGATCTGCATGGAAGCTTCGCGTCCTAGAAGTGGGCTATGCAGTCGTGAGTTTTGGGTGTGACCATCTCTGCGCATCGTAACCAAAAGAATCAATCACGAATGATATCAGGCGTTTTCTCTCTCAGCTGCGACAGTCATACAAGATAGTCGAGAGCAAAAAGTCCCTGCCCCTTGTTTCGGTAGTCACTAGCACGCTCGAGGTGAAGTTGTCAAGCTGTCGAGCGTTGCTAACCTTCTGGTCTTTCGCGGTGAACGAGCAGATTGCTTTCGAGCTCTGAGGTTGCACCCGTTGGGCAAACAATCTTTACTGCATTTGCTCAGCGCTGCGGACAGGCAACCGACGAGCGTCTTTGGGTATAGGTACTTACACACATTCATACAACAGTCAGAATGAAAGATTGTTGAATCAAAATTTGAGCAAGTAAATGGTGGAGCGTGCTCGACCGGTGAGCGACTCGTGCCCCTGCAGCTGATGCTGCTGCTGCTGCCAAGCAATCCTGTCAAGTCTCGGCGTGCCTTAGCGCGCACTGAAATACTCCTACAGTATATCACCCTGCACAGCCGGATTGGATGGGCCACACTCTCGTAATCCGTCACGATGCAATCGAGGAGAAGCTTCTTATCTTGTCATTCACGATTGGCTAACAAGATCGCCGACTCGACCAGCCCGTGACGTGAGAAGGCGAGAAGGGGATGAATACACCTTTGATTCTCGATTAATGACGTCTATCATTCAAATTCTCATTTTGATTGGCTTTTGCCGCGCTCATCTTCACGCACGCAGTACGGGGTACTACTCGCGTGTATACAGCTCGACCTTGAGGCGCAAACGTCTCTCGGTGACAAGCGGCACTCACCCCGATAGCCCTCGCATCTGCTTTGTCCGAGCGAAAGCGCTTCAAAATGGTCACCGATTTTGTCTTGTGTAAATTTGAGACGAAGAAATATCTGAGTCAAGAGTGACGCGGATGCGCAACCGCATATGCAATCTTGAATCTCGAACCTTGAATCTTTGAGCTCAATTCAAGAGTGTAGTTCGTTGCACTCAAATTCTTGATTATTCACCATTCACGATTCTTGATTTTTGATTTGATTCTTATCGAGAATGAGCGCACCCGCACGTGACGCATTCGAGCCGCGCGCACGCGTCACGTCAAGCATGCATGCACCTGAGGCGGCAACACGCGCGCGGTCACCGCATGCGAAGGCTGGGCCTTGCAGTGCTGCAGCCAATTCGCGCTTGAGCACGTTCTTGCCCGCGTCTGTCGCGTATGGTCTCTGACCGCCCGTGCCGCACACGCGCGGCTATTCGAATTTCGAGCGGATGGGTGTGGCTGCACGCCATGCACGGACGCCAGCTGCTGCAATCAGGAATCGAGCCGGCGGAAAAGCAGATCGTGGGTCTGCCAAGGAGAAGAAAAGGCTCTCAGCTGTCGAGTGGAGACGGGAGGCTTTAGACTCACACTGATATATGAGTGCTGTGTACCTGTGAGTCCCTTTGGTCATATACACTTCACCTACTTTGCTTCCTCACTCTGTCCGGTTCGATCACCGCTCATCTTTCGCCTTTTGCCCTTCACCTGCGACACATTCGCTCGTTGCATACCTTGAAGGAGACATCGCAAGCCAAGGACGTGCTAGCCAACCTCGACCTCCACATCCATCCGCCCATCCATCCACCCACCCATCTGCTCGATCACTCCATCAACACTCAGAAGCCGTCACCCATCCACATCTGCGACGTGCGCTTCAAAGATGGCGACCACACTAGTAGCGCTTGTGGGTACTGGTGTTGCTCTGTCTGCAGCCTTAGTCCAGACCTCTATCCTATCCGACCCGGTGAGTAAGGCGCTGCAGTGTCAATCCTTGGCCTGTCTCCCGCGGGCAAGCGCTGAGCAAGCTGCCAGACCACTTCGAGTTTGCGCTCGATCGACATACCCCAAACACATGCTCACATACCCTCTCTTGCTCGCTCGCCGCCTCCAGGCTAAACCTCTGCGAGCTGTCTTTAGCGCATGCACAAACCCGAGGAGAGCGAGTCTGAGTACCGACTTTACGTTGGGAATCTTCAAACCTGCAGATGATGCGCTCTGCCTTGCTCTCACTTATTTCAAAACGCTTCTATCTGATGGACCGGGTATCGGCGTGAGTGCAAATAGCCTGGTGTCAGCATAATTGCGTGGTCCATCGATGATCTGCTCACTTCGCATCATCGCACTTCTTTCTCTTCTAGGCCGCCTCTCTGCTCGCTTCTGTACTCATCCCAATGCTTTTCCGACTAACGTATATCTCCGTCTCGCCAAATAATCGCACCGTGTTGCGCGGCATTGCCTTGCCCATTGGCTTCCTGCTCGGCGGCATCGCGTTCGGCTTTGGGACGTTTCTCTCCTCCGTGGGCTCGCTGGTGTACATTGCGGGGCTCTACGTTCAAGTAATCTCTCCCAAGTCGAGCTTGCCGCTGCTGCCAAGCCCTGCTCCAGCAGTCTACGCAGCGAATCTCGCCAACATGATCTTCATTGCTATACTCATCTCCATGGCGCTCTTCGATGTGGCAGGGCAAAATTGGCTCAATGCGACCACCGCCTTCTGTCTCTCGCCCCTCGTCGTCTACTTCCCGCTGCTCTTTCTGGGTGTGCGGGAGACGGTGGTGCCAAAGACGGAGGAAGAGGCAAGGAAGGAGCTCGCCAGCTACAAAGCTGAGGAGGTCAGCTACTGCTACGAGCGAACCTGGGCCTACCAAAGACAAGTCTCTCTCCTCAGCTCCACGCTCTACTGGTACGGCCTGAACCGAATCGTTATGGACCTCATCTTCCTCAAGTCTCCGCTAAGCTATGCGGCCCATTTCATGCTCTACCAATTCTTCGGCACCGTCTGGTTCCTCTTCCTCATCAGGGTAGCGGAGCATCTGACCACGCGCAGCGTTTCGCCCATTCATCCTATCACGGGCCAACCGCGTTCGGACGTGCAAAAGGAATGTTCCATTGCCATAGCTGCCGCTCCTGCTGGGCACCCCGCCACCGAGACTGGCTTGCTCGGCAACAGCCTTGTCGCAATCCTTGCTGGACCTGGAACAGCTATGAGTCTCTGGTGGGCTCATGGAGAGGAGCGGGGTGGCTGGATGGCTAGAAGAGCATGGAGGGAAACCCAGGCAGTGGGAGCAAAGGCGGTGGCAGACAGCAAAGCTATAACAGATGGCCAGCATGCCAAGCGGGAATAGATCTGAAAAAGGAGAGAGAGAAAGAAAAGGGGTCGAAGAAGGAGGAGAGCCCAAAGCACAGTGATCAACAGGGGTCAGCGGTAGCTCCAAGGAGACAGGGTGTGCGGAAGCGCAAGGGAACGATTTGATGAGACTACCTGCTGCGTGTCTACCCTCCAAAAGCGCCCCTCAAATATGCGCGAAAAGATGGTTGGGTATTTAAGAAGCCTGTCACACGATATTGTATTCTCAACGAATGGTGCCAAAAGCATTGCGCGAATGCCCTGCTTTTGTTGCGTGACGCAAAACTGACTGGTACAGCCGGTAGAAATCAACGTATACCAAATTGCAAGAGAAATTCCAGGATGGAATGCACCACAGATACGTGGTGTGACGGTGCTTTGCCAGATACGAGCTGGTCCGAGCTTGCACTGGGCCATTGTCGCCCAAGTTCTCAAGCAGAGACACCATGGGGAACACGAGTCTTTCCAATGGATGGTTTGAATCCTCTCTTCTTCTCGGCCCTCCTCTGACTCTTGGCAATCATCTCCGAGTCCTCCTCGTTCTCCTCGAACAAGCTCTGATCTCCCGTTGCCCCAGCATCGTTTGCGTCGATCGACATGGAGACGTCTCCGTTAGCATCGGCGGAAGCAGAGACTTCATCCTCCATCATTCGCACTTCTCCAGACTTTTGCGATGGCTGACGAGGAGAGACTTTGAGCTTCGCGAGGAAAAAGCCGTCGACATTGTGCGTGTGAGGCTTTGCAAGAGGTAAACGCAGAAGGCCCGGTCAGTCTAGTAGGCAAGTTCCTCTCGTCGATGAGACAAAAGACTCACGTAGACCCTCTTAGCGAGGTTCATCTTCGGATCAAAGCGCTTATCCCTGAACGCCTTGAAGCCTTCCCTGCCAAACTCCACGCCGGTCGGCACGAGTTTGACGTTTGGTCTCTTCTTCAAGGCATAGTCCACTACCGCTTCATCCTCATCCACGAGTACGCTACAGGTACTGTAGACGACGTAACCTCCCGTAGCGCTTCGCGTGTTCACGCTGTCAATGGCACAGAGGATCAGTTGTTTTTGAAGGTGCGTCAAGAGCTGAAGATCTCTCTCAGACTGCGTGGGCAAAGCATTATCGGTCAGCGACGAATTGAAGACATCTGTTTGATCAAACGAACCTTGTTCGTCTTGACGCTAGCATCTTTGCTGATCACGCCCGTCCCGCTGCAAGGCGAGTCGAGCATGACCCTATCGAATCCCCCAATGACCTTTGGGAAAGCTCTTCCGTCATAATTGCACACGACTACGTTCTTGCATCCCATCCTGTGAATGTTTGCGCTCAAGCTCTTCGTTCTCGCCTTGTTGCTATCGTTCGCAAAGACGACACCGGTATTTTGCATGAGAGCGGATAGGTAGGTCACTTTGCCACCTGGGGCAGAGGCCATGTCCAGCACCCTCTCTCCCGGTTGTGGTGCTAGAGCGATGCAAGGCAGGAAGGAGGAGGCAGCTTGGAGCATGTAATGGCCTGCTAGGTACTCTGCCGTAGCTCCGATTGGCACGCTAGATTCAAAGACTTGCAAGCCTACTTTGGACCATTTGCCCAGCGGTTCCAGCGTCACGCCTCGGTTGATCAGTGCTTGTGCCAGATCTCTTCGACGCGTGCGAAGAGTGTTGGTGCGTATCGTGACAGGTCTGGGTCTCTCGTTGGCCTCGAAAAATTCGAGCGCCTGGAGAAGCGCGGGTGGGTGTGGAGGAGCAGGACATCAGCTTCACAACAACATCCGCATCGAAGACTGGAGCTCTGGCAACACGTACCTCAGCAGCGGGGAAAAGCTGCAGCAGCCGCTCAGCCAAGAAAGCATTGTAGCCATAGTACGCGCAAATATCCAAAACGAGTTGCTCAGTGTACTCGCTGCGACTCCTGCCATCCCTGGCCAGGTTCTTAAAGTCGGACAGGATATTGACTACCTCCTGCATTCTCAATTGCACCACCTGCAAGTCCACCCCCTTGGCAGACTCGGCGTCTCGCTCTTCGAGCGTGGGAAGGATGAAGTCTCCTTCATCGTCCTCTTCTGCGAACGATCCATCCGATTCGTCTTCGTCCTCAGTCACCTCGCTGAGCTCCAAATTCTCATCACCAACTTCGCTGTCTTCATCCCCCTCTGACCCTTCCTCGCCATCTTGGTCGTCGGAGTCGAGGGTGTGGCCTTGACTCTTTAGGAGCAGCTCCAATCTCTCAGCTTCAGCGATGTACTTTTTCCTCTGCCTTTCGCTCAGCTTGGTACCCTTTGGAGGCAATTCGGGGAGCTGAAGCGGCGCAGCTTCTCCATCTCCCTCCTCCTCGTCTGCGTCATCAGACTCGTCCTCCTCATCCTGCGCACCGACCAAAGGATCGTCGCCTTCCTCGTCGCCCGACATCTCCAGTCCCAAGGCTGCTTGATCATCCGAAGCATCTTCGTCCGAGTACTCCACTCCGCTGCCTGAGGAGGAAGCTCCTTCCACCTCGGCTTCGTCCTTCCCATCATGTTCCTCGCCATCTAGTCCTTCGAATTCGTCTGCTAGCGCTTCCTCCTCATCGCCGCTAGACAAGCCATCGAAGCCGTCGCCTGCCTCGTCTTCCGAGTCGAACGCGATGCTGTTGAAAGACCAAAGGGAAGGCAACGCAAGTGAGACTTCGAGACTGAGGCCCTCAATACAGTGGCTTCTGGTGCTCTCACCTTCTCTCAATCTGTTCTTTACCTGTAAACTTCCCCTTTCCCTTGCTGGTTTTCGCAGCACCACGCTGTACGCCGAGGCCACTCTTGACCTTTGCGACCTTTCCTCTAGCTCTCTCATCTACCTCCGGATCCAAATCCACGGCTTTTCGTTTCCCATTGCTCTTGGAAGGCGCAGTGAGGGCAGTAAGCTCCTCAGCACCCGACGTCTTGGCCTTGACCACCTTTGGGCTCTTGCGAGGAGCGGAACGGGAAGCGTCGGGAAAGAGGGGGGCTGGAGGGGGTTGCTTTTGCTTCGATCGACGTCCCATCCTGGCGTACTCAGGCTTTCAGGATACGTTGGTGGCTATCGGGAAGTGGCTTGACGACGTCTGTGGAAGGTAATGAGAGATAGTCAAGGCATGCCTGTAATGAAGAACGCTCGAGGTGAGTGTCCAGCATCAGCTCAAGCCGGTAGCAGCTACACCATGCAGCGCCCGAAACGTGAAGGAGAAATTTGAACGAACTACTTAGGTACTTGCATGTATGCAGCGCGCAAGCAGCAGAGGCAAACAGCGCCAAAAATTCCATGCGTGATCTCGCGCGAGAAGAAAAAAAAAATGGGGTCGCAGAATTGAATTCAAGTTCTGCGCCGCCGCTTTATTATTGATGGAGCATCAGTCACGAGCAGCGCGTGAAGGCAGATAAAATTGACACCGCCACGCAGAGAGGAGCAGCGCACGAATGGTCGCAGAGGCTTCTTTGCTTTGGCGTGCGGCTTCATCGCTTTCAATCATCAGTGCCTTTCCAAGTCACCTCCGAATCCAGATCGCTCATCTCCCACAAAGCGTCTCTTGCCCCTCATCCTGATCTCGAAAGCTTCCGCCTCGACCTCGTGTGGAAAGCTTGCTACCCTAGAAGAGCTCTCGAGTCTTGTATTCAGTATGGGAGGCAAGAAGCTCACTGCAAAGACGATTAGGAGAAAGAATGCCGCGACGCATCCCGATTCCAGAAGAGCTGCTCAGCTGCAGAGGGTCGCCCATCGGCAGGAGAAATTGAGCTCTCAGAGAAGTGACAGGAAGAAGGATGTGGCCTCAAAGCGTGAGTGAGCAGGGTGCAGAAGGAGGAGAGCGGTGCGGCGGACGAAGAGGCGGGCTGTTGTGTTCGCGGACCAAACCCCTGACAGGTGCGCTCGCATGCTTGTTCTGGGAGGCAAGTGAGCTACCAACGAGAAGTGAAGATGCAAAGTTGACGCTCCCACGTGTTCTTGCCTGCAGTGGAGAGGTTACGTGTGATGATCGCGCTCTTGCCTTCCAAAACGACGCACCTAGAAGACTTGTCGAGCCTTCACGCGCACGTTCGCACAAAGTACCTCTCGCGTCATTCGACCGACCTGCAAGCCTTTAAATCGCAGCGCAGACAAGGGCGTCCACCCGACATGCGAGAGGTTCGACTGCAAGATGCGGTCAAGCGCGATGAGGAAGAGTACAGGACTGGATTGGTCGTGCCTGACCTGTTGGACCGCAACAATGTCGCATTGTTGCGAAAGTGGGTCGAAGATGGTGCGAAGAATCAGCACCAGTTGGGTTTGTTCAGGTTCAGAAAGATCAGCGCGCTCTATCCGTGAGTATGCCGATGGCCATGGGACGGTGCAGAGGAGCAGGCGCATCAACAAATGGCTGAAGGTGACATCACGCCGTGTCTCGTTCGCGCATTCAGAGATCAGTTCACCCTCGTCCAGGCTGGACTTCATAAAGATCTCGCGCCCACAATAGAGGCCATCGGTGAAGCTTCCGGATCCGGACACGTTCTGGGTGACGACGATTCAAGTGACGTGGAGGAGGATGACCAGCGGGCAGACGCGCCGCAAGCCATGTCTACGGATGCTTGAGAAAATCAGACATCCCCACAGTCCACGCATGCAAACGTTGCGCTGCATATTGTGCTCGTGTAGCATTCAATTCTAGTAAGGCTAGCGCTCGCCATTCTGCATCAGCAAAAGTATCGATCGCCAAAGTCTCCGAGACCGGGCACGACTGAGGTGAAAGCAAGGGGCAGACGCAAGGAAGGAGCGCATCAGCAATGAGATCCCCATTGCGAGGGCTCATCTCCATGACCACAGAGCGCAGACTCACTGTAATTCCTTTCATCCAACCCCTCATCGACCCAAGCGCTAATAACTCTCACTTCTGGATACCTAGCATATACATTTGCTAGTCCCTCGGGACTGGCGACTAGGTTGAGGAATAGGATCCGAGACGCTTCCACCCCGTGAGAAATGAGGACTTCGATGGCCTGCAGGACCGAGCCTCCCGTAGCTGATCACGCCGTGCGCATCCGACGAAGCGCCGCATGTCAGGGCTCTGCTCTAGACTGCACTTGTGTATCCTTCACCGATCTAGACGCAGCTGCATAGCGTCCCAAACTTACCTAGCATGGGATCCAAGAGCAGGACCCATCGCTTCGCAACGTCTTGCGGCAGTTTCGCATAGACTACAAGAACGATTCATAGTGTTGCGAGTCAGCAAGATGGCCGTGGTGTGGAGAAATGGCGCTGGCATCTCACACAGCTTTGGTTTCGCCGTCTCTTCGTCCTGCAGCGAGGTGTGGTTGAGTGGTATCAGCGTCTCAGCGCGCGATGGCTTACTTCTATAAAGATCAAGCTTGCTCAACTCACCCGCTGAATCCTGGAGAATGGAATCGCGCGCGGCACGGAGGGACGAGAGTCAGAGCGACGCTGCGCACCTATGCTCCACCGATGAGATGCATGACCCTGTGTTTCGATCCCTCATACTTTTTGCGCGTTTTCTCGTGGTCGTCCACCACGACGAGGTTCGCCGAAGCGCTTGACGCACATGCTCATCTACTCACAATATCTTTCCGATCCTGACGCTCCTGCAGCACTCCCGCAATCCACTCTCCATAGCTTCCCCAGCTCTCAAGATCGACACTCCGCAGATCCTCCCCTCAAATTTCAGTCCTGCCATTACATCAAGTCGCGAATGGACAAGGTGCGTCAGCTGCGATGCTCTGTGTGTGTGTGTGTGTGTGATGTATGCGCAGCTTCGAAGTCCAAACTTACCATCATAAGCCCCACCGGTGGATGTCTGCACCGTCTTCTCGAGCGTGGGCAAGTAATTCAATCCTTCCTCTACTACCATACGTATGATCCTGTCTGCGTAAAAGATGAAATCGGATCGAGAAGTAGCGCTGGACCTGATGATTGTCAGGAGCGCATCTTGAGGTAGGACGAGAAAGTGAGGGAGTGTGCGACGCCAATCGTCAGTAGAGGTCTGACGGTCTTGCGGTTGCGCAAAGCAAATAGATCGGCCCAGCCCATTTGAATGGCGAGCGCGACCGCAGCTCCGGCTTCGGTCTTGGCTAAGCGCTGCGCTGCAATCCTCGTCACTCACTTAATTGAGCCGTTTGAGCAAGCCTGGTAGCATTGGGCGGTAAGACGATGCCTTGCCCAGCCGTGGCAGGAGCAACACTTTTCGTCGCTTCTCCAGCCGAAGGCATCTTCGAAGTTAACTGGACGCGAAGTCGACGTGTCGTGTGAGTAAGAAGTGGGGATGGAGGAGGTCGGTTGAGCGACGCGCGAGCCAGTCGATGGAGCCGGGAGAAGGCGAAGAGGGGTACGAAGCAGAGTTCAGAATCCAAGAATTAAGAGGGTCGTGCAGGTCAAGGACAAACTCAAAACAAGGGTGCGAATGAGCAGTCATGAGCGAGTGAGAGTGTGCGTCAGAAGTCGAGCAGGTGTGCGCCAACTATACGACGACTCTTTGAGTCTTGCGTCTTATCTACAGTCACCCAGTGAAGTGTAGTTTTGAATCGAATCAAGATCACTCGTAACTTTGAATCTAAAATCACAATCAACTTTCAGCCCCAAAAAAAAAAGAGCTTTGATATCACGCTGCATGCATAAAGTCTTTACCGGTAGTCACACGAGGCGGAAGCGGCGCGCTGCCTTGCGCCGACCAAGCCCACAATTAAGCGTTCGCGGTGTGCCGGCTGCCTGCTGCATGCTGTCTGCGATGCCCCCATGCAAGTGCCGGTGGTTGATGAAGCACCCATACGAGCCAATGCAACTCCCTCATGAATTGCAATCAGCCTCAACAAGAAGATGTCTGGCATTGCAAGTGGGATGGTGAAAGCACACAGGATTGACAGGGGATGAAGAGCGAGCGAGTCGCGGTATTGGCGAGTGCTGCGAGCATGCCTGCTACTTGCCCTGGAAGAACTCGACGGGACTAGTATGACGAGGCTTGAAGCCAATGAGCTCATTGTCGTTCTTGTGATGGGCGTTTCCAGTCCCACCGAGCTGGTATGCGAGCCAAGCAAAGAATCCATTCTGATCCGGCACCTTGCTAGCTTCCAAGAAGCTCTCAGAGGGCACGACTTTGGCCTTATCCTCGCTCAATCCGACCTGCTCCACAATCTGCTTAAAGTCGGTGTCGAAGCTTGATATTTTGATGTTTCGGTTGTGCAGCTCTTTGGAAGGCAGAGTTGAAAAAGCGGAAGCGACGGCCAATCCGATATCCTCCTCTGCGGTGGAGGAGAACTTGATGCCTTGCGTAAAAGGCAAGTTGGGAAGGAACAAGGGCAGATAAGAGCCGAAGATGCCCGTGGCGAAGGCTGTCCATGGAAGTTGGATGGATTCCAAGTATCGATGAAGAGGTTCCTTGCCCGAGATGAGCGGGTGAATGTCTTCCGCCTTGAATCGCTCCAGATCGATTCCATAGTCTGTAGGCACAAAGATTTTGACGCTTGCTGCTTTAGCACCGTCTGCAAGCCTGTTCGAAGGTCCTCCCGGTGCTAGAGCTGCTCCGCCAAGCGCCAAGATGACCACCTCGGCCGAAACAGATTCGAAGGCCTTTTGCAAAGTCGAGGCGTCATCGTAATCGGCCTTGATGATCTTGGCTCCCTTGGACTCCAGAGCCGACGTCTTGCTATTGTCGCTTCCTTCCCGAGATAGGATGCTGACTTTTTTGCCCTTGTTCAGCAACTCTGTCACAATATGACCTCCAATATTCCCGGCGCCTACAACTACAAAGTTCGAAAGGTCTGACATGATCGATGCTTTTGTGTTGATCACCAAAACTTCGACGAGATGCGGCACTTGAGCGAGATGGCGTGTTTTAGGTGGGCTAGTCTTTCCTAGCAGTGATATGGCTCGAGGCTGGGGAAGCTTAGTCGGCTGCTGCTTGGGCGAGACTATGGTGGACAGAGCTGATGTCAGGTCGATGCAGGAGAGCGAAGGATGCGAAGCCTTCATGAACAGCCCTATTTATGCCTTTGCAAGTGCGGCCACTCGCTCGCGCACTACTTCATGAATCACGTCAGCGCAGGCTTCGTCATGTACCTGCGGGCTATTCTATCACCACTGCGCGCAGCTCACGGCCAGCCCACGAATCGCATTCGTGAATCACGGATCTTGACGTCCGATTCGAGGAACATGAATGAGAGCAGTCACCGCAGTCGGGTGCGGTGGTACACACATGCTGCTGTGAAGCTGGTCTAGTGATTGCGTGCGAACCGGACTTTAGCACAAGAAGGGGGGCGCTTAAGCGCGCATGCTGCGTGATGGTGCATCAGCAATGCGTGCGAGCTCACACGTACGCGCGTGCGTGCGTGTGGCTGAATTGAGTTCACGATTACGACTCTCGGTGATAAGGCGCAATCTGACAAGCTTGTGGTGTGTGTGTGTGTGCGTGTGTGTGTGTGTGTGTGCGTGTGTGTGCGTGCGTGCGTGCGTGCGTGCGTGCGTGCGTGCGTGTGCGTGTGTGTGTGTGTGCGTGTGTGTGTGTGTGTGTGTGCGCGTGTGTGTGTGTGTGTCAATGACGCGGCTCATGGATGTGGTGATGCCTAGCTGCCTCCGACTGCCCATGCAACGTCCATGTGACTCTGACTGCGCTTTCACCTTCTACCAGTTTCTTCCTTCGTGATGAGAATGGAGAAGCTATCATGCTGAGGTGCTGCTGCGACGCAACTCAATATAAGTCCACTGGTACCCCACTCCCGTAAGCTGAACGGCTGCGCGCTTGGCTTGCGCGATCAGGTCAGTCATCTTGATCGCGCCTCCGCGTCGCCCATCTTGCCCACCCGTGAGCGGACGTCCTTGCTTGCTTGCGAAACCCGCAAAGGCTCTCGCCTCATGATTGTGAAGTGTCTCCTGTGTCGTGAAATTTGGTGCCAAAGCACACACATACGCGTCCCCTTGCGCTTTCCGCCCGAGATTGCGGACGTTTCCGTCTTAGCCGTCTCTGCAGCGCATGCACGAGCGTCACAATCACGAATGCAGCAGCTCAAGTGTACGGCCGTAGAGCCCTGCGCGGGCATTCGGTGGGCATGTCGAAGCTTCTTTCAGAACCTGACGCATCTACGATGGAGTGAACACCAACGCGGCTCACTTGGCCCTCTCGGTCCATATCTTTGATTACTGTCATTGATCCGACGTGCCACGCCCGACATCTTTCTGACTTAGGATACAAAAACCCACTCCCTGCTTTTCGGGACGTGGACTAGTGGTGAAAATTTTGGGGTTCAAGTCTCAGTGTCGTTTGGGTGAGACGCGGGCGGGGCTCAGGCGCTTTCAACAGCAGCCACGTTGGATCTCTGCAGGTCCCAGAAGTGTCTTTGAGGATGCTCGGTGGAGTTCTGCTGCTCAGAAGACAGGCGGGATACTGCTGCTAGCTTTGCAGCATCGACGAGGGAAATGAGCTTCGCGAAGGGCGCCAGCCCTGCATTTTTAGTGTCCGTGAGAGGTTGAGATACAGGCTCTGAACCTGTGGCTTGTGCTGCCCCGGTATCGTGCTCAGCGTTGTGCCCGTTGAGCGAGCCGAGTGGTTCCTCTGCAGGCAGAGAAGCGACATCCGCAAGAAGTTTGAGAGATGCGAGATGATCGATTCGCTTCTTTGTTCCGCGCACGCCCCGTTGTAAGGATGCGTAGCCAGGCTGATAATTTGCATAAGCGAAGGTCAGCTGAAAGATCTTGATCGTTGTGCCAGCGCCCCATGCATACTCACCTCCTTCAGCTCAACGCTCTCGATGACGAGGCTCACTCCATCATGTGTGTTGCCCCAGCTACGCGACCGCACGCCGGAGCGCTGGCTACCCTTGTACGCAATCAAGCGGGGTCCAACACGAAGATGGACCGACAGATCGCATGTCGTGCTGGATCTCGCGTGCGCCGGCACGTTGGGCTTGACCATGCCTTTAAGGGGTGCGCTGGCGGCTCGCACGTCTCTCTCAGGCTCTCCACTATGGGTGTCGTCGTTTTCATCTTTCGCGAGTCGCGCTTCCTTCCACGCGAACATGGCATTGCCCGGTGGTACCCATCCAGGCACGTCGTCGAGCGCCGGACCGTCGATCCATCCAGCATGAGTGCACATAGCGACGATGTCAGAGTCATCGGTATAGACATCTGTGCCCCAGATACGGCGTCGCAGAAGGGCCTGCTGGCTCCAGAATATTTCGGTCCCCTTCTCCTTGAACGAAGCCTTCACAGTCGTCTCTTCCCTCTCAATCGTCCGGTCGACGTGGCGCAACGTTGCAGCAGCGCGCGCCCCCTTGAGGTTTGCTCGCTCATTCAGCATCATTCTAAAGTGCTCTTGACCTCTCCAGCCCAAGCGCCATTTGTCGATATTGGATGCGAATTGCAAGTCCTTGGCATTGGCTGGTTCAGCGGAGGAGTGGCGACCCGTTTCGGGAAGACGCACTGACAACTGTTCCTCGCTCTTAGATGCTGCGTCTGGTCTACCGTTTGCGCCAACGCGCGATGAAGCATCGTCTAGAGTGGGACCAGGCCCCAACCATGCGCCTGAGATGCGTACTTCGAGAGTCGAGCCAACGTTGGCAGCCAGAAGCTCACCAGGAAGTAGCGGGTCGATTTTTGGATCGTAAATCCAGCTTCCGAGATGGCGGGCCGCTTTGACTGAGGCTGTGTCAGTGTTGGCTCCGTGAGGTCCAGTCTTCGCCTCAGAAGCAGAGACGGCCGTCGGCGGCTTCGGGGCACTGCTGGCGGTGCGTTCGCCAATCTCGCGCAGAGCAGAGTTGTAATCGCCGTGCTTCAAGTTCTCGGGAGTAAGCAGGAAATCGTCACGTAAGCGCCCTTCCACCTTTTCCAGGTGCTCCCAGACCGCTTCGGAGTCAACGCGAGGGCCAGCATCAAAATCGCGCGTTGGCACTCTGCCGCTTTCGGAAGCTCCACCTTTGCGACCTCCTGCCAAGCCAATAGCTGGACGTAGCACTGGCTCGTACCTGCTATTCGAGTTGTACTCGTCAAAAACGCGGCCCCCAGTGCTGGCTAGCCAGGGCCGTGCATAAGCGTTGGCTTGTGCCTGTGCTTGCACTCGTGCCTGTGCCTGGGCTTGCGCCTGTGCCTGTGCCTGTGCCTGGGCTTGAGCGTGAGCGTGAGCCTGGGCAGCAAGTTGCTGCTGCTCGTGCTCCTGTTGCTGCTGTCTGCGCAAGTGCTCTTCATGGCGCTGCTGCTCTTGCTGATGTTGATGCTGGGCGGCAGCTTGTTCCGCATGGATACCTTGTGGAGGCAACATGCTGAGTGGCCGGGGTACACCATGACCTTGCTGCAGATTTCCAGGTGGTGCAAGCATGCCTGCGTGCTGGAGAGCCTCTTGCTCTGCCTTGACGCGCTTCTGAGTCCCAGACTTGCGCGGCCGCGACGCGGGAGCTCGTTTAGGTGCGCTCGGAGGCATCTCCTGCAGTTGTCCAGATGCCATGCTCTGATACGGATTTTGGCCCGGAGGCACTGCTGGTACGCCTCGGCCTGCAGCTGGTGGCATTGGCTCGTGAACGCCAGCTTGTCTGTGTTGGATCGTTGGAGAGTGCTTGGCTGGGTACATTTGCCCACCCGAGGGTTCGTTCACGCCCGGCTGCGCGTGAGCGTAGCCAGCGTGGCCTAGGTGGTGCTGGAACGTGTTCGCCGGGTGGGTCTCAGCAGTGCCGGGTGGAGGACGTTGGCGCTGATCGTACGGATTGTAAGGTGGACCAGCCCTCGACTGCTGGTTAGCGTATGTGTCTGGTCCAGACACGTTCTGCGCGGGCGGTCGAGGTCGCGCGGTAGCACTCTGATTCGAAGGCTGTGGTGTCGGACCCGACGCAGGAGGCGGTCCATATGGGTAGGCCCGCGGATCCGGTGCTCGAGGGGGAGGAAGAGGGCCTCCAGCAAATGCAGGGCTTGCACTGGGTCGAGGCTGATGGTGAGCAGGATAGTCAGAGTGTTCTGGTCCGCTGCCATAAGGTGGCACTGGTTGGCGTGTAGGTGGTGGTGACGGTAGTCCCTCGTGGTCCCGTTTCCGCTTGTGTGGAGCTGCGCCACCCGTCGAACCTATCGGCGCTCCCTTGTCATGAATTGGGCTCCCCTGTCGGCTGCCAGCAGGTGGTCGACCGATAGATTGCGTTGCAGCGGGATGGCCCTGCTGCGGAGGAAAACGACCTCCAGGACCTCCTGCAGATGGAAGCGGCATATTGGAAGCGAAATTTGGGCTCGCAGCATAGCGCATGTCTCCAGAGTGGGTTCGACCATGCCCGCCGCCAAATCTGCCCATCTCTTGCGCTCGCCAAGCAGCTGCTTGCTGTTGCGCTTCCTCGGCAAGAGGCCCGCTCCACTTGCGCCTTGCCAGTGCAGCCACAGCACTGTCGTTGGTGATGGCGCTAGACGCCCTTGGCGGTCCAGGTTCTGCCCCAGCCTGCGCCGCCAATGTCCTCGGACTGGGGCTGGGGTCGTCCGCACGCCTGTGCTTTCCGGGACTCGTATCACGATCTCGCTCTCGCGATCCACCGGAAGGTCCGAGAATGGAACTCATGCTCATGGGGTCGCCCCGAGGAGCTGCTGGAGCTTCATCTCCGCCAACATTTCTTCCATGCCCATCTTGGTCAAGAGATCTTCGCGCACGAGGCAAGAGTGGCGATGCACTTCTCCGCATTCCATAGCTTTGCGCATTACTGCTAGACCACGGCTCGGCTGGCAGGGCGGCGCGAGTGTCGACTGGCGAGTGATAGCTTGGTTCGCGATGCCCGCCATAGCCACTGCGTGGGGGACCACTGCTTGCATGGCCTCCATGCGAGGGCGGCGCATTCCAGCTGGCTATCCGAGCATGATTTTGATCGTGATGGCCGCTATCGAATTGGCTAGAGTGTCCAGAGCGTCCCCTAGTAGGATTTGCTGCGCTTCCAGCCGGCGGCACGCGAGGAGCAGAGGATGGAGCTGACATCGGTCCTGACTGGTTCGCAGGGTCCCACGGCCGGTACGAAGAAGTTGGGGTTCGAGGTCGTCTTCCCGGAGAGATGGGTGGCGGTGGCTGGCTGTGATGCGGTGGACCAGGATAGCCATGGCCGTGCCCGTGCCCGTGCCCGTGCCCCGGCATACTCATTCCGCCCTGCGAGGCGTAAGAATGACCATAAGGAGGTGATGCGGCATGGTGATGGTCTGTGCGCAGCACGGAGGAGTCCCCTGTTAGCCGGTAATCTGCCTTTGATCACCTTGTCTGGCCATTTTTAGCATGGCGAAGATTCGGCCCAGACCTACTGTGTCTGCCAGAGTCGTGTGGGCGACCATCATTCGCACAAATTCCGATGTGCACTTACCTCGTGATGATTGAGCAGCAAGTTCTTCTTCACGCTCACTACGACCGTTGCCAGCGGGTCCATGATAGCCTCCTGTTGCTTTGCGATGCTGACCTGGCCACGTCGAGCGGTGGTGGGAGGTGAAGTTGTGGTAGGATCAGCTCGATCCACAGAACTCAAGCGTGCGTTGGGCTTTGCTGCAGGTCCGCAGACTCACCATCGCGATACATTGCTGGGATTTCCAAAAGCTCAGCGTGAGTTGGGAATGGATTGACGTAAGTCGCCGTGGTCGAGAGACCGCGCAAGGAGAGGGGCGCTCGTCAGAGTGGTCCTTCTCTGCAACTGGGGTCGAGTATATATGGGCAAAACCTTGGCGTCTTGTAGTTCTCCGCGGTTCCCTAGCTGCCTGGAAGACCGTGATTGCGTTCGGAAATGTCGAGCCCGAGAGAGCGACTCGGGCTTGCGATGTGAGTGGTCTTCACGCTGCCGCTTCTGTGAGGGTGGAAGGGTCGCCGAGATGGTGGTAGCAATGCGCGAAGCGACGCGGAGTAGGTTGGTGCCGGTAAAGCAGGACGCGGGTTGAATCTGACGTACGAGCGGCCCAATGTGCGGCAAATGCGAGCTGCAAATCCCGCGCTAGCCTTCTGAGCCGTCTGGGTGCAGCTGCGCAGCAGCAGCAGCAAGGCAGCAGGAAGGAAGGGTGGAGATCACAGCCGCGGCGGCACAGCAGCTCGGCGAGCGCGTAGTACAGCAAAACGTCGAAGAAAGCAGCACGCCGTGGTGAGTTCCTGCTGGATAGCGCATCGACGCGCGCAGGCTTGATGCATGCATGCTGCACCGTATGCAAGGTCAAGACTCACATGGCTGCCATATGCTGTGCTGTTTGCGGGCGCGCAACGTCAGCCTCGGCGCCGTGCGTGCATCTGTTTCACAAGTGAGTACATGTGTAGCGCTGATCAGCCACGCGCGTTTTTGCTACATGGCGCGCGACACACTACGCGCAATAAGCAGTAGGTCTATATACCCACCGGAATGCGCGTACATATAAATCAAGAGTACGGTATACAGTCAAACCCGCCTATATTCACCCCATTGGGGGCGCTTATTTTTGGTGACTACAGCAGGGTGTGCCAATAGGCGCCACGTCATGGGACAAAAAACTGGTCATGTGACTCAATTTTTTTGTCATGTGACGTGATTTTCTGGTCATGTGACTTGATTTTCTGGTCATGTGACCAGATCTTTGGTCACATGACTATTGAGCGTGACTACAGAAGCTTGCTGTATGGTGTAGATTGCATGTTTGGTGCCCAGTAAAAAGAGGTGATAGTGATTAAAGAAGGGTTGTGATTATAACTCTGATTTTGCCTGCCAAATCAAATGGGGGCCGTCCATTTGGGTGAATACATTGAGTTGTGACAATAGACCATAGTGCTTATAGCCGGGTTTGACTGTACGCCGCGTGCAGCTGCGAACCAAATGCGCAGACCAGGCGTGGATGGATTCAGATTATAGTTGCTGCAATTGGTGTATACGTTCATGATTCGCCAGGAAATAAGGGTCGCGCGCGCCCAGAGCGGCGCTAGTGCATCTCCGCACCGCCGCCACACAATCATGCGCGCGGCTCATTCAACCAACGCCTCGATCAGGCGCAATTAAAGCGGGCAGGGCAGTTCAAGGAGGCACGAGGTGTGGATTTGATGACCATCTCGAATCTGATGACGGCGTTCAAGCGGATGCATGCATGGTTGTGTGCGCGCGCGCGCGCACGCACCCACTCATTCGTTCACGATTCTGTGCACGGCGACTCGTGACTAAGGAAAGATGTGCACATTGCCCCACTCGACCCTATAGCCAGCATTGCTTTGCAATCGAGTAGCAGGGAGCTTTGAGCGCAACATTCGTGATTCTGATTGTTGATTCGTGATTCGTCAGCTACGCGTTCCGAAAGGTGCTGCTGCTGCTGGCGAGTGCTCTGACTTGGCCTCAGCGGTGGTATCGACACACGTAGAGCGCTCTCACACATTTCCCCCTAACCGGCCGCTGCTTGGCGCAAACTTTTAACGTCGTTCTGATCGAGTCGTGCCTGCTCGCGCGACGTCGGCTCTCTGCAGACACGTGTCGAACGATCATCCGAGGTATCGATTCTTGGTTCCTCAATCAAAATGGTTCCAGTCGAGAGGTGTGATGGCGCGACGTTCATTTGAAGCGACTCCTGATGTCCTGATGATTCGAAGTATCAAAGACGCCGCGTGAGGTTGGCGCAGCTGTTCAAGGTGCGCCTGTCTCGCGTTCCAAGCAGTCGCTCAACCACTACAATGATGATCTCTCATCTTCCGCGCTAGCTCACACCATGCACATGGTCGACAAGAGGGTTGCTGAAGTCAAAGCTTGGAAAAGTCGCAGTGAGCAACGGGTGAGTCGTGATCGAATGGTTGCGTGTACGTACAATGCCGATATTAGTACACTGGTAGTCACACCTATGGGTCAGGTGGGCGAAACTCGTACGAGCTCGAGGACTAGCGCGTCCCAGCGTCTTGCACAGCAGCTGGAGTCGATTTGGATGGCTGCGATTCGGGGGCCTCCGCATCTCGAGGATGCGAGCTTCCTTGAGCATCCGAAGCGCTCTGGACTGGCGAGGTCTCACCAGAGGAATTCTTCACCTTTCTGATTTGCCTTTTCTCATCGAGCTCTTTCTTCGCTTGATCTCGCAGCGCTTGGTCATCGCTGCGATCGACAGACCGCTGCGGGATCAGGAAGACCGTGACGAAGAACGCAGCAGCCGTGAGAGCGGCCAAGAGGTAGAAATTCTTGGAAAAGCCTTGTCGGTAGGCTTCTCGTAGCTGACTGAGCTCTTCCGCGCTCAGAGGAGCGACATTGCTGCCAGAGCCGCCTATAGAACTTTGCAGCAAAGCGGAAGGGTCGTTTAACACTTGCTCGATGCGCTCAGTCGACCATCCCAACGGCTGTAGTGCGCTGACGGTCACATTGTTGATGATTGTAGCAGCAACCGCAAGTCCTAGACTACCACCGAGGTTTCGAAAGAAGTTGCGTGCTGCGGTGGTCACAGCTTGGTCTTTGCGCTCCACAGCGCCTTGCATTGCCACCAGTGAGATGCTGAGCGTGTTGCCGACGCCGACACCAGCGAGCAAGCCATAACCGATCTGTTTGCCCTTGCCATCACCTTCTCTCAAAGTGCTGAAGAGGCCCATGGCGACGCTCCAGACGATCCAGCCCACGAGGAGGTTCCAACGATACGTGCCGGTCCAGCTGAGGATCAAGCCACTTGCGGTGGACGAGAGGGTCTGTACCACGGTGAGCGGAATGATTAGCGCAGCTGCGATGATAGCTGGATAACCAAACACCAGTTGGTAGAATTGGGTGATGTAGAAGATCTGCACCAAGAAGACCCAGCCATTGATGAGCTGGCAGATCATGCCACCGACGATGATACGCTTGCGAAAGAGCTGGAGAGGCATGAGCGGCAAGCGTGTGCCCTTCCACTCCCATAGGCAGAACACTACGGCAACGCCCCCGCCGACGATGAGAGGACCGAGAACCCAGGAGGAAGACCACGGGTGTTCACCGCCTCCCCACGTGAGGCCGAGGACGATCAGAAGCGAGGAAGCCAGGGTCAGGATTGCTCCGAGCCAATCGATAGCTTTGAATTTGGCTTTGGCGCTCCCATGCACCTTTTTAGCTGGCAGAAAGAAGAAGACCATGGCGAAGCTGAAGGCAGATAGCGGAAGTTGAAGTCGAAAGATGTCTCTCCAGCTGGCCTTGCTCGCGAACGCGCCTCCAATGATGGGGCCTACTCCGTTGAACACGGCTACGACGGCGCCGAGAATACCCTGATAAGTTCCTCTTTGGCGCAGGGAAACCACGTCCGAAATGACCACCTGACTCAGGGTGATGAGGCCACCGCCACCGATGCCAGTAAAGGCCCTGAAAATCGCGAGCTGGGTGGTCGTCCGCGCGAGCGAGCTGGCAAGGCTTCCGAAGAAAAAGATGACAACGCATCCCAGCAGACAATTCTTTCGACCGCAAATGTCGGATATCCGTCCGTAGAGCAGCTGAAATGAAGTGCTGGTCAGGAAGTAAGCGCTCGAAATCCATGCGCTTTGAGTGCCGCTACCGAGCTCGGTGGAGATGATAGGAATGGCGACCGCCAGGGTGGATTGGTCCAAAAGGCTGCACATGGTCGATGCAGCCAGCACAAAGAAGATGATGATGATTTGCCTTCGCGGGACATAGTTCGTCTGCTCGTTTGGAACATACTTTTCGGCTTCATTGCCGCCTAGTCCATTTGAAGCGGCTGCTGGCGTGGCAGGCCCCGCCTCTACATCGCCTGCAGCTACGGCCTCATCTTTGAGATTGCGCTCGTTGTCGCTAGCCTCGGCGTGCGTCGCTTCTGAAAGGGTCGCTGTGTCGTGTTCGCCGTGATCATCGGCGGTGCTACCTGGGTGATGTTCTGGTTGTGCACTGTCTCGACGATCGACGCAGTCTTTGGGCTGCTGTTCAGTCAGCATTTGCAACCACTCCAGGCTTTGAGGATGTTTTGTGAGCGGTTAGAGCAGCTTGCGTCGGGACTCTGGAGAGATGCGAGCAGCTTAGAGTCGTGAGCTGTCCGCGCTGAGACGGCGTCAAGCTCGGGTGTGCGAACAAGTGTCAGTTAAGGCACGGTTGTCATGATTCGCATGGTTGGTCCAGTCAGCTTCTGATGTGATCAGCGCTCTGACCCGTACTTCATGCTTGGAGGGTTCGCACGACTTGATGTTGAACGTATGGATGCTACACGACACGGCTGAAACACACGTTTGACGGGGTCCGGCCTCTAAGCAAACACTGAGAAATCAGGAATGGGATTTTGGACCGATAAGCCCTTGTGTGTACCTCTGACCATCGCCTTCGGACTTGATCGGTTTTGCTCGCATCTTGCAAGTCGCCGGTTTCGCAGCAAGCGTCCACTGGCACGATCATGCAGCGATGTTACCCTTTCAAGTTATGCCGGCAGCAGGTGGCATGCAGTGACGGACGACTTGCAGATCTTTGCTCCAGCGTCTGCAGATGGGGCGGTGCGGTCTAGTGCCCTCGGCACGATCGGCGCTTCTGCCGATGCCCCGCTTACTCCGCAACGCGGCGTAGTCGCGATCGAGTCGCGTGATGGGTACCCGACAGAACCTTTAAGCGGCTTTTCAGAAATGAGCGTGGCAGGAGCGGTAATAGCAAGCAACAAAGCAGCCTCTCAGAACAAGGCGGAGCAACCAGCGCATCAACAAATTTCAAAAGCAACGCTGTCGTTCCGACAAAATGAGTAGTGCCAGAGAGCTTTCCAGGCTATAGGTCGGATTCGCGGTGTATCAAGACGAGATGCAAATGGCAGTAACAAGGCGAGACAGACAGAGGGCAAGAAACGAGTTCTAATGAGGTAGAAAGGCGAAAGCAAAAGAGTACACTTGCTGTGAGCGCAAGGCGTAATTCGTGAAAGCGTGCGAGTTTATCCACCACCAGCTGAGCTGATGGAATTCGAAAGAGAGCTCGTGTTGGCAGGCCGTATGCAGAAAACAGTGGTATCTCCCATCTGTATGTGGGTGGGCCAGCGTCAACAATCCGCGAGGGATGCGGAGAAAACAAAAGTGAACTTACAAAGACAATTTGGTTGCGGCTTGCAGCAACACTTTCCCAGACAGGATTTCTCTGCAGAGGAGGTGGCCGGGGTGCTTGCGCAGCAGTAAAAGCAAATGGCACGCCAGGTCGGTACATCGGCTGGCCTGGTTGTGGCCCGTATGGCGGTGGCCTGGGTCCAGGGCCCATTGGCGGCCGTCCATACGCGGCACCAGGAGGAGCACCGTTCATACCCATCTGGAAACTTTGAGCGCGCGAGAGTCCGCCAGGCGGATAGTCTGGAGCCATCGGTGGGGCTCCCGGATAAGGCGGTCTACCGTACGAATTCATGGCGCTCGGCGCTGGCGAACCGTGCAAATTCACCTTACTGCTCGCCGCGCTGCTCGACACGCTGGAGCTTGACGATGATGCAGGAGGCGCGACGTCTGCGAACAGACACCTCAAGTTGTAGCCAGTGATAACCTGATGCAAGGCGCCTGTCTGCACGTGTCGGACTTCGATGAAGCTTGGCTCAAAGGCAAGCACGTAAGGATGATGATACGCGAAAGAGGTTGGATTTCCCTCCCAATGGATGATCCAGTTGCCCTTCGAACGCCATCCGTTCTTGTTGACGTAGAACGCAAATTCGTCGTAGCACAGCAAGAACTCGCCGTCGATCCGATAGATGGCAATGGGCTTGACCGTCTCCTTGCGTTGCACAAAGTCCAAATTAGAGTCAGCAGGATCCAGCAATCCTTGGGTGTCGAGCGTTTCGAGGTCGACGATCTCAAAGCCCTTGGTGCAACCAACGCATAGTTTGCTCTTGAGGAAGTGGATGCTGCTACTTTCCGTCGGGATATAGAACTCCTTGAAGACGCGCAAGGTTTCCTGACCTCCTTGCAAGAGCTTGCGGAAGGTGGGCTGCTTCTTCCCTCTGACATTTTGCTCAATCGGCTCGAGCGTCTTGATGGTCGATGAGAGCGAAGAAGACTTGACGACGCACACCAGCGTCCGTCCGAGACACTGTCCGGCTTTGAAAAAGGACGTGTGAGAAGAGATACGGCGCCCACGCTTCAAAGATCCCATTGGGTCGGAAGGGTCCAATGCGTCCAGAGTGAAAGTGTGCACGCTGCGTTCAGCAAGAATAATCAATATCTGATACTCTTCCAGCACGTCCATCTGTGTGACGCCAGGCAAAGGCAGCACCTTGGTTGGCGGACGAGCCTTCTCCCGCAGATCTGATAGGTAAACGCCGTCGTCTGTGCCGTATATGATGCGTCTGCCAAAGTCGAACGGCACAGAGCAAGTCACCTTTGCAGGTCCGCTAAAGAAGCTCTCGCTGAGTGTGATCGTGTCAAAGATATTTGAACGCTGTCGCAGGACATCCTGTCGAGCCTCGATGTGCTCGAACCACTTCTTCCGGCTAACGAAGGTGCTTGCCCAAAGCGTCTGCGTGTATCCTTTCCTGCCCAAGTAGGTAAACGTCAAGGCGTAGCCTGTCTTTTGATCTTGCTTCGGAGCCGAGCCTGTTGGCACGCCACCGCTGAGACGATTGCCTGTAGACGTACGCGACATGACGGACTTGGGTCTCGTCGCAGTGCCCTTACCAGTCGGGACCTCATCGTACACTGTGACGATCAGAAGCTCGAGTGGTATCGGCTGGGGAGCGTATGCAAGGGAGCGGGGGAGGGGGTTTTTAGTACGGACATTGACTAGTCGGCCTTGCATGGCGGCGACCCACCTTTCTGAACACTTTGTAGAGCTCGTGCTTGTGCACGTTCTTCGCTTTCGCCATCAACAGAGCGTGATCGAACAGGAAGACTTGGAGGTCGCCGCTCTCGCTCTGAGAACCACCTCTCCTCTTGAGAGGTCCTTTGAACACGAGCTCTCGCTGTTCGTCTCGGAGCCTCAGATCAACAGCTTCTCCTTGCTTGAAGACCAGCTGCTGATCCAGCTGGGCGAGGTTGAAACGATTTTCACTCTTGCCGGATTCCGTGTTCACCTTGCTCAGGAATTCCTTGACAATCTTGATCACCTTTGGCAGGGCCTGCTTATCTGGGCTGTCGTCCTCCGTCGCCTTGGCCACACCTTCGAGCAACAGAGGATAACGGGCCAGACGAGTGGTGGGCTTGGTTAGGTAACCATTCAGCTCTAGCTTCCGCGACTCTGGCAGCCGTTCTGTCTCTTCAACAAATTTGAGGAATGCAGGATTGCTCGCCTTCTCCTTCTCGAATTCGTACTTGCCGTACAATTGGTGTGCACCGTACTTGACGAAGGGCTGGAAGTATGGCACCATCTCCAGAAGAAGGTCGCCTATCCGTTCCACCACCGCTTGTTGTTTCTGACGCTTGCCGAGCATATCTGCCAGCTTGGAATTGACGGCGTGTATTTCCAGCACATTCCAAAACACCTGCGTGACAAAGTCATCCCGCCGCGCATCAGCGATGATGTCTCGGGTTCGCAAAGGCTTGATCCAAAAGTCTCGAAGATACTCCAGATCCCGAACAAAGTCGCGTTCGGTGTATATGACTTCGTTGATGAGCTCTTGACGCTTGCGTTCCTTCTCCGAGACACTCTCCAAAATCTCCTTTGATACCGATTCCGCCCACAGCGCTCCTTGCTCCTGCGGCCGAGCACGATCACATACCAATCAGTCAGCGACTGCCAATGATGGCTCTGAATCGAGTGCGCAACGCTCACCTTCGTCTCTCCAAGCGACTCTTTGCTAAGACTTCGCTTGAGCACAGCTTGCGGCTTCATATTCAGTCGCGCTTGCTGCTCCAAGCGCCTCGGGCAAGCGATAGAATAACAAAGTCGATCACGTGTACACGTTGGGCTGTAGCAGTCCGTCAAGAGCGTGAAGACTCCGGTAGGCAACGCGTCTTCCTCTTCCATATCAGCAGAAGGGTATCCCGACGCCATCGGAGTGGGGTTCGCGTTTCGACTTTGCGTGCCCGCACCGCGCGTAGATGTGGCCGGCGTGGACGCCACGTTGCTTTCCGTGACACTTTGAGCGCTTGAGCCACCCAGAGTGAGCGAAGCGGCTGAGCTATCCCTCGTGGGTGCTCTGCTTCCGTTCTGGTCGTTCATAGGCACAGAAAGGCGTGAGCCAGCTTCTCCATGCGCTTGGCCGTCGTTTGCGTCCTCAAAGACGTCATTCTCGCTGCCGAAAGGGCTCGTAAGACGGACGCGGAATTGGTACAGCTCGTTGGGGCTATCCCTGAGCCTATGGTCGTAGGTAACGTCGTGGAAGAACTTTTGAGCGTCCAGCGCTCTTCCCAAGAGCAGCGCAAGATTACGGTCCGTAGTCTTGATGATGTAAGCTATCTTGTCCACCGCTTCTCTGCCATCGAATGCATCGGTGTACGACAATCCGTCCTTCGTCCTTTCCGAGAGCGTGACTCGAGACTTGAAAGCTTCCGCGACGCGTGACAGCAAAGCGGGATAAACCAGCGGCCCTCGACGACTGGGTACAGGCGGATGATTTACAGCAGCACTGCCGATACTGCCGTGAGGAGAGGACAAGGCGGTAGGGATACCCGGTCGAATAGACTGGCCAGCTGACATGCTTCTGGCCTCGAAACGACCTTGACCAGCGGGAGTCATTCCCTGAACAATGCTAGGAGCACGGGTGGACTCAACGCTCTTCCTCCACTCTAGATTGCTTTCTGCGTAGCTGGGTGCGTAGGCAGCCTGCGCGGCTTGCGTGGCGCTCGAAGTGGTTCGCATGCGCTGTTGATACGGCCCATAGCCACCCATCGGCGGCATGTTGACGGAGCCAAAATATCCAGGATGCTGGCCAGCCCCTTGTGGTCCAATGCCGCTCGCCCCGCTGCTGTACATCCGCGGACCTAGTTGACCGTTGTTTGAGGGCGCTGACACTGTGAACATAGAGTTGGCTACTGAAGGGGCATCGGATTCGAAAGACCCGCGCCGCCTCATGTCACCATACACTGAAGATGCTGCAGACCTACCATTGCCGCCATTGTTGGCGCCTATCCTTCGCTGGTACTCTTGGAAATCTGTATCGACGAGTCAACAGAATCAGCGCAAGCCTGCCGCTCGTCATGGGCATATCGGTACACTTACCGTTCACACCATCCTCATCTGCTCCTCCGCCTCCCATGCTCAGGGCGCTCAGCGATTGTGTGGCACCAGCAAGAGGAACGTCTTGCCTCAGAGGACTTGTTGGCGTCTTTCTGCCCTCTTCTGCATCTGCAAGGTGTCCGCCGGCTTTGGCGTTCACGGCGGCTGCTGCTGCAGCTTGCGCGGCCTGATTTGAGGTGCCCGGCTTAACGCTGAACCAGTGACCCTCGTCGCTTTCTTCAGCCTTCGGCAGGTCTAGTCCTGGAATTTGAGGAGGCGCGCGCGGACTGATGTCCTCTGACGACAGATAAGCTGCACTGCCGTCGTACACGCTTGTGGAGCCTCGTTGAGAAGATGGCTGAGTCGTTGCGAAGGGAGTGCCGCCAGCGCCATAGAGAGCGCCGGCAGAGCCGGCAACCGAAGGATGTCTGTATCCAGGCACCTCCGGATAGCCACCACTCTGGCTTGGCGTGGCTGATCTGCTGGGGATTTGCGGATAGCCATTGCCCTGTCCTTGACTGCCAGCGCCAGCACCGTACATGTCCGATGCATTGAGGCCGCCAGGATTCCCGTAGTAGCTCATCCTCGGATCGCTGCTCCCACCGCTTGCGATAGAAGGGGCGTTGCTGGCTCTCCGGTCGATAGCGTCGGCTCCATATTGACCTCCCTGGGAAGGTTGAGAGGGCATATACATACCGCTACCCACGTGTGGCGGTGGCCCAGAGGTCGACACTCGATAGGGGCCAGGCGGCGCAGGGGAATGCCATCGAGGTGGTGGTTGACCGTACGGACCAGGAGGCTGCGAGCCTGCGATGGCTTGGTTGTGTACCCAATTTTGCGTAGCTGCCATCTGAGGTGGGAGTTGATATGGTGCATATCCGCCAGACGGAGGTGGAGGAGCAGGTCCTTTGGGCTTGGCCGATGGCCTGCCGAAGATGCTTTCGTACGCTGCTGTCCGCTTGTCCATCTCACCGCCACCCATTGCTCCACCAGCACCTCCATTTGGCCCTCCAGGGGGCATAGTGATGTTGTGCCTCTCTCTGGTGGAGAGAATAAGCTGTCGACGTGGCGATGAAGAGATCAATACGATTGGCGACGATCCGCTTTCGGCGTCTGAAGTGAGGTCGCCAGTGCCAAGTGAACGCGACAGGGGGCTGATCACGAATGAGGGTAGAAAGGGCGGAGGGAACGTAGAAGGAGCACCGAAAGGACGTATTGGGTAGGACTCCCTTCCCAAGAATGCCGGTGTGGTGCTGTAGATGCTGTCAAGAGGGGATCGGACGATGATTTGATGATGAGGGTGACAGCGCTGTGCGCACTTCCCAGTGCTTGCGCTTGCATGGTGACTGATGTACAAAACCGCACACGCAGCTGCGCTGCTTGAGTGCTGATGGGGCGCGTGTTACAGCAAGTACATGGCTTTACGGTACCGTACCGCACTCTGACTGCACAGTCACGAGTATAGTAGCTAGCTGTTGTGCGCCTCCTAGCTGCAATCATCCCACCCTGGAGACCGCGCGGCGGCCGGCGGGGGGCGGAAGCAGGGAAGGCGGTGCAAACGGCACGTGATGCTTCAGTCAGGCGCAATTGAATCACCAATCAAAATCTTGAATCAAGTGCATTAAGAATCTTGAATCAAGAATAAGGGCGCGCGGTCCGTTCGCGTTTTGTCGTGATTCAAAATTGCGTGCAGGTGAGGCACGCACAACGCACGCCGGTGGTGGCTTTGATTAATGAGCCTAATCACGAAGTCCCGATTCAACACTCATCAGTGACTCTTGACTCAGCTTGACTCGATCATGACGAGGCTTGACTGGATGGGAGAATGAGGGGCTGTCACGCGGTCGCACCCCACTGCGCGATGGAGCGTCAAAGAAGGTGAATACTCGCGCACTGGCTGGCACCTCGATCGTTGTCAGCATAGGCCTCAAAGGGGTCATCAACTCAAGAACTCGTGCCCGTCATAGAATAAGATGGGGCAGCTGATGCGAGATGTTGCCATGTATGCTGCTCCGCTGCGACGGCCCGGGCTTCGCTTCCGAGCGATGCGTACGAACGGGACCACGCGTGCTCAGCACGGGGCAGGCAGCAAAGCACACCACCGCACCATCAGCTTCGAGCGGAGGAACTTGACCGTGTCGTGCAAAGTCCGCACGGCTCGATCCCCATGCTCTGACTGATGATGCTCACATTCCATAGCCTTGTCATCGGCTTGCACGTCTCGACGATTCTCAAAGGTGCAACAATTTACGGATCCTCGGACGAGGCCGTGTGAGACGAGAGGATGCGGAGTTCACGCAGCAGTTATCTTTTGTACTCCGCTAGTGGTTTTGACACCAGCCAGCCTGGATAATTAGCCGCGCAAGCTCGTCTCGTTCGCGGTTGAGCCTTCCAATCGCGTGCTGGTCAGCACGGCCAAGCACGAAGCGGTAGTAGTAGTCACTCGCAACCGCAGCCCATATTCGCCGCCAGCGCACCATCTCGCACAGCTGCGATTTGGGATGGCCGGGCATTGGCAGCAGATTGCTGTCATGCCACGAGGTCTTCCACACAGCTTTGACATGCAGTCCGCAGAGCGTGGTTAGCGCGCGCGGTCGTGAGTCAGGAATCCGTATATATATACATGGCATGGAGTCACAATTAAGTGGGAAGCCAGGAGCCGCACTCGTGATGGCTAGCTACACTACAGAGTAGTCACAACAGCGGTGTCTAGTGCAGCGCCCTGGCTGCTGTGTGTAAGCACTTCATTCGTGATTGTGCTGAATGAGCATCAGCTCGCCAGGAGAGGTCTGCTTCAGTTTGAGTCACGAGCCGATAAGCTGTTGCACAGTAGTCGTGAGTGGTGAGTGGTGCCCACAGTCATCTGAGTCACAAGAGTCTTGAATTGAGTCAATAGTATCGCCTTTGAATACCTTGCAAGCGACCGACGTTTACCGCTCTATATAGCAAAGTCACTAGTGGAGCCGTCTTGCAGGGCGCAAGGCTTGAAGAAGCCAACAGCAGCGATGCAGGAGTCGTGAGTACGCATCTGTGCAAGCAAGCAATCAAGCGAAAGGGCCCTTTCCCTGCATGCATGCTGGCTGCGTCGTCGCTCTCCGTACAGCAGGGCAACTTCGCTCAGGGTTCTCTCTGCATATCCATGTACCCATCCACAACAGCTGCTGCATGCCCGCATCCAACCTTCGTGCCTGTTCTTCCTTCGTTGAGCACCGCTTACCTATCCATCTTCGAGCAGCAGCAGCAGCAGCAGCAGCAGCCCGAACACGGAGATCAAGGGGACTTCGAGCTTTCGCCCACGGTCGGCAATCAGACAATCAGACAATTTGCGTGTTGCGTTGCGGTGCGCCCACGTCGATTGTGCTTCGCGAGGGCATGATCATGAATTAGCCACCAGTCGGTAAGCAAGGGCACACTGGCCTCTCAAAATGACCAGGATTCGACCTGAATCAAGGAATGCCGTATCGCCATCTCGAATCTCGAAGCACGTGAACGGCCGTGCGAATGTCCAAGCAATCAAAAAAAGGACGAAAGCCGATTCACGATGATTCTTGTTTCACATTCATCATTCGCATTCTTGATTCACGTTTTTGAGTCGTAGGAATCAAGAATGTCGCAAGCGGCGAGCTGCGTAGGCAGGCACTGCAGCAGTCTGAGTCCTGCTGCTATGTGTTTGTGATGCCGCCTGGCCGGGCCATGAGGGAGGCGCGTTCCGTGATTCCCTCGGGTCCACTCTGCATGATCTTTTTCTTCTTTCTCGCGCGCCCTTCGCAGCATGCTAAGACGCGCGCTTGGGACGTGCAGGCCGCGCGAAGCAGCAGACTCACAGACCATCCGTATCCGTGAGTTATTTAGACTCAGCTCGCATGAGGCTACTAGTCGCTGTATGCTGAACCGAGGTAAAGACGCATCACCACGCAGGCAGCGTTCGCCTCACCTCGATGATCCCCTCATTACCGTCGTACGTCTCTGCAGTCACCAGAGTTGAGTGCATGTCCGGTGTCACACTCCGCCTGAGCGACTTGCAGCTCCGAGACACGGGCCCTCAACACTCGCACTCAAAACCCGCCCTCGCGTGCATTTGTAAGCTTGCGTCCCACTGCTTATTGCAACCATCAGATGAGCGCAGTCACAGCACACTCACATCTTGTGTATCGGAGAATCTGACTCTGTGGCTTGTTCCAATAAGCAAAGCTCTGCTCTTGCGAGGTCCGCCTTCGCACACCGCACAGCAGCGCTCCGTCAACACAGACACCAGACAAGCCATTCGAATCCCGGGACAGACGCATTCCTCCGCACATACACTGCGACTTGCAGTGGATGCCCAGGTGTTCGCCAGCTCATTGGCCGCTACTGCAAGCTGCGCTTCATCGATCTCGTCAGTGCGCTCGACAAATTGTTGCGAGTCCGAGCCATCTAGCATTTTCCGTGAACCTTTCCAAGCCTCTCTGCTTCGAGCTTCGTCGCAAATCGATACGTGCCTATCCTCAGCGGAGCCTGCGTACAATGTCGATAGCTACGACATCTGCGCAAGTCGGCGGGGCTACACCGACAGGTCTGGCACCTTCCCTGGCTGCTCTCGCAGCACCACGAGCTGTTCGCTTCATAAGCGCATCGGAAGCCAGCGAGATCGATGCTGCACTCATGTCCCCGGATCAGCATGGATACGCGTTGGAGCAATTGATGGAGCTGGCAGGGTTGGCTTGTGCACAGACCGTCTTCAGATCTTATCCTCCGGACACCTTTCCCGTCATTCTCGTCGCCGTGGGTCCCGGCAATCAGGGAGGGGATGGGCTGGTCGCAGCTAGGCATTTGCATCACTTTGGGTACAATGTTCTGGTCTGGGCACCAAGACTCAAGGGCGACCACATCTCGGTGAGTGTGAAGAGGGGCTTTCAGACATTAGGGTCACTAGGCATGAGCGCAAGTGCACTTCTAGGGCTGCTGGAGTGGTTGCACTTCACAGAAATACCGTGCATTACGTGTATCTCAGTTACCACGACACGCTGCAGCCTTTCATGTCTCTCACTCACACCCTAACACGCTCCTTTCAACAGCGGCTGGAACGGCAGCTGCGCAACTTGGATGTATTCTTCGCTATGGCTGATGACTCGGGTTTCGAGGACGCGCTAGATCAAGCCGATGTGGTTCTGGACACAATTTTCGGTGCGTGCTGAGCAACAGTCGCTGTTGAGCATAGATGCAGCATTGACATGCTGTGGTTGTACATTTGACAGGCTTTTCTTTCAAGGGACCTCCGCGAGAACCATTCGCCAACGTCCTCAAGGCTTTGATAGAGGAGGTAAGTTGCTCAGTCTTCCCGATTCGGTCAGGAACGGGCTGCTGACTTCGCCTTTCGGTCTTCGCAGTCGCGCATGGAATTTCAAATGCGTCGGCCCTGCCCGCCAGTGGTTTCCGTGGATATCCCATCAGGCTGGCCTGTGGACGAGGAAGGTGGAGAAGCAAATGCAGCGCCCGCATTCGCCGAGTCTGAGCGCGGACGACAGAGCGAGAGGTTCATTCCCGAAGTTTTGTTGTCCTTGACAGCCCCCAAGAGCGGGATCAGATCACTGGTGACAGGATCAAAGCCGGTACGCCACTTCATCGGAGGGAGGTTCATTCCCAAAGCGTTAGAGCATCAGTACGCTTTGGCCTTGCCGGCCTACCCAGGGGACGAGCAAATTGTGGAAGTGACGGGATGGGAGGAAATGTCATTGGAACAGGCTAGACATTTGGCTCAGCAGGAGATGGAAGCTTTGGCGAGCGCACCCTCAAATAGCGACGAGGTCGCTGCCTCTACCGTCGTTCCCGCTGGCACAGCGGCCGCACACCTCAGTCATCAAGCCGATGCTGCACAGAAACTGGAAGCCGGGGCTGTGGATGACCAGCAGAAGGTATAGTTGCAGCCCGCAAGGACACTTGACTTTCACCATTGGCTGCTGTGGCGTACACACCGTCTTCGCGCACCGAGCGCACACTTCATCCAGTCAGCTTTGTAATGATTCACTTGAGCCCCTTCGACCTCTTTCCATTCCCAGACGCTGGCACGCCCTACTGAGGCCCCATACACGTTCCATGTCGAAGTCACCTAGCAACGAAGCCAATGCATGCCAACGAACACAAGGGTGGCTGCGCTGGTAGGCAGAGGGGCGCCTCTGGGTCTGCTTTCAAGCGGCTATGGGTTCATGCGCCGATCTCGGCATTGGCAGCGTCATCGCCAAGCTGTCCACCCCTGCTCAAAGCGTTCCAAGCATCTCTGAACTCTCCCCGCCTCCTTTCCCGCTTCTCGTCTCTCTTGCGCCTCCTCTCGTCTTTCTCTTTCCCGGTATCGCTGATGGTTCCAGACACATCCGCTTCCAGGTCCTCCGTGTATGGGCTCAGTCGTGAATCTTCCTCGATCGGGACGCCAAGGCTCGGGGGTAGGGTGCTGCTCTGCACACTGGTGGGCAGACGCTCGGTCCGTGAGGTGATTGCGGAAGAGGTGTAGCGCATAGATGTGGAGGCGCTCGGGCGATCTGCTGGAGCTCCCCAGCGCGAAGGCGGCCAGACGATGCAGACGACGCGTGAAGTGAGAAGCGCGATTGGGACCTGGCGAAGCGCATTGTGATTGTCGAAACGAGGAATCAGTGCCTCCTCTCTGAGCCGCTCAGACGAGAGGCTGGGCCAGCCAGCTGGTACTGAGAGAGCCCAATCTTACCTCCCAAGCGGTCTTTGGCTCTGCCTTCGACGCATACAACCTCCGACTCACCGGTCCAAAGCTCCGACTGTCCAGGCTCTTTTGCTCCGGCAGGCCGCCTCTGCCTCGGGCTATTTCAGTGCCGGCCGCATCTCCTTCCACCCACACGTGTCCTAGAGGTATTCGAATCCTTTTTTGCCCGCGCTGCTCTTCTGAGGAGGAGCTGAACCTCGAGGCGCTCCCTGCCGCTGCGTCGGAAGAGACAGAAAGCGTAATGGTATCTCCCGGAAGGGCCAGGATGCGCTTGACCAGGTGCAGGTTTGGATCTTGGGGTGAGCTGGTCCAAGCGGATACCGTCAGAGCGCATCAAGACCGTCAGTCTACCTCATATGCTGTGATTTGCTCATCCGTGGAAGAGTCTACTCACTGCAGCCCCACGATGTCGCCTATATTCCAATCGCCCCCATATGCTCCAGGTCTATTCCCATCATTTCTCCACGCACTTTTGCTGTTGCCGCTCGCTTTGGAATCTGCATCCGTGCCAGCATCATTGTAAATTGCGCCCGCTGTTTCCGGCGACCCTACGAGCGTTTCCAGATCACCTTCTGAATCCGACTCTAAGCCCCTCCCCGCCGCGCCGCCAATGCTGCCACGCGCGAATGCGGGTCTCCGACGAGCCTTTTCTGATGTCCACGAAGCGGTGCTTATGCTTTGCAGCTTGGAGAGAAGCACAATGTCGCCTTGGCGTGACTTTGTGCGGCCTTGAAGTGTTGGCTGCGAAAGTGATGCAGGCGGTAAGTTCTCCGGGAGCTGTTGCAGAAGTCGTCTGATAGGCTCGACTCCAATCAGCACTTGACGAGCGACTCACTAGCATGCTACCTCCGCTGATGTACGAAATACCAGTAGTGCTAGAGAATGCAAAGATGACGACGGCTGACCAGCCTAAAAAGTTGAAGGACCGCCTGAGGATCCACGCTGCGCTTCCTCCATCCCCTTTTCCTGAAGTGCCCTCTCCATCCTTTGGAGCTGGACTCGCTGGATTGGAGGGCGAAGACGCAGAAGAGGCGAGGGTAGCGCTGCTGAAGCCAGCCCTGCTCTTGATTGGTGATGGCAGTGATATTCCTCGGAAAGATGAATGTACGCACGCAAGGCGGACAGTCGAATTACGACGTCCTTTGTCACCTCCCGAGTGCACGTCGCAGCATTCAGAAGGTCTCGCACTCAGCAAAGGCCGCAGCCTCGGTGCTCGCCAGCACGACATCGCCAATCTTGGACGCCACTTACTGATCCTTGCGAGTCAGAGCCAAAGAGTTGAGTGGCTGAGGAGCAAAAGTCACAACTTGAGTCTCCGTGCTCTGGGAACGTATTCGATGGTTGTGTATCGTTGGGTCACCTACTCGAATCAAACGCGAGGAGAAATTTGTGGAGGTACGGTGGTAGTGGGGTCACGTGCGCTGAAACGAGTCAAACATTCTTGATTCTTGGTAGAATCTTGAATCAAGAGCATCACGACTCAATCAGAAATAGATACTCAAGACTTGGTGCTCGAAAGTAATTTCCAGTCGTGAGTCTTGAACTCAGACGGGTTTTGAGCTTTTGAGCAAGAAGAAAAGGATACATACAGATTCACAACTTTGATTGACACGTGTGACTCGACTGCATCTCGTGGTCCTGATACTCACGACTGATGAGTCCGAGAAGCGTTCGAATTGTAAAGATCGACGAGAAGTCTTCCTCCTTTTGCCTACCTTCTCCATCATCCACTCACGAGTCCTGCACTGCATCCTTGCAGCCGCAGTCTGGCACAAGGCAGCATGTCGAGGAGCAAGCCCACAAAGCGGACATTGGACATTCCCTCCAGGTCTCCCAGTCCGCCGACAGTCACGCCGTCCATCTCAGGCTCGAACCCGCACGCAGCCGAACCAGATGTCGAGGGCGGTGTCGAGTACTGGAGAAGCGTCGCTGCTACAGTAGACGGGGTACTAGGAGGGTATGGAAAGGGAACTCTACCTCGAGTGGACGCCCTGGGAAGTCGCTTGTTCCTACTTGGCGTATTGCCTAGGTTGGACAAGGTCAGAAGCAGCAAAGAGGAACTCAATGGAACGCCAGAGAGCAGTCTTGACAGGTCAGCAACGACGGAAATGCGGACGAGGGGATTGGATACGGGCGCTGGGGTCGGACGGGTCAGCAGGGATGTGCTGAGCAGATTGCTGCAGCATGTGGACCTCGTCGAGCCTGCGGAGAATGTGAGTGGCGTGTATGCGCCTGCTGACCTGACGCAATGTTGTGTGAAGCATTGGGGCCTATTTTGTGGCTACTGAATTTGCTGCTTTGCTCCTTTTCTGGCACAGCTGCTCGCGGAAGCGGTGCGAACTTCTCCGAGCTGGCCAGCCCTGAAAGCCATCGCCTCTGATGACAGTAGTGCCTCCTCCTCATCAAGCACACAATTGCCTTCTATCTCCTTTTTCCTTTCCACGCTGCAAGACTGGACGCAATGTCTCGCCTCTTCGCTGACCGCGCAGCAACACAAACTTCGCGAGGAAGCTCGCTTTGCGCCTGACAATGTAAGCGGCAACTCAAAGGCGCAGAAGGGTGGAGATAAAGACGAACAAGTGCTGTACGATGTTGTCTGGGCTCAGTGGATGCTACAACATCTTTCGGACGACGACCTCATCAAGTTCTTGCAAGCAGCCAAGAAATCGCTTGTCAGACCTGATTTAACAAACGGCGCGGTAGCAAAAGAGTCGAGCAAAGGAGCTATCTTGGATGGGTCGGGCTGCATCTTTGTCAAGGAAAATGTTTGCCAAGAGAAAGAGAGCGGCGAAGAGAATGTGTGGTTTGACGAGGAGGACAAGAGCATCACAAGGTGAGTTCTACCGGCTCATGGAACCTGCTTTCTTCCCGTCGTCCATGCGAGAAAGCTGATACAACCTGCTTTACCATCCGCAGGTCTCGCAAAGCGTTCGAACGAGTATTCGCAAGTGCGGGGCTGGAAATTGTCAAGACAGAAGTGCAGCTCGGCTTGCCCGCCGAACTCTTTGCGGTCAGAATGTGAGTACACGCGAGACGCGAGGTGGGTGTCGTGTCGGCAAGTCCATATGCTCATCGCAAGCTGGCCAATCTGGCGCGGTCCGATTGCAGGTGGGCTCTCAGGTGACGTGGCATCCTTTGGTGCGGTCAAGCACCAAGTAGATCGCGCGATCAGCAACATAAACGTCTTGCGCTCCGTCAACGACCATGATCTTGGAGACACCTCTAGCAATGCCCTGTTCTTGTGCTGCACCCTATTTTACGTCCACGGCTACGCCGCCTTTATATTGGAAATACCTGATGGCGTCATCCGCTGCGGCCATCAAAGCTTGGACAGCATTATCAAGGAGCTCCGATCTCGCTGAAGCATTTCTGCTTCACGGCTTGACCTTGCCACCCACGAAGTCCATTGGCGTGTGGTCTTAGCACTCGCCTACGTTGAGCTGCAAATTTCTTTCTCGCTCTCAAAAGTCGTGGCTCATACTCTGCGTCGCGACGAAGCTTCACAGACCATCACCTCTTCTAGATCCGATGGTGCGCAGTGGTGAACTTTGGCTCGTCGGTCTGAACGAAGCGGCCATCGCGTCACGTGGCTTCGAGACGCGGTCAACGGAAAGTTTGAATGCAACACGGATTCAGCAGCAGCGCGAGGGCGCGTGCTGGTGAGGTCATGCTCACTCCGACCACCACGCTCTCTCAGACACCGCAAATTTCAAGCAAGCAATGACTTACGACTCGAGACTTTTCGCAATGGTGGATCACTTGAAGGAGTCAGGTGCAACGCTTTGCTCGGCACCTTTGCTGCTACCTCGGCTCGCAAGTGCGGAACACTGGCCATACTGGAAGAAGCTCATGACATGCTTGCTGAGAGCAAATGGCCTCGCCAGAGCCGTTCTGGATGCTCCTTGCGCGCCTGCACCAATCGACCACTTGAATAGCGGAAAAGACGCGGGGGGTCAATTCCGACCAGGTAGAGGTAACACTCGATGCGAAAGCGTTGCTTCTCATGCTCACTTCTGTTGAGCCGGATATCGCCATCACCTTGCCAAATTCGGCTCGCTCCGCGTGGAATATGCTCGTCAAGCGCTTCGAATCTGCGGCTTTAGCCCATATCAGGAGTGAGCTGGATGGATTTCAATGGAAGCACAACGACACACCGAACGCTTTTCTCTATAGACTTGAACGTCTTCGTGCCGAAGCTGACGAAGTGGGCATTCGTCATGGTGCCTCCTTTTACGAGTGCAAGATCGAGAGCGCTCGTCTGCCGAGCTTGCTGAATCACAAAGTGGCAGAGATCCAAATAGCTCGAACGGGCCTGGCAGGTCGCGACATCACGGACGAAGAGACGCTGCAGATCCGGCTGGACTCTTTTCGATACGTCAGTGCGGAAGAATACCCCTGAATGCAACGCGAAGAACAGAAACGCAATCGAGGATCGCATCGCGGAGGACGTCGGGGAGGACATCGAGGAGGACACAGGCGCGCAGTTGGGCTTTGAAGGCGCATACTTTTTGCCAGAGCAGGCAGGCTAGCTCTAATGCCACCCAGATGCACAATGCCTGCTCGCCGACAGCTCGAAAGATATGTAGATCGGACGTATCCACTCTTTTTCTTTCTTACAGGGCACCGGATAACCCTTGCCAGACGGCCACACGATGCTCAAAGGCTAGCGTTCACATTGCCTGTAGAGGCGACCTGATGGACGGATCACAAATGCAGTCGGCGTTCTGTTTTGAAGCCGTACATCGCCATGCTTGTTTATTTCGAATTTTTGTCGTTTTGGCGTTGCAGATTGGACGAAACATCGCGGCCTTTGGTGATCAGCATTATCCTTCGCTTTCGAAGAACTGAGCGACCGAAGAACTGAGCGACCCATAGCGTGCCACTTCTGATGCCTTTACAGATCGAATCTGTGGCTGGCAAGAGGTACTATTCCAGCTCTCATACAGGCGTAGGAATGCTATCGCTTCCAACGCCGCAGCTCTGATCATTTCGCTCGAACAAGATAGTCAGGGCTTCTAGCCTTGGTTGGAGAGAAAAGAGCAGCAAGCACACACTTCAATTTGTGGCTCGAGTTGGAGTTCGCGCGGAGCTGCTACATGGACGAGAGCTTGACTCATGGACACACAGCAAGGGAGGGGAGGGGGGAGAAGGCCTAGGGAGCGGCTGTAGCATCGAAGCATGTGCAGCATGATGCACCATATCAGACGGGAGTCGCATACGCTCACGTCGCCTAGCAAGCAAAGCACCTGCGGACAGTGTCCCTAGCGAACCAGCGCTTCTCAAGCGACATCCACCGCTCATTGTCAAACCCAGAGTCACAACTCGATAGATGGCTGCATCTCGTGTCAATGACATTAACGTTTCTCAACTGAGTCTCAGGCTGCCCTTCAAATCATCTGATAGGGTCTGCCCAAGCTTGTCTAGCTGAGCGCAGAGGCGAGCTCGGCGAGCTAGAAGAGAGCCTCTTCCTTGCCCGTCAGTCGCGCCTGTGCCCGTTCCCGAGTTGACAGTGGACACCGATGCGCTCCTCACGTGCGTATGGGCGGTGGAGCGGTTCGTCGGAAGCACAGGTGCAGCATGCTGACTCAGATCGACAGGAGCTATCCTGGTCGCTCCATCCATCGAATCCTTGGCTCCGCCTCTAGCAGCGCTGCTAGCCGGCGTGTCGACGCGCCATCGTGACCCAGGTCCGGGCTCGAGAGGTGCTGAAATCTTTGCATCGAGTGAACGCTACGAGCATCAGCAGGAGGCGGAAATTTTGATCGTCAGTGTTTTGAACCGTCGTTTGAGGGAGCGGAAACTCACGATTTCTTCGACGAGCCTGGCCCACAAGTCCAGAGTTTCGACCTCTCCATGGTCTCGCGCATAGGAAAGGACGTCACCTTCCTCCAAAATAGCAACTCTCCTTCTCCATTGTTCCTCCTGAGCAGCGGCAATCTTATCGTGAAGCCACAGCCCAAAGTTGGGGCATCTGAGGAAGTCGAGGTACAGAGACTGCCGCACTGCGTTGCCGGTCGGCAGCGATCTGCTTCGGATCGGCAGCGGAGTACCGTGAGCCCTAAGCGAGGCGAGAAAGTCCGTTTCGCTGAAGGGCTTGATTTTGGGTGCTTCGGCGGGCGAGGATAGATTGCTGTACAGTAGCGTTCCAAAGTCAGCAGTCATTGCTCACGCGTGCTTTGCAAAGCTCTCAACACTCACAAGCCAGCTGGAATTAGTGAAGAGACATACCGATTGAGAGGGGCCAGGAAGCGCTCGGTGAGGTCGGAGAAATACCTTCTCAGCATGGCGTTGGCTGCCTCGTCATCGTCGCGCCTCTCGGCCATTTCCAATAGACGGCGAAGGAGCGGCCTATCCTTGCTGATCCTTCTTTTGCGCTTGCTTGTAAAACCCGGAATATGCTCAGGACCACCACCGCCGGCGCTGTTGCCGCCAGCAATACCGCCTCCAGCTGCACTCAATGTTGACGCTGCTGTCCCGCTTGGACCAGCTCCAGAACTAGGCTTGCGATTAACGCTAGAAGTGCTCAAATGCCTGGTGGGCTTGGGAGCAGCTTTGCCCACGCGCAGAGTGTTCGGCCAGTGGCTACACACTTGTAACATGAAGGGATTGGTGACCCCCAAGATCGTACCTGCCAGAGGTTTGTTCCTTGTGATCAGAGTCTTGAAGTCGTAATCATGAATGGTGAAGAATGGTCTCCAATCTCCACCGAATGGCACGGGTCTGATCATGTCTAGCAGATGCCACACTGCCTCGCTGCACTGCTTGGGGTCGGGGCCCACCACGAGTAGCGGTTCTGCGAGGAGCATGCACTCCCAGACCAGCCAAAGGTCTGAGATTGTATCCCGCAATACAGCGAACAAGGGATTGCTGGGAATGGAAGCGAGTAGAGGATCATTTTCGTCCTCCCCATCCGCTGCTCCGCCTCGACTCCTCCGTTTCTTGCGAATAAGAACAGAGTTGGCCTTGCCGGCGGCGCTGGTGGCTGGTGGTAGACAGGCCTGAGCGGCATTCGAGGTCTGGGTCTGATAACCGAGAGGCAATGCCGCTGAAAGAACTGTGCCCAAGACAGGCAACGAGAGTGTAGAGCCCGCTTCCGGAGATGGCCAGTTCGCGACTTCATGACAGAATGACTCCAGCATAGGCATGCCGTGTTCAAAATACAATGGTCCTAGCTTGGCCACCAAGCGGCTGAATAGCGATACGTACGGCAAGTGCGACAGGATGACGAGAGACTTTTGAAAATATCCTCTCCGGATTGCGGCATCCCTCCTCTGTCGAAAGAAGACATAGCCGTAAATGTAGCTCACACTCTGGCTGCTACTCTTCCTTGCAGGTGCATTGATTTGTTGAGGAGCTGTCGCAGAGCTGTTGTGGTCGTGTGACGTGGCTGAAGCTTCACGCTCTAAGCGTCGCTCTTCTTCAGCTGAAAGACGTGCACCCGTTGCCTCTTGCTGGGCATCGACGTCGGTGCACAGCAGCTGGTAGCCATCAGCACTAGACGAGTCAGTTGCTGCAAGACGAGACGCAGATACCTCCTGCGAAGAGACGCTCTCGCCACCTGCAGCCTCTAGGCTCTTGTCTGCCTGCTTGCTGCTGCCGAAAGCAAACACGGAAGAGCGTGAAGGGGAAGGCATTGGCGACGCACTCCGGCTTGAAGACGTGCTTGCCCCTGCAGAATGATCTGCGGCATCTTTCTTTGCGCTTGAAACGCCCCTCGCTAGCGATCGAAAAACGTCAGTCTTGGAACCGTCTCTTGAGGCAGAAGATACAGACGCCATAGGATCGTTTGAGGCGACCGAGGTTGAAGAGGAGCTTGCATTGGCGTGATGCCCAAATAGATGCGCTCCAAGCAGCGAGCGCTGGCCTTTGGAGCCAGAGCGATTCATGGTGCTTCCACCAGAGGAAGAGGCATTGGTATTACTGACACGTCTCGAGGAGTACTGGCGGCTCGGAAGGGTCGAGCTCTTCCCGGCAGCAGATGATGCAATTGCGGGAGGCTCAGAGCCGGACGAGCTCAGAGGAACTTCCCTGACCCGCCAAGAGAAGACGGAATAGCCATCATCGAAAATGGACGTGTCGGGGAAAGATGAGAAAGCACTACCAGTAGGTGGCATACAAGGTCAGCTGCTTGTGGGAATGCCACCTCAAACGCCCCATCGATCTCTAAACTCGTCCACCTTCCACTCCTTCCCATCCGGACTCCTGGGTGTCCGCTCCGAGTCATCGCTGCTACCTTCGAAGTCCAACGCACGTTCGTCCCCGCCTAGCGCACTACACTCACATGTTGTCCCTCTCCTCTCGGGAAATGCCAAGAGGCGGGTACAAGAACTCCAGGTCGGGCCCCCTGTCCAAGTCGAAATTGACGCAGCCGACGCTCAGGACCCATCGCTGTAGAGCCTCCCTTCGCAGCTCCGAGGGCCCACCTACTGGGCCACTAGGCGACTCTGGGTCCGTCTGGCTTCGTCGAGATGTTGATGTGCGTTGCTCGCTCTTTTGATTATGTCGTCTCACTTCAGCTCCAGTCGTAAAGCCGTCCGAGGGGGCGAGGACCAATGATGTCGGGCTCACTGCCGTACCATACTCAGGCGCTGGCGGAAATGTGGCCTCAGAGTAGGTCTCGCTGCCTCCCATCATGCCCATCTGCGGCAAAGTATCGCCAGCGGCCAGCGAAGCGAGGTCTCCTCCGCCAGCAGAGGTCCTCCGCTCGGCACCTCGAGATGTGACCGCCGCGGGGCCGATCGACGTTGATGTGTGGGAGCCCGCGCTGAAAAGATTAGAGCTCGAGGAGCTGGCCAGGAGATGCTGAGGCACGCGTTGGTTGTACGTCCGCTGTGAAGCAGACGCTGCTCTATCCGCTGACGACAAGATTTGCGAAGCAGGCTGACCGGCACCGGCCGAGGGCGGAAGAGCTCTGACCATCTGTGCAGAAGCGTTCTGCAGGCTGGCAGAGTGGCGACTTGGTGTCGAGCTGCGGGACTGTCCGAGATCTCCCTCTTCCGCATCATCCACTGCAGCCAGGCTTGCCTGCGCGGAGGGTGCTTCCTGCAACGACGCTGCAGCATCACGGCGAGCCATGGTTTCGATTTAGGTCCCTGTTCTCTCACAGTACCACAACGGGAGAGTAGTAGCGCTGCGCCATACGTAGGTGGTCAAGCGCACACAACCGCGCGTTCGCTTGTGTCCGCTTGCGCAGAAACCTGGGTGAAGCAGTCCTGCAAGGAGGAAATGGCTTGGCGGAAAAGACGCCAAAAGATCACTCGAGCAAGATTTTTGAGGCTCGTCTGCACAGAGTAGACGGGCAATTGCGTGGTGTGCTGTGAAAGATGATAAGGAAGCGAGGGGGCAAGACTTATGAGAACCTTTTGCCTCTTGTCACCGCGTTGACTACCGGTGCTGTATGGCGAGAACGATCGAGGTTGCGGGGCAAGGGCCGCGTCGCACACGATTTCAATCAAGAATAGCATCATCGCGCGTTGCCTCGTTTTACCTGCGATCATGCAGCAATCACAAAGGTAAAGTCTTGATTCTGAATTCATTTGATTTCTGCGCGTATGACCCAGAAAGTCGAGCTGCATGTGATGCTTGCTACCTTATTGTTGGAAGTCATAAGTCTTTTCAAGAGCCTTCAACGATTCTAGCGCCCTACAAATAATATCCGCTCTCCAAGATTTTCTCGATTTTGATTTTGCATGCAACACTCTTGAATCAAAAACACCGATTGATCAACAATGCAGATCTTCTCGTGTAGCCACGTGACCCGAGGTAACGGGCTAAAGTTGGCGCTGGCGCACAACGGCGTCCAACCTGGGGCTCCTGGCATGCTGTGCACCGTGGCTGCATGGGGACAGCGCAAGGGGAGGAGGGCCGTGCGACTGACTGTGACAATAGATGTCCAGCAGGGACATGCAAGTCTTGACCCACAGATCGAGAGAGATCAACTTTGATGTTGGTCAGGTCTTGAGGTGGTCCCCGCTCTGGCTCCCACTCCTATACAATTCAAGCCCACCATCCGAATCTCTCAATTTGCTCGTACATCTTCGTCACCGCAACGAGAGCCTTCGTCTCCACTCGCTCTGATCCATCTCAGTCGAGTACCTCTGGTCACCCTTAGAAGACGGACTCGAATTACGCTTGATCGTACGCTGCTCAATCCACACCAGTCTGTTCAAACTATTCTCCGCCTTTCCCTCAGCAGACTTGGACTCCCGTCTCCTCGCAGCCCTTTTGCACAGCATGACTACGCAGAACTTTGATCCCAACAGGGCACAGAACCTGCCAGAGATCGAAAAGCAGATGGCAGTCAAGTGCGTGGAGCACGCTCAGATCTACTGGAACTTGCTGGAGAAGATGGAGCCAAAGTCTTTGAGGCTGACCAAGTTGGACGACGAAATCTATGCTCACCTTGAAGAGGCTTTCCCTGATCTCAAGGAGGGAGGATCAGGCAGCGTTGCGAAGCTCGACGAGGAACTTATGAAGAGCCCTTCTGGCAAAGAAAGGTGGAGAGAATTCATCAACAAGTATGAGAACAAGGGTGAGTGTCGAAAGACAGGCTCTCTTTGTCTGCGGCAGACTCTGCTGCTCGCATCATCTTGATGCCTCGAGCTGGACGGGCGGCGCGCGAGAGCCATCACGCTCGTCCCTCTTGTCTTGAAACGCCGTGCCATGACAGATCGGCGTGGGTCGCGTGACAATAGGGTGTATGCGATGTCCAAAGGAATGCATTGCTTCCAGCTTGCTTACGCGCGCTCTATATGGGAAAGATGACAGCGTTCAAGCTGTTGTCTTTTCAACCTCAGCTCTACTGACCACGCTACGCCCCGCTCCTTCGCAGTTGCGGATTACAACTTCGGGACTTTGATTCGCACCGACGCCGCTGAGGAATACACACAGTACAACACGACTTTTGGTGAGTTTCTCGCTCCAATGTATCGAGGCTCGGGTGCTACACAGGCAAAGGAATCTGTCAGCAGCGGCCGATCCTCAACCCTGGCGATCGAGCTCACGCTTCGAAAGCTACATGCCCCTTCTCTCACAGTCACGCGCATGCAGTTCTACGCCTACGAGATCGCACGAAACAGGCGAGGCCTCAATGACTGGGTGTGAGTATTGTGCATGTTTGTAAAACATCAGCAAGAGGGTTCAGAAGCTGAGTCGTTCCACGTCTATGTGTCTGGATGCATTCGTAGACGAACAAAGGCTATTGAGGAAGCGGAGGCCGAGAAAGCCGTGAGTTTTGACTGCTGCACCGCAACCGATCAATGCCAGATGCCAGCGTTGAAATTGGTTTCGCTTGATGCAGAAGAAGGGCAAGAAGTGATGGGAAGAAGAGCAAGAAGTGATCGCTGGGCATTTGGCTCGATACGCTGCAGGCTACAACGAAGTGTCACATCACTTTGGTGAGAAAATTTGATGAAGCTGTTTCTATGCTCCAGCGCGAGTACATTAGTGTGCAACAACTCCCTGGGCGCTCGTTCACGTGATTGTTCGAACTTCCGAGAGAACCGTTGATCGCATGACACCCGGTATGTGGGACACTCCAGATGAGACGTTGGTGACAACAGAAGGCTGGGAACGACGAATGGACAGCTCGGCGACGGCACGAGCTTGTTGGTGGACCCGATGTAGCTCGGCTCCGCTAGCGATAGGCATAGAGTACCTTGTGTGACACTGGCCTTATTCATGAGTGCAGAAGCGACAACTCGGTATGGGCAGCCGACCGTCGCGCGCTTTGCTGCTGCACATCCTAAAGAAAATGGAACTCGTGATGAAACTCGTGAGCATGAACTAGCTTTATTTTGGCCTACATTGGCACAACACAAGTGGAAGGAATAGCAAGGATAAACGTACGTCTGCTCTAGCATTCTTGCTCTGCAAGGCATCCTGCTCTCGAAGGCCTAAGCACGTCCCGTGGCTGTGTCCTCAGCTTCGAGATGTTCGAGGTGAGAAGGGCATCACGACAACGATCAGCTCGTCGAGTGCTTTCGCGTTCGTGCTTGGCCATCAAGACGCTCTGGTTCCCCAGCTGCGACCTGCCCGCCGCGACTGAGCGGTGGGCCGGTACGCGTTTACTCGCAGTACACGGTGACAACACTCATATTGCGTTCTCGCAGCTGAAAGGCGATAGTGAAGAGCACACCAGACAACGCCGGTGTAGCTGCAGGGTGATCGAGCCCATTCCTGAACAAAAGCGTCGAACTTGCCCTCATGCAAGACCACGAAAGGACTTTATGAGGTCCCATCAGCCTTTTGAGTGTTGCGTGCAAGGCTCGATCAACACTGACGGTACAAGACGCCGACCAGCAAATGTGGATTTTTTTCGCTCATTGTATCGAAGCGTTCCAAGCTTTGCGATTCTGATTGCTTTTGCAAGATAGATGTAATGTACGTGGAGAGGGGTCTAACTGGATGTCAAAGCCATAGCGCTTGTTGGGCAAAGCGCTGTTGTACAGTATGCGCATGTGTCATCTATCTTCCTTTGTCCTCGAGCACCCATTTTAGCGCAGGCGACGCGACTCGACTCCATCCCCAATTGCCGGCGTGCCTGGCGCATGTGGGTTTGCGCTGACATGTTTAAAGGCTCACTTTCGCATCTCGTACACGAGTCGGCATGGCATGATCTTTCCGAATCTCTGACCCTCCGACGCAGAAGGTCGTGATGCCCTCAATGCCATGCGTTTACCCATGCGCATGCATGGCACCCTTCGAGCGGTCTTTAATGATGTGCCTTGATTCGCGAAGGTGTGGAGCGGTGTGCGCGAATGTTGGCTGCGGGGGCCAGAGCCTGCGCACCCAAACCTCTCGTCGCTGCGCATGACAATCACAATCACGATGGAAACTCACAAATGTCAAGAAGACCTTGCCGCTTCGCCAGTGCGGCTGTCTTTGCCTTCTTGACCACGACACTTGTGACTTGGTGCGAGACAAGTAGCGCGAGGCGCTTTGGATCTCACGAGCAGCGATCAGTAAGTGGCCTGTCTCGGTGCATGCGTGCTTGGTTGCTCGACCGTGACGGCCACAATCGTGAATTCGTGATTGCAGCTCTAGCTTGCCGAGAGCTACTGCAGCTTGCATCCCTTCTCTCCAAGACCAGCGGCCGTCTATAGCTGACACCCATCCGAAGTGGAGAGACTTTGGTGATTAAGCGATTCGTGGGAAACGCCCTGCATCGAGGTGCGGATCTAGATGCCCAAGGGTGCAAATGTCCGCGGAGAACAGTTGCTCAAACAAAAGGAAAACTTGATCGAACGCACGCGGTGCTGTGCTGTGCATGCAGCTCGGCAAAACGTACCTACGCGGGTAGCACATACATATGAAGCGCATCGCGCACCGGTAAAGCTGAAATCACGTCGAAATGCGCAGCAGCACACAGCAGCCAAAAGCGCGCAACACAACTTGACCCGCATCCTTACCATTCAGATTCACACTTACGAGCACATCCAAAGCTCTCGCATGGACATGAGCTCGAGGTCGACAGGCGCGAATTGATGTGCCCTAGCGCTCGCCTCATCCTCCTCAGACGGTGGCGTAATTGACCAACACGTCGCTCACGCGCGCCGTCATGCGGCTCTGAAACATTAATTCACCATTCACAATCGATTCCATTCACGATTTCATCCAGCATCACCCGCCATCCATCCGCGGCCACGCCTCCGCTCGAAGCTTACGTCGTCCAGTGCACCTCGATCCGGCCAGCACTCTGATCGTGCTGTAGCGAGCGATTTTGCGCGTGCAGGTGCGGTGTCTGATCTATGCTACGAGCAATGACTCATCTGCATCGACCTCATCAGCCAGCATATCTCGATCGCCCAGCAGCAGCAACCGTCTGCGCCTCACGCGCCTCAGCCTCTAGGCCTCTCAGTCGATCCTTTCCCACTTCGCTCACGCGCTCAAGTCGCGGAAGCAATTTGCAGAGGGCACAGCTCACCGAAATAGCGGAACAGTCTGACCAGCAGGCGATCGACTGCGCAGGACGAGGTTCTCATTCTATAGTCCAGCAGTCGCAGCAGTCAAGAAGCATAGATTCGACTTCTGCTGCGACGCGCGCCTCGCAGACAAATCATCTCGCGGAATTGCTGTTCAGCCCACAAAAACATCGCGACGACGCCCGTGACGATCAAAAAGTCACGCACAGCGCAGGCCCTTCCCACCGATCGATCAACACTTTGACGAGCGGGATTGAGTTGACTGCTGCTGGATGACTGCGTAAGCGCTTCAGCGCGGCATCGTCTTCAAGGCAGCAGCCCGCGTACCCAAGACGGTCATCGCGTCTGCGCTCAGCACACGCGCTCGGGATAGCCCGAGGCGTGTTTGGTCGATCAGTCATACTTGATTGGTGACTGCTTCTGCTGGTCCTGCTGCTGCACCTATAGGTTCGGGTCGCCTGTCTCGCTTTGCCGCGCAAACGTGAGTCGTGAGACTCTATACATATCTGTTCTGAGGAGTCAGCGCGTGTTGGGCGCCGCTGCTTGCATCATCGAGCTCGTATCTGGCAGAGGTTCACAACTTGAGCCATCGCACTCGTGACTGCCCGCTCGCAGCGATTCGATGGCAAGACATCGCCACGCAACAACACATGCCCAAGGCTACTGCCAGTTTGCGGATACCCTAGCCGTCAAGGGTCTCGTCCAGCGCTCGTACTCCGGCGACCTCGTCGTGGCCATCTGAGCTCAGCGTGGCATCGCAGGATGGGACCTTCATCCGGTCCCACCATGCTGGTTCCATCCAGTGGACCTTCGTCCCGGCCTTCGCAACCCTTCGCGGCATCAGATCCAAGCGCCATCTGTGCTATCGGTGCGCCACCGCCGACGAAGAAATTTCACCGCAGCAAGGCGCAGGAGCAATCGGCTGGAATCCCACGGCCGCCCAATGCCTGGATTTTATATCGATCCGACAAGCTCAGAGCTGCGTCTGAGCCATCGAGCGACCAGCCTTTTCGCCTGTCTCCACTCGCAACGGGGTCTGACAGTGCAGGTCAAGAGTCGGAGAGCGAAGGTGCGGAAGCTTTTGGAAGTGCTGCTGCTCCCGCCAAATCTGCGAGCGGCGGCGCGCACAAGAATCCCAGGCAGGGCGACCTGAGCAAACGTCTGGCGTCTTCCTGGCAGAATGAGAAGCCGCAGGTGCGCCAGTACTACTATCAGCTGGCTGAGCAGCGCAAAGAGGAGCACAGGCGGATGTTCCCAGACTACAAGTTCGCACCCCGCGTCACTGCCAAGCTGCAAAAGTCTAGAGACGACAGAGCAGCGGCTGCGCTGGCTAATAAGAAGACACGGGACGTCTATGCGCTGCCTGCGTATGGATTTCATGGATCTTCCTCTGGCATCCCAGACGCGTGGGCAGACGCGGCGCTCGCTGACCAGCGGAGGTCCTCGGCGTCTTCGATGAACACGCCTGGCGTTGGATACCTGCCTTTTCAGGCTGATCCATCAAGCCTGCACCATCCCTGGCCGCAGCAATATCCCTACGCTGTCCCACCTCCACCTCAGAGTGCCGGAGCCTCCATCGAGCTGGCCAGCACGCAGCAAGGAGGCGGACCCGCACGCCCTCGACTAGCCGTCCGCTCGGGCTCTGGAGACCGCCCAGCCCCGTACCAGACGCAATCGCCAAGCTCGCCGAGGCATTCCATCTCGGCGCATCCCAGCGCCGATTCGCGGGGCTCGCGCGGCCTCGCCAAACGGCCGCCAGTCTCACGTCAGGGATCTAGCCTTCGAAGATCGGGAAGCGGTTCTTCGCACGAGCCCAAATCGAGAGGAAGCTTTCAGCAGCAGGTCGAAGCTGCCGATGCGCAGCAATCTGCCCTAGCAGCGCGACGTCGTGCCTCGACGCTGTCCAGCAATGCGTCCAACCCTCCGGCGCACCCGACCGACGCCTCCCACAATCAACCATGGTCAGCTAGCTCCGCGGACCGCTTTTCCACGGCGGCTCTTGTAGGCCCGCGCCAAACGTCACTCCAAAGCCTGGCTGGCAGTTCGCCTATCGAGCCTTTTAGCGCTCTGGCCTTCGATCCTAACCTCGCCAACATGCCTGACACCGGTTCAAACGAAGTCGACGCTCAGCAATTCGACATCTACGGAGGTGTTGGTGCAGCGCTCGCTTCCACATCAGACTTTGATGGTTTCCCGCCCGAAATGATCGGCGACGTAGGTGCTGATGAGCGTGAGATGGTCGCTCGACTTCTTGGTAACAATTACCTGTCAGCTTTGAGCGCTGCTCCGTCCCAGGACGGTCTGCAACCCGCCGCCTTGATGGGCGGTGACGCATACGAGCATCTGCAAAATGCACTGCCTGCCTCGGCTGCCAGCACCACTTCTGGCTTTAGCATTTCGTCAGGTCCAGCTGCCTCGTCTTTCATGAGCAGATCTTCGGCATCTAGGATGCACTCGACAGCTTCATCAGGGCAATCAGAGCCAGTGTATCTCAGCTCTGCGAAGCAGCCAGCTGAGTCGTTTGCAACGCACAGCGAGCCGCACGCCGCGCCTCTTCCGTCATCAGGCAAGGGCTGGGTAGACGAAATGGCAAATCAGCTTGTACATCAGTGGAGCCAAGATTCGGAAGAAGTCAAATTTGACCATCCTTTCATAGACTCGGGCGCAGACCGGCAGACCTCCCATGCTGGCCCTGCTTCTCTCCCTTTTCAGCAACCTCTCGAGCCATTCGGGCTCTCGAGTGGGGTCACAGAGGCGAGCGGGGGATGGCCCAGAGACGGGCATGTCCATCCTGATCCCTTCCTGCCCCCCGTTCTTCTACAGCAAGCGCGACCGCCTGCGAAACAAGGGACGGAACGTGCGGATGCGCGTTCGCACGGTTCAGCACCACGCATTCGAAATGTCTTTGTCCCGGCGAGCGTTGCGCAGAGACAGGAAGCTCAAGCTCGCCAGCGCGATATAGGCATCGCTTCTCGCACACCAAGCGCTTCGGACGTCAACGATTCGCAGAATGCGTCGGATTCCCCAGCTGCATCGACTCGCTTCGCCCCACCTGCGCAGTTGATGTCGTATCCCAAGCCGCCCTCGCAGAGGAATGGCATCGATCAACGAGCTGGAGGGCAAGCCTTGCGCGATGGGATTTCCACTGATTCTATGTTCCAAACCGAAGGTAATGCGTCAGCAGATACCTCGAGGTCGTTCTCCTCGGTCATCTCGTGGTCGAAGGCGAGGGGCGGTGGTGCCGGAGCGTCGTCTGACGACTCGGGCGTCAACGTGGAGTCCAAGGCTCAAGCTGAACGCTCGGCACATCGTCCGACAAGCAGCACGGACGCCTCGGCGTCCTCTAGCGGAGCGCTCAACCACAACGCTGCGGCGATCGATGCGACATTGGGCGCTTCGGAATTGCACAACAATGGTCAGCTCGACTGGGAAGCGTTCTTTGCAGACGATGAGATTTCCTTTTTGCAACAGCAACATCAAAAACGTCCGCCATCGTAGCTCCGTTCGTGTGGCCCACCAATCTTGGTTCCCGCCCATTCTGTAAATGTACCTGTCCAAACGAATCCCCCCGACAACCGCTGCTGATGTTTGTCTCCCCTTTTCCACTTACCTTACATTTGCCTTCCTTCTCTTTGTACACATTCCAGCAAGCTCATACCTCTCCGCACTTCTTGCGAAGATCACGCATCGCTGCTGTCAACCTCTCGAACGTCGTTCACAGTCTGCATCGCTGTTTTCCCATCATCATTTGAGCGCTTGACAATGCCAGCGCTTACCCTGTCCCTTGATCACCGAAACGAGGAAGCAATCTCTCTACACAAAGCCCTTCGCCTCATAGTTCTCCCCCTTTTGTCACCCTTGCAATTCCCAATCACGAATGAGATGGCATACCAGAAGACCTCGTCGGAATTTTCCCTTCAGCATCGCTTGGGGCTATTGCCATTTCGCTCCGCGGTTGTGGCAACGGCCGGATGACTTGCGCAGGCAAGGCTTTGGCGCCTTTACTAAATTTGAATGGAGGTGCGACCCTATAGTACCGCGCGACCCACGCGCGCGCTAGCACAAAGTGACACGCAGTCGCGGCCGATCGAGAGCCTCCTTCCTGGCGCAGAGCGTGCGCTATACGACTGCGACGCGCTCACCATTCACATTCTGACTTTAATTGCGCTGGCGTCTTTCCCTTCTTTCGCCCAGGTATACTGTTCTGGTCGCAAACACAGTCTGCAGGAATACGATAGACATGTAGAAAGGTACCGAGGAACTGGGGGAACGACGAACACACCCTACAATGAGAGATGAGAGCTTTGAGGCGCACCGTGTCAGCATCGGTGATGGTCGTCTATTGCTCAAGTCAAGTGTGTGATGAGCGATGCTCTACATGCGGATGCATAGGGGTGCGTACGGGCGTGCGCGTCACGTGACACACCGCACCTTCTTCACGCCGCGCTGCTGCCCGCGATCTCTGCGCAGTCCGAACTGCTACCGACCAGTCTCATAGACGCTTACCCTTGCCACCTAATCAGAGCTTTGAGGTGCTGTCGCCCGGTCCGGGTCTGAGCTACGAGGAGATGGGGATCACACATTCATGTCCCTGTTGATGATGCGCTGATGCCCATGCATCACTCTCTGCTGCCACTGACTTTGATCCGGACTCGCGCTCTGCGACGATCACATGCCACGCCTCGGACCGCAAATCGGTACAGTAGGGGCTGCTGAAATTCACGACAGTGCTCGAAACGCGCAAGATTTCAAGCGGGGCCAAGTTGAAGTCACGAGTTGTGAAACACGAATGCGTGCTTGGGCGGAGCTTGTGAGTGCGTGTGAAGTGTGAAGGAATTGTGAGTCTTGCTTTGACGCAATTGTCGGGACATCGCGCTCGATCATCGACTTGTATATCTATCAATCAAACATGCAGCTGATGTCGCGCCTCGATCGCACTCTTGACTTGAGACGGAATCATGAGCAAACCTCGATCCATGCTGCAGCACCTCATTCGTGATTCACGAGTCTGAGTGGTGCGCCTTCCGTGTCGCCTGGTCCGCCGCCCCAGGCATGCAGTCGTGAGTCTTGCATGGTGCTGTTTGCTGGATCACAGCTATACCGCGGTACAGGTCGCAGGGGTGCGGGCGCCCACTATACAGTGGCAGGCAACAATGACACCTCACACCGCGTCGTGAGTGGGCGGGTGCCTGCATGCCCCACCGACTCACCGCTCTCACATAGGAACCGCGCTAGTCGCGAGTCCGCCTATGCATGCGCACCTGGCTCCTGCATGCATGCACACACGCGTTCTTCCTCCCGCCCAGCGCCACATCGATTCGCGCATGCTCCAAAGCCACTCAACGAGTTAAATGCGCGGAAGCTCGGGGGTCCGATGGGCGAGCCTTCAACCGTGCTGGACAATTCAGTGACTGAAGGCAACAGCGAGGGGCGACAGAAGAGTTGGGTTTAGAGGTGCAACACGATGGTCTGGCCATTCGAATTCTGATTGCATCCTCCAGAATCTTCTCCAGCACCATCACCCGTCCGCTTCTTGTCCCCCTTCGCCCTTTTGTTGTCCTCTCACCCTGTTCCCGCAGTCCCCACTCACAGCCTGTTCCTGTGTCTGCTCCTCCACCCGAATTATATTCGAATCGCGACCACCGGCTGCCTCTTAAGAACTCCGGCAAAGCACTTCAGGGTCCGTGCTAAGGTGTCGTCCATTCCCCTCTGGCACGTTCAAAAGCATAAGAAGTAGGGCTTCTTTACCGGGTCATCTAAGTTTCTCCCTCACGACTTCTCCCTCACACCCGGAGCATCGGCTCCTTACTTCGGCTTGCCAGTCCCGCAACCTCGCCTCTATAGTTTCCATTCACGCAATCACGACAATGACACGCTTGATCTCGTTGACGACCTCTTTGGTGCTCCTCGCTACTGTCTTGCTCAGCAACGAAGCCCGAGGCAAAGGTCAGCCTCACCACCAGCACCTCGCAGCTCGAAAGGCTGACGATGCATTCAACAAGCAGTACCTACAACAGAATTACCAAAATGGAGATGCAGCTCCGGGTGCCAAGGATGGAGACAGTCCCGGTCAGACGGTCATTATTAATGGCAACGGCGGCAGGGACAAGAACAGTCAACGTCCAGAGTGCCCAACGGTCTTTATCGGCACTGCCAACGTCAATGGCTCGCCTACAGCCGGCTGGCAAGGTCTTCCTCAAATTGTTGGGTTCGACTTGGATCGCAAGCTGAACGTCGGAGGTGGTGTGCAGCCCGTGTACATTGAGTCGAACAAAGACTTCAAGAAGGCAAAGCGTGTCGTTCTGGTTCAGCCCGGTCTGCCTCGCGATTCGTGGAGGTACGTCAAGCGAGCTCGGCCTTTCGATCGCCCCCTTTTTTGGGCTGCTGACCTCATCCCCGTGCTTGCGTGTAGCTACGTCAACATCATGCGAAACAGCTTGCTCTGCGCCGTTTCCAGAGCAGACATGGATGTGACGCTGCCAGACGTCATCGTAGCTGCGCCTGCTTGGTTGTCGGAAGACGACAAGAATGCAGGCGCCGCTCAGGATGGCGACATCTACTTCTCCAGCGGTGGATGGGCTGTCGGAAGCCAAAGTAGAGGACCTGGATCTACCTCGGTCTCCAGCATGGAAGTCTTGGACCGAGTGATCGACAGGTTCTTTAGCAGCGAATTTCCCAATGTCGCTTCCGTGAGTATCTGAGGCAGAACATGCCCGTGTGTCAAATTGGGCGGCTCCGCCCGGGGCAGCTCAGCCCACAAATGCGCGCGGGAATCGTCTTGCACCCATGCTGAACTCCACTCAACCTCATCTGCTCCTTTCGCGCCAGGTCATTGTTGCCGGACACTCACTCGGAGCGTCTCTGACGCAAAGATACGCTGTACTTCGTGGGTATCATACCGTCCTTCACCACCCGCGATGATGAGCTGACGAATGAGTCCCTCTACCAGGCCGACCTAGTGCGCAAGACACTTCAGTGTCGTACTGGGTCGGAAACCCAGGTAAGCCATGATCTCGGCCACAAGGGTGTCGCGCAAGCATATGTACTCATTGCCGCTATCTCCACTTTCTGCAGGCTCCTACGTCTGGCCCGTCGACAGCACCCCTATACAGGCGGCAGCGGGCTGCACTGGCGTGCAGGACTGGTCCTACTCCATCGACAATGGAGTCCCAGCTTACCGTTCTGCTGACGCTAAGAAGGACAAGAACGCTGTCCTGCAGCAGTACTTCTCGCGCAAGGTGCAATACGCGTTGGGACTCACGGACCAGGAGGGAGGCGACACTCACTGCGAAGCTGCGACGCAGGGAAGCAGCCATTTGCAGAGAGGCCAGAATCTTGAGAAGGCGCTTGATGGTCTTTCAGGTGGCAAGCCCCAGTCCCACACCTTCAATTACGTCGCTGACACTGCGCACGAGTGAGTGAATGTGCGCGGAAGGAGTTGCAGGATGCGCGCTCACCTCTAATCCCTTGCCTCTCTTTAGGGATTACCTGATGATGACGGCACCCGAGAGCCAGAAGTTCCTCTTTGTGGATGGGCTGAGTGCGCAGAGAGCACAGAACGTGAGCGACTCTAGTAGTAGCAGCGGTTCCTCTTCCTCCTCCACCACGACCTCCTCCTCCGGCTCTTCTGGGAACTCTTCTGGCGGTGGAAGCGGCACTGGCTCCTCTGGGGCTCTCCCTACTATCCTCGCCAAGCCCCTCAATGCAGTTGCGCTTGGTTGCCTCGCTCTGACGATCGTCCTTGCCCTCTAATCTACTTCCTCCTCCTCTTCGATCAATCTTATTTGCGCCACGGCTTGGAATGCACTCACTCTCACCATGGACTCGCTATCGATCGGACCAGCTCAAAGGATCCGCTCCACCACGCAGACATTCTCGCAAAAAGCACCACCATCACCACCACCATCATCACGCAGGCAAGAAAGACAAACACGACAAACACGCAAAAGCGCACAAGCACCACAAAGTTGCCAAGCAGAAGAAGCTTCGAGGTCACGAAAAGCATGGCAAGTTCCCATACAGAGGCCACAAAAAACATGACAAGCCTGGTCACTCTGGAGCGCATCATCACACGAAGCCCAAAACCCTTCACTCAAAGCTTTGAGGTGAAGGCACTTCCTAGGCTTCTTAGATTGGGTGCTCCACACGAAAGATTGCTTCTTCGCCCCGAGAAGTACATGTCTGCGGCTCTTTCTCTGCTCGACTCGTCCCCTCAAGCAACAGAACTTTTTGTGGTCTCGAGCGCTCGTCCTCGCGGTTCATCTCCACCACTGTGCACCTCTGCCGACCTCAAATTGCATACGTCTGATTGTTCTTGACTTGATCTGCGTGCTCAGATCTGATAGGGCTCGCTCAGATGCGCACAGTCGCATGGTCAGCAACCAGCTCGTGTCGAACTGAAGACTAGGAAGCTTGGAAGCTTCCGCCGTGCGAGGTGTGTCGGCCGCGGTCGCATGTTGACTCTGCATGCCTGTGGGTTTCGCATTGTCGTTCTTCTTGTGAGGCGTCCGGATGAGGACCGCCGGAGCTGCGTTTGAGCGCCCGAAAGCCTCGATACGATGCGCGCTCGTGCTTGGTCGCCCCCTTGCATGCAGCTGGCACTCGGTGGGCGTCTTCATCGCATTGGAGATCAAGTTGCGGTGAGCGTCGACAGCCTGCATGCCAGTAGTCGTGATGTTCTTCTTCCCCGCATCGCGAGGCCGAGGATTCCACTTGGGAATCGTGCAGCGTGAGCGTTCGCTCCGAGCGCGGCGTCTTCGACTGGGCAAGTCGGCCAGGCGATGTTGTAGCTTCGAGCCACTCACAATTCACGCTTGGACGCCACTGATCGCTCAGACTTTTGACTCACTGACTACTACTGTGACTGACATACGCACCGTGACATGCGGTGTCTTTGGTGAGAGCCATTCACGTCATGCGGGGCGAATTTCACATTCGTTGCGTTCCCTGGCGAACGAACACTCACGACTCGCGACTTTTCTGTTGCGCGAGCGCGGTCTTGGCCGTGACGGCCACCGTTCTCGACGCGCTTCCACTTGTCACTCTCATCAGAGCCGCTCACGCGCCTCTACGTGAGTAAATGTTTGAGCGTCCAAAAGGCGATGTCTATCACCTCAGATCTTTGCGGGCTTTGCTTCTGACCTCGTGCTGCGAACGCCAACAACGCCCTCGGCTGGCAGCACAAGGCGTACATACAGATGCGCTCACTACTCAGCAGTCAGCACACACTTGCCACCCAAGCGCTTCTCTCAAATGGGGAGTCTTGCACGCACTCGCACCGTTGTTGGCTAACAATCAAGAATATTTGCCACAAGAATCGCACGTTGCTCTCCCGCCTACAAGCAGCCGGCCGCTGTTCGAGCCTGGCACATGCAGCGCGTTGGGCAGAAGGCATGCTTGGCTCCCACTAGCCCCATGCGCAGCGGCGCAACTTCACGTCCGAGATGCCTGCCTGAGCGGACTAAACTGCTGGGCATGAATGCGTTAGCAACATGCGAGCTGGTAATGCCCTCTCGGATGTTGCTGAGAGTGAGTCCTGGGGGCGAACCTCAACAAGCTTCGAGCCGACTCAACCCATGAATGGCGCTCGCAACATGCCCGCAGGTCGATCTTGGTGACCGATGAACGATCATTCACTCACGCCTCGCGGCTTGGACGTTCGAGTGGTTGGGTGCTGTGTAGGAAGGCCAACATCGACCGGCATCACACCTGGTGATCTTGTTGTGCGTGCTGTCGTGACCTTTGGCCGTGCAGCTGCTTCAATCGCTTCGCGGCCGCCACTTGTTCACCGGCGCCTGACCGATGTCCTACTACCCGACCGCCCGTTGCGAGACTGACGCTCATCAACAAATATAGAGTCTGAGTCACGAGCTCTGTCCAACCGCCTTCAATCAGAATGGTGAATCAGCGATTCCTTTTAGCGTTGTAAAGACGGCGTGTGGGGGGAGCGCAAACGCCTCGCATGGCGTTCGAGGTGCATGATGCATGCCTGCATTGCCTAGCTGCATGCGTGCCTCTCCCTTGCCCTCGCCCTCGCACGCTGCGCGCACCCACCTCATCGGGAAGGTGCACGTCAATCAAGTACAGTAGTGATGGGTCCCGAATGCGGGTCAGCCCGGCCCAGAGCTAGGCGACCGTCGCAAGTCGCCGCAAAAAGCATCCACGTTCAAGACGGCACCCGTTCAACGTTCTCGAGCTGTCGTGCCGTTGGCGCGACGTTCAATCTCGTTGAGCAGGAGACTTGCCCTTCCTGGCCTTTCCAACACGCTCGCCTCGTCGCCTTGTTTCTCCATGTCCCCAAATACATACACTATGACGAACGAGCATGGCACTAAAGCATGCGGTGTCTTGCAACGATGCACTTGAACTACCTCTATAAGCGATCTCGCGCGCGCACGTCTCAGTCGCACGTTGTCAGTCAAGCGTCCAGCGGCAGTCGACAGCGGCAGTCAGCCCTTCCTGTTCAGGAGGCCTCGGCGTCCCCGGCAGCCTGCTTGAAGCATATATATAGCTCACGCCTTTTGACGCATCGCTCTTCCCACCCTCCCTTCATACACCATACATTTCTTTTTGTGACAATCTCACACTCGCAGACCTCTGCACTTTGAACATACCTTTCTGCTCCTCGGTAGCACGAAACCTTTCAACTCGAACCTGCACGCTTCACAACGAGCTTTGCCAACAAGCACTTTCAGCTTTGCTCCACTCTTGCACACACTTCCTCGAGTCGCTCTCTTGCTCGCCCGTCTGCCTGCAGCTTCCACACTTCCTCTAATCTTAGCACCCACAGCACTCACCAACATGCACTTCTCCACGCTCGTCGTCGCCGTTTTGGCACCTCTTGCAGTCATCGCCTCACCAGTGCCCAAGGTCGACGAGTCGGCGGACGTAATGGCTATCCGCGCTATGGAGTCATGGGCATGGCAAGAGCCCGTGATGGAGAGGAGCCCATCCGATCCTGAGCTCATCAAGCGCATCGTCTACAACCCAAAGATCACTAGCCCAACGGCAGAGACCGTCTGGAATGCAGGACAGACCTACAAGGTCACTTGGTGAGTGTCGTGTCGTCGATGTTGTACGCGCATGAGCCACCTGCCGAAGCCATCGCGCATGTCGCTCACCAGATTTGTTTCATTCCTTTCGCAGGTCGACCGACGACATCCCAGCCGATGCAAAGGAGTACAAGGGCATGGTCAAGCTTGGCTACGAGCCCGCCGACGGCGAAGGTGGCCTCAACTTGAAGAAGACTCTTGCCAAGGACTTCCAGTTGACCGACAACGAGGTGGAGGTCACTATCCCCGAGAACCAAGAGGAGAGGTCTGACTACATCATCGTTTTGATGGGAGACTCCGGCAACGCCAGCCCACACTTCACCATCAAGCCAAAGTCTGACGCCCCTTCGTTCTTGAACATCGAAGAGCTTTTGGATCAAGCGAGTGAGGCTTAAGACACTTCTCTCGTCGGTCTCGCTACCGTCGTCTCGCTCTCTGGCTCGCGCTACCCGCCACCTCATCAAGCTCTTGACCACTGCTCCAGTTCCAGATCATATCGCCTCTTAGCCCAGCATGCTTTTAGTCTCTTCTCTGCATCCACCTATCCATACCGGACATTGCTTCTCGGCCTCATCTCCACAGGACGCTCTTCAGCACCACCTCGGCTGCACACATTTTCCCGACTCGGCCCCGACGATCGCACTCGTGCTCGCGGCTTTTTCACGTTGAGCGATTTGCGCTGTTGCCTCGATGTTGTTTATGCCTCTCTACAACATTCTTATCATACTGCCCTTCCCTACTTGATGTAGATTATATTGCTATCGCCTATCATCTTAACCATCACGTGCAATCACGATGGCATATCGCCCTTATTTAAGTTCTTATGTGTGGTGACTTGAGCGGGATGAGAGGGCAGCGTGCTCGTCGCCTACGTCCGGCTGTGAGATGCGAACGCGATGCTGATGATTAAACGGCGGTCAAGGTGTCCGGGGTGGACAAGCGAGCTGCAAGTCCACGCAGAGGTTGGTGTGCTGAGCACAGGAGACAAGATGCCTTCATGACGGAAGTCCAAATGCCCACGCGTCGTCCCTGCGCTGTAGGCGCGAACTCTGCTCGGTCCGCGCTGCTTGCGATTATTTATGGAGGTCAGTTTCTCGAATGACTTACTCGATCGGTGGATAGCTCAGGGCTTGATCACAGGTTCGTACGTACTCTGTGCATGGAGGCGTCCACGCCGACGCAAGCCCCTTATCATCGTCCTACGCGGTCTTATCTCGCGACGGGAACGATCGCGCACGCCATGTCGGCCTCGCATCACACCTTCTGGGGGAGATGGAATGACAGATCTGATGGAAGCAACCCGTAACACCCAAGCTCTTCTGTATCAGAGGGACCTCCGTAGCTCTCGAGGTTTACTTCTCGAAGAGCCTCATGAAAAGGTCCGGCCCTTTTCGGATGCCCCTATTCGTGATCGTTATCTTGTCGATACCCGCGCTTCCTGTGTACATTCTGCAGCTAGGATTGATTGTGGCACCCTTTATTCGCGTAGCAGCATAGCAGGGTACGTGCTCGCTGCTGCATGGGTTTCAGCAACGAACTAGGCCTTGCACGCCACACCTAGCTGCAACTTGGCGCCGCTTATCACCAATCTCGCGAGACCCAGCTTTGATGTGTGGCGCTCTATAGTGCGGCACTCGATCGTGATCGTGACTACCGGTATATGCATGCAGCGAAGATGAACATTGGACGCTCTAATCTGACTCAAGACTCACTGCCACAGCGAAGCGGATCCTTCGAGCACTCGTTACCAGTCTTGTGCACACCCGGCCTGTTGATGACCACAACGGTCAGTCACACCTCTCAGCGCTATGTAGCTCATACTTTTGACTGCACGTATATGTCCAGATTGCTGAGTGAGATGAATCGTGAAGATGGGTGCGATATATAGCTTAGATCTCAATTTTGAATGAGCGCGGATCCAAGGTTGGCCGCACGACGGACTCTCGGCCGCGCGCCCCGCGGGACCATCGGTTGCGCGCCTAGCTAGCTCTCGCGCGCAATCTCGCGCGGCTGCCTCACCGAAAATGAGAAATGTTTGCGCTGGGCCCTGGCTACTCAGTTTCGACGGAAGTGGTCAGCGCTCAGCACTTCGCGCTGACTGGCTCACAGAGCTTGAGAGGAAGTCGAGTCACGAGTGTTGATGAAGTCTTTATCTGCTGTTTTACCCTTGTGCGAAGCGGCCGAGCGGAGGGTTATCGAAATGGGCGAGGCTCTTCTGATCACGATTCGTCGTCGTTCGACGATATCCTCCGTATAAAAGCGCGCATGATGCATGCTTTTTGCATGCGCGCGTCGCGCTCGCCTATAGCTCTTGCTGCTGCTGCGCTGATTGACACAGCCGCCGCCGCGGATGCCCGCGACGAGGACGCAGACCATGCAGATCACTCCGGTGATTAGAAGATACGCGCGAGTGCGCGCGCCGCGTAGCTGCTGCTGCTTGCGATCCGATAAGAATTTTGAACACAACAAACTCACCTCATAGCTGTAACGTATCAACGTAGGCGCGCGCACTGCGAAATTTTTGCAACTTCGCCTAGCTGCTGGCATCGACATGCGTAAGCCAGCGCGAAATCTAGACGGGAAAGGCTGCTGCGTGAGATGGAGGGTGTCCAAGCCACTCACATGTCCCAGAAAGAGCGCGCGATCTTATAGGAGCCTCGATCGGAGTCTTGACTAGAGACAGATGACAGACAATCTCGTCTTTGCCTGCGTGAGCCCAGACGTGAGTCGTGCAGCTATGCTGGCAGCAGAGATTGATGCCAGGTGTTTCAGCCTGCTGCCCACGCTGATTAGAGAGAAATCTGCGAAGCGGAGGCCCTTCATTGTTGGCTGTCGCGCGACCCATGGGGCAGCAATTCGACAGCATATCAAAGGTCCTATACGCTCGTGGTTCGCGCGAGCCTGCAAATCACGGTGTTGAAACAATTACGTAGGAAGATTCAAGTGTTGCGAGTGTGATGGGTTCATTCGGCACGCAAAGTCTGCAACAGCACCGACGCACACTTGCGCTACTGGGCTCGTTAGCCATCGAGCAACGGAGCTCAATTTGGCACGACGGACCACAGTAGGTTCGCCGATCCGAATCTTGGCATCGCCGTCCCCAGAACAACAAGCGATGTTCATGGCAACCAAGGGTGCAAGCCAAAGTGTGCTCGTACCGAACGTCGGTCTGCTCTGCGAGCTTGTTGATCGGTCACTTTCCCGCTGATGTGAGGACAGCAGTGACGGCTTTGCAGCGAGCGTCTTGGAGTGCTTGTGCTTGCTATAGCAGCAAAAGGATTGGACAGTCAGCTAGCAAGACATCTTGATTGAGACGTGAATGTGAATCAAACATAATGGGATGCAGCTTCCTGCTGAGAGTTGCTAGGCACGTCCTTGCAGCATCAGAGCAGTTGATCGTCATTAAAGTAGTCACGAGTGTTGAGTAGAGTAAGTAAGTAGCGGTCCTGTGACCCCTCATCCATCCAGCATTCGATGGCGATGGCCTTCGCGTTCGATACGGCGCCACGGACGCGCGGAACGCCGGCCCGGCCACGCATCAGAGAGGCCCCGGCTCTAGATCATGCATTGAGCAAGAGGGCGGGCACGTCTCTGATTGGTGCACGATCTTGTATCTGCCCATGCAGCAAGTGCCCGCACAGCAGTCATCCATTGTGATTTGCATGCATGCGCCTCCAAACCGCTGCTGCTGCGCTTTTGCATCAGCAGCTAGCCCGCGCCTCTTCTTTGACCGTGCTGCGCGGATGCGGTGTCTGCTGCAGCAGCATGGACGGCGACAAGCGAAGCGCGCGGAGGTTTCAGCAGCGGCAGCAGCAGCTATAGCAGCAGCAGCAGCAGCAGCGGCTAATCACAAATCAAGAGATCGAAAAGCATATCTGCGTGCAGAGAAGGAGAGAGCGCTTGCTGCTGCGTCATCAATCAGAATCGTGAACAGGGCCTGCGCACAAATTTGATGCTGATAATCAAGAATCGTGAATCTTCCATCGTGCCCACACGCATCACTTTCTCCGCGCCTCTCACCTTTCCCTTGTCTCGCCCACAGCATACTCACCCGCCGCTCTGTCGAATTGACACGCGTCGGCCCCCCGTTCTTGTAGACAGCTTTGCGTCCGTCGGGAGACATTTCAAAGATCGCCATCTGGCCCGCTTGGAAGCGGCACCTTCGACTCAACTCGGGTGGCGCTGCACACAAGCTCGCCATCATTTGCAACTTCTTCAGCACAGTCTACGTGTCCTTGTAGTCCTTCGATTCAGTCGCAAAGCTCCGACGCAAATTGGCTGGCGGTGGCTACTTGGCGCTCGCACACCGTCTTAACACCACCGCCGACTCAAATGGCCATCTCGCCAATGTCAGAGCATCGCGAACGGATGACGAAGGCTGCAGCGTCACCAAGCCCATCAGCACTCGCGTCTCGCCATAGTCTTGATTCTGCTCCCTTCTATCCAGGCGGCCATGGGCTCCCTCAATCACTCGAAAAATCCCCGTTCACTCGTCCAACGAGTGGCGGTACCAACACCCCTTATGACAGCCCGACCCACCAAGCTGCCGGCAACGCTGCAAGACACAAGGTCAGCTTGCCCAGCTTTGCTTCACTAGATCGCGACAGTCAGCACCGTTCGCCTCCATTGCCCGCGCCATCTGCCTCCATCTCCTCGTTTCGATTGCCCCTGGCCGGCTCGTCGGCGCAGTCAAATTCAAATCTGAGGTCGGAGATTGGTGGTCATGGCGAAATGGTGAACGAGGACAGTCCAAGGCGCAATCATCACTCGCACTTCTCTGAGCGAAGCACTCTGGACGACTCGCCCGCAACGCTTTCGGCGCCACGAGGCGAGACGAGCTTCGAAGCGTCCCAATCAGAGCGCCCCAAGGAGCGAGTCCAAGGGTCGGGCGCAAGTATGAGCTTTGCGCCCCGTTATGGCATTCAAGCACCCAGACAGCGTAGTCCTGCTTCTCAGGCTGCGCTCAATGCCCATGCCGCTTCTGTATCAACGGAGCACCAAAAGGCACTCGTGCGAGGAGGTCCAGATCGTGTCGCCTTGAGCAATTCCGGCTTGCCTGTGAACGGAGATGCGATGCAGATGGAACAGCAAAATCGCGATGCACTCTTGGACGCTGGGGCGAGCGCAGAGTACGGTCTGCGATGTCGTGACTGCGGTACAACCAGTACACCGCTTTGGAGGCGCGCGGCCGATGGCAGCGGCAGTTCGCTCTGCAACGCGTGTGGTGAGTACTTTCGATCTAATCCCGGTGTCACGATCCGTGCTCGCCACTCTTGCAAGGTGGCGCTGGCGTAGCCTCGCGTGTGTGCGGTCAGACGCGTCATCTTTTGTCGGCGCCTCGTGCCGTGCTCTTGGCTGCGCTTATCTCTTATCACCCCCAGCGCGAACTTTGTTGCTGACCTGCGCATACTCGCTCCTGTCACAGCTCTATATCTCAAGTCGCACAACATACCACGCAAAGTGAGCTCCGCACCGATGCCCACTTCTCCTGATCCTCTCGCTCGTCCAAGGACAAATTCTGGCACATCAATTCTTCGCGAGTCGCCGGCTGCAACCACCGAGCCCGTAGTGCCTTCTGCACCACCACAAAATGGGTCGTGTCCTGGCGGCGGTTTCTGCAATGGCACGGGTGGAACTGCCGCCTGCAGCGGCTGCCCTGCCTACAATAACAATCTGGCGCATTCGGCCCGAAGATCCCAGGGACGGGCTCCCCGCACGGAGAACAGCTCTACAATCAAGTCGATGAAGCCGAGCTCTGAGCCTGTCGGAGATGCGGAAAGTTCGCATCAAGCGGCAGAAGCATCTGCCATGCAAATTTCTGAGGCAAGCTCGCCAAAGCCGTATCCTTTCAAAGACCAGATAGGGGAGGATGGGAATATCATGGCTTTGAGATGCACAAACTGTAGTACTACCACCACCCCCCTTTGGAGACGCGATGAAGACGGAAACAACATTTGCAACGCCTGCGGTGAGTCGGTACATCTTCTCCAGGTGAGCAATCCCTTGCAATGGGCACTAACGATGGGGCTGCATGCTTTGCCTTCGCAGGCCTGTACCAAAAGCTCCATGGCACGCAGCGTCCGATCGGAATGCGCAAGTCGGTCATAAAGCGTCGCAAGCGTGTGCCGGGAGGCAGCAGCACTGCAGCTTCGAAAGCTACGCCTGGCCCTCTCCTTCCTGACACTGGATCGCCCGCTCGCAGCACGCCACTAGACAAGGGCACGCCAAGCGTCAACACGTTTTCAGCTGCGCCGGAGCCAGCCGCGACTGCTCGCGACGCGAATGACGCCGCACACGAAGCAGCCATGGCCTTGATGGAAGTCGGTCGCCCTCAGCAACTCCCTCAAGCCCATGCTTTGAGCGCGCAGAATTCAACGTACGATGACCACCACACACGAGGCTCCCCTCTTCCTCCACGTGGAAGACCAGACACGCCGGTTTCCGGGCGTCCTGTGAAAAAGCCCAGGAAAAGCGCAAGCACGTCTAGGTCCGGGCAATTCAGCGATGAGCCTCGTGGCGCTGAACGTCGCACGCATGTAGACGACCTCACACTGGACGTTCGCAGAAGCCAGGCTCCGATGCCAAGAAGAGACCACCTCAGCCTCGACCACGCTGATTCGCGCATTCCTTTCTCGGTGCAGCAGCGACCGAGCTCCGCTGCGGACACTGCAGAATCTGGTGCGATCAGGCACCCCTCGGCATACTCAACCACCGCAACGATTGAGGATGGAGCGAAGCCCGCCAACGAAGCCAGCCAGCAAGGAGATAGAAAGGTAGCCACAGCACTGCCAGCGCAATCTGGCCAGCCTCATCACCATCATCGTGAGTCAAAAGAATGAAATTGCTCGCGGCACATGCTAAACATCGTTCCCAATGGCTGTTGATCCGTAAAACGCAGATCATCACCATCATCATCCAGCCCACGTCCACACTCATCACCCCGCCCACGTGCACCATGTGCCAGTCCGCCCGAGCGCAGCTGGCCTACCAAATGCCCCTGCATCCACGCACCCTCTGTCGGACCTTGAGCGTCATGTCGCAGAGCTCATTGCAGAAAAGCGTCGCATCGAAGACCTCATCGTTCGCTCGGAAGCGCTACTGCGGAGTGCGAAAGATGGGACCTGGACCCCTGGGCAGCCCTTGCCAATGCCTCACACTCCGGGCCATTCCCACCAGCCAATCGTCAAAACAGCCTCCCACCCTCACACTCACACTGCGCACTTGCACGCTCACGTCCACCCTCACGCGCATCATCATCACACGCATCCTCATGCACATGCACACCACGCGCATCCTCACGTTCACGCTTCACACGCCCACGCAGCCGTAGGGGAGCAGTCAAAAGCTCTGGCTAGTGCGGGCGATGGAGTAGGCAGCAAGGCTGCCGACGCAGATGCGTTGACGGGCGGCGAGGATGGAGCAGGGTCCGTTGCACAAAGCCAATCGCATAGCCACTCATCCAAGGACAGCAAAAGCCGATCCACTGGCTCCGAAGACCGCGCAAGCTTCGAATCGCGCATGGCTCAGCTGCCTGTCAAAGCAGCCGTGCCTCTTCGCAGGACATCCAGCGTCGCCTCATCTGCCACGCCAAGCACACGCTCCGGCGCGAATCCAGCAGCGCTCGCGACAAATAGCTCTGTCCGACCAAGAGTCTGGGGCACCAGTCCTCCTAGCGACTCTTCCGCACGGTCCAAATACGAGGAAGACGCAGAATCGGCAGAGTGGAAGCGGGCTTACGGCAACCGCCTGCTCGAGTCACCTGGTGATTGGAAAGGCCACGCGAAGCCTATCGCGCCGCGGCGCACACCTTCCAACGTACCAATTGCTCCTTCAAGCCCTGCGAGCAGCTCAAAGAGCATTCTCGCTGGCAGCGCTACTTCGGAAAGACGGGCCTGATCTTCCGCTGCATCGCCAACCTCCACCCAGACGTAAGGGAGGGGTGACGTCTACTGCGAAAGCCCGGTCGCGCGAGGCGATCCCTTCCGACATCAGCATTTGTACTTTACCCAAAACGCAAAATGAGAGTAATCGCCTTGCCCTGAGGGTGTGATGACTTGTCGGATCGCACTTTGCAAGCGCAGCGCTGAATCTCGCCTGCTCAGGCGCCAGAAGCCGTACGTTAAAATTTGATAGCCTGAAGGGATGACATTGCGAGGTGCCGAAAGCTGAAGACCATGTGCTAAGTCGGCGAAGCCCAGAAACGGTTCGTTGGACATCTCAGCGGTCTAATGCGACATTTGGGTGGGTGCACGCATGTCCAAAATCTAAGTGTGATGACCCCCCTCTCCAATTTCCTGACTGATGCTTGTGTACTCCCATTGCCCGGCAGGCGGGGGGTTTTCAAGAGGCTCATGTCTGTAGGGCAAGGTATTGGATGACATCAGCTCGGAGTCGCAAGTGAAGTTGCAGCTGCGTGTGACGAAGGACATGCTCCAGGACCCGCGGTCGCGAAGTTACTGGTGACCACGTCGCCGCCTCTCAACCCCTGGAGAGTCTGCCTGGTGTCCGCGGACGACGAATCTTGAATGCATCGAGGCAGCGTAGCACCCACTATGTCCATCCTGTCATTAGCACCGGCCAATAGGAGCTTCTACCCTCGACGAAGCTTCTCGGCTTGCCCTCGCAACACTCACGCTTGCCACTCGATCATCTTTGTAGTCAGTGCCAATTCGTCCTGAGCTTGAACCAGGACTTCCTCGGCCTGACCCGCATCCACCTGCTGTTCAAACGCAGCAATAGCCTCCTCTGTCGCGCCGCCGCTCTGGACGCTCTGTAGCACGTTGAGCCTGTGTTCCGTCAAAGCTTTGGTCGCTTGAGCGTAGACGCTATTGGGAGGAAGAGTAGAGAGCAGGTTCAAAGTGCTCGTGTAGGTCTCCTTGAGAGCGGACAGAGGGGTGGGATGCACATCTAGACCAGTGATCTCTGTGGACAGCTTGGTGCGCAGTGGCGCCGCTGCTCCTGCCGATCCGCGGGCTACTGCCGAAGAAGCAGATGCACTGGCCGCTCGTATGATGCTTGTTGCGCGAAGCATCGTGTGGAATGTTGCGAAGCTAATGCGTGATCTGGAGTGTTTGTGGATCGTCAACAGCAGGTGACCTATGAGCGCAGCGCTTTGGGCAATGACGACCAAGCGGGCTGTTCTCTGCGCAAAACGTTCGTGAGCGCTCTGGAGGGTGATCGTACTACAGATTGTCGGGCATCGCGAATGGTGAAGGAGATCGCCAAGATACGCAATCATGAAAGTAGGTAGGTACACGGGAACCATGTCATCGCACGGCCGTTGCTGATTGGGTCCCGTGATCAATGTTGTCCAAAGGCCACCAGACCACGTGGCAAACGTTTTCATAATCCACCAGTCGCGACTGCATCCATCATATATGCGTGCGATTCGAAATTGGCGTGGGCGCGCGTTGGCCGATCCACGACTCCTCCGCGGATCTGCGTGCATGCGTCAGCAGAGCGTGCCGTGCTAGCATGCTGCATGCTGCATGCTGCATGCTGGGTGCGTGAATATCCCGACGCGAGCGAGCGCGACGAGCTGGCCCTCATGCAGCAGGCATCATTCGTGATTCTGCTGCTGCTGCAAGCGGACCACGAGCCAAGCTGGGAATGACGAGTGTGTGTGCGCAGTTGAGATTCGTGGTTGCGCAATGGCGATCGGGCGCTGCTGCTGGTCCAACCCATCTCATCACAGAAGCGATGTCAGCTCAATATCAGAGAAGGGGCGCTCGCGGCTCATCGCACGTCCCACGAAACGCGCAATTTTGGACGGCGTGATGAAATGTGGTGACTGATGTGCTGCCGCTGCTCGGCCATCGCACTTGTGTGCTGTCCGCGCATTTTGCAGCACAGCGCTATATATATATGCGCACAAGTCAGCCTGCAGAGGCAGCAAAGTCAAGTTACAATCGCGCGCGCGTCGCTCAGGCGCGCGTGTGGAATTGATCCGGCCGGGAAAAGTGCGCGCACGATCGAGCGGTGCCCGCCGCGCCGCATGACTTATGGAGCTCACGCATGCACGAAACAAAATGGCTGAATCACGAACGCGGGACAGGCAGGCAGGCAGCCAGGCAGACGAAGGAGCGAGGAGGGGAATGAATCAGTAGTCACGAGTCACGAGTGAATGACACACGCACAGTCAAACATATGCGCACGCATGGATAGCCGGTACGCGATCGGTTCGCATGGATTTGCGGGTCGCAAGTTGGAAGTCACAGTCACCAGTCAAAGAGTGCCTGGCGAGAGATGGTCAGGCAGCTGGCAGCAAGCACGACCGACAGACAGACAGTCTTTGCAGCATCGATCACCTCGTCATCACCTTTTCTCCTCCTCATCACTTCGATCTTGCAAGCTTGGCAAGGACATCCGACCTTCGCCCCCTGACTCGCTTCCTTCCGGCCTACCACACGACAGCGCAAAGATTCATTCAAACAGTCGACTGGGCTTGCCCTTTTCTGAATTCACTTGCTTGCTGCATCTCAAATTCCACAAATTAGGCATTCGAGAGCCTCTGCAGCTCGGTGTGAGACGTCAACTCTGCTTCACGCATTTCAAGCCCCATTCGACCAGGAACGCCTCCTGCTAAATCGGTCACACATCATCATCCGAGGACGGCGGCTTGGCAGCCAGCACGCGATCCACCGCAAGCGCACAGCGGTCGCTTCTCCCATGCCAGCCTACCATGCCGGCGGCTCCAGCACCGCCTACGCTGCTCGTCCAGATGTCCCCTTCAGGCCAGGTCCGCTGCCATCGACGAGCGCAGTAGGAGGCTCGGCACAACATGGACCCAACGCATACCCACCCGGCTCTTACGGCTACCACCCGCAGATGCAGCAGCAGCAAATGCAACATCACCAGCCACCGCACCACCCAAACTCCTCGCAACAGCACCGCTCTGCCCATCAGGTGCCGTATGGCTCAGCTAGCCATCCACCACCACCACAGGCCGCACAACCTTCACCAGCGACCAGACCAGCTCATTTGGCGGGACACACACCACAGCAGCGCAATGCCCATCTTCCTCCCCACGACCATGGCATGCCACACGGCATGCACGGAGGTGAGGTTGCTCATGGTGGGCCTCCACCTCTACCAGCTGGTCATCATGGTACTTTAGGTTTTGTTAGTGGGCCACCACCCGCATCCATGGTCCAACAACCCCACAAGGGCCGGCCGAATGGACGACACGTGCACTCGGATGCTCCTTCGCATGGACCTATGCATTATGGCGGCTCGATTCAACCATCTCCCAATGTCAATGTAGGAGCCAACGCCCACCTTGGTCCGCATCCCCCTCACGCTTACCCGTACGCCGGAGGAGGCGTCAATGGATCTGCGCATTACGATCTGCCACCGCATCACGCTGTAAACACGATGCAGGATCCCAGAGCACCCGGTCACCCGCATTACGCTCAACCGCACTACAGCTCGGTGGCTCCCCCGAGGCAGATGAATGCCTCCACCTCCCCTGCAGCCCCTTCCTCTACCAAGAAGAAGGATGGCCGATCGAACAAGCGCAGCAAGACGAACAATTCGGCCAGCAAGGCTTCGGCGCAAGCGGCTGCTGCTGCTGCTGCGAAGGAGACGACAGACACCATGCCTTTAGGCCCTGCTCCCGGCAAAGCCGCGCTCGCGGAAGGCACGCTTGCGGGCAATGTCGGTCTGGTCGACGAGGATGGGCACGTCTTGTCAGGCCCAGCCGAGAGCAAAAAGGACAAGAAGAGAAGGGAAGTCATCGAGCGTGTCCACAACGCTCATTGGCAAGCGCTCGAAGCCAGGGATGTGTGAGTTCACGCGATGCCTCGCACGGGCTTGTCGGTCTTCTTCTGCCATCTCGAAAGTGCTGACATTTGCGTCCGTCCGTTTCCACCTGCAGTATCTTTGAAGATCTGTCACGATCATTCATTGCCCAGTCCAATACATTGCTGCTGTCACCTCAGCTCTCGCGAGCCTACGTTTTGCCCGCTCACTCGCTTCTCATAGAGCGAGATGCGTCGTTACAGCGAGGAGCTCTGCTGCACGCTTATCAAGTCGAATCTGCTCGCTCAGCGTATGAGAGCGAAAGGGCCCGGGCAGAAGACGAAGCTAGGATAGCGCGAAAGAACGTCCGAGATCGATTGTTGGCTGCCACAGAAGAGCGGCGGCGAAGGCTGAGAGAAGAAAAGGAGAGCGGGGACGGTGCAGCTGGTGAGTGCTACTTTGGGTCAAAGTACGGTGACGCGTCAGTCTTTTAAGGTGCTGACCCTGCCACCTGTACCTACCAGATCTCTTTATGGACGCTGCAGCTCGGCCACATGCGACGCGCAAGCTGCGAGCCAAGCCGGGCGCTAATCCGCCATCGCGGCGGGGAGACGAGGAGAAGAATGCAGGTGGAGGGGACGTCAATACGGGCTTGGGCCTGTTGCTGGGCGAAGGCGGGGCGGAGCTCGGACTAGCTGGCGGAGCGTCGGCTCTTGGCGGTCTCGGCTCCCTCTTTGCTGGCTTGCCCGCCAGCAGCGTGATGGACCAAGCCACGGGCGCAGCCATAGCTGGCGGAGGTATGGCGGACAGCTCGTACATGTCTGGAATGCGTGCTGCACTCGCTGCCAAGGTCGCAGGCAAAGGAAAGAAGGGCGCCAAAGGTGGGGCAGGAGGCGCCGCGAATGCTGCTGCAGCTGCAGCCGCGGCTTCGGCAGATGGAACGACCCAGGAAGACGACGATGACAGAGAATCCAGAGCGGCGGCAGCAGCCGCCGCCGTGGCCGCAGCTGCGGTCTCTAACGGTCGACTCAGGTGGGACGCTGGAAAGAGCGTCGCTCAGCTTACTGCCGCCAAGGACTGGGAGGTCGAGAGCGACCTCATCTCACTACGCAAGACTGCCGGTGGCAAACGTCGTCGCAAATGAGCGCTAGCTTGCCTCTTCTCGCGGCACATGACTTCTCCCTGCTTTCATGCATACTTTCTTGATCGGGTATCGAATTTCTACACGTGTATACTTCCACTACGGATGCGAGTCTGGCAAGCAATTCACTCTGTAAAATGTCTCCTGTGCAAGCCATCGTTTGGGGGAACTTCGCCAAGCTGTCTGGTGTCGCTACCTGGTGCGCCATGCGACCCACGCGGCATTACCTTTGCCCAGCATGTGTCCAAGCATCTCCTTCTCGAGGCTGCAGATGCACCACTTGCCGTTCGTGTTAGGCGCTCGCCCCCCGGACGAGCCTCGCGCCAACCAATTGGAAAGCCACAGCTGAACAGTCTCGGCTGAGCGAAGCTCGCAGACGATTAGGGCCAGCGTGCGGTTTGGCGCGCAGAACAGATCAATCGTTGCGAGAAGAGCCGCAAACAGCGATGGATTGTATATACCTGTTCCAGAGGCGGGGCAGAACGAAGAACGAATTACGCTAATTGAGCTCAGGAGCTCAAAGGCGCCACGCTGGCTGACCAGCGAGCTGTGACTTACAGTCCGAGGCCAGGATGAGATCCGGCCACGCATCGTCTTCGACACCTTGCGCTTCCTTGTCTACATGGCAAGTGCTCCTCCCCACAAAGTCGGACAGAACGGCGCTTCGAAACCTCTGTCTTCTGCTCTCCACTCCGCTCTCCCAAGCTTGTTGCGCTTCCAGCCAATCCAGCTCGGCACTACCGAGGCGTACGCCTGCAGATTTATTGAAGCTGGTGGACGCTTTTGGCTCTTTGGATTGGGCGAGGTGATGCGCATCGAGATTTCGACGCAGCAGTGGCATCATAGCCGCTTGATCCGTCGCTATCCAGGTTGTGCCGGCGTTGGGCGCAGCAATATTCGGATGCGCAAGTAGAAGCAAGGGGAGCACACCGGTGCCCGCTCCAAGCTCTAGAATTCTTGCGATCTGAAAAGACTGAGGTTGTAATAGCGGTGGTGCTGATGCGGATGTTTCGCTGCTTGGGGACAGCTGTCGAAGCATCAAAGCGGCAAGAGCAAGGCTGGGTAGAGATCGACGCAGCAGACTTGAGCATCGCTATCAGCATCACTATGATTGATTTGGCACGTCTCACCTCGATCGCCAAACAACGCTTCCCGTATCGCCAACAGTGGAGCGCAGCGAGGTGGTCTGGAGACGACCGCCTGGTGACCGTCAGCTCGGTAAGTTCAGAGGAGATTTATGTCAAGGCTCACATTCTGGCGAATGGTCACAACTACCTGGTCCACCTCTGCAAGGGAAGGCGTCTGGTCCTTGCTACTTGTGCGTGCTTTCCGAGACCGAGCGCTCGATGCTTCTCCTTTACTCCTGCTTCGAGACTTGTGTTTAGCGCTCATCATGTGCATGTGCACCTCCTCGTCGATGCACTCGACGGCAACCTCCGGGTGTCCGTCCGCACGTCGCAAAGGCACTGTGACTCGCAAGGTGTCGGAGGAAGCATTGACGAAGCCTAACCCGGCTCGTCCGTCCTCAGGATGGGATAAAGAGTAGAGCAGAAAGGTCTGAAGAGGAGACAGGGGCTCACAAGGCTACAGCGTCCGGACTGCACGGCAAAGAGAGCTTGATCATGAGCTGTGGAAGATGTGCTCACCTCGTCGTCAGCATTTGTCACGGGTCTTGCGAAGCCTTGCTGCAGTACAATCAAGTCGTTTGGAGGACTTGACAACACGGGTTCCGCTGCATTCGCTTGATGTGAAGCTTCGTCATGGCTCGCATCCTGCTTTGCCATGTCCGCGAGTTGACCTTTCGATACGTCCGAATGCTCTCATCAGCCTCTGCCGGATGCACGTCTTTCGATCGCAGATACGAGTCTGGCTGCTGCTTCTCGTCTCGTTGCACGGGCTCGCCATGGAGGCATGGCCACGATTCTTGTCGCAGCCTGGGTCATGAATGTGAATCAGGAATTCTTGAGCGATAGATCACGACGCGAAACCTTGTACACTCAAACGTTTGACTCGAGACTTTGGCGAGTCGAGCCAAATTTCGATTGCACGTGACAGGTGAGGAGACAGACACCTGCGCTCGCAAGGTGGAGCGGCTCGAGCTCGCTTCCCCCGCACGCGTCATGCTGACGTGTGGAACGTCAAGCGTGCGCGCGATGACTGCGCTGCAATCTTGAATGATGAAGCGCGAAGCTTTCCACTTTGTTTGACGCACGAGCCAGATTTCGAGACTCGAGAGAGCGCGCGTGTATGTTGGCCCGCACGCAAATTCCCGACAAGCCTGCCTGCGACCGATCTGGCATGTAGGTGCGCGCCGCGGCCCCGAGTGTAAACACGTGAATGCATGCCAAATGCGGCTGCAATTAATGGGCTGGGATTCAAGATTCAAGATTCAAGATTCAAGATTCAAGATTCAATATCCTTGAAATTGTCGGGCTAGATAAGTGCATGCACGGTCGGTCTTCTGAGGCAAAAGGTGCGAACGTGTTCACCAAAGTCACAAGTCGGAGAAAGTGTGCGTTGCTCGTTCATTTGAAGCCCGATTTGGCGGGCCACATCGAGCTTGAGACTTGAGGCATGCGAATGATGAGGACAGACTCGCCCCACTCGTGCCATGAGCGTCCCTCATCGTTCATAGGCCACGTTGCACGTTCCTTCGCATTGTGCAGAACGCTACTGACTACTACCGTATACAACAGTAGCAGCTGTAGGCGACCTCCAACACACGCTCCTCGACGAGCATGTGCAGTCCTCATTGCAGTGTCGTTCGATCGCTCGCACTAGACAATAGGATCACCAAATGAATGTGAATGTGCACGCTGGCTGATAAGGCTACCCACAAGGCTATGCTCGTGAGATCTTCCTGTTTGCAGATCAAATTTCAGCTGCTGCTTGCTGCCTGTAGTTCGAGTCCGCCTCTCATGAGAAGACGCATTCGAAGTGCATTATTGACTCCGCCGCCGACGCCAGCTCAGGCCTCTGTCCGGCAGATCGGCAGGTCGCTCTTTGAAGTCGGAGGCGCCTGAAAGCGCAAATTGCAACAAGCAAGCCATCAGCGTGCCCTTTGCCCAAGCGAGTAAGCCGATCTTGCCTGTCGCTCCCGCGAAGCAGACGAAGCACGCAGGAATATCGTAGATCTGAGGCAAAGTTGCTCGCTGCGTGGGCAGGTACGGCGTGCGATCTAATTTGAGCGTCTTCTGGCCGGCAAGGGCGGGGCGCGAGGGGCACGTCCGCCGTTCAGCCAACTCCGCCCTGCCGACCGGTCCGCGGTTGAGAGACGCGCCGCTGGTCTTCGCGCGTGAGTCTATGGCAGCGAGGCGCTGTCGAAGGTAACGAGCGCGGGGGAGACGGCCTTGCTAGCGATCAAGCTCGAGCACAAGATGGATCCTTTGCAGCCAAGTCGCCATTCCCTGAATCTTTGCAAGCCCTGCAAAATTTTGCCAAGACACGCCTCGTGTACATCTCATTCGGGCGGGTTGAGGAGGGGGGGCTACTGAGGCGCGGAAAGTTTTGGCGACGCTCACGCTGTGCTGCGCAGAGGGAACGCGCTGCGAATAGACAAAAACGTGCGCAAATCGTTCGAAGCGTCAATCACGAATGGCGATTGCCCGCATGCTTGCGAGATCCGTGGCTCGCTACCTAGAAGCCACTGTGACGCACTAATGTCTCCATATTTGGCAATGGACCTCACAACTTCCATGCTGCTGCATGCTCGCATGCATCCTTCTCCCTTCCATGCCGGAATGCCACAATGCACATTGGCCCGGGCTGATTTCACGGCTCGACGGCGGCGACCAAGTGAATGGTCATCGAGGATCGCGTGCAAGTCCTCTGCCACATTGGCGCTGAGCTCGAGTCGTACCTGGGGCATTTGCGAATTGTGGCGAGCTCTGGACCACGCGCCCTCGTCGTGGGCGCACGTTCGATGGGCGTCCTTAGCTTGGTCCGTCGCGCCAACACTTTGCCTGCCAGATCCCTGTTGAAAGAGAGTCATGGCCTTCGTGGCGACGGACGATCCTGCTCTTCCCATCTGGACGTTCGCCTTTCAGCCAACAGCTCGCCATTTGACGTGCGTCTCGTCGTCTACTCTGCCCGTGCGTACTACACGCTCTCCCGACGACCTCCCCCCTGGGTCTTTCTCCGTTCCATGCGGGACCAGCAGAAATGAGACACTGACGTTCGCACTATCTGGGGCAGCGAGGCTTGTGAGTATGAGCAGATAGAGCATCAGCTCCTTTTAGCGTTTTTTGAATGGACAAGCACAAGGGCCGGCGATGGACGGGCTGTGAATATTGCTGGTCTGGTCAGTGACTGTGTTGCTCTCGCCGTCGCCAGTCCCCACGGCGTCGCGGTACCGCGTGCTAATGTGTGCTGTTCTCCAATTTGACCATGAAGCACTTGGACTGCGCTGAATCAGGATCTGATGGGTGCAGAGAGGCTTTCTACCAACCTGGAAGCGATGCTTTCCATGTTCGTGCGCCTCGACATAGGTTGAGATTGACTCCGATTTCTCACTGGTTAGAAGCTTTCCTCACCTCGAAGGGTCGCGGCGCAGTCCTTGCAACCGATCGTACTTGCCGCCGTCAATACCCTCCCCTCGCATCGAACTGCCTCTTGTCACACGACCCACCTTGACCTCCCTCATCCATGATCCTCCCAGCCCCTCGACTGTCCGACTGAAGAGCGAAGCGCTCAAGCGGGTCTAGCGCGCCATTCGAAACCTCCCCTCATCTCGTCATCAGTCAGCAGATCTGCCTCAGGACGACGCTGTCCCCTCAGAACTTGCTACCGTCCATCACTGTAAAGTGCTCCACTCTTCTTGGCGGCGTCGCTCGATATGGCAATCTCCTTCGAGCCGCAACGGCGGCTCTCTGGCTGGCAGCGAGTTGCCTATGCGGTGTCCTTGACACTCTCTTGGATTCTCCAGAGGACGCCATTTAGCGTGCACTGCTGCATCGTCTTGCTTGCTGCCCTTGGCCCCATCTTCGCTCCGCACCTCATTGCTCTCCTCATCGTCCTGATTCACGTCGTCTTTGTCATTTGCCAAAGTCGCACTGCTTGGGGAGTCTGGTGCGGCTGGAGGGGTGTACTCCGGCATTCTCGTAGAGATTGGCGTCAATACCACGCCGATGAGCGCCAAAAGCTCGACAAGAATGGCTCTGGCGATCATGTGCTCGAAATCGACGATGTGCAGCACATCATCATCCTTCCGGCCTACAAGGAGACCGTAGAGACTCTGAGAGAGGTGAGTGAGCTGTCTTCATCGCGAGGCGCGCAAAGGAACACCTGCAAAAATCAGGGGACCTGACAGAGTGATTGCCTTTTATCAGACACTTGATGTGCTCGCCTCCCACCCCATGGCTTCAGCCTGCTACCACGTCTGCTTGGGCATGGAAGAGCGCGAGGCTGGCGCAGCCGCAAAGGCAAACAAGCTTCTGAGTCAGTACCGACTCAATCGCGCTTTTGCCACCGCCGCCTTCTCTCTGCACCCCGGCAACATCCTGGGCGAGAGTGCGGGAAAAGCGTGAGTGTTGCCGGATATGTCTGCCTCTTCCTGGTGCCCCTGCTACGCCTCTTCTTGGCTTGCGACATGCGAAGGATGGTGGGTGGACGTAAGAACGTGTGCCAACGCATGCGATTTATTTCGTAGACTTCCTGCTCGCCGAGCAGCCTGGTCGAGCGAAGGCAGGGGCGGCCTAGTCGCTTGATTGGGCGGGCATGATGGCAGAGGGAACGAGGCGCACCAGAGCTCTCACTCCGCGTTGGAAAGATCTGGCTTCATGAGCAATAACGAACGAATCGCGGGGGGTTTCATGCAGCACGCTGTGCTGATGGATGTTGCTGATGCTGCGCGGCGCATGAACGGCTGCGTTCTTCCGGCCCGCGGCGTCACGTTTCCGGCCAGGACGCGTCTTTCTGCTGCTGCTGTCACAGCAGCTGCTGCTTCATCGATCGCCTCAGCTGTTGATAAGCGAGCGGACGCACAAGTCAGCCATAGCACGCACTTCCATCCATACCCGATTCACAGCAGTCACGAGTGTTGTGAGACTCGCAATCTTTCGGATTTCGAGGGGTTCTTCTGTGAGACGGGGGCAACAGTGACGAATCAAATCTCGAGCTGAAGTTTGAGTTACGAGTGGATGGATGAAGCTCGTTGCTTGCAGGTGTCAGGCAGACAGGCGGATCAGTGTTCGCTTAGGCTGGCCGGCTCGCCTCGGCCATGCTCTGCGCGTGCAAAAATGTGCCATCTGACCGTGCCCATCTCGCGCCAACAGTTCGAATGTCAACTGGGCTGCAAGGCACATGGCTCGCTCCGTACCCATTGATCATAGCCGCAGTGAGTGGAATTGTGGTGCCTGGGCAGACAAGCAGGGAGCATTTGCTAATGCATTCTGATCGCTCTCCTCCGTTCGTGATGGCCAGCTGTTGTGACGGTGATGGATGCAGACACTGCCTTTGCCTCGGACTTCTTCCTCTCCATCTCTGCATACTATGCCCTTGCTCCTCACGACAAGCGACGCAGAACGTACTACGTGCCTCCGACTTTGTTCGATCGAAATGGTGCTGAAGTGCCAGCCACCACGCGGATCGCGGACATCATGTGGAGCTGCGCTGGTATTGGACAGATCTACCCAAGCAGCAGCTTCAAAGCCCCAACCAGCGCTTACGCCGCAACCATGGAGCTGGTCAAGCATTGCGACTTCTGGGACAGCGGACCGGAAGCTGTGGGCGAAGACGTGAGCGACTATCAAAGAGGCAGACCTGTCCTAGATTCGTGATGCTTGCAGCAGCTGACCTCGCGCTTTTTGGACGGCAGTTCCATTTCGCTGTGAAAGCCACTTTTGACACGCGTGGAAGCGTCTTTGCACAAACCATCTATTCCCCAGCTTCCCAGACCAATGTGGTCGGCTCTCCCTCCCACAGCAGCGTGCTGTCGTATCTCAACGACATGCACGCTCGATGGTCGCAAGCTGTCCGACACCTGTGGGGCTCTTTGGATTTCGGCTACGCTTTCCATCGTGCGTTGACGGGCTCTTTCGGCCCAGGTCAGCGCAAGACTGGATACATCGCTCTGATGACCCAAGACTCTGACGAGGGCGCTGAAGACGACGACGTGACGATCAATGGTGATCGTCTCAAGCCACCTCAATACTTTGTGAACAACACGCTGCAAGTCGAAGATCCTCAGCGATTTCCTTCGCCAAGCACAACGGCGACTACGGACTCCACGTTGGTGGAAAGCTACGATGCGATGTCTCTGCCGCGTCCTGCCAAGAAATTCGCTCGCTTCGATGATGATGGTGATGCCGAGTCTGAGGACACGGTTCACAAGGTGACTCAGACACACTACAGGACACTGAGCAAGTATGGGGAACGACTGGATGTGAGCACGGCAGAGAGCTTCAGCAGGCGGGGCTCTGATAGCAGCATTGTCGGCGATAGCGAAGATCTGGAGCTAGGCAAACTTCTCGCATCAGACAGTGCTCGCGCCGCAGACGATGACGATAACGCCGAGGTTTGGGACCCTCCCCTGCGCATCAGACCCTTTTTTGCGATGTTCTTCCGCATCTTTGAGGCACACATTATGATCGCTGCGATCTTCCTGAGCATGCAGATCCTTACCTTCTATCCCACCGTCGTCTACCGCAACGGGCACGTGGGATTCAGTGAGCTTCCTGGAAGACAGTGCACCTGGCAGAAATGCGCGCAGGCTATCTTCGAATCGCCTTTCTCTGCGGACATGCCTATCCCAGAAGGCACGGCTCCCGGCCTTCATCCAGCTTGGCTCTTGCCTGACATCGTGATGTGCAGTATCAGAGTAAGTGCTCTTGTGCCAACGACTCGAGCCACAAAGGCGCTGCTTACACGATGGCGCCCTCTCTCCGACAGGCTGCGCGTCTGCTCACCGTGTTTGGTGTCATCGCGACCATTTTCGTGTTGCTCGCCCACGATTACTATCACCGTGCTGCTTCGCAGACTCGCTGGCTCGAATCAGAGCAAGTGATCCGCGCGTGGCGAGAGCGTGGATCCCAGGGACCAGTTCCTGCTCGGTACCTCGGAACTCGTCCAGGGCAGACCTTTGCTCGCAAGTGGCCAAGAGGATTCCTGGACTTCTTGGCCTTCCCAGCGGCTATTCTTTACGGCGTGGCGCCCATGCTGTATGCTCAGCTCTGCCATTTGCACACCAACAAACTCACATACACCGTCAGTGGCAAGAGCAAGTCCACCGTCGTTATCGCCACACCGTTTGTAGCCGAGGCAGAAGTTCGAGTCAGCTCAGATATTCGAGGTTCAAGGGCAAGCATGGACACCGCAAGGACTATTCGTCAATCCATCGAGATCGGCCGCATCAGTGTCGATGAGCATGGCATGGACCGCTATTACAGACCAGAGCGCAGCTTGCTCAAATCTGGCGACAGGCAGGACCCGCTTATGGCCCGACACAAGCAAGGCTGAGCCGGCCGCCTACGCGAATGCTCCCCTCGGCGACAGCTGGTCGTCTTCCGACTGTGACAAGTCCTATCGTCACAAGAGCGCGTGGCGTGACCATGCACTTTCACGATCTCTTGAAGCGCAACTCCCCTCATTTGTCTTCTCCCCTTCCTTTTGTTTTCGTACATATGTCTTGGGGAACGTGCTTGGTATCGCCTATACATCAGCAGGAATTGATGAGCATCACGACCCTTTTCGGCTTGGTGGTCAGCTGTCATGATGACGAGCGGAACGATCATCCGAGAATTTGAAGCCGACAGTTTCTGAGCCGTTGCTCGAGAATGATCTTCAGGCGTGACTTTGTGATTCTACTAGCCCAAGGTTCAGGGTCCGAACGCACGGCGCCTATATGCCCCTCTCGAGAACGTGCCATGAATCAGGCGGTGCGACGCGCACGTGAACGGCACGAGCACGCACTCACAACTGACCCGGCTCTTGAATGGGTGCGAGCGCACTTCGAGTGAAGCCCACCTCGTGCCTACTATGCTTGCCCTGCAGTACGGCGATCGTGCCATCAGCCCACGTCGCACACGACCTTGGTGATCTTGGATAATCAAGAAGGGAAGGCACGCTTGCGTTCAAGTCCATCATCGCGGTGATCACCTGACGTGCTGCCTTGCCGTTGGCGATCCAAGTGCAAGCGTCAAAGAGATTCACTTGCCGACCGGAGAATCCATTTCGACTCCGCAGTATTCGCGATCGTGAGTTGCCACTGCCGCATGTAATTGCACAAGCGAGCGCTCTGAATTCCTCTCATCATCCTTCGCCGCTCTCTCGTTCTCACCAGCTGAATCCCTTTGCGCGCCCGCAGCGTACCCAGTGCTGCTTCGAAAGCTGTGTCATACTCCGTCATTTCGCCACGAGTAGTATCGCTCAGCTCTGCCAAGGGGCAGAGGGGTCGGTCAAGGATACAAAGATGATCACTCTGCTACTCATGAGGCCAATCATCCAGAATCACATCAGGATCTTTGTCTTTCTTTCTTTGCTGAGCTGCTTCACCCTAGCAGATTCGGCCAGTGCACTCCCCTCTACTCGGACCACGCCAGCACCGCAAGCATTATTTAGCGCCACATCCCAGCGCCTCTACCCCCCTAGCCGTCTTGAGTCATCCCAGTGGAAAGATGGCATCGAACTCATGTCCAGGCAGGACGCAGTTGCTGGCAACTCGTCTTTAGTGAACACTTGGGCACCGCCCTTGAGCACGCGAGGCAGATACATCGTCGATGCGAATGGCAAACGTTTCAAGTTGCGCGGTGGCAACTGGCACGGAGCTTCAGGCACTTATCTTGGCCGCGGCGACTACAACGACCCAGCAAATCATCACGCGGGTGAGCTGGCGTATCAGACCCCACTGTGTCTGGACCGCGTCGCGCTCGAAGAGATCGTGGCTCAATTCCTGGCACTGGGCATCAACACTGTGCGCCTGCCATGGTCCAATGAGATGCTGCACACGGCTACGATTGTGCCAGACAGCGCGTTGAGAGCCAATCCGCAGCTGATGGGAATGTATCCCCTGCAAATTTTCGACGCTTGCGTCACTGCGCTCACTCGAGCTGGCATCGCCGTCATCTTGAACAACCACACGGTGAAGAGCATCTGGTGCTGCGGATTGGACGTGAACTCTAGATGGAATGGGGCGCAAACGGATCAGCAGTGGCAAGCAGACTGGGTGTTCCTCGTCCAGAGATATGCGAACAATACGCGCGTAATCGGTGCCGAGCTGTACAAGTCAGTCAAAGTCTCGTGTATCGAAGCACGCACACGTAGGCAAAGCTGACACCTCGCAAAATTCAATGCACCATCACCCAGCGAGGTACGGCGTGATATCCTTCTTGATCCGACATGGGGTGGCGGCGGAGCAGCAGATTGGTGGCGAGCCTCGCTTGACGCTGCCAACCGAATACATCGCGAAGCGAACGCGGACATTTTGATCGTCATCGATGGCATCAACTACGTCGGCATCCCTTCGCCTTACACGCCGTGAGCATCACAGCTGCTTGGCATTTGCGGTGAAAGACTCGCTAACCTCTTTCGCCAACCTCCCAGACATTACCGGCCAGAGCTAGCACCGGTGCAGGACCTCAGTCACGCGCTTGCGATTCCAGACAAGCTGGTGTACGCGGCGCACTTTTACGCTTACACTGGGCCGAACGCAACGGGCGGCAACGAGCCTTTTGACCTCAATGAGCCCACCTACGCTGAATTGAGCCCAGCGGATTTGAATGCCACTATCAACCGGCTCGCGTCGTACGTTGCGTCGTCCATCGACCAAGTTCAAAAGCACTACACTGCGCCAGTGTGGATATCGGAATTTGGTATTGGACGTCTGGGCACCTCGCAAACAGACAAAGGATGGTGGGGTCGCTTTGTCTCACTGCTGATCGACCGAGATCTCGAGTTTGCATACTGGCCACTCGTGGGCTGGCAAGCCGCGGGTGTCGGCGATGGATATGCGTTGCTTGAATGGAGCTCTTCCGGAGAGCTGCTCAGCATTGACAGCCCCGGCGCCAACGACTTTCGCGCCTCGAGCTGGAATCGTCTGCAACAAGCTTTGGGCCGATTTGAATCCGCTGCCGATGCTACTCTGTCTTCATCGGTCAACCTTACTGTGCCATCGGTACCTCGGTGGCTGATGCTCGGCACAGATCGCGGCAGCGTGCAGCAGAGCAACGTCATATCCGGAGACATTCGCTACTTTCCCGGCGACACGAAGGCTTCGTGCCCAGACGGCTTGCGGCTGATCGGCCTGACTCACCAATCAAAGCCTCGCGGCCTTTGCACAGATGCCGTCTTCGGCAGAGAATTGTGGCCAAGTGCAAAGCGCGAGTGGGAGGTGGTGACGGACGAGCGGCACGTATCGCATGACTGGGCAAAAGGGTACACCAAGCTGGAATGCGCATCTGGAGCCTTCATCGTTGGATACGCTTTCGACGATGAAGGTCACAGTAGAAGCTCGTACTGCGCCAAAACGTCGGTCCAGAGCGATCCTGCGCGTACAGCGACCGCTCAAGGTGCGCGCACGGTCTGGTTCGATCGACACGATGCCATGGGTCGAAGCGGAGTGACACAGGAGCAAGCGCAGCACGGCATCTTCGCCAGCGATGGCGGGACAGCGGGCTCGTGCGCAGATGATGAGCTCCTGGCTGGTTACGCATTTACCACTCGCGAGCATGGCGGGTGGCCTGCTGCTCTCCTTTGCAGGAATTTCAACTCCTCTGCCACACCCATTGGCTCAGCGGATGCTGCCTTTGCATCCAGCAGACTGTACGTTGGCTTGGATATGTTCGGCGTGTTGATTGGCGGATCAATTGCCCTCGTGCTGACAGCTTGGCAGTGCTTGCGAGACGCCGTGATGCTTGTATAATAGTCGCAATACTTGTTGATATGCATTCAGGATCCAGCGATACATCTGCCGCCTAGCAATCGCGAGTGTGACTAAAAGACAACATAAGAGCGAGTAGAGCAAGAGTGCGTGTAGCTCTTCTCCATAGAGCATCCATATTCGCGGCTGGATAGAAGGGTGAGGAGGCGGAGGTTAGCGCGAAGTGGTGCGGTCGTGGTGCGTGTCTGTGGTCTTAAGGGTCAAGCCATGTAAACAGATGAACCTACCTTCACGCTCATGACACACCGTTCGTGGTTTATTGGTGATCATCCCCGCATCTCTCACAATTTCTCTTTGATGAGCACAGCGCGGTCTCCACGCGTCTGATGAGTCACGTGACTGCGCTCGAGCCATGCTTGAGCGTGCCCGCAACAGCGACGTCTGTGGCCTTCGAATGCGCGTGGAGGGGAGGGGACACGCATGCGCGGGTTGACACACCACACCGTAAGCTCTATCGACCTGCTGATGATGTGCGCGCCGCTCTGACTGCTTGAACGCGCAAGCCTCACCGCACGCTCTGCAGGGCTCGAGTCTTGATTTAGCTGAGGGATTATTGGGGATTGCGCGTTGATCTAGGTCGAAGCTTATGATGAATGCGCAGCTGATCAGAGCGAACTTGAGTCACCTTCACCCACCATTTTGACTGTCCCGAGTTTCTCGTCCCATCGACCACCACCACCATCGCCTTCACTCTGTGCCAGTGATTATTCTTTGTGAAATAGTCTCTCCGCTCGAAGGGACTTCGATCTGCACTTGCTTGCATACCTCCCTGACTGCTCGCTCCCCAAAGTTCTCTCAGCCGATCGGCAGTCACTCCAGTAGCTTCGACATCATGGCGTCTGAGCAACCAGGAGCGCCCATTGGCGACGATAAGCCCGTCATTCCACCGCCTGCTGCCAACAACGACGGCACAGGTGGCGACGAAACCGCCACTGCAATCTTGCGCCAGAAGAAATGTGAGTCTCCTCCATGTGCTCCGTCGCCGCTTGCTTTGCCTTTTCATCGCTGACATTCCGCTACCGCTGCTGTCACGCAGCTCCGAACAGACTCTTCGTCGATGAGGCCACCACCGATGACAACTCCGTGGCTTGCTTCTCTGCAGCCAAGATGGAAGAGCTTGGTCTATTCCGGGGTGACACCGGTGAGTGCATCAGTCAGACTTGCCGCGCACTGCTTCCATCGCTTGCAAAGCTTCCGGGTTGGGTCCTTCCCTGCTCCATCTACGCATCGAGCCTGCAGTCTTCGCAAGCAAAAGGTCGCAACTCACCTGTCGTGCTGACTTCGTTGGTCCTGCTGCTTTCCACAGTCCTTCTGCGCGGAAAGAAGCGCCGAGACACCGTCTTGATCTGCTTGACGGCAGATGACACCGAGGACAGCAAGATTCGTCTGAACAAGGTCGCTAGGAACAACTTGCGCGTCAAGCTCGGCGACTTGGTCACCGTACATGCGTGCCACGATATTAAGTACGGCAAGCGCATTCACGTCTTGCCCTTCGACGACAGCGTCGAGGGTCTCACTGGCAATATCTTCGATGTCTACCTCAAGCCATACTTCCTCGAGGCATATCGCCCAGTCCGCAAGGGCGACACTTTCACTGTTCGTGGCGGCATGCGCGCTGTTGAGTTCAAGGTCATTGAGACGGATCCTGCAGAATTCTGCATCGTCGCGCAAGACACTGTAATCCACACGGAGGGAGATCCTGTCAAGCGTGAAGACGAGGAAGCAAATTTGGCAGATGTAGGCTACGACGATATCGGAGGTTGCAGGAAGCAGATGGCTCAGAGTGAGTTTGGTATTAAAGCGGCGAGGTGGCAAACCTACATCGAAGGATGACTTTCCTTGCAAAGGTCTTGTCCTGACTCTTTGCTTGCGACTCCATTCGTAGTTCGCGAAATGGTAGAATTGCCTCTCCGACACCCTCAGCTCTTCAAGGCTATCGGTATCAAGCCGCCCCGAGGAGGTGAGTCTACATATGACTTTGCATGGCGCGCGGACGAAGGTCTGACTTGTTCCTTCTTGATCTAGTTCTCATGTACGGCCCTCCCGGTACCGGTAAGACCCTCATGGCGCGAGCTGTGGCGAACGAAACAGGCGCTTTCTTCTTCCTGATCAACGGACCAGAGATCATGAGTAAGATGGCTGGAGAATCTGAATCCAATCTGAGAAAGGCATTTGAGGAGGCGGAGAAGAAGTGAGTATGCTGCAGTATCTGGGTGCACATCGGGCCCTATGCTAATTGAAATGGACCCATTGCATGTACAGCTCGCCTGCAATCATCTTCATCGATGAGATCGACTCAATCGCGCCAAAGCGAGAGAAGACCAATGGAGAGGTCGAGCGTCGTGTAGTTTCCCAGCTTTTGACTCTCATGGACGGTCTCAAAGCGCGTTCCAACATTGTTGTCATGGCCGCGACGAACCGGCCCAACTCCATCGACCCGGCACTTCGCCGGTTCGGGCGCTTCGACCGCGAGGTCGACATCGGCATCCCTGACCCCACCGGACGTCTCGAGATCCTTCGCATCCACACGAAGAACATGAAGCTGGGCGACGATGTGGATCTTGAACAAATAGCAGCCGACACTCACGGCTATGTGGGCAGCGACATGGCAAGCTTGTGCTCCGAAGCTGCGATGCAGCAGATTCGTGAGAAGATGGATCTGATCGACCTCGACGAGGACACGATCGATGCTGAGGTGCTTGACAGCCTTGGCGTCACGATGGAGAACTTCCGCTTCGCCCTTGGCGTCTCAAACCCTTCGGCTCTGCGCGAGACTGTGGTGGAAGTCCCCACTGTCACATGGAAAGACATTGGTGGTCTGGAGAAGGTCAAGCAGGAGCTGCAAGAGACAGTGTCCTACCCTGTCGAACACCCAGAAAAGTTCCTCAAGTATGGAATGTCTCCATCCAAGGGTGTACTCTTCTACGGCCCCCCAGGTACTGGTAAGACGATGCTTGCGAAGGCTATTGCCAACGAATGCCAGGCCAACTTCATCTCGATCAAGGGCCCAGAACTCCTTACAATGTGGTTCGGAGAAAGCGAGGCCAACGTCCGTGATGTCTTCGACAAGGCACGTGCTGCAGCTCCCTGTGTCATGTTCTTCGACGAGCTGGACGCCATTGCGAAGAGCCGTGGTGGTTCAAATGGCGACGCCGGTGGCGCTGGCGACCGAGTCATCAACCAGATCTTGACAGAGATGGACGGTATGAACGCGAAGAAGAACGTTTTCGTGATCGGCGCTACAAACAGACCCGACCAGATCGACTCCGCCATCTTGCGTCCTGGGCGTCTCGACCAGCTAATCTATATTCCGCTGCCTGACGAGACGAGTCGTCTTTCTATTCTTTCCGCCACTCTCAAGAAGTCGCCGGTGGCCCCCAGCGTCGATCTCAACTACCTCGCAAAACACACCCACGGCTTCTCTGGAGCTGATCTGGCCGAGATCTGCCAGCGCGCTGCCAAGCTGGCAATCCGTCAAAGTATCGAGGCTGACATCAGACAAGCACGCGAGCGAGAGGAGAAGAGATTGGCAGAGGGCGGAGCACCCGCCGACGACATCAAGATGGAGACCGATGCGGCCGTAGAAGAAGAGGCTGGCATCGACGAGGTGCCTGAAATCACCGTCGATCACTTCGAAGAGGCCATGAAGTTCGCTCGTCGCTCAGTTTCAGATCAGGACATCAGAAGGTACGAGATGTTCGCTCAGAACCTGCAACAATCTCGTGGTCTAGGATCGGGTTTCAAATTCCCTGATGAGGGTGGTGCAGGTCGTCAAGAATCTGGTGGCGCTCAATTCGGCGCGGATGGCGATGATGATGACCTCTACGCGTAGTAGCGCCTAGTCCTTCTAGACTTTCTTCGCACGACATTCACTGGCTGCTCGCCCTGCTATTCAAAAACACTCTGTCAGGTTACTCTTGTTGATCATGGTTCCCGAAATCGAACGCAAAGACGCGCTGTATTGAATGAATCTGGGGCCTCCACGTGTGTGGCAAGACGTCAATTCGGTCATCACTTCAATACGTCTGTCGAAATTGAGGATGAAAGCAGAGTTGGCGTGTGGCCGTAGCAGGGAAAGACGTGGATGCTCTCAAGGTGCCCTCGTAAAAATAGACCTTGAGGCACAGCTGGCGAGTCTTCATCTCGTCGGATAATGCTCCACGCCCCCTTCATAGCATGGCGTGAGCTCCGGCTGCTTCACGCACAACGTCATCTCCGACATTCATGCGTTGTGGTTTGCGCATGCACTCTCAGACTACGAAAGCCACTAGCACCTGCTGCAAAGCGTCATGGATTTTCGGAAGTGGCCGCTTGTGACTGTTGGAGCTTCGCGTTGCCGTTTCCTACATCTATAGCTATGATAGATATACCGCACATGCAGCGCGGCGGCTAATTTTGCCCTCGGAACGCCCAACTGACGGCAAAACCTATTTGTGATTCGATCCAAGACAAGTTTCTGTGAGGCCGCCTTAATGGCGGTCATGCCATTTCGACGCGATTAATTGTTCTGTGCACGTTCTACAGAGGGCAGCAGCCTAGCTGTGACAAGTCAGGCAAGGGTCTCTGTATACAGCTGCTACACCTGATACGGATCGTGAATGTGTTTTGAGCAATTTACATTTGCAGAGCTTGTGCCTGCGAAGATGGCTTCTGGGATGAAGGCAGGCGCGAATATGACCGTGGTACGAAGGCGTGTCTCCGCAACTCATCCTCGAGCGACCCTTGCGCGAAGGGAAGCGCCACAGGGCAAGTCTGGTCTTTGGCCTTTCCTTGGTGGTGGTGAGTCGTGAGTAGAAGCGCAAACATGAACGGCGGCTACTGGCAGAGACCGTGGCTGGTGTGCGATTCACTGCACAAATGAGCAAATGAGCAAATGACCTCTGGACACAGGCATCTGAGAGCTTGATCCTTTGCTGCTGCAGACACACACAACAAGCTTTTGAGTTTGGCATTTGGCCGCAACCGCTATGCCTGTACAGCCAGCTCCCATGCACAGGTACCCGCACGTAAATTGAGCACCAGCATTGCGTCCACAGCGATTAGCGCCTCGCGAGGTGGGTGGACTTCTCGGGCTCCGAGACACACCTCACAAGCCTTCTACCTGAATTCGGATGGCAGAAGAATGAATCTGCAAGAGGATTGCTGACTTAGCCATGCTCGCGATTTGTAAGGTCAATCACGAAATCGCGATTGATGAGAAGCCATTTGAGCGCTTAGTCTGGGGATTTGGGAGATTAGCAAGTGTTGCTGTGCATTGGAATTTGCAGCGTGATAGGCTAGACCTGCTCCATACGCACGTCGCACTGTATGTACTCACGACTCAAGACTAGAAGTCTGTTGTGTTCAAAGGAAGCTAGCTGCCTGCTGCTACATGTATATGCCAGCAGCTGTCACATCTGGAGCTTGAGCGACTGCTGCACAGGTCAGCAATCGCAGCTGCCAGCGGTCTAGCGCTGCAGCGCAAGACGCAACCACGCATTCACGAACTTTTCGACGGAACGATTTTTGAATTTGACTGCTACAGCACTCACGACTCGACCAAATTTGAGAGAGTGGTGCAGTGCCCGCATGAAAGCGACTTATACTGGCTTATAGCGGGCCATTCGTGTGGCAGCATTAAGCTCCTCTGCCATCTTGTGGATTGATCGGAACAACCCGAGATACGCGGCGGCAAAGAGCGCTGCCGAATCCCACAAAGGGGGTAGGGGAGAGGGGGGGGGGATGTGAACGACAGGCAACTCCGCCAGAAGCCTTGCTGCCTGCAAGCCAACAGCTGCCTGCTAATGCCTGAGCATGGCAGTCACAAGCGTTGACTCAGCTGCTGTTCAACAGGCGTCGCCTAAGAATTGTGACTACTGACGACTCTTGACTCTGACTCTTGATGGCTATGTCGACGCTCGATCGTGTTCGATCCATGACTGGCGTCAGCGTCGTCAGGACATCACTGCTCCGTCACGAGTGACTGGAGAATCCTCCTTGGCGTTTAAATTGCGCCATGTGTCCTGCGTGGGGAACATAGCTCCGGAGCTAAGAGTTGCTGAGGTGCCGAATGAATGCAATGCGGTGCGCCTGACGTGCAGTGCAGCGCAGCGCAGTGTAGTGCAGCGCAGTGCAGTGTAGTGCAGCGCAGCAGATGGCCATTCCATCGCACCGTGCAATGTGAATCTGAATCTAGCTTGGTGAGCCAGACAAATCCGTAGCGTCCTACGCTGTCGCGACCCACACGAGCTGCCGGCAGCAGCAGCTACTTCGAAGCCCGCGTTCAAACATACAAGTCGATCGTGAGAGTTGCGCTAGGCAGACAGCGTAGCTGTCTGTGTCACGATCGATTCAAGTACGGTACCGGTAAAGTCTTGAGCAGTGGTCCTCGCGTGGTTGCAGCGTCAATTCGATGTTGACGCTGATGCTGATGCTGATGATGCCGATGCCGATGCAGCTAGCAGCTCACGAGTCACCTGGAGGTAGCCACAGCAGTACTCCTTTGCTTGACAATCTGAATGACGAATCACGAATATGAATGTGCAGCCAGCGACGGCTCTTGCCATCCTTCGCCTGGCGCCAACATTCACCACGGGAAATCGTCGTTGCGCGGCTTGCAGAGGCATTCTGCTACAGTGTGAGCGTATATCGAGGAGAGCTGGCAATCACCAGTCGGGCGCACGAAGGAGCAGAAGCGCGCTGCGACGACGCTCGAGCCCTGCTGCTGCTGCTGCTGCTGTTGCTGCTGACTGCTGCTGACTGCTGCTGACTGCATGTCGCTCAGGGCAAGTCTTACATCCCCTCAACACGCGCTCTTGCTCTTCACCGTCCTTGCGGCACCTCCCTTGTCCTTGCATGTCATTGGTATTAGTATTCGCTTCGCACGTTTGGTCAACTTTTGTCAAATCCTCCCACGCCTCGCAGCTGAAGCACAGGTCGCCATCTATCGTGCATACATTGGGCGATCCTCGACATCCACACTGGCGCAGCGAGCCATACGACAAGTGCCATCAGGCAGATCTTGCAACGACTGAGGGTCTGCTCCTGTTGGGCCCGCGTCGCAAGGAGTTTGCCGCACTCGTCGCAAGCCGCTTCGCCTCCTTGCACACGCACTTCATAGAGTCGAAGAATGCGCATGGACCTCGTCCGCATTGCCTTTGTCTAGTCCAGCCAGCGGCAGGAGCACTCATTCGTTGCTGTGCTTATCTGGACTTGACTGCTTCTACAGCGGTCTCAAGTGTTGCACTTTGATCGTCTCGGGTACGGGTGCAGTGTCACTAGATTGACGCCGCCCGGAAGACTCGTGACTGTGGAAGCGGCCCGAGACTTGAGAGCGGATCCGCTCCTCAACGGAATCACAATGTCATCAGGCTCCAACGAACGGGTGGGGCAGCTCCCGGACACACCTCCTCGTACCTCCGCAAATCATACTGCATCGATACTCACCCAAGCCGCACGTCCGGCAAGCACGCCTTCAAAACCGAACACCTCAGAACGCAACAACGCCATCACATCTCCTCACATCCAATCCGAATACTTGTCGGCAGGTAACCCGCTGACGGCGATCCTATCCAAGAACTCCAGTCCTGCCTCCAGCATCACCTCATCGCCCGTGAGGGTCGCACAAATACTGACACCGACGCCGGCTCGAGCATCGCATTACTCATCATCCGCGGTGTCCAGCAGCTCCGAGGGCTCCAAGGGCTCGAAGCGAGTGGTGAGATATTCTACCCGAAACAGCGCGTCGAGTCTCGAGATTGATTCGGACGACGGGGCCTTTGGCGACGAGGATTCGGAGGCCGAAGCAGTGTCTTCTCGCTTTCCTCGACCCAGGAAATTCGAGATTCCTCCTCGAGGCGATCGGGCGGGCCCTCAAATCTCCCAGAATCGCGTCGCAGCGGCAGCGGCGTCGCGCAAACACAGCAAGTCACCCTCCAGCGCTCGGCATATGGAAAATCCACCTAATGTTGCCCCTACAAAGCACCAATCGCAGCGAGCCTCATTAAACTCGCCGCAACTTCCGCGAGACTCTGCACCAGGTTCGCCCGGTCTTTCTCGTCCAGAGGGCCAGATCCGATCCATTCTCAAGGCACCAAAAGCCGGCTCTGGTGTCATGTCGCTCGACCTTTCGGACACCAGAATTAGTGCGACATGGGCGGCGATCGCCTCCTCCGACACGCGGATATCATTCTTCGTTTTGGGATACCTCCACTCAGAAGGCACGTCTGCGCAACATGATCCAGTCAGGAGTTCGACCATCTCCGCGGTGTCTACCGCATCAACTCAATCAACGGTCACTCTGCGACCCGGCGTGCCCCAGCCGATGATCGTCGTCGCCGAGGGCACATATACGGGCGTAAAGGGTTTGAGTTCTATCCAGGAACATCTCATACCGTCTGAAGCCCGTTTTGCTATTCTGCGCGTCATGGACAAGTACCTCTTGGTGCAGTGCCTTGGGGAGGGTTTGAGGTGAGTGAAATTCCCTGTCGTCACGCTACCAGCTCGCGCCAAAGATGGCGATGGCGCGAGTCTCTCAGATCGGTCGATGCCGCGTGTCTCGTGGGTAGAGCCACGAAGCTTTGCCATTCCTCCCGCGCCTTCGTGTGCACGTAAACGCCCGGTTGAGCTCTTTGGATGGAAAATCAATGAGGGAACCAATGCTTCGGTGCACGGACCGCTGCGAGGAGTTGCAGTCCGGGGAGATGCACTTCGTGCGAAGGCCAAGCGTTGGGGCGCTTTTGGAAGGCAGACTTCCACTATCACAGTGCGACTATGATCATCGGCAAAGCTGACACGTCTAAGCTTCCTCTGTCCCACAGCGGCGTGCGCAGAGCGAGGGCTTTAGTACACGGGCGCTCGCTGATGGCTCACTTCCCCACGCTGACCGCGACGACAGTCGTATCCAAAGCTGCTGAGCTCACCGACTTTTTGATCCGATTCAAACTCAAACTCAATGCCGACACGCCATTGCGCCCGCTGCGTATACATCGAGGTGAAACGGACGACGAGTGGGAAGAGACGGATGCGGAAAGTGGTATAATCATGCAAAGCCCGATTCACGACACCAACGGAGGTCAACAATCGCCAGCCCTTGCAAGCTCGAGCGCGAGCTCCCCTGACCTTGATGACGGACCTCGTGATGGTCACGAGAGCCGCGAGAGCCGCTACGACTCTTCCAGGTACTCGAGAGACACAGACGCGAGTACTCCATCTACACGTGACATTGCCACGCCTTCCAGCCTCGGTGGAGACATCAACGGATTTCCTCTTCCTCCGGAATCCAACGGTTTTGAACGTAAGCTGGCAGGTGATGAGACTGAAGATGGCAGAGCCACAAAGATGAGCACTGCCAGCCAAAGCACCACCGGCTCCACCATCTTGGGCTTGGGAATGTCCTCTTTGGCGAAGGGGTATCTCAGCGCCCGGACTAGCGTCGCCACCCAAAGAATGCGAGATCTCGCACCAACACCTATCACGGAAGAGGGCAGCTCGTACGACGATCGCAGAAGCTCGGTCGCGACGGAGCTTCCTATCTCGAGTCAAATTCCTCCTCGCGAGCGCGAGTTGCCCCCTCTTCCGCTCGATGAGCCGGACGAGACCGATGTCTATGGTGGAATCGACGCCGATGGTTCTGCAACACCGCGCGTGAATACGTTGACGCTTGGCCCGACGGGGGCCAGACCTCTGGAACAGATCGGGAGCCCCGAGCCCGGAGACGACGCGGAAGAGCGAGATCGACTCGAGCGCGAAAAGCAAGACTTTTTGAGCTGGCAACACGAGCAAGCAGAGCGCATTGAAGCGAAAGAAAAAGCCCGCGCAAAGCGGCGGGAGCGCGAAAGGATCAAGCGCGACGAGAAGAAGCGCGAGCAGGTCATGTCGAAGCTCAAGAGGGAACAGGAGAGCTGGGCGGGCGGTGACGTTAGTGATACGCCCAATGGCCACTCGAATCCGAGGCACGATACGCCAAATTCCGGCCGCCATCGTCGCGTTGACAGCAGGCAGAGTGGAAGTGAGAGTCAGAGCGGCCGCAGCGCGCACACCCAATCGGAGCTGCGCGGAGACAGTCGTATCAGCAACAACAAGTCGTCGGGAGACGAGTCGAGCGATCATAGGAGACGCAATGTCTTGTCTCCGCTGGGAGCGCCTCCCAATCTTGCCTTGCCACCAACGCCCAGGACGCCCGCTCTCGTCCGCTCCCCACGGTCACCTCCCCCGTTGTCGCCACTGCCACGCACCCCCAGAGAAATCGCAGCGGCGCATCGCTTGTCTGAGGGGCTCACCTCGCCGAAGCGTGCAAGCTTCCCAGAGGCTCGCAGTCCGCCGATTGGGCCTGCAACGCTTCCCTCTCACGAGGCGCCACCTATACTCGCTTCCAGTAGGCCTGTATCGGCCAGGATGAGCGAAGAACCGAGCAGAGCTGACGTCCGGTCTCCAGAATTCAGGATGCCAATTCTCACTGCGGGATGGACTTGCACGCCAGACGCTGAATTCCCTGTCGATGAGATAGCGCATGATGAACGTGCTCAATCTTCGACCTCTACCGACTCGCCGAGTGTCGCGACTGGTCTCACGGCAAGTGCTGTCGACAGATCACGATCGAACTCGTTGCTGGCGTCAACCAGTTCTCATCAACATGGAGCGGGACCTTCGTGGCCGTACCGCACCCGCAATCCCACGTGGAGCGGCAGTACTCTCAACACGGCTCCAACCTCCATCGCGACATCTCCACGAAAACCTCTGCTCAACTTGGGGAGTGCCGGAGAGGCTAGAATTGGGCGTCACTCGCGGAACGGCTCGAACGATGATGCAGCTCGGGGCGGGGCAGCCTTGAGCCCAACAGCAGCAGTCACGACCACTTCGGAGCTCACGGGCATGATCCGAAAGAAGAATTTGCCCCCACTTCCTAAGTCGTCCTCGGGCAGCGAGAATGAGAGTAATCCGGAAGAAAAGGCTTTGGCAGCTGAAGCGAGACAGCGGGCGCGAATGGCGGATCGGGCAGCTCTGGCAGCTCAGGCTCAGATCGAAATCGCTCGGGCTGAGCAGCGCAGACTTGCTTTCGAAATCAGCGAATCTGAGCGACGTAATCGTGAGCGGAGCGAAGCTGAAGTGCTGATACGTGCGAAATGGGCAAAGGAGCAGGCGAGTCGCAATCAGCTCGATGCATACGAGCGAAGCAAGCTCGAGAGCGAGGTGAGTTCGCTAGTGGACCTTCCTTGTGTATGATGACGACGCGGCTGACATCTGGCTTGCTCTCAGGAACGTCGCCGCCGCGCCCATGTTGCTGAACAGAAGCGAAAAGAGGCGGAAGCCGCCGAACGAGCTCGAGAGGATCAAAGGCGCCAGGACATTGAAATGCAAGAAGCCCTTGAGCATTCGGCGCGCAAAAAGAGAGACGCGCAGGCCCGAGAGGCCAAGCTCGTGGCGGATGCTGACGCGGCTCGCAAGCGTGGAGAAGCGGCCGCTATTCGGAAAGCGGTCAAGCAGCGCGATCGAGAGATGCTTGCCAAAGAGTTTTTGCGTCTGCAAGCTGCAGGAGATATGGTCTTGGAGGGAGATTTGAGCATTCAAATCGGAGACGCTACGGGATGGAAGAGGCGCTGGTTCGCGCTCAAAGACGGAGAAATTGCATTCTTCAAGACCTCTCATGACGCCCAGCGGAATACGCCCACCGAGCATTACAACCTCAGAGGGGCCATCGCATCGATCGAAGATGCTTTCGAGGAGGCACAGATGCCACACAGTTTCCGAGTCAACTTTACGAGCGAGAGCGGCAGCGAATGTTTCGTCGCTTACACTGACACCGAAGACGACATGGAGGTGCTGCTGGTTGGGATGCAGACCTTGAGCAAGCATCTCGCCTAGCGATGAGGGCAACTCGCATCTGACACCCGACCTTTTACCCAGATCACTTTGGCATCAGTTCGACGTTCCTGCTGGCATACGCATACTCCCCTTTACTTTGCTGGTGAACACGCTGAACTTCAAAATTCTAGACCAACCCGCTTTCAGTCTCTGTCCCTACCTACTCCTCACACATCCTTCACTCAGGAACGTTCCCTCCTCTGATGTGTCCACTCTCTACATGATATCTATGTACCATACCAATTGTCACCTCTGCACACCCTTTGTTTTGCAAATGCCACAATCTCCATTGCAGTACCTCAAAGGTTTGATGAGCTGGGAGGGGGGCCTGGAAAAAGTCGCTCGTGCGGGACTTAGGAGATGCAAGATGTGGACTCCGGCGATGAGAAGAATCTGACGAACAGTCACCAACTTTTTGTCTTCGTTTGATCTTGTTGACATGGCCCGAGGCATGGCGCGCCACGGTCATTTCATCTGCCTGCATGGTGGATTTCGATTCACTTGTGAAGTTTGAAGACATCACTGGCGACTTCAGCGATCGTCTGTCTCACCGAAGGGCTCGTGACCACCTTTGATATTTCCGCCCTCTCGTCTGCACCAGACGCGCGGTCATTCGTGATTCTAATGAGCACTCCCGAGCCGTGCGTGGGGCGGCGATGGATGCGGATCTACTCGGTCTATCCTTTAACTTCCAAGGACCCCGCTTGAGCTTCGAACCCAGCATGACGAACGCGGCGTCGGTCCCACCGACACCCGCCGCGTACGCGCAGCAGCAGCAGCACTCGTGACTACTCCGCGCTGACCGATCGACTGCTGATGACTCGTGACTGCATCAGCAGCAGCTAGCTATATATAAGCAGTCGTGAGTCGGAATAGCCAGACGCGAGGATTCACGCAGACGCGGCCATGCTGCTGCGCTGAGCCGATGCTACAAGCTTGACCGTGGCCTGCATTGCGCCCGCGCGATGGTGCATGATGGTGCTGGTATGGTGGGTGCTGGATGCAGCCCATTATGGACCCGGAACCGCGCTCTGTGGTAGAACCTATATACAGCGTCAACTGACACGGTACTCGGTAATTGCCCTTGCGACGTGGTTCCAGCATTGACGATTGGTACCGCCATACCGACGCTCAGACTCGCGACACCATCCTCCCACGCCCGTCGACCTCGGCAAGCACGAAGCACGAATTCCAGTCTCAAATCGAGGTGTCTCTCCCCTTTGGTGTCTCTGGACCTGCACATTTTGCTGGGCACGTGCGCCCACTCCCCGCAAGCCACAACGCCTTCGTCAGAGTCGCCCGAGCAGCTGCGTTCAGTATGTTCTGAAGTGCCGCCAGTCATAAGCAAGTCGACTGAGCACTGCTGAGACTGGAGCCAGCCAATCCTCTAGCGTGCCGGCGTTGAATTGCTTCGAAGCTCGCGGCTAGTTCTATGTGTCCTCCATCTTTCTAAGAAGCTAAGATGAACTCGATCACCTATCTGGACTCGCTGCTGTCGCGGTCACTCCAAGGGTCACCCAGGCATTCCAGACGACCAAGCAGTAGCGGAAGCGGAGCTGGCGATGGCAAGATTGCTTCCCAGGGCTTCAGCGAATCTTCCGAGCGAAGGAGAAGCCGAAGGACTGCGAGTTCAGGGACAGCTGCGGCCGCATCGAGCATAGACGACAAGGAGCGTATTGAAGTGCTTCAAGAAGCCCTAGGAAGCCAGTCCGGCAAAGTCACTCGTAGAGCTAGCGACTACTCTCTTCGCAGGGGCGAAAAGGAACGCCGGAAAGCTGCCCTTGCTCTAGGACTTGGGCTCACGCCAGCCCGTCCAAACGAGTGCGCCGGACCTGACCGAGGCGCTTCGTCGCCCTCCCCAGCCACTGAGGCAGTGGCTGAGACTCCAGCAGCCAATTACCTATCTTCAGCAGTCGGCAGCGAGAAAGCTCGAGAAGCGTCGTCCCGAAACGCTCGGCAGTCGGCATCGGAAGGCGCGTACAGCAGGCGCTCTTTGGACGATGGTGGGCGACCAGCGCTGCCTCGGCGCTCGTTCAGGCCTGCAGGCCCGACTCGATGGGCGACCTTGTGGGGCTTGCCTATCAGTGGATGGCTCACTTCCGCCTCACGTGGTGCTGAAGATGGTCGCAGACCAAGCCGATCGGCAGACAGACGCTCAGATGAAGAAGGCAAGGACGATCTTAATTCCCAACGCGGCTTGGCCAGAAGGGCTAGCAGTGGCTCGTTGCATCTCGGACGATGGCGAGCTGAGCTTGAAATGGAGGCTGAGCTGCGTGCCGACGCTTTCGCTGGTCTCGGCCTCAGCGAAGCGGAAGCAGAGGATGTTGTGGACTTCGAAGGCGGCGAGCCCGAGTCGGACGACGACGCACCAACTGCACCTCCAGTCACCCCTGCTACGGGCGCGCTTTCGCCGTCATCGTCATACCAGCCGCAGAGATCCCGTAGGGTATCCTCACAGAGCTCCGCAGGCCAAGGACCTCGCCGAGAAGGCAGCGAGTCTGCCCGCTTAGCCTCGTTCCTTTTTGGGGCATTGGCAAGTCGAGTGGACGACTACTTCGGTCCGCAGCCGTCACAGCCACTGGCGCGCCAATCGCCGGCCGTCACTCCATCTGGCGCTCCAACCTCTTCGCCACCTCGCGTGCGCCGAGTCAAACAAGATGCATCAGTCTCTAACCTCGTTCCTGTTCCTCCATCCTTCGAGCATTCTGCTGCTTCTCGTGAGCTCAATTCAGAGGTCAAGAAAGCAACCGCCAATGGTCAGCCTCCCGGACCGGACGAGCCTGCTCTGGTAGACACCAATGCTTTGACTGAAGCTGGGTCTCCTGACGACCCAAAAGTCCTGCCGATCCCCTCATACTCGGAAGCCGAGAAAGACGCTCACATGAGTGGTGTCATCGGGGCTGGTCCTGTCCACTCTGCAGAAGAAGCGTCAGCAGCGGATGTCGGCCCCACTGAGCCTTTGGATCCACCACCCCCTTACACTGCACCTGTGGAGTCCTCGTCTCCTCCAATCGCGACCCGCCCACTCTCTACCCTGCGGCGAGGATTCGGCGCTTTAAGGCGGGCGCTCAACGCCCTGAGACGAGCTCTCATTGCCTTGTTACTGCTGCCTTATCATGTACTTCGACACGGCTGGATGCGCATTCGACGTCAAAGACGCGACATTGGCACGGATGGGACCGCCGCTAGCCTCGTGCCCGTACTGGATTATGAGTCCGCAGCGCTGCGCGAAGGATCGCCTGCGGGGTCCGCTCGCGAGAAAAACATTTCCTTCGCCCAGCAGGAGAAGCATCTGCGCGCACCGTCGTCATCTGTCGCTGCTGGCAAGCAGCGGGTCAAGGATGACGAATCGGGAGCGCGGCCGCCAACCCCGGGTGTCAAGACTCGTAGCGGACAGCGTCGTTCTAGTCGATCTTCATCGTCATCCGCTAGCGAGGACAGCTCGAGTGGCGATGAGCCAGTCACCGAGGACCAAGCCGCCGAAAAAGCTGCTAGAAGAGCTGAGAGGCTTGCCAGGCGCGTAGCCGTGGCTGCTGAGGAGGAGAGGTCGTTGGCGCTCGCCAAGGCAGCCTCAGTCAATGAGCAGCATGCGCCGCCAGGCACAACAACGGGTGACACTGCCGAAAGCAGTCTATCGGCGACACGGAGCAGTCGTCTCCTTCCAAATCCGCACCCTGTCGACCCTATGCTCACAAAGGAGCCCAAAGCCAAGAGAGTGAGCGGAAGGCATCCCAATCTAGACATCGAAAAGAGCGCCGCGGCGTCGGGTGCCACGAGCCCAACCCGAAACCCTTCAACAGTCATCCATCATACCCCCAAGGTCCTCGTCCTCGACTTGGATGAGACGCTCATCCACTCGACCAGCAGAAGCCCAACTTGGCAAGCTTTGCGAGCGGCGAATGGTGCTCGAGGAGGCAAACCTGCCTCCATCAGCACAGGTGGCAGTCTTCTTGGGCTCGAGGGGCTTGGGAGCATGCTCGGTTTGGGCGAGAGAGGCGTCCGTCCGCATCAGGTGGAAGTCATCCTGGATGGTCGTAGCGTCATCTACCACGTCTACAAGCGTCCTTATGTGGATTACTTTTTGCGCAAGGTGGGTTCTTCGTGTGCGACATGGTCCGTGACGCCCTCGAGACGAGACTGACTGTGTAATTGGCTGGAACAGGTCGCGTCATGGTATCACGTAGTCATTTTTACAGCATCTGTTCAAGAGTATGCAGACCCAGTCATTGATTGGCTGGATCAAGGCCGAGGCTTGGTAAGCCAAAGGCTATTCAGAGAAGCCTGCACTTTTAGAAACGGCAGCTATCTCAAAGATCTCAGCATTGTCGACTCGGATCTCTCGCGCGTGTGTTTGGTGGACAACAGTCCGGCAAGCTATCTGATCAATCCAGCAAACGGCATCCCCATCGAAGGCTGGACCAATGATCCTAATGACGAGTGCCTTCTTGACCTCCTGCCGCTCTTGGACGCCCTCCGGTTTGCTTCTGACGTACGCAATGTCTTGTCCATTAGAGGCTTTTGAAAGCCGCCGAACGTATGCGACCAGCGCAAATGCGGGCCCAGCACTAGAGTGACTACGCTTTCCTACGTTGCGTTAAGCGCTTCGCATCCGTTAGCTTGTGCATCCTTCCCTGCTCATCCCAAGCAAACAGCCCAGCATTCACAGCACGTGCACGCTACTGCGTGTGACTGACCAACATACACATCGCAATGAAGACAATCGTATCTTTAGAGAATCGATCGATTTTGGTTAGCTGTACTTGAGCGTGTGCATGAGTGGTAACGAAGCGTACAGAGTACCAGCTTGGATTTGCGGGCTTGATCCAGCGCGCCACTTGGCTAGTTGGGTGCGAGGAGCACATGAGTTGCAGATGCAACAGGTGAAACGCTGACCGAGAAGGCCGAGAGGAAGACGAAGAGTCCTCTCTGTTTACTTGGCAATGATGCCGTCGAATCGCTGACGGAACCAAGCAGCAGTCTCCTCCTTGGTGACACGGTGAGGAGCGCCAATGCGTTGAGTGCGCTCCTTTCGACGTGCAACACGGGCACCAGGACGAGTCATGCAAACGTAGAAGTCGGCGCCGAAGATACCAATGGAAGGATCGTACTGTGGGCATGCCACGAGCGGCGTTAGCCAAAGCTCCCTCAAGCTTTCCGCTGAACACGGATTCGACCGCTCCACCGCCAGACTCACCTTGATACCCAAGTCGATGTGCTCTGTGATACCGAAGCCGAAGTTGCCTGTCTCGGAGAAGTTCTGCGTGGGATTCCGATCAGACGTCGAGTGAGCCACATCCAGCAGGTCTCGGTGGTGGCTGGCGCACCGCTCCTAGGCCCCAGCACTCACCCTGCGGCGCAGCTCGTATTCCTTAACCTTCAGCGCACGCTCAATGATTTCCTCTGCCTTGGGTCCGCGAATAGTGACATGGCAAGCGATCTTTTCGTTACGACGGATACCGAAACCACGCAGAGTGTAACGCGCTTTGGAGGTAACGGGAGTCTGACCGGTGAGCTGTTCCAAGACCTTGCATGCACGGGTGAGCCTGTCACCAGACTCTCCCACGGAAATGTTGACCACCAGCTTGTCCACCTTGATCTCCTGTTTAGGTGTCAAGCGAAACGTGAACATTCAGCGACTTGCCAGTGCATCGCGTCTCGGTAGCGTTTGCCCCCTTGCCCCTGCTATTCCTAAGCACACCGAATGCCCATTCAACCGACGCCCTTTTCACCCTTGTGCGAGCGATCTTCCGGGCCGTTCGTTCCGCATTCAATCTAGCCGCCTGACCCGACCAGATCTTTTTGCAGCTCCAGCTCCCACCATCATCGCATCTGCCGCTCATCTACCAAATAGCATGGCCGATAATGACTTCCATCGATGTCTGCTCAGTCCACCATCGCCGTGAATACCCCACTTCCGCGATCAAGTGTAATGCTAGTATCTTGGACTGCGCTACTCACCCTCATGGGGTTACTAATAGCGACAGGGAAAAGGACGCAGCGTCAAAGGTAGGTCTTAATGAGAACAAAAAGCGAGCGCGCTCAAGCGCTTGCTGATGCCTGACTCACATTGCCTTTCCTTCGGTAGCCATCTTGAAGAAATGTTTTGAATGCTTTGCCGTATGGAGTATGTTGTGGTTCGGGGCGAGAGCGGTCGTCGTTTCCTGCAAGTCGGTGGCTAGATGGCTGTAGGCCACGGCTTTGAACGGTGCTCGAACGGCGTCACAGGCTGCCACGAGTCTCGGCCGAAGAACTTGTACCTGTCGCTCTGGAATTTTCCTTGCAGCTGCGGCGTGAGGCGCACCGCTCGCCTTTCAAGACTACTACGCGCGAGCCGGCTCGCCACATTCAGTGTGGTCACGTGCTCACGTCACGTGTACCAGCCCCGATTGCCCCCATGTCAGAAAGGTGATCGCGACCGTAACCGTTGATTATTGATTTACCGCTTCGGCATCGTGGACAGCCTGACAAAGGACGTCGAAAGTCCAATTTCGACTTCGATGTGCAAGATGAATTGAAAGACATTTTGTTGGGGGGCCGCGTGGGTTCAGGATCCCATGTCGCGGAGCGACGCTTGCAAGTTGACGTGCCAATGCGCTTGATTCGTGAATATGCTTAATCGTGAATGCGGGACAGGCGTAATCGAAATTGCTCCCGCCAACAAGGTGCGCATTCCATGGACCTCGGACACTGGACGCCTTACTTATGAGTTCGTCCAATATGAGAATCTACTGCGTTCTTGCTCAAGCAGGTACGGTCGCGAAGAAAATAATACCAGTGACGTCTCACAAAGAGCGACGGCGAGGACTGAGGCCCTGCAACGTTAGTCTTACGTCGACTCCGTGCCTGCATCAGTTCGTCGCGATATCCCTCCCAACGGTGCACGCTCCCAGCGCTTATCATGCGCAGAGCAGTGCAATGCCAGCGCGCCGCCACATCAAATTACAATCGGTGCCTCTCTGACCCAGGCTTCCAATAAAGCTGCCATAGTAGGAGTTTTGTCACCTGGCCGACGGCCAGCCTCTTGAAGACGTGGGTGGAAGGCTAACACACAAGTAGCAGACGATTGGTTGTGCGCAAAGCATCTATTCATATTCGGAACAACCATTGGCTATTTTGTTCCGCAGCATGCACCACCTCCTCCAAGGTCTTACCTAGCACGGCCGCTACCACCGCCGCGATGCCTCCAATACCACAAGGCTCATTTCTCGACTTGACCGCTTTCGCCGCGTCCCACTTCTCCTTCTTAGATGAGGCGGGATAGTACAGCTCGGCCAAGTCGGGATGCCTCTTCTTGAATGCATCGATGTGTTTGGCTGATGCGTGAGTAGCTCTCGGCTCGCACCAGGGCGCATCTGAAACGATGTGGCAACGGCCGTCAGAATGCGGACCGAGCTAGACTTTTGTGGCAGACAGAGCTCACCAGTTTCGAGCAGCAAGCGCTCTAGAGGGACAGCCTTGAGCGCGTCAAGGTTCTCCTGAGTCTTCATGCCGCATCCATTGATGCTCACAAAAAAGCCAGCATCCAGATAGTCTTGCGCTTCCTGCGCCGAACCAGTAAAGGAGTGGACGACTCCCCACCTTTGCTTATCCGAAGCCTTGTCTGCGAAGCGAGACTGTCGCATGTATCCCAAGTGGGGCTTTATGATCGCCATAAAGTCGTGATGCGCTGCTCGAGAATGAAGAAACAGCGGCAAACCAAATCTCTTTTGGAGATCGAGCTGCATTGCGAACCTTTTGCGTTGTTCTTCTGCGCCAGTGAAGTGCAGCCTGTCATAATCTAGGGGTGGCACATTGCGATCCGATGGAGGGCTTCAGCGTAGCCCACTTCTGAGCGTGCAGCTTCAGACGCCCTCACCTAGTCCGCACTCGCCGATGGCGACAATCTTCTTGGACGGCTGCGGGGTATCTTGCGGCGCAGAGTGAGCTTCAAGAAGCTGCGTCAGCGCAGCTAGATACCCATCTGGACCACCCTTGTGGTACTTTGAGAATTCGCTCGCTCTGGTAGGATGGCAACCTGCCGTGCTATAAAGGTCCTCTGGCGACGAGCGGAGCTGACTGAGTCAGCACGAAACGCCGACACAAGGTGTGTCGCTGTGATTTGCGCGCACCGTGCTTCTCCGCGAGATCCAGAGCATGTCGAGACTCGCTGAGGCTTCCGCCTGTAACGATCTGTGCGATCACCCCAGCCTTTCTTGCACGGCCCAAGACGCTATCGAGATCGGCTGGAGCAGTCATGGAGCCCGTTACAAATGAGCGATGTAACGTCTGCGAGCGCGACTTGCCCTGTCATTGAGTCTATCATACTGACGCGGATGAGACTTGTGGCCATGATAAGAGCCTGAGTACATGCCATCCGTCAAGTTCACACCGATGTCTGTGAACCAGGCATCCAAGGCACAGAGCAGGTCGTACGCCTTTTCAGCTCGCAGCGTCGTCACTCGGGTATCAGAGTGACGACACTCTCAGTGTCTCAGAACTCACCGATGAATCTCAGGTTTGCTAGTTGCCGCTTCAAAGAATCCTGCGCAGCAGCTTGTTGCTGCTTCTGGTCCTCCTCTGCAGAGGCTGCTGCGGCGACTCGTTTTGGGTTGAGCATGCTGTGTGGGCGTTTTTGGCTTCCGAAGTAGAAGATTGATCTGGTGATCGAAAGAGAGCCACGCAGAGAGATTCCTCGGGCCGAGGTGCTATTAGGAAGAACGAATGACGTGGTGATGGTTATGCGCGAGCTTCGAGGAGCTCGAAGGGAAGGAGAGGAGTAGTAGAGCTTGTCACCAAGCAGTAATGGTGCTCCTTGCGATAGTCGAAATATGTGGCCTGATAAGTATTACAAAGGGCTTGAAGTGCTGTAACGGCTCGATCGAGTCACACGAGAGCTGTCAAGGAAGGCAGCATGTAGCGGTCACGATGTGAGAGCGGCGCGCCCATCATGTTGCAGGCCCGGAGATCGCCAGAGTAAGATGCTTTCGCAAAGCTGCCATGCAGGCGCGTGGCTGTGTATGCCTCCACAACCGCGGTGTAGATGCTGCAGACACTCGTGACTCACGCGCGACTCTGACGACGTAGAGGTGCAACACGCGCGGCGCGCGCGCGCATTCATCCCCCTCACAACCCGCAAGCGACTATGAGTCACGCGTGTAGGTATATACCGGTACCATGCGTGCACCAACTTGGGACTCTTAACTTCATGCACTCAGCATCAAGCATGGCTTTGCTAGAGTCAAGTCAGCCACGAATCGATCTCGCTCTCCCCCCTTTCCCCCCTCCTCCCCGCATGAGCTAACAGCCATCGACCTCGTTGAAGGTATGCACGCGCCGCACGGAGGACTTGGTGATGAGTCACGGGTCATGTGATCGTCGAGCGTACAGTAGTGGAAGTACTCTTGACCCGTGACCACAATAGTAGCTCGAGGAAGCACTCCGTCATCGACGCCCGTCTTTGGTCGTAATTCAAGCCCAGTTCCTCGTCATCGAGTCAGATCGTGATGACGTGGGGTTCGAGTTCGCTACCTCTTGGGAATGATTTGCGCAGTAGTAGTAGTAGTCACGGTATTCTTGATTCAAGTTCCAGTATACCGGCCAGGCGAGCGGGATTCATCCGTGCTAGCCAAGGTGCGCGAGGAGGCTCGGTACAGAGAGCCGGCCACTAAGCGCCCAAGAACCACGCGGCGGCTATCCCGAATTGGCAAGGGCGGGGTCTCAGACGCATGCTGCTCAAGCACACTGCTGCCTGAGAACCGCAGTGTAAACGAGGAACAGCTCACACTCACCCAGAGCTACCGATGCATCATCAAAAGGCAGTCTTGGTCTTGGGTTCGCGATGTCTGACATTCGTCGCCCTTGCGCCATGCGCGATCGAGATCGACCAGTCCACTTGCTCAACAGCTACAGGGCCGCACAGCGCAGCTTCGTTCGGTACATGTGCCCCTGGAAGGACACACGAACAAGTCGTGCATATTGCGGTTCAAGCCCGACGCATACACAAACGGGGAAGCGAGACAGAGCGTGGCATCTATAGCTAGCTCCTATATGGGTCAAAGGCTGACAGAATCACCAATTGACGCCAGTCGAAGCTGGCGCCCCACTGACATACGATTCGTGATCGAACCGATAAAGGGAGGCGCTGGTAGTTGTGGCTGCACATAGCACGATCGATCCATCTCTCGACGCGCACTTCAGCCCCTCGGCGGGCTAAGAGAAGGGTGCCGGATGGCCAACGGTCACCAGTCATTTATAGTTTGCCGCAGTCCCTGGCCTGCGACATGGAAAGAGACGATTACGATCGAGGCGACAGCCTGGCACAGCGGCAAAGCTACCGCACATGCTCTCAAGGAGCTGTCTGCCCCTAGCACCTGCTGTGAGATCTCCCAACTTCTTCACCTCCAAAGTTGTAAATGAACTGCGTGCCCACAGCATACATTGATGAGCCGTCGCGTGACCCTTCGGTACTCTTATCCCTTCCTCCTGTCGGCACAAATCTGGGCGCCAGAGTCAAGAGTCACGGGTGCAATTGAGAAGCGTTGTGGGCTTTTCGACGTTCGCTCACCTCTCATGACTCGTGACGGCTCGACTAGGCTTCGAAGATTCCTGGATCGGGCGTGGACGCCGATGCAGGGTCCCGATTCGTAGATGGGGTGGAATGCTGAAGCTGCGCTGCCCGTCACCCGCGTAGGCATGGAGTCGTTGCGTATGCATGGCGGCAAGAGCGTGGGGCGGACAATCGGAAAGTCACCCATTTGGCGGCAATCCAAAAGTGTGAGCACACGGAGGGAAAGAGAGGCGGACGAGGTGCGGACTTTGCTGCGTCGGGGCTGAATCGAATGCGTTGCGAGTAGTCCCCACTTGCCACCCCATCCCTTTCGGCCCCTGCCAGGTGCCACCGCCATCGACGCAGCTGCTTCGACCGCCGCCTTCGGAATGTTACGAAGCGCTGCAAAGGGAAGGCTTAGTGTGCCGGCAATCGTCAAGTCACAACTCAAAACTGTGAATCGCCTTGGTTCTACTCCTGTTTTGTGACTGCTGAGGGTACGAAGACTCGATCGTGACTGCTTGATCGCATTCTGATGCGTCGTGAAGTATACTTGGCGCTCGATCGCGCTCGGTTCGTGTGGCATGCGCCGGTATGCCTGCTGTAGGCGAGCATTTTTGACGCAAGGAGCAACTAGGCGGCGGCCGGCGCGCGTCTGCGCAGCTCCGCGATGGATCTCATGATCCATCAGCAGTCACGAGTAATTCTCGGTTCACGACGCAAGGTCGCTGTGCCCCCCCATGCACATCTACGCGGCGTCCATCAAGCACCACGATCGGGTGTGTCTCCTGCTCAGGAGAGTCAAGTATTGTGCGGTTCGGTTGATTTAGCATCAGCTCCCAGTCACGAATCCAGTCAGACTGCTGCGCCACGAATGCGTTATGTCTTAACTGGGACCCCTCCGCTACGGCATATAGAGCTCGTTACCAATACGCGCGCAGGGCCCACTCAGATCCCCCGGCGCCGACGTATGCAAGGTCCCCTGGCATGGCTTCGAACAGCTGCTCGGCCGCGGAAAGATCAAGATTGAGCAGCATGCGGCAGCGATGAGGGGGACGAGTGTCCCAGCTGTGATGTCACCAGCGGGAGTTCTCGCGCGCATGCACCCCCCCGCACCAAAGGCGTGAGACCCCTGACCGCTGAGCTCGCATACATCAGTCAGTGCCGCACGGCCCACTCGTGAGTCCACGCGCGCACGCACTCACACACGCACTCACGTACCGTACTGTAACACCAACGCACCAACATGCGACGAGCTGCGCGGTTGCAAAGTCAGGATCCTAGATGTGTTGGCAGGCGAGCAGCAGCAGCAAGACGACAAGCACATCGAGGAACGCAAGAAAGAGTGGGCAATCAGAATCACGAACGGGACCCATGCCGCTCAGGAGTTCGTTGAACTTGGCGCAGGTTCCAGCCGGCATCCAACGCTCGATCAAGCAAGTCTCAGGTCTCGAGTCGGTCAGGTCCCTGACGAATGGCTAACGGCTGCCTTCGGCGAGTACGTTGATCGCTAAGCAAGGCACGCCCTTTTCCCAAAGTCTGGACAACACTCGTCACTGGTCTGGTGCCCGTGCTTCGAACGTCGGCAGAGTTCTGTCTGGCTATGCCAACACTCGTGACTCCTGTTCCTCACTGGGCCTGTGCTCCAAAGTCTCGACAACATGGAAGCTTCTTCTCGAGGCACGAAGCGAGGCCCTAGCTGACGTGAAAGACAGTCGTGAGTCCGCTGACGAACACTTCGGACTCGCAACATGGTCCGCGTTCGCTACAAGATGTGTAGTCGCGAGTCATAGCTCTACGCACACTCCGCTCCTCGGAAGGTTGAGCAGCAAGGATCTCCGAGGTAGATTGAGACTTGCAGGCAAGGTTCTGCCTCGAGCTGCGCGTTTGTCCGACAATCTTTATTGAGTTCGACCCCTTGCACTCATCTCAACGGCTTCTAGCTCCCGACCAAAGCGCTTAAACTTCACGCTCGCAACTGTAACTGTGACCGCTAGGCGTGCGCCAAGGTGGAGCACCAGCACAGCAGCAATTGTTCGGGCGCACTGGCTGAGGCTATGCCTTTGCCGATGGCGCTCTGAGCTGAGGCCAACGAGACCGTTTGCGCAAGCGCTCGCGCCCACGCCAACGGTCGTACGTTGGGCAACTCACGCACACGCTGGCTTTGCAATGGTAGTAGTGAAGGGTGCATAGCATGCGAGGAGGCACTTGGACAGTGTTGAAAAGTGATGCTCGAAACCGAACTTTCATGGGCATGCGGCTTCGAGAGATCACTCAGCTACGCTCCAAAAGATACAAAAGGCAGTCGTTTTGGTCGCCCTACTTTTTCCTTCCTCCTCCTCATCACACACCACTCTCTCTCTCTCTCTCGACTCGAATTTGGCTCTTCTCTCAGGTGAGCATCCAACTTCTCGCCTGTTCCCCCGCACGTTCACGCCCTTCCCTCTACCCTTCGACATCCTAGCTGACCCTGTCTGGCTCTCCTTCTCTCTCCCCTCGCAGTTGTCTCGGCTCTTACCACTGTATCCCTACTATAGTCTCGCTCATCCAATTACCGTCTTTTGACAACACACTCACTAAAGCACTGCGCAAGCATCTCTCAGCGATCTTCACAAATCACTCAGCTCATAGCTCATCTACTACCACTAGCACTCGACTGTCTACTGTTCATCAGAAACACTCGAAAGCTCCCTCTCAACGATAAACTTATCGCACATTCAAGCACAACGCAACAGAAGTCAAAATGGCCAAGTTCATTTCCTTTTCCCTTCTGGCTGTCGCCATCGGCATGGTTGCTGCTGCGCCGTCCGCCATCAAGCAAGTCAGCGACACTGACGGTGTCGACCTCAAGAACGTCGGCATCTTTGCCGACGTACTCAAGCGCGACCCTCACTACGGCGGTAGCGTCACTCAGATCAACGACGACGATCTCGTCGATGCCAAGGGCCTCAGGATCCTCGCCGATGTCCTCAAGCGCGAGCCAAACCTTCCCTCGGTCAAGCAAATCAACGACGACGACCTCGTCGACGCTAAGGGCCTCAAGATCCTCGCCGATGTCCTCAAGCGTGACCCTACCTACGGCGGTCGTGTCACCCAGATCAATGATGATGACCTCGTCGACGCCAAGGGCCTCAAGATCCTTGCCGACATTCTCAAGCGCGACCCTCACTGGGGTGGCAGCGTCACTCAGATCAACGATGACGATCTTGTCGATGCCAAGGGTCTGGGCATCTTTGCCGACATTCTTAAGCGTGAGCCTCACCGTCACCGTCACCGCAAGCAAAAGGGTGTTACCCAGATCAACGACGATGACCTTGTCGACGCCAAGGGTCTCACCGTGGGCCTCGACATCCTGAAGCGCAACCTCCCAAGCGTCAAGCAAGTCAATGACAACGACCTGGTCGATGCCAAGGGACTGCTCGTCGGCCTCGATGTTCTCAAGCGCGAGCCAAACCTCCCCAAGGTCAAGCAGGTGAACGACAACGACGGTGTCGATCTCAAGGATGTACTGGTGGGTCTCGATGTGCTCAAGCGCGAGCCCAACCTTCCCAAGGTCAAGCAGGTCAACGACAACGACCTCGTCGATCTCAAGGATGTTCTCGTCGGTCTCGACGTGCTCAAGCGTGACCCTCACTCCGGCCGCATCACTCAAGTCAACGACGATGATCTCGTGGATGCCAAGGGCTTGACTGTGCTTGCCGACATTCTGCGCCGCTCTGGTTACGAGGTGTACAAGAACGAGGAGAGCCAGATCACGCGCCGCTCCGACGACGATGGCCTCTTCTACCGCCGTGACCGTGGTGACGAGCGATGCATGTGTGTGAAGAAGACGACCTGCGGCAGCTCTGGCCCTGCTCCTGCGCCTCAGCCAAAACCCAGCACCAAGCCTCACTCTTACAAGGCTCAGCCCACTCCCGTCACCCACACCCACACTCGTCACCACACCCACCGTCCCACCACCACCTCGACCAAGACGAAGAGCTGGACTAAGACGCGCACTCACAACCAAGCACCTACGCCCACTCACACCGCTGCGCATCACAAGAGCCCCAAGTGCCCCTCTGGATGGGGATCTGTCACTCAAGTCAACGACAACGACCTCATCGACTTGAAGGACGTCAGTGTCGTGATCAGCATCCTCGGCGACGACGACAAGTTCACCAAGGCAGAGACTGCTCCCGCCAAGGACGCCAAGTCTCACTGCCCTGCTGGCCGTCATTGCTGCGCCAAGTCGGTCAAGCAGATCAACGACAACGACTTGATCGATCTCAAGGGCACCAGCATCAACATCGACTTGCTCAGCGGTCTTGGTGACACCCTCCTTAGCAAGGATGACAACAAGGGCGGACTCCTCGGCCACGGAGGCTTGCTCGGAACTGGACTTTTGTAGTCGACTCGCACTGCAGTCGCCTCTGATGACGAAATGCCTCCTCACAATCGAGCCGACGCTGCCGCAAGCCTAGTCGCTCAGCGCCGCGGTTACCGATCAGTCAGAAGCTTTCACGAGTCTCATAAATTTCCAGGTTCCAACATTGTCCCTTGTCACCGTCATCAGCACGCCTTCTCCTCGGACACAATGCGTCGTTCGCTTGCCCCTCTGATGCGCTTCGAGTCTTGATTGCACATCGAACCGATCTTGCCATTCCCTGTCCTGTTCGCTATCCCGAACTATTCCCCATGATCGTTCTGCTTCCGTCGCGCTTCCATATTCCGCTACTGTTCCGTCGAGCCCATCGAGCCTATATCATACACATCTGAGAGTCCCACACCCACAACTGCCTGTCAATACAAAGAGCCACTTTCCCTCCTATCTTTGCTACGAAGTGTGAGCCAATTCTTAAGGCGCATGGCATGACGAGCAAGAATGGCTCGTGCGAGCGAGGCAGTCAGAGTCTTCGCTTTGCATCGTTATGTTTGGGAGGTGCGGGAGTGTCCTTGACAAATATCTATTGACGGTCGCGCTCCTCTCGGCATGCATAAGATTACAGTCTAGGATCCGCGCTTCTTTGTGAAGCGTCTAGGGTAGCCAATTTCGCCTTTACGAGGGAGATGAATTTGACGTTGTACATGCCCTGTCGCGCAGCATCTCTAGCCGCATCCCACTTGTCCAGCAGCGGATCCAACCAAGGTTTGGCTTTGATCACTTCCTGTCTAAGATGCTGCGCATACTCAAGCTCGTCCGCATGAAGACCTGGCAGCATGTGGTAAAGTGGCTGTCCAAATGATGGCGGAGCGGCCAGACGCAGAGCTTCGGCCAAGCCTTGCGCTCTGCCCTTTTCCCAGTCCGCTCGCAGCGCCAGGTCCATCGATGCGTACTGAGGTTTTCGCTCCTCGAGGACCTGTATCCGGCGCCTTTCGTCCAGAGTGCGACCTGCTCTGCTCGATGGCAGGCTTATCGATCCATCCCAGACGCCCCGTGTGTAGCGCATCTGCATGTCAGCCAAGACAAAGGGCTTCCAGAACAGTAGACACACGACGAGGCATTAGCGCATGTGTCCAGGCCTAGGCAGCGACAAGTGAGGTGCCGCGGTGCATGTACACTTACAGTGTTCGATACGGGTAGGCCAGAGAAAGCCAAGGTGGGATTGATACCGTGCAAGACTTGATGATGCAAGTTGGGCACCCGAGGCGGCCACTGAGCAGTATCCCTACTGACATCGCTGTCGGAACCCTGTATAGTAGGCAGCGCTCCCGAAGGGGTCGGAGCAGTGGTTGAAGTCTCATCCAGCACATTGGTAGTACTCGCTGGGTTGATACGCGCCCTTGGCGTCAGTGAAAGGTACTGTGACGCTTTGATGTTGTCGATCGAGTCAGTTGAGGCTGATTCCGATTTGAGGAGGTGCACCCAAGGTATCGTGCCTACCTCGTACTTGGACCGCGAAGTCGAGATACGTGCGACCTGGTCAGCGACGTAGCCTGCCTTGTCCTATCACAGCGTCGCACAAGTAGGGAAATCGAACTCACGCCCACGCCGAGCAGCACAACGCAATCCTCCAGCAACTGATCATCAGCAAGCAGCAAATCGATTCTCTCTCCTTCCACCTTGACTTCCTTGATGCTGGGCACATCCTTTATCCTTTCATCCGGCAGCGAGACAAACACAGGCAATTGAGCTTGCAAGATGCTACGATAGACGGGCCTTGCTACGCTGCTATGAGGCGCTAAGTGAGAAGCAGCATCGTTGGCGCTATTTCCGTTTCCTACAACCACTATTTTACGACCCGCTTCAATATGCGGCAGGAAAGGTGCTGGCGAGCGGTACCACTTTGCGTGGAAAAAGCGCTGCGTCGACAAAGCCGACAGGAGCCCTGGAATGGGTGGGTAGATGGGCGAGTCGTACCTGCCGAGCATCGAGGATGATGAGCCTTTCCAGCAGCGGTGCCCGACGCAGCAGCTGCGCACGACATGTCACTCACCAGCCTGTAGCAATTACAACCTGTGCACGCCAAACAAGAGTTCACAGGATTGTCAGAGCACGTCCGGGGATCTCTCCATCGCAAGTGATCACAGCTGACTCACAGCATCCCAGAACTCAACTTTCTCCTGCCCGCCTGCATTCCAATCTCTGAGGGCAACCCTCCAACCTTGAGCATGACCCGCGCAAGCCAGCTCGTGGACGCTCAGCACCTCTACGCTAGTCCTGATCTGATCCTGTGCCCCATTCCCCGCTTCAAAAGGCCGCACAGCGCTGCGTAGGTATTGCTCGGTCTCGTCCAGTGTCGGGAAGGGATTCCTCTCTGCGGGCGGAGGAAATGGTGCGCCTGAAAGTGAGAGGAAGCGGGGCAGAACATTGCCGCGAAGAGCTGGATAAGCCGGCGAAGGCCACGTCGGACGATCCGAAGCGTCCCGCACAGGCCATTCGCCCTCTGCATTGCCTAAAGGTCGAGATTGTTCAGAGGCCACTACAGCCGGGTCGAGGTACCTGTTGACAGGGCAGCGATGCATCAGCGAGCGTTCCGAGGGTGTCTGCGCGCTAGAGCCCCCCACCCCACCAACCCCTTTCCGCCGTCTTTCACTCACCAGACTCCGCCCACATCGCGTCTCCTCTCCACCAGCTGCACCTTGTCGAATGGATGGCTTCGCGCACCTTCATCGGGATCTGACAAGGCCCTCAAAGCTGCGATGCCACATACACCTCCGCCGATGATCAGCACCGTGCGGGGCCTTCGCAAGGGCAGAGCAGGTCGAGAAGAGAAGAGTGGTGCCGTGGGAGCGGGCATGGCGGATGGGCTTCTCGACGCGTACTGCCCTGCGTCCTTCCAAGTGTTGTGGACGAGATGAAGGTGAGGGCGACAAGGGCGGCAGCTTGAGCATCCCTCAGTCACTGAATCGGGACATCTTGGCGCAATAACATCGATGGATTCACGATTGCATGCACAGCAAAGAAGGGAAAAGCACGAATGCTCGGCTCACTGGAGGAGCTTGCTCGGTGCGAGAACGTGCTCACGAGATACACGATTCAGATTGGGAATCACGACCATCAAGCCCGCGGACCTCGGTGGACTTTGCGAATCAGCATCAATGGGAAAGGTGCATTCGCGCGCTGCCGCAATTCTTAGTGATTCTTATTCAAGATTCACATTCGTGCTTTTGCGCCATTCGTGATTTCAACCCGAATCCACGGGCGGCGCTGAGGCGGTCCAACGCGTGTCTGAGCGTGTGCCGCGTGCTCTGGTGGCTCGAGCGCGTCTTCCACAATCAAGAATGGCGTGCTAATCTGAATAGTCACATGAATCGTCAATAATCACGCGTAAGCTTTTGTCACACAGTATAGGCCGTGACTTTGCGTGCCTACCCTATATACTGTGCTCGGGAGCTTAGCGTGAGCCCGGGACAGGAGGAGGAGCAGCCATTCTAGAGCAGGTATTGCGTCGCTGGCACTGGTCGCATCCTAGTCAAAGCCATTGAGACAGGCAAAATTGCTGACTGAAACCCCATTCGTAGTAAACACCTCGCTCTCTGGTCCGAGAGCGGATGGCAGGCTTTGCGGCGACTCGTAGAGGAAAATGTGCGGGCGTGATCAATCATTCGCAAGCTAATCATATTTTAACAAATGCAGCTTTGTTGCATAGGCGTTTGTGGTGTAGTGGTAACATGCCTGCCTTCCATTATTTGCCCTGAGGCGAGGAAGCATGCGCTCCGGGTTCGATTCCCGGCGGACGCACGCCTTTTTGCCAAAGACCCGGGCGCAGCACGCCCGCCCCGTCCCTGCGTTCAACCTTCAAGTCATGTTTTTTTACCGGTTCCCAGTGTTCACTTGGACGCGGAGCATCGATCAATTCAGAATGACGCCAAAAACAAGCGCCGCCACGTTTGCGCTTGAAGCACCTTCACGGCTTGCTTGTTGGACCGTCAGGGACGGAGTTGACGAACAGGTGAATGGAGCCTCTACGAGTCTTACAGAGAAGCCAGAGGGTCCATCCAGCATCACGTCAATGTCAACCGACAAATCTGACGCCGACAAGCGTAATCGAAAAAATCCGCAGGACCGCCGCCATTTGTGGGGATGTCTGTATGTTGCTGCTCTGCGCTGCCAAGGTTGCCCCTCCTGCCACGATTCCTTCACGTGCGCCACCCCTCTCCCCATTTCCGGCTGCATGTATGTTCCGTGACTGTTGGACACGACGTGCTTGACTCTGGACATGCTGCACAGCCTACGTAGCTAGAAGGAATCAAGAGCATCTGGAACATGTACAAATGTATATCCAACCATCGAAGGAGCTCGTTGCGAAGCCCACATGTACATGTATATCCATCTGTTGAGTCCTTGCGAATGTCTCCGCGCGCTGCAGCCCACACCTGCGGGCCGCCCGCCGGCGACGGGAAACGGGTGCCTGCATGAAGCTCATGCAGAAGACGGCACGAGCGACGTCGAGCTCACGTTGCAGTCAGGATGAGGGTGCAGCAACTTGGGAGTGCGAGGGCCGAGGGGCCTACGGTAGCGCAGACAAGTCCGGTGGCTTTTTCGACGGCCAAAGAGCATGCCGATGAGGAACATTAGCTGCATGCATGTCGGGATTGCTCCCGTCGCTGCCCTCGCACCACTTACGACTCCATGTGCAGCCTTGCACCAACCCTCATCTTCATTCTCAACGTCGAGTCCCCTACCCATGCCTCAGATGCAATATCTTTGCTCGCACAAGCCTTTCATCATCACCTAGAACGCTCTTTTGACCCGGCCTCGACTCCACGATGATACTCAGATTGCCGAACCACTTGCTGGGCAGGTTGGGAGACGTCGAGGGGTACCAGCTCTTGCCCTTGGTCGGGAATGGGCAAAAAACAAACGTCGTCGGTACGGGCCCGCTGTCGGATGCCGAGCAGAGAAGGCAGAGGATACACACGCTCTCTAAACGAGCACTGGTCCTGGGCATATCTTGCTTGCTCTGCATAGCTGTGCTGCTGAGAGTGTCAAAGAGAACGCTCACCTTCGAAGAGGAAGCTTTCAGCAACGCAGTCAAGGTCACGGAGCAGCCGCTAGAGAAGTCGGCTGAGAACTCTTCAGCGGCACCCTTGTCCGCCGCTCCTCCGCAGACGAGTGCCCTGCCCACCTCGCTAGGCGGTGTTCCGCTCATCCCTCCACCTCGTCCGACCAGCCCGCTACCACCTGCCACTGACAACGTGTACGGCCAACCAACTCCCGACTTCGAGACTTACATTTCAGAGCTCAGGGAATTTGTTCGTTTAGAATTCCCTAGCTGGCATGCTGATGCCGTGCTCGCGCACCTCGACGCCCACTTAGGCTTCGAGGGCACCTCGACCTCATCGCATGCATCCGAAAACGTCGAACAAGGGCGCATTGGCACCGAACGCAACGGCACAGCGCAGACCTCCCACTCCAACAGCTCCGCTGTGTCCACGCAAATTCCGAAGAAGTTTTGGCAGACCGATAAACGCAAAGGGAAGCGCATCAGCTGGGGCTTTGAGAACCTCAACGAGGGTCAAGGGTGGACGTTCAGCATGCTCCATGATAACGACATTGCGAGCTGGACCTTGCAGAATTTGGGGCAACCCGATAAAGTCGTATCTGCCGGGCTCAATGCGACCTTCATCGACAATTATTCAAAGGCTGACGCACCTCCAGCGCCGAAGTTAACGAGTAGCCGGTCATCCACGGCCGAGTCATCCCCATCGCCATCGGGCACGACCAACGGATTGAGGCAGATCTGGGATCGCATCAACCAACCTATCCTGCACGCTGATCTATGGCGATACCTCATTTTGACTCTGCCGACATACGGAGGCATCTATTCTGACAGCGATACGCAGTGCCTCAAACCCTTTTCAGCATGGGGACGTAATGCCACATTTTGGTCAGTCAGCAACCTCTCCTTGCGTCAGGTGACCCGGCCGCCCAGCGTCATCTTGGCAGTGGAAGCAGATGTGGGGAGCAATCAAGAGTGGTTCAAGTGGTGGGCGCGACCGCTGCAATTTGTCCAGTGGACGATGGGCAGCGCCCCGGGTCACCCAATCTTTATAGATCTGCTGCGAAGGATCAAGTTATCATCGTTGGCGTATCGGGACGCCAAGCTGGAACGGCAACGCAAGATTAATATGCTAAGGGCTGAGGCGGGCTCACTGCAAGCCAAGCTGGACTTTGCTAGTGCGAAGTCTGGACATTCAATGACTCGCGTCCATAGCGTCAAGACCCGCCTCGCCCGCTCTCCTACCTCTACCGCAGCCCCTAAGCCTGGGCGAAGGGAGTGGCTGCAAGACTGGCTTTCACTAGAGTCTACAAGATCGATCGCAAAATTTGAGTCGACGTCTGCCTCACCTTCGACCTCCTCAACTAGCAGCAGACCTAGACCGACAGACGCATCGCTGCTACCGATCTTTGAGAAGATGGAGTCGCTGCTAGCCGAAGCCGCGCTGCTGGAGAGCACGCCGCTGGTGGACAGCGACACGCAAGGCGAATTGTCCATCATGGAGTTGACTGGACCGGGCGTCTGGACCGATTCGGTGGTCAATTACCTCAAAGTGCGCTATGGCCTCGATTGGACGCGCTTCAAGGATTTGGAACATCCTGTGCGGGTAGGCGAGCTGGCGATTTTGCCGAGAACAGCTTTCAGTCCTGGTGTGAATACGCCCGGTTTCGGACCAACCTGGGACGACGAGGCCATGGTCTATCACGAGGTGAGCCGAAAGAGATTGCTGCGCGAGCCGAATGATGGCGTGTTGTGCTGAGCCGTGGCAGCATCTCTGTTTCGATCGCCAGTTTCGCGGCACTTGGCGAGAGCCAGCAAAGCCGGAACCAGAGCCACCGTCGTCAGATGACGCCTCCGCTTCGTCGAGCTCTGCATCGGCAGCGCAATCGAGCAACGTGTCAAATGCTGGTGGTGGTGGCGGCAAAGCCCCAGAGGACGACCCTTCGTGGAGCTGATTTTCAACGTCAAGTGTCTCTCAACGTCGTCAAGTGTCTCTAGCCACGCGATGTTCTCACCTTTGCGAGCATCCGTCTGCCGGTCTATTTGCTGCTCTACTCTCATCTAGAGGCTGTCACGTCTAGTACTTCTCGCGCTGTTTCGCTTATCATGTCACCCCATCATCGCTCGTCCTCCATTCACGCTCTGAGTTAGCCAGCACTTCCTTGCAATGTCATTGTATCGTCCCCGTTGCACTGTGGCGTGATTATGCTGGGCACGTGCATACTGCGACCAGCCTTTCCTGGCAAGCTCCGCACCAGCTCGAGCTATGCAGCATTCTTGTCATCCTTTGGAGATCCTTGACGCGCAAACGCGCTTAGCAGGCTTGAAATGGGAGACTGCTCTGTCTGACCTGGCGGTAAGGATGGCGTGGCGCCTGTTTTGAAAAGTGAGACGCCCACGCGAATGCGTCAGCTCGGCCGACAATTGAATTGTGACTGTTGACCCATCCTGCAGGACCTTGTTGCAGCGCACACTGTGAAATAAGCTGTGCAACCAGCTACGCAGGGGCAGCTCATCTCGTCCCCCCCTTTCCCCCCCGCCGGCGCATTCAGCGCCCCCTTCCTCGATGTTCAGGGCTCCAGAGTTTGCCACTGTGAGCACCGATGCCCATCCCATGCCTCGCGAAGTAGCTAAAGCGCACACTCACCTCGTGCTGCATTGGTTCCCACAGCGTGTCTCTCCGCAAGCCTTTCTATCCTCTCTTGCACTTGCCGAATCTCCTCTTCCGACGCCCCTTGTGACCTGGCAACCTCTTGCGCGTCCCGTATCATCATCTGCCTCTTCTTTCGAGTATTTTGCTTCTTGACATAGAAATAGGAGAAACCTGCGATGAAGATCAATGCTGTCCATCTGCGAAGATGCGAAAGGGGGCGAAAGGCGGGCAGGTAGTGTGGTGAGCGAGGAGCGATATGGTGAAAGGGACACCTGTGATTGGAGAGGGCACACATACCCTACGAGTATCCGCTTAGGACCGGCGGTATTGGAAACTGACGGTCCCGTTCCTCGAGGAGCATCGGCAGAGGCTGATGCGAACGAACGCCCGCTGCTGAGCTTCGGCTCACCGCGCTGCTGCGATCGATTATGTCGGAAGAAAGTATGCGAGGAGCTCACGCTGCTGCTGCTGTGAGGCGTCGAATTTGACCGACCGAGTGCTGACCTTGCTACCAGCATCTTGTTGGAATCAACACGAAATGTCACTGATATGACGAATTGACCGGGAAGTGATTGCGATGTGCGAGGACTACGCCTTGGTTTGCGAGGGGCGAGACGGAGGTGAGTAGGGCTGTTTCCGACTGGACTGTCTACTGTCGCTAGGGACGCTGCGAGGTGAGGTTGGTGGACACCAGCTGGCGTGTTCAAGCACCAGCACAAGCTTGGACAGCCTTCAAGAGAGTTTGGAGCGGGCTGCTGCTGCTGCTGATGATGGTATGATCAATACGTTTCACCAGGTGGTGCGTGCTGGTGCCGCCACGACCACGATCGAATGGTTCCCCTCGCTTCACGCTGTAGTGAATTTTGAGTGTACGTGCGTGAGGTATGACTCTGCTCTATTCCCGCGGATGTCCGCAGAGACGACGCGTGCCCCGCGCCGCGCTGCTGCATGTAGACGCGACGAAGGTCTGTTTCGCGCGTGCATGTGTGCATGACCGAGGATGAGCAGCAATTAAGCGCACATGGGCCGCATTTAGAAGATCTTGTCTGACATGGGCGTCACAGTCTCAGTCAAGATTCACATTCAAGATTCTGATTGGTGATTGGGATGAAACGAAAGCCACACATTCACGACAATCAATTAGGAAGTCACTGAATCTCGAATGTGAATTCTGCTTCTACAAACATACTTCATTTGCCTCCACATTCAAGGTTCTTGATTCAGATTCTTGATTCGTAGCTTGACGCGGTCACGCGAGTCTCCAGGCTGCTGGGTCACTTCCCGTAGTCTGTCCTCATTGCCCGTCTCAACAGCTACAGCACCTCGAAGGATCCGTTCACAATTCCTCAAGCTTGTCCAACCCGCCCTTTTGCTTGCTGATGAGCCTCGGCTATACATAGAGTGACTGGTGATCAGCGATCAATCTCCAACACATCGACATTCTTGATTCGAGAGCACCGGCGGCTGATGCTGACACCAATTGCGCCGCCGCTCTGCTGCAGATTCGACTGCGCCGAAGGAAGTGTCTCATATGCTGGTGCGGATCCGATAGCCTCGAAAAGCTTCTCATCTTCGCCCAACAAAAGTTCAGCAACATTTGCCATACAGTTCAGCAGCTCGCTGCTGCTGCCGTACACATGCCAGATTGGGGCGCTGGGCAAGAGGAGCAGTCTCAGCGCATTCAATACTCATCAGCTTGGCGACTCTAGCCAACCGCGGCTTTTGCATAGAAAGGGCAGCACTGCTGGAGCGCGGCTGGCTCTGCACAGATTCGCACCACCAGCTTAAGGGGAGTGGAGCTAAGGAGATCGTTGCACCTTCGCGAACGACTTTTTCGCGCCGATCATAGCGTAGACCTCAATGATAAAGACGAGCGTCTTGTACCTCGAGCTGTAGTACGGATACTTGCATCATTCTCAAGCTAGATCCGCCAAGCCCTCGTCCTTCTCGTCTCTCATCATCCCCTCCAATCGAGCTGTTGCGATGTCGAGAATGAAGACGTCGCGGGTGCGGCCCCAACCTGCTTCATCTTCTTCGGATGGCAACACCACCTCCTCCAAACCTTCGACGATTCATCTGAAGACTGGGCCAGCGGGCTACACTCTCCCTCAGCGTCCTTCCGACAGCACTGTGGCCAACGCGAAGCTGCGCAACGACGGGGCCAGAGGCGGAAGGCACACGCTCTCTTCGGATACGCCTTTACCTGCTGTTGGCAAACCACCTGGCGCGCCATACTGGTGGGTGCCGCCAGAAGCTCAGGCGTCCCATGGCAATTCGCACTCACACTCAAATGGGAATGGTATCAAGGCCACCAAGAAGGGCCCTCTGACACCCTTCAATGGGGCGGAGCATGAGTCGAAAAAGGCGATTGGCAAGGTCTCTAAGCGCCTTCAAGCTGAATACACGCCGCGGCCTCCACCGCAAGCAAGACCGGAACATCTCGGCATGCCAATGCCCGTCACACCTTTGGAGGGCCACGTCTCGCCCCTTCGTCCGCTCGAAGCGCCAGTCATCCTCGACGTCCTCAATGTGCCGCCGGCGGCATCCATGCGAGAGCTGAGAAGGTCCATTTGCAGAGCTTCCAGGGAATTGCAAAGAGGCCCGCCTTACTTGCCGCTGCACATCACCAAGCCCCCCAAAGCGAGCACGGCGCGCCTGCTGCTATCCGACGAGGGCACAGCGATGCGATGGCTCGGCATCTTTTCGGGGTCCAACTCTCCCTTGAGTAAGGTGATGGTGAGGGATAATAGGCTGGCATTCCAAGTTAGCGCAAGACCACCCGAGACGAATGCTTGGCTGGCTCTCGCGTCTCCGATCGATGATGATGACTACGTCGGGGACGCAGAGGTGGATTTGCCCCCGGACCTGCCGTTTAGCGGGCTGACCTGCGGTGCATGGGACGACAAGAGCCAATTCTGTCCGGCATGGAAAGCGAAAGATCGGGTGAGTCTTGCATTCAGCTAGACGTCACTCTGCTCGTGGGGTGCATTCGTTGACGAGCACGCTTCCGTCTCCCCACACCCATAGGAGAATGGCTCGGGGGCTGTACTGCTTATCGATGAGGCGCGGATGCACCTGCACGTGGATCAAGGCATCATTCAGATCGATCTGCGCAATATTAAGCGTTCCATGATCTGCGGCACACACTTGTACTTGGAGCTACGCTGGACTCCGGCTTTCATACTACCAAACGACCCGGTCCGCGCACTCACGGGATGGGACGAGTACTCCAAATATGACGATGAAGATGACGCCGCAGGCCCGCCAGAGTATCAGAGGATGCCGTTTTTCGATCAGAGGCACGGCCTGGTTGCACCTTATGCCCACGTCATTTGCCTCAAAGCGCTGCGCCCTCGCCAAATGATTCACAGCTTCATCGCATCTGTGCGGCCCCGACTAGCGCAGCCGGCAAGCTTGTCGTCCGTCGCCACGGGACCCCTCGAGCATTTTACCGAGAGCACACTGAGAAAATTGAGGGAGCTTTACACCAAACTTAGCTTCGACGTGGCTTTCCAGTTGGAACGCATTGTTCGTGATGGGCTCATCCTGCCTCTGGAAGCGCTTAGCCTTGCGCCGCAGCTTACAGCGCTCGATAAACGCGCCTCGATGCAGGATGTGGTGGATGGGCCCAAAAGAGCGGCAGCGATATTGGAAAACTTTTCCGCGCGACTCATTCGCAACAAGAGCCCCGTCAACGAAGCCGCGCAGCCTCGTCAGGCCTACAAGCGGTTGTTGCCCGCCAAGGTCAAAGATCTGGCCGAAGAGCTGGAAAAGGCCCCTCTGCCCCAAATCGATTCCTCAGCGCAATTTCGGATTCACAGCGTTCGACTTATGCCTTCTGGCGCCATGTCTCTATCTGGCCCGACCCCGGATGCGGGCAATCGGATCGTGCGACAATTTGTAGGATGCGATGTGCATTTTCTTCGTCTTCAGATGGTGGATGAAGGGGCTTCCACGCGTCTTCGCATGCGAATCGAAGGCGTCAATTCGGACGCGCTCAAATGGATCTTCCGAAACGCGCTGGAAAAGGGACTGGATGTGGCGGGGAGGAGTTGGCGATATTTGGCCTTCAGCAATAGCTCGCTCAAGGAAGGTACTTGCTGGATGGTCCATCGCTTCTCGTACGACAGCAAAAAGGTCACGGCGGATAGCATTCGCAACAATATCGGCGACTTGGCCTTTATCAGATGCCCCGCTCGATACGCTGCTCGGTGAGTGTGGACCCAGCTCGGACATGTACCTGAGTTGCATCGCGGCTCACCGAGTGCGTCCGCCGCAACACAGTATGGGCCAAGCGTTCACGTCGACAATGTTCACGATTCCAGTGAAGAGATCCAACGTGGTCCTTATAGATGATATCGAGCGCAAAGGGCACTGCTTCACTGATGGAGTTGGGACCATCTCATCCGATTTAGCCGAGCAGATCAGAGGCAAGATCATCAGCGCTCGGGGCGGGCGACGCAGCCAGTACTCGCCCGCGAGCGTCTTTCAAATTCGTCTCGGAGGTGCAAAAGGTATGGTCACTCTAGACACAGAACTCCCTCCCGGCCATGTCCGCCTGCGACCTAGCATGGTCAAATTTGAGAAGTCAGCCTCTCAAGCCGACGATGAGCACGTCTATCTCGAAATAGCCAACGCGCCCGATGGGCCTCTGCCAATGTTTCTGAATAGACCCATGGTCATGATGCTTGAAACGCTGGGCGTGCCTAAAGATCGCTTCATGGAGCTGCTCAGCGAGGCTGTCAGCCACTTGCGCTACTCTGCCACCAACCTCACCTTGACTGCTCAGGTGTACAGACTGTACAATGCTCATCCACCAGGAGGCGCTGCAGCTTTGTTTGATGCTTTGCGGCGTATCGGCATTGACACGCTTGACGGAGAGAAAGTCCCCTTCTTGTACGATGCTCATCGCGCTTTCCAGGCCTTTGTAACGCGACACATGAAAGTGAGTGATGATTTCGATGCGGCAGTGGTCCCTCCAGACGCTCAAGCAAGTGTAGTCCGTTCACCCTCACAGTACCGCACTCGCATACCCGTGTTGGAGGGATGCTACACACTCTATGGGGTCGCTGACGAGACGGGCTGGTTGGAAGAAGGGCAAGTCTATGCAAGCGTAGAAGTCTTTGACGGACCTCGCGATGGCATCGTGCGCCCCCGGAACATTGTCTTGCGCGGAAAATGCTTGCTGGGTCGATCGCCTATGCTGCATCCCGGAGACGTGCAGTATGCGGAAGCGGTGTTGCCGCCTCGAGGGAGCAAGCTGAATGCTCTTCGGAATTGCATCGTCTTTTCTACCAAGGGTAAACGTGATCTGCCGTCTAAATTGTCGGGCGGGGATCTGGATGGAGGTGTGTACAGCTGGCGCCTCGAAAGAGAACAGCATCTGTTTGGTACTGACCGATGTGGATCGAATGCTATCGCAGATCTGTTCAACGTCATTCAACATCCCTCGCTGCTTACAGTCAAGACTCAGGAACCGGCCAAGTATCCCCGCGTTGTACCTCGCAATCTCGATAGGGAGTGCACCGTAGCAGGTGAGCAGATTGGCCGTGATCAGCCACACGTGCTCAGCGCAGCAACAAGCTGACATGGTCCGCTCGCCAGACATGATCGAGTTTTTCGTCGACTTCTTGTTCTCGGACAGGCTGGGCTTGGTCGCCACCCGACACTTGATATTAGCAGACGCATCACCTTATGGGGTCTTCGATAGAGACTGCGTGAAGCTGGCCCACATGCATAGCACAGCAGTGGACTTTCCCAAAACTGGTATTCCGGTCGATACGAAGGATTGTCCACCCGTGCCACGCTTGCGACCTGACTTTATGCAAGCAGAATTCCGAGTCGAGTGGGCACCTGCAGCCATGCGCTCGGAGCCTCGCGAACGATTCAACTTTTACGCATCTGGAAAGGCCTTGGGACACTTATACAGGGCGCTAGACAAGCCCATTGTCGATGGACCTCCTGTTCTCCTCACCTCTGCTCACGAGCCCATCAGCACCCCTGGCATGTCGCGCTCGACCAGCCCAGGCGGCGACGACTCAAGCAAAGCCAAAGAGGCTCCACAAGATGACTGGAACAGTCAATTGCGCAAGTACTTGGATCCCTTTCACTCTGCAGTGCAGGTACGCGCACACCTTCCCTACGTCCGTCGCATCATCGCGGAGTACTACCGCTCCGTCGATCTGATCTCCGTGGAGTGCTCGCCAAGCGGTAGAGACGGCCCACTTTCCGAGGCGGAAATCTTTATGGGCTGCATTGCGCGAGGACCACCTGGTGTGGATGCATCGGCGGCAAGAAGCAACACGACTCTCGACACTCTGCGAGCCCGCTACTCTGGCGTTGTCGAGCGCACTATCGACGCTTTGCTCGGACCTGGTGCTAGCCGTCTGAATACGCGCGATGTCCCGCCCCCTGATGTGGCACAGATCATGGACAAAGCACAGAAGGAACGCTGGCAGCTGGTGCTCGACAAGTGCTCGGCCTTCGTCGCTGCAGCGAACGAGGTCGAAGTCAGGGAAGGCGACCATACGGGCAATGTCTGGCACAGCGTCTCGGCCACTGCTGACGGCCAGATCGTGGCCGGCAGGCGTAGCGCGGCGTGGGTGGTAGTGCCATACCTGGTGCAAGCCGCCGCGACTCTATCGATCGTGAATCGAGAGTGCGCCAGGTGAAGAATAATGCCGCGTCCACCTGCTCACTCATCCAAAGCCTCCATAGAATACCTGACAGAACAAAATATTTTAGGATCCGTCATTCGTCTTCAATACCTTTCTCGCTTTCAGGCTCTGCCGCTGCGCATCCTCCCAGGCTTGTGCGGGCGTGACCCTTCACATATCGTCCCAGACCGCAAGCTTTGCAGGCCTCCCTCTCATAGGTTCACGCATCCAAGACATCACGCCATCCCACTCTGAAACCACCGTAGACTTGGACAGCGAGTCACCGACGACTTACGTGTCACCCCTCGTAGGCTTGAGCTGTCAAGACTGCTGTCACGATGTCCGGCTGCGCACATACCCGGCAGATAGGTATCTCGCACTGCCGGCTTCACCCGTGATGCCCGCGCATCGAAACAGTCACGAGTTCAAACGCGCGAGTTGGCACATGCACGTCGCATATGCCCGACTTGACAAGTTCCGCGGCTGTTCCTCTCGCTGGGTGCTTTGGCCGGTCGGTCCAACATGATGCGACTGTGCGTGCGGCTCTTTCGAGACAGTAGTAGTAGTGTCATAGCTAGCGCTGTCATCGTGGTCCCCAATAGATTTTGGATGATGATTGTGCACGCAGTCCTGCCTTCTCACGTCTGTCGCTCTCGGACTGACCATTGCGTGCCAGGCGTAAGCGCAGGGCTCGTCTCTATAGGGTATTTCCACTTTTGGCAGTCGCGTGTCTAAGCTGACGCAGACGATAATCTATTCGCGACCCGAATTGAGAGTCCGCCAGGAACAATGCATGTGTGCTTGCATGCTTGGATAAAGCTAAGTGGCACTCCTCAAAGTGGGCCCATTTTTTGCCTGCTGGCCAGCAGGTGTCAGCGCGGGATCGTAATCGTCGTAGCTGCATGAATGTGAATCATGAATGCTGCGCATTCCAGCACAGAACAATACAGAAGCCTATCCTTATCTCAGACGATCATTCACAATGAACTGGGACCACGTGCTCGTCGGCTCTTGGCAGCTGTTGACTCTCAGTGTCGAAATGCGAAGTTGACGGACGTGCTAGCTTGGACACGGGCGCATCAAAGACGGCTCAGCAATCATTGAATGTGTAGCGAGGCGCTAGATTCTTGTTCAGACGATCGGCAGATCCCTGTCCCCGCGTTGCTGTCAAGCACAGGTCGGAGCAAAACGAGCCGCGGCGAAAGCAAGTGCCGCGGGACGACACAGACTGGAGGATCCTTCATGATCCAGGTAGATTGCACACTACATGATCGTAGCTAGACGTGATACATCACCGGCGCACTTGAATCAAGCGTCATGGCCATAGTCGCATCAGCGGCACTCACGACCATCGATTCTGTGAAGGTCCCGCTCATCTCCGTCTCAAGGCGCATACATTCACATTATTGATTACGTCAATTCACAAAGCATGTGCCTTCTCTTGCGCAGGACGTGAGTCAACACGCATGCCAAAATCACTCACCCATCACAGGTGCTATAGACGGCACCGCCGCTGACCCTCGATCGCATCGGCTACCTTTGACTTGTGGGGTGATTGGGCTGTGAAGCGTTACGAATCTGAATGTATCAAAATGGATCAGAGAGGAGCTATAAAAGCAGCATGTATTTGGCGACGCGGTGGGGTCTGAAACTATGACGCATAAATTGATTGTGTGGCTTGTTCTGCGGAAATGAACCTGATGACCGTCGTGCAGGAATGCCAGCAGACAAAATGCCGGTCCTTGCTACATCGCCCCTTCGTCCGCATCCGCCTGTACTCTGGGATCACGATCACGAACCACGAGTCTGAATGTCGCAATTCTGCATGGATCAGTCAAGGGAGCAAGCGTACTCTTGACTGGTGGTTCAGCAAAAGCATCACGGCCCTGGCACTAACCTGTGGGGCATCGAAAGAGCCTTCAAAACCGCCTGTGCGCGTCGGCTGTCCGCCTCCCGACTCGGCCCGATCGGCTTCAAGGACTTCTCAGCTCTGACCTCGTCGCAAGGACACCATTATGACGTAGTGATACGCAGATGGACTCGAGGATGATTTACACACGGCAATCATCAGTCGAGAATGGTGACCATCAGAGTCGTGACGTGCGAGCCCAAGGCACGCGTCTGCAGACTAGCCCGCGCAGCAAGTCTTTGCCATGAAATCTTTCGGTCCGCTGGACTGGAGCGATTCAGCTGTCTTGTCTCACATGGCCGATGCGAGGATGCTTGCGACTTTGCATCGCCTATACCTGAAGCAACACACTCATGCCTTGCCGTATAACACACTCATGCCTTGCCGCATAACACACTCATGCCTTGCCGTATAACACACTCATGCCTTGCCGTATGGTGGAGCGCGGCGCGCGGGGCTTGCCAGACGTGCCATCCGGAGACCGTCGCGGCGAAGTGCCTGTCTTGGCTCGAAGCTGCACTCCAAGTCGGTACGCGTTCGAACGCAGAAGGTCACCTGCGGTGCAGTGCTGCTGGACAACCTCACTCACTGACTCACTCACGATTGTGGCCACCCTCGCTTCCTAGACAGACTACTCGGCCAAAGGGCCAATTCGGAAAAAGGTGCAGGTGAACCGGCGAAAAGGAGACATGGAATCGCGAATCGTGATCGAATCTTCACGCTTTTGGAAAGTCGCAGTTCGACGCCGGGGGCTGCAGCGTCCCTGTATCAGCGCATTCAGCAGCAGCAGTAGTGTGTGTACCACGTCAAAGACGACGCTAGCACGCGCGAAACAGCGCTAGTGTCAGAGTCGCGCATGCAGTTTGTTCTCCCGAGGCTAATGCGTGGGTAGGTAGGTAGTATTCGTTTAACGTGAGTAGCTGTACGGTCAGGATCAAAGAAGAGTCACAATCAACGTTCGTAAGAGTCGTGAGTCGTGAGTGGTGAGTCACTCTTTGTGTTCCGCGAGTCGTGATCGGGTCTGTTGCTCTTCTGTAAGTGTGGACCAATCGCATGGTTCGTGCTCGTCTTGTCCGTCAGCCGAAATCTCTAGCCACAGAGATTTGTATTTGATTATATAGCGGAGGCTGACGTTTAATCTGAATCGTATGATTCGGATTGTGCGTCGCTTTCATGCTGCGCGATGAGCGAGAGCCTGTGCTGTGCGCGTGCCGCACATCGGAACTTGTTCCTCCAGACCTACAAACTCACATGTCGTCATGCGCCGCCAACAAGAGTTCACAGCACTCATCAGTCAGTAAAACTACGCAGTCGCGGCAGAGCATCACGCTTTCTGATTCGATTGGAAAGAGGGTCCGCATTCACTTGTTTCTTGATTGGTAGCGTTGGTCGAATATTCAGCTACTTACCATGACGCGTGTGTGTGCGATCCTCTGTCAGAAAAGTATACCTGTCTGCTCATCACGTAATCATAATAATGAAAGTGCCCGGAAGGAAGCAAGGTCAGGATCAGGAACACCGCTGACACACTACTCACGAGCCTTGCCATCGTGAAGGGTGCATATGTGTATTGCAGAGGCTGTCGCGGCCCGACTCGTCTCGCTGATTTGCCATGTGAATGACGAGACTTGAAACAACAAACGGAAAAGTGACACGAATGCAGCACAGACTACTGGAATAGAAACATTCTGTTTCAGAATTCGTGATGCGACTTGAGACCTTGCCGTCTAGGGACGACATTCAGCACTCGCGAGCCTCGAGTATGTGAGGGAAAACACCCCTTTTGAGCTGTAATCCCGCATCAAGCACTATCAAAATCTATCAGTAAGAGCCTTCACGATGCACGCTGGGAACAGCAGATTTCGCTCTCCTCCAAGGAAGAGCCGTGCCAAAGCCTGCAGAGTCAAAAGTCTCAAGTGCCGGCACTCGCCAAGTCGCGCCTCCGCGTCAACGTTGCAGCGGATGCACCAAACTCCGACACTTGTGCGGAACCGCTCGTGTTGTCTCGCTCTCTCAAGCGTGCTCCGCGGCGTTTGAAATCACGAACACATTAGAACTCACGACCTTACGACTTGCCATTCAGCTCAACTTTGACTGCTGATTTCTACGGGCAACTAAATTGGGCAATGGAATGACGTCCCCCCGTCAACCCCTCATCGGTCTTGTGCATGAGGTTGGCCGTCGCTGGTGCATTCACCACTCACGACATTCATGCTTTGCGTATCTGTCCTGCTGCTGCACGCCTACGCTTTGTGCAGCCACTGCGCGCGATTAGACTGATGAGTTTTCTCACCCAGGATGGTGTGCGCTCCTCTCGCCTGAAACTTTCAGACCTTCAATCTGAACAATCTTTCTTGGTCTCATCGAGGTGACTGTCGAGTGTGCGCTATGATCTCGTCTATCCCCTTTGCCCTTGCAGTGGGATGCCAACGTACAGCCATCGGACGTCGATAGCTCACCTCACCTCTTCAAACTCGCTTCCGCGTGCGCACGCTGCGCGCAATCGGCGCCGACGCTTCGCGACGCACCTATTTCAGCTTCCGCTCACCTTAAGCCACAAAAGGCGGATTTTGGCAAGCTTTGCCATCGGTCACCAGCTCAGCGGTGAGTCGTGTCGCTGCCACAAAGCAGATTCCGAATGATGTAAGGCAACCGCGATGTCTACCTGGGGCAGCAAGGCACCGTCAAGGCTTACCAAGGCGAGCTGCAAATGTGCATCGCCGTTCGTGGCTTGTGTGAAACCATGCTACCTGCGCTCAAGCCGACGTCTGCTGCCACTGCCAGCGAATGTGTGTCCGCAGAGCCTGTCCCATCTCAGGCATCCCTTGCGGCTCCGAGCTCTGCGGAGCTGTATTGGCAAGTTGCCGAGGTGACCAGAAGGAGGCTTGGACTGTCGCGACCCACATATTGCACAATCAGTTGTCCAATTGTTGTCGGTTCCGCAAATTGGTTGGCAAATAAAAGAGCGCACTCAGTTTGCGTCGGCCCGAGGCTTTAGCATCGATTTTTGCCAAATAAAGTCAGAAAAGGCAAGGCAGACGTCGCAATGCCTTGGCCTAGTGCCCTGCTGCTTGATTCAGCGTGAAGTATCAGTTCTCAGATAGAACTCCTCACTGACAAAGCACAGACCATCTTTTGCCTGTCCCAGTCATACCACCTGCAGCCGCCCTATTGGTGTCTGTGCTGCAAAGTCAGGCTTTCTACCCTTCTTCGACGCCTGACGTTGGCTTCTGTGACCTCTCGACCATCCTTCCCCCACGACTGCCATTCCAAACGCCACCCGGATATTGTCACCTCTCAAATTGGCGGGATTGGCGCAAGCCACTGTCACTCTCCTCACTCGGCTGTGCACATCCATTCCGTCGGCGCGAATACCTGTCCATGTTCCAATTGCGGAGGGTATCTTTATTGTGTAGGTATGCTCTTTAACGCGCGACAGTCTCGAGTTAGCCCAGCAGAGTCTCGCTTCACCTGATCTTCAGGCACTGCGCCGCCCGTGCTTCCGACGATTTGCAGCGGGCTAAGGCACCATTTCACTCGCTAGCACTGCACGCCCGGGAACCTGTCACGCACTCATCTGCGCTGTCTCCGCGTGGCGTCTTTCGTTTCTGATACAGGGCACCTCTTAAGAACATTCCCATCCATTATCTCCCCGTTGTCCAAGTATCGACATTCCACGCCACGTACAAATTGACACCGTCATCGTCTGCGTAGAGATTGCGTCCATTCCCCGACGCGTCTCGACTGGCGTGCCCAGCATCCATCCTCGGTGCCAACCTCTTATACTCACACCTGCTACTCGCTTTTCGAGCTTTTACATCCGCGTACACTCTCCGTCTCGTGCTCTCTGTACGCGAGAGGATCACATTTCCTTCCCCCACATGTCTTACTATCCCTCTGAGCCGGAAGGCTCCGCTTCTTGGAACTACACAATCCAGCCTCGTCTATCGCGCGAACAGGTCTCTCCAACCGACATCTCACATGGTCGGCCGGCTTCTTCTTCCCGGGCGGCGGTGCCTGACAGCGAGAGCGTCAAGAAAAGAGGGAGAATCACAATGGCTTGCCTGCATTGCCGACAGCGGTGAGTCACAGCTTGTTCCCTGAGCGTGACGCCGCTCGTCAATTTTTATATCACGAGTCTCACACTGACTATTACTGTCTTTACTCTTGTCTTGCCCTGCGATCTTCACCGTTGCCTCCATCTCTTGCCGTTGTGCAATTGAAAATGAAACCATGCAATCACCTGCGCCCGTAACGACACGCCGCCGTCGCCTCCCTTGATCACCACCGGCCCAATCCCGATCCGATTTTGGACCGCTGCGCCAAACAAATTCGCAATCCGGTTCGTGTCCGACGACACACGCACTGCCATCGAATCGGGCGACCAACCATCTCCATCCCTGTCATCCGAATCTCTCTTGACTTTGGATGATTGCTCGTGCTGTTGTCACCGCAAATCCTCTCGTTCGCAGCAAAATCAAGTGCGATGGCGGACAACCAGCTTGCTCAACTTGCACAAGGCTCAGGCGTGAATGTGTCTACGAAGCTGTTCGAGAGTAAGTCGTCCATCAGCGAAGCCTGTCACGCACACCTTGTTGCTTGTTAAGCTGACAGTCACAACTTCGTGTGCAGGGAGGAGAACGTTGCTACTCGTGAGCGCAAAAGACTCGGTAAGGAGGCTAAAGAGTCGCGCTTGGCAGCTCTTGCTCGCCTTGGCATCATGCTACCGCCAGCGAGCGGGTCGATGGGCGCTCCAGCCATACACCAGTCAGGTCCTACTCGTAGCCGTCCACGCCCAATGCGCTCCACTTCCGGCCGCGATCTTGCGGCACCATACCCTCGGATTCCCTCTGAGGAAGACCCCACGGCGCTCCATTCTCACCATCAATCTCTAGCTCACTCTGTCAGGCGACGAGGTGTGACCATTGGAGGCCACGAAGTGGTTGATCCGTCAAGCGGGCCTTTTCCACATCGCACAACATTGGTGCGGTTTGATCCGAGCGATCGCGTGGCCGGACGACCATACCAAGCGCGTGCTTTCCAGCCTCCTCCATCGCCCGAGCTGTGGTCTGGCTACGGCCTCTCGTCATTGTCTCAGCCCTCGACACCTGAAGAAACATATATGCTCCATGCTTCAATGTTGCAGTCTGATTTGGCAACGCCAGCGACTCCCAGCGACGTGATGCTTCCCTCGCCCTGGGGCCCACCCGCAGGTCTCCCGGCTCAAGCAACGATGCGAGATATCGATTCGCCTACCAGGTACGCAGGAGCATCGAATTCCGGGACGAACAGCCTCAACGCAAGTGCGGCACCGACGCCGGACGCTGCCGTGGCTCCACTGCCTCCAGCAGCGTCTTATATCTCACCCAGGACAACGACGCGAGCCATGCCTTCACATTATCTCCGCGGACCTGAGCGAGATGGTCCAAATTCTTGGTCGCGACCTCCCACCGGAAGTGTGATCGATACGCGACGCAGAAGCTCGTACGACTCGCCCACAAGTGATTACCGCCGACCTTCAAGGAATCAAGCCGCTATCTATGAATTTTTTTCACGAGTAGTAGCTGGAGCAAGCAAGCCATCTCATGGAGAGCTTACTACGGCCGCCACATCTCTTCGACCAGCCAGACTGGACGTTCAGACGGATGCCGATCTGCCCACCGGCTCAGGCAGCACTGCATGGCAGAGCGCTTGGCCTCCTCTTGCGCCAAACTTCCAACACGCTGACTCGCCAAAGCATCGCCGTGAGATCAGTGCAGAGCAACCTTCCGACTTCAACAACCCTTGGCTATCGGCGAATGACCGCTCTGCTTCTGGCTCGACGTTGGTAAGCATTACTGGCACAGATGCCGAGCAGGCAGGCGGTAGTGGGAGCTCGGCTTCCTCGGCTTCAAGAGGCGCCAGAGGTGGGCACATGACGGCCAAACGCGGCGGCAGTCAGCTCAGTAGTTCTGGACGTAACAGCACCAGCTCTGCTGCCTCTGTTCCCACCCAAACAGAAGAAGCTGCGCAAGCCTACGCGCTTGCAATGGCGCACTCGAGTACGACTCCGAGTCACACCTATCTCGCGCCAGCCGATTGGAGCTCGCGTCAAAATTCGCTTGGTGGATCTCCCGGCGGCAGCAATAACAGCGGCCACAGCAGTGGTGTGCATTCGTGGCAGAGCGGACAACAACAGCGACCCCTGGCCGAAGGTTCGAGGGCAACAAGCGGCGCTTATTCGATGCACTTGGGGCTGTCCTCCCAACAAACGCGCATCACCGGAGAGACCGGCTGGGCAGGTGTGCGACCCGACGAGGTCTTCATTTCGCCGGACAGTGCCCTCTCTCGAAGCATGCTCGAGATGTCGTACGATCAGCGCAGCGCAAGCAGCGGGGATAGAGCCACAGCAAACGTGCCGCAGCAGAGACTACATGACTCACCCTACTCCGTGGACACTTCAGGCTTGACACGTGCGGAGGCACAATGGCTTGCCCCACCTCCGTTGAGCGGTGCTCCGTCTCCAGACATCTACTGGACGCAACCAGGATCTGCGCAAGCGCAGCACCAGCTTCCAGCCGATCAGCGTCAACCTTCCTTGGGTCCATCTCTTGGGCATCGTCAAAGTTTCGCTGGCGTGAGCGGGGAATTGCCTTTTTGGCTCAGTCCTGAGCGAGATCACAGCGCAGAGAGAGACTCTACCTCGGACATGCAGAGCCCGAAGGGCCACTCGCGGCAACCATGATGTCAGTCCTGACCGTGTCCTCTTCAAAATTGTAAGGTGCCGAGCTCTATCAGCCACTGCCCTCTATCACCGCATTTTCGCATTGTTTGCAACTGCATCTTGTACCGTTCTGCCTCCTCGCGAAGGTCACCTTCAGACCTTTTCAAAGCTGTTTCTAGTGGAATCAATGCTCTTGTCCAGGACGCAATTTGAGCTCAAGCCCTGCATTATAGGGTGGCTATGGCCCACCGTCATGTGGCGGTGCAATTGCTCCGAGCTCGGTGAGCTAGCGTTTGCGGTGTTGTCATGACCGAGACCCTAGCACATGTGAAATCACCTGAAAGCACCTCGAATTCCAATGGCCGTTTATCCGGGAGCGGAGATCGACGAGAGCACGGCGGAGTTTGACGATCGCTGCGAAATGAGGCTGGCCGATGCGCTGAGAAAGGAATCTGACGCTGTGCCTGCATACCTTTCCTGTACCCGATCTACAGGCTCCGATCAAATGGGCCTCGGTTCCGCTGTATCCAACGGACCACCCAGAAGAGCGGTCTGCGCGTCGGTCCTCGGCAAAATCAATGTGCGCCGAATCAAATCGAGGCTGGCTGGACAGCCACGAGCGAGCGCCTTTCCGCGACTCCATCGGTCAGGTCGGCCGTGGCTTTTTGCCGCGCCATTGACCTCTCAAAAGCAAGAGCTCCGCGAGCTGGGTGGTGGTGCGCGTCTATCCTGATTTTCAAGCACCGACGAAGCCGCTCTCGCTCCTCGCCTGCCAGAACACTACTCTACGTTCCTTCCCTTATTCCCTCCTCTCTCCTGGTTCGCGAATTTATCCGCTTTTCTCAACCACGTCATGGATCGCCTTGGCTCGCTGAATGCGACACTACCGGTTGCTGAATGGATCAAAGTTCGAATTTCCCCGATCTTACATTTTCTCCCTCGCTCATCTTATCGTTTTAGCTCGGTAGCAGCTAAGGGAATCGAAGTTGTGGTTTAGCGGGCCTTGGCAAGGGGTCCGAGCGAGCGGAACCCTAGGGCCAACGCACGTGTCTACAACGCGCCTTTCGGGCAGTGGCCCGTAGAATGTTCTCGAAGGTGTGACGAGGGACCCGTTTTCGAATGATGAACTCTTACATTCACGCGATTCTAGTTCCCAGCTTCTTCATCATCAAGGATCTTGACTGGAAATAGAACCAGTGCAGAGAATCGCCTCCTCGCTCAAAGCTTAGATCTGGAGAGCGTTGGTCTGAATGCTAGCTCAAAGTCTGTACTGCCGTTTGAGTCATAGTGTCCATGTATCACCTCTTAGCATACATGGTCAGGAACGCATCCTTCTCTGTCCATCCAAGAGCGGTCCTCCTGAGCCTCGAGCTGCGCGGCCCACGTCGAAGGGGCGTGTCGGTATCAGCTTTTGACTTGTGCGCTCGCCGCCCGCTACATTTCTGTACTGGCGCTAAGAAGGTAAGTACTCACAGATTAGACCACGCATCAGCTACTACGTCTTCGATTCCTCGTCTGAGGGCATTTGCAGCCGTACCTGCTCTCGAATCAGAAAGGCTGCTACTGGACGATCCGGTGATGCTCTCCGCCGGATTCAGTATGCGTATGCTGGGAGCATATGCTGGTACGCTGCTTAGCAGGGCAAAGAAGAGAGAAGGTAGAGATCGTGGGACTGTCGTGATTGGTGAAGCGGAGAGAGGCGTTGGTGCTTCGTACCTGCGTATCGAGGATTCCGTACGTTAGCTGAAGAGAAAGGGATGCCATTAACATCAGCTACGACTCACTTAATGGTGGTGATGAAGAAGGTTGGCCCGTCCTTGAGCGATCTCAGGCTGCCGGTACTGGAATAGGTGTCTGCCCAGCTCGATGGGAAAGCAGCAGCAGCAGGCTTGAGCAAAGCGCGATTATTGGACGTGACAACCTAGATGGATGCAGACTGGGCCTTTAGACGCGTTGACTTAGAGAGCTACGATCGTAGAGGAGACCTACCTCTGGGAAAACGATTAGAGGCGAGCCCACTTCCTTGAGGCTGTCTAGGTCTACTAGGTCCGCCCGTGTTACGCCTTCCGAGCCCAGCTCCAGCGGCCTACAGCTCGCAATCACCTTCAAAGCTTGCCATATGCTATCGCTCACTTTCCAGCCCTCTATCCTGCGCGTCTGGGGAGTTTCGTCGGTTTTGCCTTCCACAGATCCGCGGAGACTCTCCGGCAGGTAGGACGAAGGACCTCTCCGCCTTTGAGCTGCCGAGCGAGACGAGGTTGAGGTCGCCTTGCCGCTGGGGATTGGAGATGCTTGTGGACTGGGAGAGAGGACCGGCAGGAGGACTCTGGCTTTAGGAAAAATTCGCAAGAGAAGCAAGATGTCCAAAGGCGAGGAGTGGCTTGACAAGATCAGGTCGCCCGCCTTGGGGGACCCGAGAGGTACTTGCGCTGCTCGGCTGCCAGGGAGCACATGCATGCGCAATGATCAGCAGCTTCGCTAAATGTGATCAATCCAAGCCCTGAGCAGAAGTGCGGACTCACTTTCTGCTGCTAGGCGATACTACCTGCTTTTCGGGGAAGATGCCAAGTAGCGCGAGCACCAAGTTGAGGAAGGCTCCCCTCATGGCGGTGCCGAGCGAAAGCTCGAAAAGCGACCAAAGTGTGATGACTGCGATTAGCAGAAGACCTCTGATGACAGCCAGGAGCAGCAAAGGCAAGCTGAGTAGGGCTGTCAGCGGCGATGAAGATCCGGTGGGCTTGTAGTTGAAAGCGGGGGGGATAAGTCAGCTCTCACTCATGACATCGCCCATATCTGACTGCACATCGACTCACAGCTACAGGGGGTAGGAAGACCTGCACAGAATTCCATAGATCAGCAACTCTCGTCTCTTATAATAAAGATCAAGCATCGAGCAGCTAGCTTTGACTCACCTGTATGCCAGTGCCCGCATCTCTAAACCTTGAAAATTTCTCCATGCTTCGCCAGATGAGAGAGGGGCCAAAGGTTCTATGTCTGCGATGTGTGGAATATCGGGGCTGCGCTTTGAGGTGCACGTTGACGGAGGGGCTAGTCGTGATTACGAATGACCAGGTGGTGCGATGGATGGAGGTGGTGTGAGGGGAGAGCTCGAAGACTCGGATGTGGAGGAGGTTGTGTCCGCCGCGACCTTTTATTTCTTCGAGTCTGGTCCGTGCGAAACAGCAGCAGCATCCCGACGCGCGCGCGCATCGTACAAAGTTGCCGAGGCGTGTGCGCGTGATCCTGATTCACGCTCGTGACTGAATTCTGATGCTGTATGATAGACCTATACACAGCCCATCAACAGCCTGTATTCAAGATTCGTGATTCTTTATTGCAAAAGGGGTCGTGTCTCGTCGTCTCGAAGTCCATCATACGCCGTACCTTGCACCTCGATTGAGCACCCGTTTGCATAGCCATTGGCCAGACAGCCGTCAGTCGTGCTTCTGACCTCAGCAGTGCTCACCACCGAACCCTTGCTTGGCATCACCGCGAGGCTCAAGACTACAATTCGACTCCGGCTGGGCGTGGGGCGCAGACACGGACGCTGCCTCGCTAAGTTTGGTTGCGGAACCGACATCCAACTCGGCGCCGAAGTGGATTTCGACATCCTCGCAGCTTGCGAAACGGTGCGGGTGTGCTAAGGTTTCCTATGCGCGTCTGAGCTCGCTCACTCAAGCGCAAAGACCCTCGAGTCCCCTTTGGGTGACTTGACCGAGCATTGCAGCGTGCGAGGTCCAACAATCGTGGGCTTCACAGCGCTGCTACGAGATCCTGCCGCGGCTGTTTCTCGCTCGCACCTTCGACTAGTCCCATCGATCGCCCTCCGTTCGCAGCACCAGCCTCAGTCCGACGCGACTTCACTTGACTGTCCAGCATGGTGTCTCACAACGCGAACGCGCAATCCGATTCCGGGTCGAGGGACCGGCTAGCGACCAACTCTCGCCTGATCGTAGTGTCCAATCGCTTACCAGTGACCATCAAAGTGGATTCTTCTCAGCCCGGTGGCTACTCCTTTGCGCTCTCTTCAGGTGGTCTAGTCTCGGCTCTGTCGGGAGCAAAGAAGCGCATGTCGTTTACATGGATAGGATGGCCCGGACTGTCCGTTCCTACTCGAGAGGATGAGCTCTTCATAGAGTCCAAGTTGGAGAAGGAGTACAGCTGCAGACCGGTCTGGCTAGACCCCGACGTGGCCGACGCACATTACAATGGCTTCTCCAACAGCATCCTTTGGCCACTGTTTCACTACCACCCAGGAGAGATGAACTTCGACGAAGGCAATTGGCTGGCGTACAGAGAAGCGAACTTGAGATTTGCGGAGAGCGTCAGGGAGATTGTCAGGAAGGGAGATATGGTCTGGGTGCAGGTGAGTTGTATTGAAGTGCTCTGCCACATGCGCAAATTCACCAAAAACTCACACTCCCCGAATCACGCCACCGTTGCTGCTCACGTCAAGGACTACCACCTCATGCTTCTTCCATTGATGCTACGCACGCTGATCGAGGGCTCATCAGCACAAGGCAGCGTCTCTCAGCGAGAGTTAGAGCACGTACGGCACGGCGTTGATGGATCGTCTCACTTGGCGCATTCGTCGGGCCTTGCAGCTCCACCTGGCAGCGAAGCAGCAGAGCACTCTGCAGCCCAAGTGGCCTCGGGTCACTCTCACAGAACATCAACCACGGCTACCAACCTGAACGTTCAAAGTGGGACAACAGCCCAGGCTGTCGCTGCCATGGAAGAGGATGACGAGGATGGAGATGGCAAGGGAAGAGGTACGGCGGACGGAACCACTTCGAGGGGAAGCGTCAAAATTGGATTCTTCCTTCACACTCCGTTTCCGAGCAGCGAAATCTATAGGTACGTTGGCTGAAGAGCGCCAGTCGATGGGACACCCGCGACCCAAAGACTGACTTGTGATGCTGTTGCACTGGGCGCTTTGCAGAATTCTGCCTGTAAGACGTGAGATTCTGCTTGGCGTTCTACACTGCGATTTGGTTGGCTTCCACACGTACGACTATGCGCGGCATTTCTTGTCCTCTTGCACACGGATCTTAGGACTTCCAACAATGCCCAATGGAGCCGAATTTGAAGGCAGATACGTGCACGTCGGCACTTATCCGATCGGCATTGAGCCGGCACAATTCATCGAAGGGCTGGCAAGAGACGCGGTCAAGACTAGGATGAGGGCGCTGGAGAGACGTTTCGAAGGTGTCAAGATCATTGTGGGAGTGGATCGCCTGGACTACATCAAGGGCATTCCGCAGAAGTTGCATGCGCTCGAGACCTTTTTGCAGGAGCATCCTGAATGGGTTGGAAAAGTAAGTCAGCGCTGGGCATGCTCGGTCGTCGAAGGATCGGAGCACGTTCTCACGACGGTAGCTCGCTCTGTGTGCAACATAAGGTTGTCTTGGTGCAAGTAGCAGTCCCATCAAGACAAGACGTGGAAGAGTATCAGAACTTGAGAGCCATAATCAACGAAGCTGTAGGACGTATCAATGGCAGGTTTGGTACCGTCGAGAGCATGCCGATTCATTTCATCCATCGATCGGTAAATTTCGAAGAGCTTTGTGCTCTGTATGCTATCTCCGATGCTTGCCTCGTCACTAGCACTAGAGATGGCATGAACTTGGTGAGTGTTGGCACAATCACCCGGAACTTTGCGCGAGAACCAAATTTGACTTTGGCTGTATCTTTCTCTCAAAGGTATCCTACGAGTACATCGCTTGCCAGCAACAACGCAACGGAGTTATGATCCTTTCTGAATTTGCAGGAGCAGCTCAGTGAGTCGTGACGTCCTTTGCCCTCCTGTTTGATTGTCAAAATCTCTTATGAGTCTGTTTGCCATTCTCAGATCATTGAATGGCTCTCTCATCGTCAACCCATGGGACAAATTTGCGGTCGCAGACGCTATTCACGAAGCTCTGACAATGGCATCTGTTACACGCAAGGCCAATTTCGATAAATTGAGCAGATATGTCAACAAGCACACAGCTAGCTGGTGGGGTACAAGTTTCGTCGCCGAGTGAGTACTAGAGCGCTCGGATGTGGGGAAAAGGAAAGAGCATCCTATCTGCAATTTGGCTGAACTCCGCTGCGCTGTCGCTTCCCACAGCTTGAACCGGATCGAGATAGGAAAGCTTGGAACAGAGACTACAGGAGATGATCTGGTCGAGGTACTAGCGCCTGGTCCTTGATTGCACACCAGCGATGGCACATAACACTCAATCATCCAACCTGCTGCGGTCTTTCTTCGCTCACGAGCTTTCATAGATAGATCTGTGAAGCCGTCACAATTCAGGAGAAATGCCCATGAATGTGATAGTCTATCCTAACGATATGTTCGCGTCGCGGGATGAAATTGTCCGACTGGCTCCCAAGTGTCTCTTATCGTCCTCGCCAGCATCTTGTGTGAAGCTGACAGTGACGTGCTGACTCGACTTGGCTGGTATTTCTGGATTAATTGATGAGTCTTTCGCGCACAATCATGTCACAATAGCGAGGCTTCGTGTTCACTGCGCGCCTCCGGTCACGTTGGCATCTCGGAGATGCGTGGGTCTTGGCGTCGAGCCTTGCTACACAAGCGCGCAACGTTTTCCTCCCTTGTTGTCTTTACGCTTTTGCTCGTTGTTGACTCTGAAGGTGAAGCATCTGATCCGTAATTTTTATAGGTAATCGAACTTGCATGGTCCTGCTGGTTGAGCGCTGCAGCCCGTCATGAAGGGGTGATCACTTTTGATTTCCATGTGCGCTGAGGCCTCAGTCCCCACAAACAGCTTGCTGACCCGGCGATGCTGTCGTGAATTCAGACGTGCGAGCAAGGTGCCGCCAAGATCTTGATGTGCCAAGCAAGATCTGCTGTTGCGACCCAAGTTGTGAGTCGGAGCTCGACACGAATCGTGATTTACACGGACTCCTTGACAACGAGCGAAGGAACATGTCAAGACTCGACGCGAGGTTTGCGTTCCGATGGCCGGCTCGCGTAGCAGTGCAAAGAAGGATTCATTCCGATCGCCCAGAGTCAAGCCAGAAAGCAACTCGGCCACCAGTAGATACAGGGACAAAGCGATTCGTGATTTTAATCGCTCCTCCCCCTCTGTCTACGATCTCGATTGAGTTGTCATTCCTTCAAAGTCGCTGTGGGCTGCGATTGCTGCGGTGCAAAGGATGCTACAGAGCAAGCATCACGATTATGTAATTCGTGCGCATGGTGCCGCAAGGCTCCATGTGCAGTCGTGAGTGCACGTCCGAGAGCTTGGCATCGGGCGGCGAGCCACTTCGCGACATCGACAGAATCTTCTGCCAAATGTGCCGTCCGCGCCAAGCCTACCTACCGATGCACGATTTGAGCCCGAGGGTCCAACACGAGATTCGCCCTTCTTCGATCAGTGTGAGGGATCGGCCAAGAGCTGAGCTTGCTTGCCTGCAACTTCGGCGTCGCGAGCATGTTTAGAGAGCGAATGGCGACGTACGTGCCAAGAGCCAGCAGATTCACAACCACATTTCATCCATTCACGATTGCGCGACAGGAGTCATGAGGCCTTACCTGGCATGGACAAAGCAGCATCACGATCGAGGAGCGGGTCGCGAAGGCTTTGTCTGCATCCCGCAGCGAGGTTGGTCTGACCCGCGACCGACGACGACCTCCATCGTCGATTCACAATCACAAATCGAATCTGGGCCTCTCCAATGCAGACTCATTTGCTCAGGACGCACCGCGCCTCCGCGCAACACATTCTAGGCTGCCTGATCTGACTCTAACGATTGAAAAGGGCTCGCAACTGCATGGTCGTGATTCAACAAGCAAGATTCTAAAGATCTTGAGATCCATGTGCGTGTAGGGCACTCAGACTCGGCACGGCGCGCGTGGTCCAACGAGCTTGGCGTGCTTAAAGTGAGAGAGGAGCATTCCACCCGCTCGGGTGCTTAAAGGACGTGTGTGGGATGTCCTTCGACATTCACATTTGCGCGACGTTGATCGTGAATCGTGAATGCCTCCATCGTTCGTCCCAATCCACGAATGCGGGGGCAGACAGCCGCTGACGAGATTGCGTCAAAGGAGGGATGTGGTTCAAGACTCGTGATTCACGATTGCGATAGATAGGCAGCGCGTGTGGGGCTGCTTTGAGTGCTTCCCCACCCCGCTATCGGCGCGTCTTTCCATCCGCGCGCGCACCGCAACAGCACGAGCTGAGCTATAGCTGCTACAAGCTTTCAAATGAACCCACGCAGGCCCCGCATGGCGCCAGCAGCAGCAGCAGCAGTGGCCAGTGCATGGTAATTAAGTCTGAGTGACGCCACATGAGGCGCACCGCGGTGCCCCAATCACGAATCGTGGATGCCAGGATTCTGCAGTGGTTGACAGGCCTCTACTCAGACTCTTGACTCGCCGTCGTGATCGTGTGTGTCGTCATTCACATTCACGCAGACAACAGCGTCGCGGAAGCTCGTGTCCGATTCAGGCGGGCCGTGCATGTTTCTAGGGAGCGAGATGAAGGTTGATATATGGCGCTCACCCGTCTGCGCATGCAGAAATGCACAATCGTGAATACGACAAAGGACATAGGACATTGGACATAGGACATAGGACGCCATCATTCAAAAATTGCATGCTCGGCGCGTTGAAGATTCGAGGTCAAAAGTGGAGTCCGGCTTGCTATACTTGCCTACTCTGACTATTACTCTGACTCTACTACTACTATCCGTGAATTCAGATGCAAAGCGTGCTGCTGCATATATTGCTAATCTTGAATGCTGCTCTGCCTATCGTTATACCTAAACGCAACGGCAGGCTCGCGATATGTGCATGGAGCTCATACAACCGACTCAATCACACAGTCAATAATAAAGTAAATCTTTCGATTTTCATTCACGCGCCCACATGCCCGCGCAGGGTGCCGCTGCATCCAGTGGCCGGCAAGTTCGTCAGAGATCATCAACGAGGACCTCTATCCGAGTCTCGAGGAAAGCAATTCTCTCGATCGGTGTATCGTGCCTCTAACCATCGTCACGAGTGCCGTTCGTGGGGCAGCATCCAGCTGCCGTCGGATAGCGCCCTATCTGCACCTTCTGGGGCAAGCGTCGCGAGTGGGTAATAATAGCAATGAAGTGATCTCCTCATCCGTGCAGCAAATCAACATCAAACGCGTCGGGCGGGTCTTTTTCGACGAATGCGGAGATCCAAGCCACGACTTTGGAGAGCGATGACACAGCAGAGAAGTCTGGCCTGCGCAGATCAGGCCAGAATGGTTCATTCACAGGCAAGCTACCCACGAGCTTGACCAGAGCTTTACAAGGTCCGCGCGCGCGTCCATCGGTATGTACGGACCCTACGCTTCGGCTCACGAGCCTCGGTGGGTTGCTCATGCACCCACGACACACAACAGGCACTTTTGAGTTGTGAGTTGTGAAGTGCTAACGCACGCATGAAGGGTGCGGATACAGTAGATGACCCCAGCTGTGCCTTTCGGCCTTGGTGTTGGCTTGGCTTGCAGTAGCATCATCTCGATCTCTACATTCAGCAGCAGTAGCAGCAGCAGCTAACGGGTGCGCAAAGCCGAGTGCGGCGGCGCAACGGAGAGGCGCACCGTGATGACGCCAAGCTGTGTGCGGCGGCTTCCCGCAGCCATATATACTGTACATGTACCGTAAGTGGCCGCTCGCACTCATGAGTCACGACTGCGATGTTGTACCGGTGAGGCAGGTGTACTGTAGACCTGCAGCAGCACCCCGCGCGCGCGCCTCCTGCTTTTTTCGATCATCAGCATATCAAATTCAAGATTGCATGCATCCACACGACGCGCCGAGGCGCCGCACGCGGCGTACGGCTGCTGTACGGTATGACGCCTGATGCGCGCGCTTGTTGGTCTGCCTGTCTTGTCATTCGATTTCTGATCCCGTGGTTGAGTCTGCTGCGAGAAAGGGGGGATGATGCATCGTGTCAGCCAGCATACGGCAGAGCCAAGGCGCCGATTTCTGGGAGAACTGCCCTCGTATGGATGGGTGTATACATGATGCCCCCAGCTTTGCTTACCCACCCACCTCTACATCTCTGATACCACACTCGCGATTGTGCCTTTTGAAACGGGCCGCTGTGCCCCGATGAAGGGAAAGAACTCAATCCCTGCTAATGCTCCAGCTGCGCCTCTTTACCTCGTCGCACGACCAGTCGGCCCAGATCCAACTTTTCAGCACCTCGGTATTGCAAAAAGCTTTCACTCACACCGAATCTGGCCAAAGTATCGTCGATTCTACCTCCTTCTCGAATTCCTCACACCAGCGCGCTTCCATCATCCGCTTCGTCTCACTATCTGCATCTCTGACTGTGCTGGGCCCCAGTGACGCCCCCCTCCCCCGATCTGTCGCTGCTGCGATCGTTGGAAAATACGTGTTCTGTCCGCTGGCGGTCCTTGGCAGACACTGCGGGTATACTGCCACCAGCAGCCTTAGCAAGGTCAGCGGACAACACGCGCCGTGATGCTATCTACGTCGCCGGGAAGCATCTGGCAAGGGGAAGATCCGAGCGCTTCCTCCAGTTCAGTCTCGTCTCACGACACTCTTCGTGCTCATTTGGAAGAGCGCTCGTGCCGGCTTGGCTCGTCATCGAGCTCCTCGCTTTCTTCCTCTGCCTCTCCGTCTTCACCACTGTCGCCAGTCGCTGAAGGCAGCAGCGGCCCAAAGATTGGCGCGCAACTTCTGCCAGCCTCTAGAAGACCCCGCAGGCTCGCTAGGCATTCTCGGCCGTCTAGCGCAACATCTGAAGCGTCTCAGGCCTCGCCTGTGCCGTCGGACCAGGAAGCGATGACATCAAGTGCCAGCAAGGAAAACGCGACCCCACCTACCAGCGGCTTGCAGTTGTTCAACTTGCCTCTCTTCGTCAGTTGCGAGCCTGGCGCAATCCGGCAGGATCACCACCTCGCACCGGGTCTCGAGGAGGCATCGAAGCCGAGCCCTCCCGTCAAGGCCCAGCGAGCCAGCAGCTTGCGCGATTCTCCGCATTCATCTCACTCGCCCAAATTAGGCGGCGCCGCTCAAGTGTCTGCAGCGCGGAGTCGGTCGTTGCGCGTGGCTTTGCCAGCTAGTTTGAGCGCGGAGCATGCAAGCACGTTTGCTTCGCAGTACCACAGTCCAGGAAGGTCAGATAGAACCTTGCCGTACTCCATTTCGCGCGAGAGCTCGGAGGAGAGCGAGGTGTCCTCAGGTGCATACAAAGCTAGAGAACTCAACAACGACTGGTTGCAAAGCTCGCGGAGATGGTCGTCCTCCATCTCTCACTCTCGGTCCGCAAAGATGTTCAAGCAAGCTGCTTCGCCTTATCTCAGAGCAGGGTTGGAAGAGTTGAAGAGCATCTTCGACGTCGACTCCGACCCAGTACCGTCCAGCCCGTTTGAGGATGACGATGAAGAGGATACTGCGCACGAGAGCGACGCAGAAGATGGTAGGAGTGGAGGCACCTTTTCAGAGATTGAGAGCGGCGAAGGAGGTCGGAGAGAGGGCAGCTCAGCATCCAGCGCATCTAGAGCTAGTAATTTGAGGAGACTCCTTAGAGGGACCTCCGCGACGAAGCGTCACGGGAGCTCCGCCAGGCGAGACGGATCGAGGAGTCCCCGCTTCTCGCCGAGCGGCTTGAGCTCTCATGTGGACAGCTCAAGCATACTGCCGACTTCGATCCATTCTTCTGGAGGTCAAAGTGAACTCAGGATCAGTGCAACCTCTTCGAGTCCCAGACAGCCAACCACCCCTTTGCAACCTAAGCTGTTGCAGAGCTCCCGCCGTGAACCCGCCACGGCCGCGTCCTCTCTGGGTCTCACGGCCGGCGAGGAGGAGAATGTCTCTCACAGTGCTGCCTCGCCGCATACGATCTCGTCAGAGAAGGCCAGCTTGAACCCACTGCCAGGCCGAGCTGCAGCATCGGATGATGTCCTGCTAGCAATTCCTCATTCCGAGAAAAGCGCTAGGCCTTCATTGCTCGACGATGCCGATGTTCGTGGACGCCAAGTGGCAATCGGTTTGGCTCTGATAGCCATCGGCATGGTCTCTGCTTGTGCGTTCGGGGAGCGCTTCTACAACGATACCTTCTCCGCCAGTCTCCTCATCTTCTTCCTGGTGCAACCAGCATTCGCGCTCCTGGGACTGGCGGCACTTCTGGCTCGAAGGCGAGCCGTCATGGATTTGTTCTCGAGAGCTATGCGGGCGCATGTGCTGCTTCAAGGCATCATTGCCCTGCTTGCCTTTTTGGATCTGTCAGCCTCTGCGTCTTATGTGCGAAAGGGAGCTTTTGGAGGAGCGCACTTTTGGGTCATGGAGCTCATTCCTTCCATGCAGTCGAAATTTGGCCCATGGTCCTCGATCTGGGATGCTAGCACCGCGCCGGCCGCAGCTTTACTCTCGGAGGCAGCGCACGCCTCACAAGGCGAAGCTCAACTGCACGCGCACGACACTTCCGTAGGCTCCCTTTCTTCCAGATTGACCCATTTCATCATCTTTCTGGCCCAAGCTGCTGTTCCATTGGTCCTCGCGCTTTGGGCTCAATTCCACTTGGCAAGAGCGCTAGGGCTTTTGGCCAGATCTCCCACCCTCAGGCGAAGCGGATCCGTTCGCGGACCCAGTCGACGCACCAGCATCAAGCAAAGACCTTCTTCGCACGGGGCCAGGAGCAAGAGACAAGCGTCTCACGTTGCTGAGGAAGGCATTCCTCCCGTGCCCGCGTTCGATGTTACGGAGCTTGCTTCACGCCTGCAGAGAATCGATGCAGCCGCCGCATCAAAGAGCGGACGAGCTTCAAGTCTAGAATACGGGCGAGGGGCCGGCACACCTCAGTCTCGACTCGGTCAGCAGACCCCGAGGGCATCTGCTACTTTGCCAGCTATGCCCAACGCTCGCTCTCAAAGGGTTTCCCTTTTGGCCTCTCCTGCCCTTGGGCAAGGCTTCACGTATGGGCTTGGACAAACCACTCCAGACGTGAGCTCAGGCGCGTCGGCGACGACAACCAAGGATGCTCAGCCCACTTCGCCACGCAACCGAACCTGGTCTCACAGAAATCTTTCGCCGTTGTCTGCTTCGCCGCACGCAGTGCCGGCTGGCGCGCCCGGGGTGGCTGTGTCGCCACGTCTCAAGACCGCCAAGATCAATCACCACGATGGGGCGATGGCGCCCAGAGCTGAGGAGGTTGGTCTCTCCACCAGCCCTCGCAATATGCAAGGCATCTCTCGCACAGCAACCCACAGGAGGCGCCCGGACGAAGAGCGCCCCAATCGATCCTTGTCCCAACAAGTTGTGATCTCCGACGAGACCAAAGCTCTACTCGGCATGGCTCAAGGAGAGTGTCAGCATGGCATGGCCAATTCGTCATCAGATCCAGGCTTCGGTGTCAGCCCATCGGACGTCGCTCGAAATGCTCATCACTCGCCCTCCAGACACAGCGAGACCCCGCACACCTAAGTCGCCATTCCTCGTTTCTACATTCAAGCTTTTCGTTCCGGCCCAATGCGCTACCATCGCATCAGTATTTGTATTTCCGCCCTGCCAGAGCGTACTTTGCACAGAATCCCCACAATAGTCACGCTTCCCGTTCTTTCATATACGCAAACAACCATCACATCAAATCTGTTTCGCTGAAGCAATCTATTCCATGTTTCATTCGCGTAATGCACATTCACAATTGTCTGCGACTGGAACAGTGCAACCAACGCCTAGGGTCCATGTGCATGTGAGTGAGGTGCACTCTCCCGCGAGGTCGAAGACGCGCCGGTGAATGCTCTCTCTAGACTGGACGGACGACGGATGCGCTCAGAGCCGGCTAGACGACTGGTCAATGGCATCCGAAAAGCCCATGGAAGTTGATGTCGCTGCAAGCACCAGAGACCTTGACGCCATGGGCTGGCCGGGACAGCTGCCTGCGGCGCGAAGATGCAAGAGCGCAACTCACGCCGTCTCCTACATGCTGAGCGCAGTCTCTGAGAACGATTCTCGTTGCTCACGCGGCGAATTCACGAGCCACAGCTTGTGAAGCAGTTGACCCTTTCGAAGGACAGCGCGTAGAGCATCGGACTTGAGCGCCGCGAACCTGAGAAGGTCGGGGAGACGCCACTGCTTTGGCGTGCCATTGACGAGCAGCGATTGCATCGATGATGAAGCGACGCTCATCATCTTTTCCACATGTCCTTCAAGCTCCTCTGTTTGGGGTCGGGTTCGCCCAAGCGACCGCGGCCTGCCCGAGTGGTCCGCGCCTGTTCATGGAGGTGTGACGTATCGTTGGTCCTCTGCAGTACCAACTTGCATCTTTTGGCTAGCTCAGACAACGCAGCAGGTATTGATGTTGAAGTCGAGGTCGTAGCAGGCATCAGAGGATCTTCGTCGCGGCCTATCGAGCCTGTCATGATCTCTTGACGGACGAGCGTGTACAGAGCCGTATTGTCCGCAAAAGGTACGGACATTTGGTTGCCTGCTGGCATGCACAATTTGAAAAAGCTGGAAATGAAGAGACCGTGCGTGACCACTACGAGATGTCGACGTGGCATGACTGCAAGGTCTGGAAAAGGCTGGCTCATAGAGGCGATGCTGGGCTTTGGAAGCGCGGCTGCCGTTGGACCGGAGGAGGTGTGCAAAGGCAGGGGCTGCCAGGCGCTGATAGGCTTGGATTCCATGCAGGATTCCTCTTGCTTCTCGTCTATTTGCTTTCCCGTGCTTTTGCTGCTGCTGCTCTTTAAAAAATTGTGCGGCGCAGAGAAAGCATAGCTCGTTCTTGACTCAACTCGACCGATAGTCGCTCCTTCATTCTTAGCCTTTTTGCTTTCGTTGCCCTCATTCCCCCGGCCCAGCGTCCTTTTACCGGCGGTGTTGCTCTCGAGTTGGCGCAGCTCCGCCCTGCTCATCAGCCATTTCGCTTCCATCTGCACCCTGCGCATCCACGCGTCGTTGGACTCTCCTCGGCCAATGCCTTTTGGAAAGCCGTTCTGATGAAAGCCTCTCCGAGTGCATTCTCTGAAGCCAAAATCCCTTTCTTGCAACGCGCTTCGAGCGCTTATGCTCAACCTTTTACCGCAAGCAGCAGCATCAGCAGGCTCGGCAGAAGTGAGGATGTGTCTACGCATCGCATCGTGCACGACCTGAGCTGTCCTGCTCGTGCGTCCGAGCGGAGAGTGATAAATTTCCACGCAATCCCCGCGGAGCAAGGCTTCGTACAGCTGCTTCCAGAGGCTGCAGTCGCCAAGGCATTCCAGTTGAGATTCTCCAAGTGGAGACAATGGAGAGTCTGTGCTCCCTTGAAGCACGTGCGCCACATTCGCAACCGTTTGCGCGTGACGTATCAGCGTCAGCGTTCCACCAACGCCCAGAGGAGACGTGTTTGCGGCTGCGGTCGACATAATGACACCACGCAACGGCTGCGCGGTATGGCAATGGGCGATGCGTTTCCTGCCCTTCTCTCCTCGCTCCCCTTGGTAGCCTAGGATGCTTGCATGAAGTCGCCCTTATCAAACCTGTATAGACAGCTCGCTACTCAGACTCTTCCTTCATCTTTCGTGCTCTCTACAGATGCACCGAACTCATCACGTGCTCAGACCAATTCGTGAGACACTGTCCGCGATGAGGCAGCCCGAAGATGTCGTAGTGCTTGTGGCTTATAAGCGGATTGACTCAGCACTGGACTCTTGACTCCAGCGTGCTTGCCTACAGACTTATCGTGTTGAAGGTTGTGTTGTTGCATCATGAGTCAGCTGATGATGGTGGCATGCGAGCTTGTTCGGATCATAAACAAGTGGTCACAAATCAATTTATAAAGATCAGCAATCAAGCTAGGAGTTTGAGTCCGATTGAGGCGTCGGAGTCAAGAGTGTAAATCAAGAAGAACTTCGAATTTATGATTAATCGACGATTTGAATTCAGGATTCTTGATTTGGCAACTTTCCACTCACCACGTGACTTTACAGAATTTGATTTTCTTCTCGCGGCGATCGCGGCAGCATGACACAGACCTACATGCAGCATCAGCCATCGCGCGTGCTGCTGGTAAAGTGCCAAAGAGGTTTTGCTGTGCGCAGCCACACGACCCGTGAAGCCTTGGCGCTGTGGCTGCGCCCGAGCAGAAACCCGGGCATCGATCGCGCATCAACAGCAGCGCGCGGCTGGCCATAGCTGCTGCTCGATCAGAATTCCGTGCGTGCGTGTCGAGGCGTGTGCCTCTTCGCGCGGGCGTCGCCCCCTCGCTTAGGCGCCGCAGCTCGATCGAGACGTTCAAGATTCCTGACTCAAACCTCGTCGATCACTCCCAGCTCGTTCCGAGACTCGTTAGACTGCAAAGACTCACCGGTGTATCACATCGCCCAGCAACGCTCTTGGTCGATCGTGCGTCGCAAAGCCTCGCACACAACTCGTGACCATTGATTAGCAGAGGTTGCACAGGAAAGCCGGAGCAGGCTTGTATTCTGCATCGGCACCTCGAACGTCAGTGCCTACCTTCACGATTCGCATTCTCAGTCTAAAGTCAACATCATCATCGTCTGCTCCATACCGTGATCCAATACCGTCGGCCAAATAATCATCGATAACGCATACAAACCTTCGCGTCACTATCGCAACAGTCTCTAGTCGGTGCTCTCAGTCCCGTCTCGGCGTAAAAAAAAGTCCGCAAGGGCACACTCTGATCTCGCCACATCTCCCACCACATCTTTGCCCGTCATTCCTCCTCAACAATCTCTCGACTTTCGTTTCGGCGCCGTTCAGGCTTTCCTCTCGGTAGACTCTTTGTGAGTGGCGGTCTAGCCGGGCTGATGGGTTGTTCGGGAGCGTGCGAGCGCGCGATGAATCGAGTGGGTGAAGGAGATGAGATGACGCAGCGGAGAAGGGAGGACTGAACACATGCGGTCAGGAGCACTCGCAATGAACAGGTCACGAATACGCCTTTGAGTCCGTGCAGCCCTTGCTGTCTGGCAAGTCGTGAGAGGAAAAGGGAGGGGCGTGGCTTCGCAAGCAAAGGGGAGCTTGCATTCTGGTCGGATAGACGACGATGTTGCATCTCTACGCACCTCTTTCGCGAAAATGTGGCCTCATTCGCACTAAACTGCGACATCTAGTCCCCCTGCAAGCGCTCATGCCGATACTGACATTGAATGGTCTTTCTCTCTTGTCCACGGCAGGCCCGGCTAATCAGATCGGTAGTCGCGTTCCGCAGATACACATTCCATCAAATACCTTTGCAGCGCTCAGCATCAGGCCGCCGTGCGTCCCAACTGACGCTGGCGACCCATTCGCACCGGCTCGCGCTCTGCCTTGCTCTTTCTTAGCTCGTCATCTTTCTCGTGAGTAGCGTCAAGGGCTGCGATAGGGTGGGGATTTGTGGGACGGGATCAATTCCAAGCGCCAGTTGCGGCCGCTTGGTGCGAGGCTGCCTTGGCACGGGCATCGTAGATGCGCTTCAGGAGTGGGGTGACGTGCTAAGAGGTGCACTTCGAAGTTTTGACTCGATGATGTGCTTTTGGTGAGCGCGGCAAAGGTGCCGTTTCAGCGTTGGTGCAAGGTCTCCATTACATGTGGCCAATCTACGCAAGAAATTGTGCCGCGATTATCGGAAGCACATTGCTACTTGACGCACAAACGTCATTTCCCACACTCTGCACTTGCAACGACGTCTTCGGCTTCGTAAAGCGTTTGCCGGCCGCCGTGCCGCGGGTATGACAGTCATACCTCGCCACAGAGCGCGCCTGACGCCTGCGAACCGGCGTATCTGATAGATCCAAGCGGATACCCTTCATCAGCGCGTATTGATGCCGCCGAGTGGTCACGACGAATGGAGTGAAGATCACCCCTTTATGGAAACGGAGGAAGAGAATCCGCCGCAGAGCATGCAGGGGTTCAAGGGTCGGCCAATTTATGTACGCGGCGGTGATGAACGTATTCGCTGGAGGAATGCGTGGTGGGCATTATGTTACGTGGCCGTCACCCCGGGTCTTCGGCTTCCTTAGTTGTCATTTGCGCACGAAAGTCGAGCAAGTCTCACCGAGGATGCCGAACTTCGGCGCCTCGCTCCTCGGGGCGAAGCCAGTAATCTCCATCCTGCGAGAGATTTTGGGCTTTAGACACCGCAATTTCAGATCTCAAGGGCCACACGCCGATCCGGAGTAGCCGCTGCAGAGGGGTGAGGGCGCCCTTCACTGACAGCAGCAGGGTTTCTTCGCGCCAGCTGCTGCCATATGCGAGATCTTGCAGATTCGTGATTGCATTTCGCCGGCTAGCTGCAACGCGTGTCACAGCGAGTCAAGCAGCAACTAGCAGCCACGCGCGCGCGCTCGCGCGCCATCGCAACGCGATGTGACCTTCGGAACCGCGCTAGCGCAATTAGAGCCGGCGGCTCACTCTTCGCCCCTCGCCCAAGCAACTACCCTTTGCCCGAGCCCTCGACCCATTGCGCAACCGTCCGCCGTTTGTTGCGCATATGCTGTTTCATTCCGGCATCCCGCATGTGTTGCGGGCGGGGTCCGCGCGTAAATGATCGACAACGTCTTTCTGAGACTTGCTGTGAACTCATCGTTTGCACGCGCGGTTGCGCACCATGCGTTTCCGCTCTCTGCACCCGCGCTCGCCATCTGCCCCTTCGCTGCTGTTTGGATGATGCAATTTCTGACCGACCTTCTTTCCGTTCCACTACCTTTCCACCCCACGTTTGGCCTGTGCCGACTTGTTGCATGGATACCACTGCACCCCGCCTCTTGGGCTGGCGGTGCTGCGGATACTGGTCGCCCTTCACCCTGCATCTGGCATTCCTCTTGAACCTACCGCGCGACCCTTCCCCTCCCTCTCGATTTGGAAACGATGGAATCGTTGCACGGCCTAACGCACTTCTCCGTTGTGCCGTCCTTACCTGCGCATTCTCATTGCTCGCCCTCGGCCCATTTCTGCGACTCTTTGATTCTCCCTGCATCGTCGGCATGCGGTCATTCACAAGATCAGAGCGACCTTCGTCGACAGCGCCAGCTTTACCAGCTGCGACTGGTCCACGTCGCCAGATTGCCTCGTGTGAGTGTCGGGGTGGGCACGTTCCACACGTTCGTACTCATATGGACTGCTCCAACGTCAAAGTCATAAAGCTGACAATTCGTTTCTCTCGACACCCCAATTTTGCCCCACCGCCGTTGATCATCTTGTTCTTCCTTTGCAACTTGACCTCTGAACCTCCAACACGTCCACCATTTTGGAAATGACCGCGATCGTCGCACCACCTCCCGCCCCCACCAGCTCCTACCGCTACTCACCAAACTTGTACGAGAGCCGCACAGTGCACAACGCCTCGTCAAGCCAGATGACACGACCCGACACACCACCGGCGGACTACCCGTCCCCGCTCCTCCGCGCTAGCGATGCATCAGCATCTCGACCTCTGATCAAATCATTTGGAGGTTCATGCGGCAAGCCCGTCTTTGCCGGCAGCGTTGATGAGCAATTGAAGGATGTGCTCAATCGCATCGATATCGACGAATGCGAAGCGAACGGCGAAAATGCTTTCTTCGTTGCAGATCTCGCCGAAGTCTACAGGCAGCACATTCGATGGCAGCGGGCGCTGCCTCGCGTCATCCCGTTCTACGCCGTCAAGTGCAACCCCGACCCTTACGTTCTGCGTCTTCTCGCCGCGCTCGGCACTGGCTTCGACTGCGCTTCCAACGGCGAGATTCAAAATGTGCTCGATCTGGGCGTGTCGCCGTCACGCATCATCTACGCCAACCCCTGCAAAGCGGCCTCTTTTGTCCGCAACGCTCGTGATCAGGGCATTTCCCTCACGACGTTTGACAATACCGACGAGCTTGTCAAGATGAAGCGCTTCCACCCACAATGCAAGCTCGTCGTCCGCATCCTCACCGACGACAGCAAGAGCGTCTGCCAGCTGGGCCTCAAATTTGGCGCCCCCCTCGACAACGTCCCGCGCTTGTTGGCAAAAGCACGAGAGCTTGAATTGGACGTCGTCGGCGTGAGCTTCCACGTCGGTTCTGGTTGCTACGACCCGCTTGCCTTCAAAGATGCTGTTCACCGTGCTCGCCAGGCATTCGACATGGGCGCGAAGGCTGGCTACCAGTTCGATCTCCTTGACCTCGGAGGCGGCTATGCGCATGACAATTTCGATCGCATTGCGAGCGTACTCGGCCCTGCTATCGACGAATACTTTCCAGATCGCGATTTTGCACCTGGTGGTCGCCTTGTCGACCGTACTCGACACGGCCTTCGCATCATTGCGGAGCCTGGGCGGTACTACGTCCAAAAGGCTTTCGTCCTTGCAGCGAACATTATCGCTCGCAGAGAGAGTCACGTGGATTCGGAAAATATCGATGAAGCAGTCGCTGCTGGCGACGAGATCGATGAGAGACCGCCGCCTGTTACGCCAGCTGCTCCTCCGCCAAGTGAAGCGGCCGAAGATGTCAAGCCTGCCGTCATGTACTACCAAAATGACGGCATGTACGGCGCCTTCAACTGCATCTTGTTCGACCACGCCACGGTGCATCCAAAGGTGCTAACGATGCAGCAAAGGTACGCGTACGAGCCCGCTGTCGACGCTCCTGGTGTGGCTGATTTACCGCACTCGGCGAGCGAAGAGGAACGACAAAGATGGACGCTGCAACCGTGCAGCGTTTGGGGACCTACCTGCGACTCGATCGACTGTGTCAGGTCCATCGCGCACCTTCCCAAGGGACTCGAAGTGGGCGACTGGCTCGTCTACGAAGAGATGGGCGCTTACACCATCTGCGCCGCTTCTTCGTTCAACGGCTTGCGCCAATCCGAAGTGCGATACACGGTCGGATGGGGTCCGGATGCGGACAGGGTGCAGCAGCTATTGCTCGATAGCGCCCAATCGCTCTGAGCCATGAGGTCTCGAACGCAAGCATCTCTCAAGTCTCTTGCATGCATGTTCCAATGAGCCGTCCCACGATACGTTGCTGCTTCTGCTCACATGTTCGAAAATGTCACGACCATTTAAAAGCTGGGTAATACATTATTTGCAATGGTGAATGCAATGAATGCCTTCTGCGTGTTTCGCATGCTGCGATTAATTGTCATCGTTGCGGCACGCGCTCTCTGTTCCTTCCTTTCGGATGAACCTTGTGTGGTGCTTCACAATTCACGATTCAGCAAACGAGCTAGGAATGCTAGGAGAGGTGATTGTCTCATTCACGTGCGTCTAGATCAGTCATTCTTCCAGCTCTTCCACGTGCACCTCTTGGCGCGCGCCTCTGTAAATTACAGCTTGCACGAGACCCGTCAGAATCATGCTGTCGGCGACGACGCACCTCACCTGCCAAAGGGACGAACAGACGATGAGCGAGCTGAGTTGTGAAGGGTTCTGATGGGTCTTGACTCACAGTGTACGGTGCGACGTTCTCAGCTGTAAAGGCGGCATGAAGCCAGTTGAGGAGCAGCTGTGTAGCGCTCAGTAGGGCCGCGATGCGAAAGGTGCCATTGAACGTCTTGGTCTTGGAGTTGAGCAGCAATTGGCAGATCGTAGCGGCACTTCCGCAAGACGTCGAGAGCGTCTCGAACGCGAGCCACATGTGCTTCCTCACGACTGGAGCGTTGGCGTTTCTGTGCATCTGGCCTGCCAACTGGCCGAGATGAGGAGGATGATCTGCCGAGAAGTAGCCCTTTGGGTAGCCTCTGGATGTCGTGAGCTCAATGTTGCCAAGGAACTCGTCAAGGAAGAACAGTCCAAGTGTGAGGATGAATACTTTCGCGTATGGGAGGTCCAGCCTCGCATTGCGTCGTTCGGCCTGGTCGGCTTTGCGTTGACCAACTACTCCAGCAGTGTAAGGGATGCTCTGATGCGTCTTGCTCCACTCGATCCGTTTTGAGCGTCTCCAAGGAGCGAACGTGATGCGGAAAGTTCTGAAAGCTTGCAGAATGTTGAATGAAGCTGCAACGAGCGTAGGGAGGATCGCCCCTGTGATATTTTGGAGGATCGGATGATCTTGGGTTTCCAACGAGAAGCTATCAGCTTTCAACGACATCTCAAATCCGAAGACGGATGAATCCACGAAGAATTGCGTCACCAAATCCAGTACAGCGGCGGCACCGGACAATCCGAAAGACGTTCTGCGAGTAAGCCAGTATAGCAGCATCACTGAAGCAAGTAAGGGCTCGTGAGCTGCCGAATAGAATTGTAGGATGGGTTTTCGAATCACTCACGTGGTCCACTGGCAAGTCCAAACAGAAATTCGAAAGCGAAGCTCGCGAGCCCCAGCAAAGTCAAGTGTCGACGGATATCACCGGTCAGGACCCATGATTGAATCTCTTCCATTTGATGGACGTCATTCATAAATAGTCCTTCTGCAAAGGACTCCCGAGTGGCACGGTCGCCCTCGACCATTGCGATATCTTTGTTACCCTCTGCTTCGTTCTTCTCTTCGGCAAGTGGCAAAGGACTCGACACTCTGTCCATGTTGGACATCATCAGCGATGAGTCCGCAAACATATCCAGCTTGTTGAAGTGAGTCCTGACCGGTCCGGTGACTGCGGTATTGATTCTCCATTTGAAAGCTAATGAGTTGTTCTCGATTTTCGCAAATGGTTGTACGAGCTTCAACGAAAACTGGCTAGCTTTGTCTGTCTCAGAAAAGTCTCTATGCCTTTCCTGATAGACTTGACTACTGTTTTTCATCAATTCCCCTGGGCCGACCCAGAGGTCGTCTTTCTCCACATGATCGAAGAGGCGAAGGATCTCCCGAATGCCTGAATCGCCGTTCACAGCTAGTATTTGAGGCGCATAGAAGTGTCGCAGACTGCCATCAGGAGCGGTGAAGGTGAAGTGCTGATGGAAAGGTGACAGGCGTCTATCTGCAGCGCACCTGGCGTCTCCCTCGGCGACGCATCCGAAGTGCTATTTCAACGCAGAAAAATTTATATGAGCAACAGTACACGCAAGGCTGCACCGAGCTTTTCCGGACCTACCTCAGCCCAATTGGGACCCTGCTTGTCTTTGAGATCTTGCACACGGAATATGGCTTGTTCGTCCACCTTCGGAAGCATGATCCTGCTTCTGGTCAGTAGAAGCGCTGCGACAGTCTTCTTGATTTCCTGCGCCATCGTTGTCTCTCCCAGCAAAGTTGCGAGTTGACGATCGGCCTCAGGCCCGCTGATCGTGTCATCGTGATCCAGACCAAAAGTGCCAATCAGGTTGCTTAGCTTGGCCTCAGAGTCCTGAGGGCTCGCAGCTTCTCCATCTTCGATTCGCTCATGCACAGATATCAAAGGCTTAGGTGAGCTCCCGGTCATGAGAAGAGCTTCTGTGAGGGTAAGGGGAGCACGCTTGGATGCGCCCAAAGTCGAATTGGCTTGACGCGAGTGTTTCCAAAGGTGACAAGTCCAGCCCATCAGTCTCTTCCTCTTTGTCTCGCCTTCAGCTTGTACAGAGCCTTTGCGCAGCGCGCTCTCAACCATTGTCGGCTGACACAGCCGCTGAGCCTGTAAATTCGCACTGGAAGGCGTGCCAGGGCGCTTCCAAGCTCTTGAACGAGCTCTCGCCTCCCAGACACTGTCACCGGTGAAGAGGCCATCGGCGGATGTCAGGTTTGCGAATGTCAGACCAGACCATGGTGCATCTGCAGCATCGAGATCAGACGGAACCATGACCGAAGTAAAGGACAGCGTGGATGCCTTGACTGTCTCCGCGCTGCGAAGGAAAGCGCGCGTTAGAGCCTCACACCCGCAGCGCGCTGTGCCGGGGCAAAGAAGAAATGAATAACTCACTTGAGCAGTGGCAAGGCGCTGAGGTCGATGTCGATCTCGGCATCAGCAGATTTTCTGGTCGATCCCAAAGTGAGATTTTGCGCAACAATGCCGCTCCAAATGGGCTGCAGATGCTCGAGTCGATCGCTCCTGAAGTCGCTATACTCAATCGTAGCCTGTTCACCCGCTTTCGGTTGCTTGATTTTGTCTAGCTGTGACAATCTCGATCGGCTCTGCTCGTCATTGACGAGCATGTTGCCCTCTTCTGCCCACTTGAGCCACAGCGTAGCGTGCACATCAAACCGAGTCTTGGCGTCGAAAAGAGGTCGCACCACGTCATCCTCCCAAGTCTTGTCCAAATCCTTGCCAAGGTTTCCCTGCTTCAAAGCTTCTTGTTCCTCCTCCGTTCCAAACATAAACTTTTGCATCTTGGCCGGATCATTTCCCTTGGAGCTTTCGGGCCTTGGTCCGGGAAGAATATCTCCCAGCTTGACGTACAGGGACCGATGAGGCTGGTGCACCTGAGCTCTAGCCCAGTACAGACCATACCCGATCCCGCACAGTGCGGCCAGACCCAATGCGCTGAATGTCCAAATGCAGCAGATTGCGCATTTCCCTCTTTCTCTCGTCCGTCGACGGACATCCAGCGCTGGCTCGCTTGTTCCAGACCGGGACCCTAACAGCGGAGCGCGCTGCTGTTCATCCTTGCCAGAGGCGCTTGGGGGCCCCGAGCTGCCTTGTATGACCTTTTCGCTCATGCTCAGAGGACGATTCTGTTATCCTGAAGCGCGAGAGCTTCTGGCAAAGCTGTGTATCCGCAAATCGAAGATCACAGTGTATGCCGTATGGCAAACCTGCATGTGTGGTTGTGACGACAAGCGATAATCATATCCACGATTATGATTCACGACTCACTCACTGCTCAGGAGGGAGTGTGAGCTGCTAATGTGGGAGCTCAGCCATCACCATGCGCAATGCTGAGCACCTCGCATCATCGCATCAAGATATACGGTACCGTACAGGCTCTGCTGCAGAGAATACAGTCCCACCCACACGTTTCATGCGGCGCAGTCATTGGCTCATTCGTGATTCTGATTGCCGATGCACGAGCTAAATATTGCGCCGCGTTTGCAGATTCATCAGCCCGAGCCGCGGCGCAAGTCACGCGGTACCGGTACCGTACCGCTCTTGCTCACATCAGACTTGATTCAGTGCTCGAGTTATAGCGCGCATCGGCTCGCCTGGCTTGGCTTGGCGTGGCCCGACCATGCGGTCATGTGGCGATGCGTATGGCATCAATGACGACAACTCGTGACTTCACTTCCGGCGGGCGACCTTTGGCGTCCAAGTTGGATACGATGCGGAATGCACCTTCGACCGACGCGGCTTACAAGCGCTCGCTAAAGCGTGTCACACACACAGCACCATCAAATACACAACATGACGCACTCCAACCACAGACCCCAGCTGACATGCAGACCAGTATATATTCACATTGACACCTTGCGAATTTTGACCCGCGAGGTGCTTGCTCGAGACAAGTGGTCAGATGTACGCCAGCTTGGTTGCTCAATTCAAATCTAATGATGCGACACATTGTTGCCCACAAATCTTGCAGTGGACGCATCCTACTGAGTCTTGCGCTGACTAGCCACCTTTGCGAGTTCCTGCAGATTTCCGGCCAAGTTCTGTTGAGCCGTCAATTCGGCCTTTCTTCTAGCTTCACGTCTTTCCCTTCCTTTGGCCACGATGGCCCCAATAGTCCTGGGCGCCAACAATCTTCTAGTCACTTCTTCGATGATGTGACTTCCTGCAAAGTCTACGATCATAGCTGCCACCTGCATTGCAGAGAAGACGGGAAGGTCAGCGATGCGGTCCAGATCTCTCAAAGGCTTGAGATGAAGCTCAGCAGCGACTTACAAGATGCAGTTTGAAAGCGTCGGGGATCTTGATGAGCTGTAGCCACTCGTTGAGCTCCGGCATGATTTCCAGCGCACCACCAAAGGCGACGCCAAAAGCGCCAAGCAAGGACCATCTCATCGTAGTGTTTGCCCACAAGCTCTCCCTCCACGGCTGACCAATAAAGTTGGAAATGACCGTGGACACTTGTTGGCTGAGACCGATGAGGAACACGGCAGTGTTGAGCAGACTGGGCGAAAATTTCTTCTCCAGATCCACTACCTTTTCTTGTTCCTCAAAGACCGGCACCAATTGGGTGATGTACCTCATGCTGGCGATGTGCAGCGCAAATTGTCCAAGGATGGAAGCGATGATGTAGAAGTTGAAGATATTTGCCAGAGGTCGTTCCTTGGACAATTTCTCATTGGGTTGTGCTCGAGAAATCATCAAGAAGCAGACGCTCATGAGCATGCCCGAGATGGTAACTTGATAGTCACCGTACTTGATGCCGTCTAGGTACATGACGCTGAGCGAATAAGCCTGGATCAGGCAGTTGAGCCCAAGAATTTTGTACTGCTGCACGGTGGATACCAAGCTGCACCTTCCTTGTCTGATGACGTGCGTGATAGCAGCGACGTTCGAAAGCTTGGAAGTGAAGGGTGCAGCTACGGAGGCGTCTCCAAGCTTAATTTGTGGTGGTCCGTCTGCGTCGGTGTCCATGTCAGCCATAGATGCAGTGAGCGTGCTCAAGTCGAATTTAGCGGTTGGGTCAACGACGCGCTTGCGTTGCATCTGTTTGATGGTCTCGTCGCGTGCTTTTTCCAGCTCGGGGTACAGTTCCTTCAGGGCGGCAGGCACTGGAGGCGGAGGTTGGCCCCATCTGGAAGTGAGCTTGAGTTGAGACTCGTAGATCTTCTTGTTGCGCTCATTCCTTTGGTGCTCAAAGATCTTCTTCAGATCTTCAGGCGTTCCGTCCAACAAAGCAATGCCAATGTTGGCAGCCTTGAGAGCGCCGACATCGTTCGTGCCATCTCCAGCCATGAGTGTCACGTACCCGAGACCCTTCAGTGTGTTGAGAATGAGCTCTTTCTGGGCAGGACTGACACGCGCATAGACCCATGTGTTCTGCACAAGCACTTGCCACGCTTGAGGATTTGTCTCCACAAATTGTCTCAGCGCAACGCCAGTCATGCAAATGTCGTAAGTGTCGAAGAGCGTCTCGTCCAGCTTGTCCTCCGCTCGAACAGGGATGATCTTTCGTTCGTCCACAGTCCTCCAAACGAGGTCCTTTTCGTCCGAAGACCCTTCTCTGACGTCCAAAATGAGCGTCTCACGATCCACAATCTCGACTTCTGTAGCGACGTGGACAGCGGTGAGCGGATTGTCACCTGTGATCATGATGCTGCGATGCGACGAGTCGTTGAGAGCCTTCAGAGTCTGCTTAGCGTCCGGCTTGAGCGGGCAATGGAAGACGAGGAAGCCAGCGAATTCCAAACCGCTCTCCACGTCCCCTCGGCCGAGATTGTTCACGCCATCAGCCGTCAGCTGAACTCCATCCACGTACTTGTAGCCAAGCGCGAGCACACGGCTGCCTCTCCTGGTGAAGCCCTTGAAAGTCTCGTCGTAGCCTGCGGGAACACTCTTGTACATGCTTCTGAGCGTTTCCGGCGCTCCCTTGACACTTGCGAACAGTCGTCTAGAGCCAGTGTTGTCCTGCACAAAGCTCAAAGTGGACATGCGCTTCAAAGCCGAAGAGAATTGGAAGCGTCGTCGCACATTGACACCCAATCGGTGGCGAGCTGTCTTGATATCGCTGGGTGCTAGTTGATCGCCCTTGTTCAGAGTCCACTGCAGAGCATCCAGAGTCGTCTTTTCCATCGGATCGCCTACCACTCCATCGTCCAGAAGTACGAGCGCATGTGCAGAAGCTAGAGTCAGGGTAGTCTCCTTGCTCGTGTCCTTGAGATTGATGAGGTCCGCAGGTCCGCGAGCACCAACCTGCGCAACACCTTGCACCTCCAAATCCTCTCCGGTAATCGTTCCAGTCTTGTCGAAGCAGCAGACGTCGACCCTTCCGGCGTAGGGGATCCTGAAAGGCTCGGTGCAGAAGATGGAAAACTTGGCGAGAGCCATGAGAGATGTGTTGACGGCCATAGAGAGCTCCATGGGCAGCTCGGGCGGGACGACTGAAGTGATGATGAGGACGCAGTCCAGAAGCAATTTGCCTTTGGGTCTTCCCATCTCCATACCGCGGGTCCAGACATACCAGCTCGCAGCGATGGCAAAGATTAGCAAGAAGCCAATGAAGAGGAAAGCTTCGAGATTGTTAGCAGAGACGCGTCCTTCATTTGTGAAGACCATAAGACGAATGAGCTGACCCTGAGTCGTGCCGAAGCCGGTGCGTAGCACGACAGCTGCCGCGCCGCCATCTGGCGTCTTAAGCTGCAAGGCGTTCGCGGGAGACTTGAGGTCGGCAGCCTCACCAGCAGCCCCAGGTGCCCCAGGAGCGGTGGTCTGCAAGACCTTTGTGCCGCCGAAGACGACATTGTTTCTGTCGTTGCCATTGACATCGAGCTTGTCGCTGCCCTCCCGCAACTCAATGCCTTCTTTCAGAAGAGGTGTCGATTCACCCGAGAGCATGGCCTCGTTGACGATGGCGCTGCCACCAAGCAGGAGCAGGTCGCAAGGAGTGGCAGAGTCCTCTTTGGAGCGAGTGACAGATACAACATCGCCAGGCAACAGTTCGGTGGTGCTGACTTCCTTCCAAGCGCCTGCACGGTGGACTTGGATTTGGTAAGGCTGGATGGACATGGTACGAAACTCGTTCAGAGTACGCAGACGCTGGATCGTCGAAGATGGCGTGGCTCGTCAGCATTTCCGAGGGTTGAGGAGCGAGCTGTCCATGCTTGCTCACCTGGAACACCACTGTGGCCTCAAACACGACGAGCATGAAGAGGGTGAACAGCGAGTAGTACCAATACTCGTCGAGCATCCATAGTCCCACGCAAAAGATTTGGAACACAAAGAATGGAGCCACCGCATGTTCAGCAAAGAGGCCCAGAAAGGTAGGCCTCGGAATGTCGAAGAGATTCTTCCCAAAGGTACCTTCCGCGAATTCCACTTCCCTCTCGCTCGCATGGCCCTTGGTGGATTGGAAAGCGGACAAGGTGGGCTGAGAGTCTGCTGGGTAAGGAAGTCGGCGGAATGTGGGCACAGTCACCAGCGGCGAGGTGTGCACCGATGTGACGGGAGCTTTTGCATCGGGCTGAGTCAAGATGTATTTGTCCGCTTGATAGGTGAAAGAAACCTCCTGGGGCAGGCCCTTGCGAGTCACGAATGACAAGGGAACCAGCTCTCCCTCTCCCTTGTGGGCGTGAGGAAAGACTCGCACGATGGAAGCATCTTGCAGCCACTTGGCCTGCACGGGATTGAGCATATGAGGTTCGTCAGTAGCCGCGACACTCGGCAAAGCTCAGGAGCTACAGGCCAGAGTCGATGAGAGGTGCTGAAGGCTGACGAAGTTTGCCCCCTTCCCTCAGCTCGTCGCTCTGCTGTACGCAGAGCTGTATCGAATCGCTCCCGATCCGCCTTTCACTTCCAGGCTCTACTCGAGATTCAATGTCCTGCTCGATCATGGAGTGGCTTCCTTTCCTTGGGGCCGCCATCCGCACCCAGCCTGAGACCCTTCAGGCCAACTTACAGGTCTGCAGGTGAGCAGCGCCCTCGCGCCGATGCTCCACTTGGTGATCAGAAAGCTCAACGCATGGCTGGTTACCAGTCCAACCACAAAGATGAAAGTCCACTCCTCGCTCTTGATCCAGCTGTCGTACTTAATGAAGTAAGCGTAGGCCAGGAGAGGGTAGAAGAGAGCAAAGGGCGTGGTGTAGAGGTGATACTCTATCGGAATAGGCTTGTGCAGCGTGAGACGAGCTATGTCTGGAGACGTGACCGGCGGCGCTGGTGCCCTGAGATTGGCGTGAGAGTGAATGAGCGAATCAGCGCATCTTTTGGAGATGCGGAAAAGGCCCAATGTGTAGATACTTTGCACTCACATGGTGGCGAGGATGGGAGCTCAAAACGAGCCAATTTGGGGCCCAGCAGAATGAAGATGAGCAGGTGAGGCAATGTTGGACACTTGGGTGAATGCTAGCCTTGTCAAGGATGCAAGAAGCCGCAAACTTGGTAGAGACACGCTAGATCGGTGGTGAGCCCCAAAGCAAGGGAAGCGAGGTTGCACTCGAGACTCATCAATACGAATGAATCGTCAATAAGCTGTACGATTCGAGGTACGCGTGGAGCTTTTGCTCAGAGGATGGGCCGAGCGCATTCATGTGCAGCAGGCGCTCGCACCTTCGCAAGCGGCACGCATCATATGATGATGCACGCAAGCGAGCAATCAAGAAAGCATCTTCTGAAGTTGCGAGGTGTCAGTCGTGAGTGAGCGCATTGACACGCGCAGAACCTTCTCGAATGTGACCTCTGCTCCTCGCTTTGCTCGTCCATGCATGCATCTGCAAGCTCTGAGCGTGACCGACTTCGCTCGTGATCCCAAGTTACCGGCCATGTACTCAAACTCACGCAATTCGTCAGCAGTTTAAGTAGTCACGAGTCACGAGTGCTAGTGAGTAGCCTTGCTGTCCACAACTTGCAGAATCAAAGCCGTGAAGGGGAGCATCACCTCCATTCTTGATTCACAAAGAGCAGTCTTGCTTGTTAACACCATTCGCGACATTGAGGAAGCGGACTGAACCGATCACACTTCGGCATCTCGAGCGAGTTCAGCATCCAAGGCAAGCTGGCCTTTCCAGCATAGCGTCGAGCGCTAGGCCCCGAACAGTCGTAGCGTTGCCTGGCTTCACTCGCGCTGGTGATGTCGTTCTTTGGCTTCGACACGACTCTGCCAGGCAAAGTGTCGGGTGCTGGCGAAACTGGTCTGGAGGGCAAGTTTCGGAATACATCGTTGGGCGCTGGAGCGAGGGAAGATGTAGAGATTTACACGTGGGGTCAGGATGGCAATGATGGGCTCGGAGATCTGCTCGAAGAGGAAGGAGATGATTTCAACGACGACACCTTTGGCTTTGGTGGAGCTGGTGGAGACGTCGGTGAGGCCAAATGCCGCTTTCAATGAACGCTCTGCGCACCCACACCGCACTGCATTGAACCTGCTCAAGCAAGTGTGGCTGACCTATAACGCTTCTTTGCCCTCGTCTTCTCTCAGGCACGGACTTTGACTTTGCGGGTCAGACCGCAAAACAAGGAGCAGCTCAGAGCTCCTTTCCCCAGCAGCAAAGCAAGCCCGCCGGAGATGCACGCTTCGTCAGCACTTTGGATGATTTCTGGGGATTGCCAAGCGCCCCCGTCGGCGCAGCTTTTGGCCAACCTGCTCCTCCTGCTATTCAGGGTACGTACCAGCCTCAGGAAGAGCTTGTTCATCGCGAGAGTTTATGCGATCGTTGCTTGCCGGCTCGACGCTGAATGGAAGCCTCTTTGCCCCCTTACATTCGCACAGAACCACCTCAGGTCCAGGGTTATCAGCCCCCACCGCCGGCAGCACCTCAAACGGCCAGCAAACCTCCTCCTCGCACCATGGATGAAGTAGAAGCTGAAATGCGCGCTGCTGCTCAAGCCAGAGCTGCTGCTGCCGCCCAACAGCAATCTCAGCCGAGCGCTCCATCCTCAGCACCTGCTTCTCAGCCTGGCCGTCCGCTGACCCTGGAAGAAGTCGAAGCTCAAATGCGTGCTCGTCAGCAGCAGCAGCAGCAACAGCAACACCCCTCACAGCCTGTGCCTGGTCTGGAAGCTCCTCAAGTGCAGCCGGCGTCTCAGCTACCTCCCGCATTTCCCAGCTTGGAGGCACCTCAACCTGGTGCTGTGCCACAGCTTCCTGCGGGCTTCGGATTGGGTCCAGCTCACTTTCCTCCACTGGGCGCCACTGGTCCTCGTCTGGACACAGCTGGACCTCGATCAGGTACGCCAGGTATTAGCGGGCGTGGACGAGATGGCATGCCACCCGCAGCGGCTGCTATGCACAACGCGGCCCAGAACAATGCCGCTGCCAAACAAGCCCATATGGCCCATCTCAAAGCCTTATTGGACGCTCTTCCTGCCCCTGTCAGGGAAGGCGTGCTTCGGTTGCCACCACACGCCCAATTTGCCAGTCTGGAAGGCGTCGCCCACCAGTTCCCTGGACTTTTGAGACCCGAAGAAGCTCCGAATGTTATAGGAGCCGCGCTGGCTAAGCTGTCAGAGGTCGAGCAACATGAAACGCGCTTGGCTCGCAGAGCGATGAAGATTCAAGCCATGGTGAGTGCTCACGCTCTCGCGCTCGGTAGATGCCCTCGAGGCTGATACTTTCACCTTCATCCCGTAGTCGCACTACAACAACCTCATGACCATCTCCGACAAAGACTTCATCACGCGCATTCAAGTATCGACACTGGTCACGCAGGATCCTTATGCAGATGACTTTTACGCTCACATCTACTTTCAGCTGCGGGGAGGTGGGCCTGCTCAGAGTGCTGCTAACGGCGCTCCAAGTGGACAGGCTCAGGCTGGTGGCAGGGCACCACCCAAGGGTCCGGCAAAAGGACGCAAAGGCAAGAGCGCACGTGATCAAGCCATGTCGCGGATGCAAGCACAAGTGGAAAGGATTGTTCAGAACCGCAAAGAGAGATCGGAAAAGGCAGCTGCTGGAGCGGCTCTCGAAGGCGCGCTGGGTCGTGTAGGCCCAAGCACGACCAAAGCGCCTCGGCAGATGCTGCAGGTCGATGCTCGATCTGCTACGCCCAAGCCGGATGGCGCTTCGGGCAGCACCCAAGCTCAGGATGCGGTCAGAGCTGCTCTGCAGGGAACTAGCTTAGCTCACGAGACCATCCTGCCTGACGGTATGCAACCTGCGCTTGGCAAACACGTCGTCCTGGGCATCCTCGAGAAGCTGTACGAGATCGTCCTATCCCTGGAGCAGATGCGCAGATCTGCTCCCAGCCCTCCATCCGGACCGACTGAAGAGCCCTCATCGGACTACCTTGCATGGCAACAACAACAGAGTCAATTGGTGTCAACGCTCTGGTCGGAACTTCGAGTCTTGGAGCCTCTGCAGGTCTCTGATCCTCATCCTTTCATCAGCTTGATGTCGACCATCAAAGGCAAACGTCTGCTGCCTCGCGCACTGCGACATTTGACTCAAGAGCAGGTGCTCACAGCTCTCACTCTGATAGTGGCTACCTTTTCTCAATTAGACATTGTCAGGCAAGGCTCAGCGCTGGATGTGCCGCTCGAAGGGGGCGCCAATGTTTCACGAGAGAATAGAAGAGAAGCAGCCAGACAGACTGAAGCCTTCTCCACGAGCGTTGTCCCTGCTATGCTCAGTCTGATGGCCGGTGCAAGCATGCGGATAGTCAGCGGAATGCTGGCGCTCTTCGTAGAGAGAAATGACTTGATCAGCGTGGCGAAGACCCGGCCTGGAATCGCCTTCCTCACCATCTTCCTCTCTAGGGCCGAAACTTTGCGCCAGGGAGGAGCAGCAGTGTCTGACGTGGAAGCACCCTCGGCGGACGAATTAGAGCAATGGACGGAAATCTTTGGTCTGCTCTTCCGCAAGCTGACTTCGCGTTCTGGCGAGCTGGCTAGCCTTTTCCCCTCCAGCCGAGCGCGCAACGCGATTCCATTCGGAAGCGCCTATTACGAAGGGGCTTCTGCGCCTGGCGGAAGTGTGAGCTTGGGCAAGGAGAGGAACATCGACAGCGAAGATGAACCAGTCTGGAACCTCATGGCTGCCCTCGCTGTCAGTTCGGCTACGGAGCAGCAGCACGTGCTCGTGCAGGAACTCAGAGAGAAGATATTGGAAAACGTCTTTGCGGCAAGAGAATGGGCGGAGAGAAGAGGCAACTCGGAATCGGATGCTGATCTGAGAATCAGAAATGTCAACTTGCTCGTGAGTAGACTCTCGAGGTGTCTTTGGCAAAGCTTTGCTCCATTTGCGCCTCTGACGTTCTCTTCGTGTCCCTATCTTCAGCTCCACGCTCTCAACCTGGACGCGGCTCAAATCACCGTCTGATACAGCAGCGAAAATCGCTGTAGTCTCTCTGGTCGCACGTCCAGTACAGAAGCTACTAGCCATATCTCGCCATTGCTCAAGACTTGTTCCTCAATGCAAGCAAATGTTAGAGAATCAAGTGTTGCTCTCGTGAAAATTGATGAATGCATGTTTCGTCTGCTGGCCGCGTCTTTGATGAAGACTTGGGCAAGGCTCTTGCGTCCTTTGACTCTTGATTCAGATTGGCATAGCCTCTCACATCTGGGATCGCGCTCCGTTCGCTTCTCACCATGCCCAATCAAGCATTTGTGAGCTTTGTAGCTCGACCAAACGGTCACTGACCTGAATTTTCAATCAAATCCATCGTGCCTGGAGAGGCCGAACAAATCCGCACTGGATAGCCAGATAAGCTCGACAGGATGCGTGAACCGGTCACGGTCACGAATGGTGAATGGTGAATGGACGGGCTGCATCGCCGATCCACTCGTGCAGCGGTCGGGAGTGCTGCAACGACCGCGCGGTCCGCATGCAGGTGAAGCACCAAGAGCTTCCTTCTTGGGCCTGATTGGAACCCAGCAGCAAGTTTGACAGCTCTCATGCCGCCGGCCGCACCGTATTCGACCGCACAGTAGCTAGCACCTTTTGCATGCGCAGGCAGGCGGGCAAGGGCGCTAAGCGGACAAGCCAAACTCGGACCGGACCACATTGAACTTCTTTTCCCTGCTTGTGTTCTTGTCTGCGTTGGGATGCCTTCGCAGTCAATCTGACTTCCTCGTCGCGAGCGGTCAAGGATAGGCCCGAAAAGCACGAGTCGACTGCAAGCCGGCGCATCACTAGTCACAGTAGTAGTGTGTATGGATGTGGGTTGCTGCGAAGAAGCTCCACGAGTCCAGCCTAGGAGCCTCACCTTCCGGGGACGACCGCCGGACCTCGGCACTCAGTGACTGCAACGCGTCACACCGACCCTCATGGAGCTGGGTAGAGCTTCGAGCTTCGAGCTTCGGGTCTGCCCATGGAGACCACAGTGGAGTTCCACTGCTACTGTACCGGTGACTGTTCACCGTGCTCGTGCTGCTGTATGAGCTGTAATGTGCATCCGGTTCCTGCTTAAATCCTCAGGCTGAAGATGTTCGCAAAGTCGATGTCCGACTCAGTCGTCGTAACTTCACTACTTTTTGCCTGACAAATATCTGCCACTGCAAGCACCTGTGCAGCACCTTCTCGGCGACCACCAGCGCTCGCTGCTTTGCACTTGGGGCTCGCAGATGGACATACGAATGTCTCCTCGAAACTAGGTCCCTCGGCCGATCGCTCTCGAGCTGATAGTGAATATTTTTCTCCATTCCGAACGGGTCTATCGACCCTCTTGCCTGGCTATCCCCAAGACTTTCATCAGAATGGCCTCTTCGGATCCCAGAAGCGATCCGATGGTATCCATCGACGTGCTCGAGGAAGTGGCATTCACGGGAAGGTCAGATGTGAGGGCGGTGATCCCGCCGTCAGCATTCCTGGGTAGCTTGGTACCAGTCTCGCTCGCCTACATTCTCTTTAGCACGCCTCGTCTGAGGAATCAGCCGGCTTTCTGGATACTGGGCTTTGCGTTGGTCTGGAGTTGGACTTGGTGCATACTCGTCATCAGCGTGAGTAGACCCCGACAATAACCTCGAACAAGGGCTTGCTCAGCTCACTGACTTTCTGGCCTTGTTTGCATTTCCTTAGCTTTGGCACGATGATATCAGGCAAATAGATGACGAGGGTTATCATGCCCGGCTTTGGCTACTGGTAGAGCAGAAGTGCGTAGATCGGCTGCCGTAACACGGCTGCGATGGTCTCTCGTCACCCAAGCTTACCCATCACCTGCATCATTGCATGCGCCTTGACCTTCAGCATCGAATCATGGATGAGGCCCATGCTCGTCTGGATTTGCGACCTTGCCTTGATCTTCAAAATATTGGCTTTCTATCCTTCGCAGCTGCACAGCCTCCAAAGGAGATTGTGCTTCCTGATCGTACCATTCGCTTTGATCCACCTTGCCCGCCTAGGTCTACTCATCGGCGTCCTCGTCACGTCAATCCAATTTCTATACGGTCCTTTGGCAGACTCTGGTTACCTATCCGGAGCGAGTACGATCACGTTAGCGATAGCTCAGACTTCTTTATCTGTGGTGGAGAACCTGGCTTGCAGTGCCATCTTGATAGCCAAAGTGAGGTGATCTCCCATTCCTGCTGATGCCATGCCAGCACGTCCCAGCGTTTTCTCTGCTGGACTTGTTTACTTACTACATTTCACTCTCTTCGCGCAGGTTGTCTCGTACTGGCGCATGCCATACATCTGCTCAACAAGATCGACAGCGGCTCGAATGCGGCTCAAGTTCTTGCTGGAAGCGCTGCTCTTCACCTTCCTGCCGGCCACGCTTGCGCAAGTTTCCTTGCTCATCGTGGACTCGATCACGTACAACACGCCAAACATCACCACGCCATTGGCCAGAGGTCAAGAATACTCTTCATATCTCGCGATGGTCACGAGTATGCATTTCGGTCTGCTGGCGGTGTGGTGGTCCGGTATCCGAGCCCAGCCTCGAAGCGCAATACGCAGCTCCGCGGGTGGCAGCGCAGGCGACAAAGTCGTTGCAGGAGAAACTGCTCAGACGGGGGAGACGGGGAGCGGGTACAAGCGACGTGCAGGCTTGAGGAGCCGTAAAGGTCAGATGTCGTCTTCTCAGGATGCGGATGCCCAAGACAGATCCATCTTGTCTTATCTCTCCGTGGATAGAGAAGGGGAAGTGGACTTCGAAGACTCTTACGAACCGGAGGAGTCCATGGAGGTGCTCCAGACCAAGGTTGTCGAAGAGGAACGCCAGAGACAGCAGGACGGCAATCCGGAGCATAGAGGCAACCTCACCTACATCACCGCTCGCAGACACAGTCAGCAAAGTAATCGACAGCCTGACCCGAGCTCGGAGCGACAATCGTAGATTGCTCAGACTTTCAAGCTCATCCATCTCGCTTCCTTCGGTCCTTCGATCAAAAGGTGTGCGGCAGTCCCACGTTTGACCATCGTGCACGTTATGTACCCCCTTATACCCGCGCACAGGCCTCGCGCATGGCGCTCATCTTGGCGGCTTCTTGTTGCGTCTTGCTTGCCTATGCAAACAGTGTCATGTCAATACTCAACATCTTTTCGAAAACGATGAAGTCTCAAGTCGGATCCACTCAAAGGCTCATGTACAAGCCGTCAGCCGAGAGGATTGGTGTTTCGCGGGTAATGAGAGCTAAAATGAACGAGTATGCCAAGGTCTTGTTATAGCAATCACGACTCGAACTCAAGAATGACGACTGCCTTGACCTCGAACAAAGACTCACGACTCGATCATCGGTCAAGGGTCAAGAGTCAAGACTCGAGACTCAAGACGCAAGACCTGGTGACTCAAGACTTGACTCTTGACTCGACTCTTGACTCTTGAGACTCAAGACTCAAGACTCAAACTGGTCCAGCGGATGGAGGAACACGTGACCTTCTTTCTTGAGTCTCGAGGACTTTTTTGAAAATTTCGGCGGATGCGCGCCCTTGATTCACGCGCAGCCCCTTGATTTCGGCTCAGCTGCAAGCGCGTCTGAATTTGAATCGTGGTGTTATTTATTTTCAAGATGGCTGAGTCTTTGCTGAAAGTGAACCTTACCGCAGAGACGGTAATCATTATTGCATTCGAATCCAAGATGCATGCTGTTTCCCAAATGCTTGCTGCAGAAAGCGCGGCACCGTGTGTGCGTCTGCGGGCCGCCAAAGGCACGCGGTCAGAGGAAAAAAAAAAAACAAGAGTCGATGCGCGCGAAGAACAGCGCAATTTTTTGCTTGCCTTGCCTCGCCCTTGCGACAGCAGCTACGATGCCGGCCATGGCGGTACAGGTAGGGGGGGGGGGCTCGCCGGCGGTGGCTAAAGTTCGTTGGCTGCCAGTGTCTGAACTTCTCGTGCCTCTCGTCATGACTTTCCACCATCCTCATCGACCATTCACACCACACACACACATCACAGCCATTATCTCCTGTCTGTGCTTCTCTCGTCTCCTCGTACGCATTTCACGTTCACGTCTAGACGGCAAGCACTTTCTCTCACTCTCACACGCGCTCAGCACGAACCCGGCACGACCTCTCACATAAACTGACGGCCAAAATCTTACAGACTTTTCCAGAAGACGATCAACTTTTCTTCTCTTCTTGTTTGCAACGTCCGTCAATATTGTCACGTGGTCCTTTCTTCTTTCGTGCTTCTTTCAACAAACGCGTGATCTCATAATACCGGCCAAGCTCTAGAGTCACGAAATCAGCCCCAACACCAAGCTGTTCCAGTTACCCGGCTTGCACAGCGTATCTCTATTGCTCGACAGAACTCGAACCGCGATAGACATTGCAGCTTCAGCGTTTTCTCGAGCTCAAATCCCTGTAGCGATAGGCTGGTCCCGTAATCCGACCACTCATAGAGAAGATCAACGCGGTCTTCATCGGCAGCACCGTATTGCACCTTCATCGCCACAGATTCCCAATCGACAGCAAGTCTGCGCGCACTGAGCGGTAGATTGCTCAATTCGACAAGCTTTGTTCAGCATGACCTACGAAAATGGTAGCGCCAATGGCGCTGACAGCCTGTCCAATGGCATGGGTGAGTCGTCAAATTTCGAGCAGAGTGGCCGAGGATGCCACGGTCAAGCTGCCGGGTCCATGGGTCGAAGACTGTGTCTGGCTTCTACGCTGGTGCATCGCCAGATGTATCGCGGGCTGATCAGAAGGGCTGTCTGGTAAACTCGCTTCGGTTCGAGCCGGTCTCGTCCAAGTCTTGTGGCATAGCATTGCCCGTCATGCAACAATTATATGCTGACGAGCACTCCTTCTTGCCCTCAGCCAATATGAATGTAAACGACGGCGGTCGCCCCAAGAGCGCTTATGTGCCTCCTCACCTTCGAGGCCAAGCACCTGCCTTCACTCCCAGGTGAGTCTGTCCGATGTCTTCCTGAACGTCGCGAGCTGCGCTGGAGCTAATGCTCTCAAGGTCCCATGTCAGAGCTGCTGCACCTCCGACCAACGATGCCCCACCTTCCAGCTTTGGCGGCGGGGGACGCGGACCTTCATACGGCGGCGCCTTTGGTGGTGCTCCTCGCGGTCCTCCCGGTGGCGGTCTGGCCTCTCGATCTGGAGGCGGCGGCTGGGATGCGCCGCCTACTCGCGGTGGTGGCTATGGATCTGGCGGAGGCAGTGGAGGTGGAGGCGGAGGGTTCGGAAGCTGGCGCGACGGCAAGCACGTCATCGGCCCAGAGAATGCTCGGACTCAAAAGGAGCTCTTCGGAGAAGCCGGGGATGGCCTCTCCCAAGGCACTGGTATCAACTTCGACAAGTACGGCGACATTCCAGTCGACGCTTCTGGTCGGGACGTTCCCGAGCCCGTGACGGAATTCACTAGTCCTCCCATCGACCCTCACTTGCTCAGCAACATTCAGCTCGCCAGGTACACCAACCCCACGCCTGTGCAAAAGTACTCGATTCCCATCGTGGAGATGGGTCGCGATCTGATGGGTTGTGCACAAACAGGTTCGGGCAAGACCGGCGGTTTCCTTTTTCCCATTCTGTCTGCGCTCTTCACCCACGGACCTCCACCACCCCCGCCCGAGATGGCCAACGGAGGTTTCGGCAGGCGCAAAGCTTTCCCCACCACGTTGATCCTCGCGCCCACCCGTGAGCTGGTGTCTCAGATCCACGACGAGGCGCGCAAGTTCACCTACCGCTCGTGGGTCAAGCCAGCCGTCGTCTATGGAGGTGCAGACATTGGCTCGCAGCTGCGTCAAATCGAAAGAGGCTGCGACCTTCTAAGCGCCACTCCCGGACGTCTTGTCGACCTCATCGAAAGAGGCCGCATCTCCCTTGCCAACGTCCGCTTCCTCGTTCTCGACGAAGCTGACCGCATGCTTGACATGGGTTTCGAACCTCAAATCCGACGCATCGTCGAAGGCGAAGATATGCCCGGTGTTATGGAACGCCAGACGCTCATGTTCAGCGCGACCTTTCCTCGAGACATTCAGATCCTGGCCAAGGACTTCCTCAAGGAGTACGTCTTCTTGTCAGTGGGTCGTGTCGGATCCACCTCCGAGAACATCACTCAGAAGATCGAGTACGTGGAGGATGAGGAGAAACGATCGGTTCTGCTCGACGTCATGGCTTCCATGCCAACTGGCGGTCTGACGCTGATCTTCGTCGAGACCAAGCGCATGGCGGACATGCTGTCAGACTTCTTGCTGCGCTCCAACATCGCAGCAACCAGCATTCACGGCGACAGGACACAGCGAGAGCGTGAGCGCGCTCTTGAGCTCTTCCGCACAGGACGCACGCCCATCATGGTAGCTACTGCAGTCGCCGCACGTGGTCTCGACATTCCCAACGTGACCCACGTCGTCAATTACGATCTGCCATCTGACATTGACGATTACGTTCACCGTATTGGTCGTACGGGTCGTGCCGGAAACACAGGTCACGCCACAGCGTTCTTCAACCGCGGAAACAGGAACATTGTCAATGAGCTCATTAACCTGCTCAAGGAAGCTAACCAAGAGATCCCATCTTGGCTCGAGGCCGTGGGCCGCGAGAGCGCGTTTGGAGGCGGCGGATACGGCCGAGGCGGCCGAGGCGGACGCGGCGGTAGACCTCGCGGTGGAGGCGGTGGTGGCTTCGGAGGCCGAGATGCTCGCGTTGGAGGTGGAGGCGGCGGATTCGGCGGTCCTCGAGGAGGGGGAGGTGGTGGCGGTGGCTTTGGTGGAGGAGCTTACGGAGGAGGTGCTCCCGGCGGTTATGGAGGTGGTGGCGCTGCATTTGGTGGACCTCCGCCTTCCAGTGGCGGTGGTGGCAGCTATGGCGGTGCGGGCGGTCCTTCGTGGTGGTGATCGGACGCGAGCACTTTATCCGTAGACTCTACGGTGTAACGCTTTGATGATCCACTTCACCGGTGACCATCCGTTGTTGGGCGAATCAACACTTCTATTTGCACACAAAAGGCAGCGGTAGGGTTTGGTGGCACAGACTTTTCCCTGCTCCACCCTCAATAGCTCGCTGCCACCATTCGTCTCGACTTGTTTTTCTTTGTGCTCGTCGCTGATATTCGAGTCTACTTGCGCTTCTCCAATATCCTGTACATATCGCCTCTCATCAAGCGAAAGACAAAACCTTTTCACATTCCGACGCGCTCGACAATGCTTTATAACGCTGTGCGGTAAGCGGAAAGTATCTCGTGTCAAACGACGGCTGCGCTCAGGTAGCTTCTGCTCACTGCTGCGACACTTTCCGCGCCTTGACGCGAGCGTCTCTGGCTGGGGATTTGCCCATGATGCGCAATAGGCAGCTAGCCGAAGGCATAAGCTCTCCTTAGCAGATTGATTTGACGGTCAAGCGGTATCGGGGCTTCTTTCGAGCGTAGGCTTGAGTCAAGAGTGTTTGGATGTTCGATTAACACGGTGTGGCGGCTGGTAGTCGGTATGCGCTTCCGCCTCATCGTGCCGTTCCTTGCATGCGTGATGTTGGATGTGAGCGCGCTCCAGCCCAGCGTTGAGAGCCGTGAATCGCTTGCCCCAAAAAGTCATGCGATGGATGGATGGCCCACACAAAGCGCGCTCTCATATACGCGTCTGTAGAGCATTTTGGGTACGCCGCGGCGCATCCGCGTGACGGTATGTGCCAGTCACAATTGAGTCATCTGTCTATACTCCTTCGCTCATGGCCCAACGATTACGAATCCGAGTGTGAATGTGAATGCCAATGCGCATCAGATTAGCTGTTCATGGTACTCACGCTGATTGTAAGCTCTGCCGAATGCCATCAAGAGGTGTGCACAAAGGTAGGTAGCTCACTAGCCACATCAGTGAGAGACTCAGACTGTCCTTGACGCTCCGCTTCGCATTTCGAGGTCGCGCCCACGCAGCCAGACAGAGCTCTCGCCAGCAGCTAGCCAGCCAGCCAAGCCTCTGCGCGCACCTTGCATACGCTCAGCAACGCCGCACTGGTAGGACCCTTGCGATGTACAGGTACAGACAGATGTCGATCTGGCGAGGATGTGCGCTGCTGCAGCTACACTGCTGCTGCACACGCTCGATCTGCGTTGGGCGAGCCGTGGCGCTCGATCGCGCGCCTGCAGAGCGAGAGATGCACGGACCTAATCAGCAGAACGCATTCCCTTACCAACATCCTTCCCGCTTCGATCCTGCTCTCCGCTCGTCAACGGTTCTTAGGTCCCCCTGCATTCACCTTTATCCTTTGAACTTGCCATCGACTCGTGACTGCTCGAACGCTGTCAGGGGCGCGCGCCCACAACTCCTTTGCGTCGGTCACGCCAGTACTACCATCTCCCCGTGCTCCGCACATTACACTTCTTCACAGCCAAGATCGAACGGTGACAGCTTATACAACAGCCGTGTTCCAATCCAAGTCTGCAACCCACGTGAGGCTGCCTGCCCACAATGTCTGCCCAGGGGAAGGTCAACGGAAGTGCTGTGAAGGGCTCGGCTTTAGCGGTCGCTGGTAGACCCCCAAGCACCGCTACTGAAACGAACGGCGTGCAAGTCTACGAGCTGACCCTGGCAGACGATGGCTCGCCGTCTCCAGGTGCAGGAGTGAGTCTGGATTTTACAGCGATTTGGTTCTGGTACTGATCTGGCCTGCTAATCCGGCACCTCTGCGCTCGTCCCAAGTACATTCGCTTGCCTGCTCCTCATCAGCCTTACGCCCTTCGATTCTCGATTGAAGCGGGCAGTCTTGCGTCAAAAGATGGCAGTTTGTGGACCAATTTTCCGCCTGATGGCGCAGCATTCGACCGGAAGAAGTTTTGGGAACACAAGTGAGTGCTGCAGGGAGCGAGTGAAGCGCCCGAGGGCATGCTGGTGCGAGGTATGCCCCCCAGTGGATCAAGATCCGTTGCTGATCCCAAGCCATACGTCACACCCCTGCAGGCTACCCAGCGACTTCAGCAAGGCCATCTCTGTTACGTTGTGGATAACCAGAGCCGGAGCTTTCGAGTTCTTTGTGAGCCACGCGCCGGCCGTTCCTGCAACACCATATCCCACCAAGAATGCTCCTCACCAAGCTCCTCCAGCCGAGAATGCCGCTCGAGTGGAATCCAGTCGCGGCTACTTCAATGTCGATCCGGTATTGAAGTTGCCCAGTCGCTCTCCGATTTTGTCAGCGGACAGATATCCTCTAGATGTTGGAAAGGGAGGTCAGCTCGGCCCAGTCTCGCCCATCAGCCAAGATGGTCTTGTTGTGCAGAGCTTCATCGCCAAGTGGGCCGGCTCCTTGAGCACTTGGGCACCGCATCTCGCTTACGCTCGGGACAGCGGCTACAACGTTATCCACTACCCTCCACTCCAGGTCAGAGGCAGTTCCAATAGCCCTTACTCCATTGCGGACCAGAACGACTTCAGCGCTGATCTCTTCGATGGCAACAGCGGACCTGCCAAGACGTTGGACGAAAGGAGGAAGACTGTACAGAAATACCTCTCTCAGATCAAAACGACTTATGGTCTTGGAAGCATGATTGACGTGGTGCTCAATCATACCGCCAACAACTCTGAGTGGCTCAATGCGCATCCGGAAGCTGGTGAGTGGTAGAATGAGGCAGGTGCGCATTCGCATCTCACTCACAGCCCCAACCGCACGCACCACACAGCGTACAGCCCTGCCAACTCGCCCCATCTGACTCCGGCTGAGGAGCTGGACAGGGCTTTGTTGGACTTTTCAGCACGTCTCACTGAGCTTGGTCTGCCAACAGACCCTGCAGACGCATCTGACGTGGACGCCATTATAGAGGGTGTCAGGCAGCACGTGCTCACTCCCCTCAAGCTGTGGCAGTACTACGTTGTAGATGTCCAAGCAGAGTTGAGGGCGCTGGAGGAGGCATGGGACAAAGATGCCAGCTCAAGCACTTCATCGCGAATTGTTCGGTCGTACGGCAATGACTCCCTTGACGGCAAAGGGTTGAGCGAGTCTACCGAGCTTCTTCGATCTCACGCCCTGCGGAACCGAATGGCTCTTGCAGAGAGATATACTACGCATTTCGATGCAGCCACTGCGCTTGCAATCCTCAAGACCCTAGCCAGCAATGACGGCGCTTCTAAGCAACAAGCGCTCGATGCTCTCAAATCTGCTGCAGATGCCGTAAACGTAGACTTCTACAGCGCCTACGACGATGACACAAAGGCGATCATCAGCAATCTCAAGGGTCGACTGACCTACCAGCGCATTGAAGATGGAGGTCCCAAATTGGGGCCGATCACCAAAACGTGCGTGTTTCTCATGCAGCTGCGTGATGAGACGCTCGAAAGCTGACTTGACAGCTGTGTGCCTGCTCTTGCTACCCAAAGAGCTCCCTTTTGCGAGCCATACTTTACGCGACTGGATCCGAAGCATCCCAAGATTGCGAGCAAAGATCCCAAAGTGTTGGCTCTCGCACACAATGGATGGATTTGGGCCGCAGATCCTCTGAGCGACTTTGCCTCCTCTTCATCTCGAGTGTACCTTCGACGAGAGGTAATCGCATGGGGCGATTGTGTCAAGCTTAGATACGGCGCAAAGCCAGCTGACTCGCCCTTTTTGTGGAAGCACATGGAAGCCTATTGCTCAAGTCTTGCTGGCATCTTCGATGGCTTCAGGATCGACAATTGTCACTCGACGCCCATCCACGTTGGCGAGCATTTCTTGGATGTGGCACGCAGGGTCAATCCGAACTTGTACGTCTGCGCGGAGCTCTTTACCGGTTCTGCGGAGACGGATACGTACTTCGTCAGTCGTCTCGGTCTCAACAGTCTGATCAGAGAGATGGACAATGCGCACGATCCAAAGGAGGAATCACGGCTGCTGTATCGATTCGGCGTGAATAAGCCAATCGGATCCATGGACACCGACTGTCTGGCCTTTGCAGACACTGTGACCCTGCCAGGCTCCAAGGGCAAGGCACAATCCGCCACAGTGACTCCTCTGCGCGGCTCAAGCCCACATGCGCTCTTTATGGATCTGACTCACGACAACGAGACTCCGTCTCACAAGAGGACAGCAGAGGATGCTATCACCATGGGCGCCCTCGTCGCCTTCTCTTGGTCTGCCATCGGCTCCACCCGAGGGTTCGACGATCTCTATCCGAACCTGTTGGATGTGGTCACGGAGAAGCGAAAGTACAACGTTGTCGAAAAGATAGACGACAAGAGCGGCATTGCTGCTGTCAAACGCGTTTTCAACCACCTGCACACCGAGATGGTGCATGAGAATTATCAGGAGGGTCATTCCCACCAAGAGAATGATGTGAGCATCATTGAATGGATGGCATTGGAAGGAAGACTGAGAAGCTGAGACCACCCTTCGTGACAGTACATTATGATGCATAGAGTGCACCCACAGACGCATAGAGGCTACCTGGTCGTCACGCATACGGCATTCAACAAGGGCGGCGATCGTAGTCGAGGTCAAAGTAAGTGGACCGAGTGGTCCACATCGTGTGCCAAGTGCGTCGTTGACACTTCACCTACTCGCATGTTGCTGCTGAAGTCAACCCATTCAAGCTCAATAGGACTAAGCTGCGGTACATCTTCGGCAAGAGCCTTCAAGTCACATCGACGACCCCTGTCAAGGATGACAAGGTGCTGCGAGGGCTGCCATCTACGCTCGTCGATGTGCCTGCTCCAGCTCTGCAGGAGGGGAGCGACGTCGATGGGTCGTACACAGAGGTGATCATTCCTGACAACTTCCCACCTGGAAGTGTCATGCTTTTTGAGACCTGGATGGAGGGCTTAGATGCGAAGCTCGACAATCTCGTTTCGAGTGGCGCAAGCGAAGCGATGGCTGAGCTGGACCTCGTTTCGCTCAATGTGGTCTTGTACCGGGCCGATGGGGAGGAGCGCGATGTTACCGGCGGCAACGACGGAACTTATGCCGTGCCGGGACACGGCTCTCTCGTGTATTGCGGACTAGAGGGTTGGCTAGCGCCGCTTCGAGATATCGTTAAAAACAACGATCTTGGCCATCCCTTGTGCGCCCATCTCCGTGATGGACCCTGGGCTCTGGACTATCTCCACGATCGACTGGAGCGGTGAGTCAAGCGTCATACCGCTTATTGCTTCATGGAAATCCCGGGCTGACTTCGATGTCGACATGTGTAGCCAAATGTCGATCTTTCCCCAGCTCAGAAAACCCACAGCTTGGTTCAAGGAGCGCGTGGATGCCATCAAAGCGGCTTCGCCCTCTTTCATGCGTCCGAAGTACCTCGCCCTCCTCGTGACACGGGCGTACCAGGCTGCAAGAGCACACGCGTTGAAGCAGATGGTGCCCTTCGTTCGAGATGGTCACGATTTCACGAAGGCCCTCGCGCTGTGCGCGGTGCAGATGAACGGTCAGGTCAAATCAGCATCGCTGTGGCACGATCGACCTAGCGCTTCAATGGCGGCAGGTCTGCCTTTCTTTGCTGCTGGCTGGGCACGTTGCTGGGGTCGGGACGTTTTCATTTCGCTTCGCGGCCTCTACTTGGTCACGGGAATGTACCAGGCTGCGCGAGAACACATCCTGTCATTTGGCTCCACGCTGTACAACGGCATGATTCCAAATTTGCTCAACTCGACAACCAACCCGCGGTACAACTGCAGGGATGGCGCTTGGTTCTTTGCTCAAAATGTGCAAGATTATGTCAAGATGGTGCCGAAGGGCGAGGCCATACTGCAAGAGCGTGTCAAGCGCCGTTTCCCACCCGGAGACAAGTGGGTGGAGCTAGACTCTCCAGAAGCATTCAAGCACGAAAATACGGTCGCGGAATTGCTGCAGGAGATCCTTCAACGCCACGCCACTGGCATTCATTTCCGAGAACACGATGCCGGACCAAAAGTCGATGAGCATATGCGCGACGAAGGCTTCAACATCGACATTGAGGTGGACTGGCAGACTGGTATCATCTTCGGAGGCAATCAATGGAATTGCGGTACCTGGCAGGACAAAAATGGCAGCTCCACAAAAGCCGGCAACCGGGGCTACCCGGGAACACCTCGAGATGGCGCAGCTGTCGAGATTACGGGCCTGTTGAAGAGCACTCTGTCATGGATCGCCTCTTTGTCAAAGGAGGGCAAATGGCCTGCAAAGGGTGTCGAAGCTATCATCGGAGGCAAGAAGTCAGTGGTGACGTACGCGGATTGGGCGGCGCTCGTCCAGAAGAGCTTTGAAAAGTGCTACTGGATTCCTCTAGATGCGCAAGAAGATGGTGCTTTCCGTGTCGACCACAACCTGGTCAATCGTAGGGGAATCTATAAGGACGTGTTCGGTAGCGGCAAAGGCAGAGAATGGAGCGATTATCAGTTGCGAGGCAATGTTCCAATCGCAATGTGTGTTGCTCCAGAGCTCTTCACTCCAGAAAAGGCCTTGACGCACCTGCAAGCTGCCGACAACGTTCTCCGAGATGTCCTCGGTATGCGGACCCTCGATCCATCGGACCGCAACTTCCGCCCTGACTACGACAATTCGAATGACTCGGATGACTTCTACGTTGCGCAGGGGCACAACTACCACGAGGGTGAGTAATCGAGCAAGAGATCGCGACGACCACTGCGCTGAGCTGATCCTGAACCGCATCTCTGCTGCCCACATCACTTCAGGACCGCCCTGGGTCTGGCCAGTTGGCTTCTTCTTGCGAGCGTACGTGATCTTCGATCTAGCAGCAGGCGTCGGACACACGCGGCCAAAGGAGACGCATCATCGGGTAATGGCTATGACAACGGCGCATCGAGAATTCATCAAGCAGAGCCCTTGGGCTGGCCTTCCTGAGCTCACCAACCAGAATGGACGGGACTGTCCGGATAGCTGCAAGACTCAGGCTTGGAGCGCTTCCTGTCTTCTCGATGCGCTCGAGGAGCTCGATCGTCGTCAGAAATGAGCTGAGCCAGCCCACCTTCAATCACAAATACAAATTTGTTCCCCCACTGAGCCAGCCCACCTTCAATCACAAATACAAATTTGTTCCCCCAGCACGTCTCGAATGGATACATTGATTGCGCCACTCCTTCTTGTTGCACTTCATGTGTCGAGTTCATTCAAATTTCTGCTGCAGAAGAAAGATCATGTCTCGGTAGAGCATTGTTCCGGTAATGCTGAAGGGTTGTGTCTTCCCGTATCAGGCAGGGCCGCTCGAGACTCGATACACGACACGCTTGCAGTCTTGCCGAAGTCTACAGCAAGCGAGGGTCTCGGTTCTTCAAGCAGACCCACGTCGAAGGCGAGTGGGGCTGACCTCCTCCCACCCTGCCTGGCCATCGTCAAGTGTCGCACCTCGCATACCGACGGCCACGCATACACTGATGAAGATGCGGCGCGGAAGCGAGATGTGTTGCTGAAAATTGCGGGGCCAGATTCGTTCGCATCCCAAAACCACGACGGACATTTTTCCTGCATGGGGCGAAATGTCCGATGGGAAAGCGCAGATCGCGTGATCTCTTGACGGATCTCCCGCGACTGCCGGTGGCGCAGTGAGCGTTTCGATGCGCTGGACGGTGTACCGGTGCAGTAACGTCCGTCGATCGAGATTCAGAGACGATGCGAGCAGGAAAGAGAGCATGGTGGGGGATTTTTGGGAAGTGGCCGGCTTCCTTGTGTTTCGTCTGAAGATTTCAAAGCGCAAAATGTCACTTGCATTCGGCAATCTCTTCATCTCAGCAACGCGAGATTTTCCGAGCAGCCGCGAAATGCAGGAGTTGATGGCTCTTGCCATGCCTGCTGTCCAGCCCTTCTCAGCGCCATAAACTCGTCCGCTGGACACTTTCGTGCATGGAGGAGCATCCAAAACATGTAAGCCAGTTCATCCTTTTTACCCATCTTGCTGTGGTGATGCGCATGCGGTTGGAGCAGTCAAGCACGATAATCACGAATGTATGTTGGAGTTGAGCCGAGGCAAAGGCGAGGGGATCGTGGGTGAGAAGGAGGCAGTCCATACATCGAGTGCTGTAGCCCAGCCTGATTCTCTCCTGTCCAACAACAACATCACTGACTTTTGCTCGTAGTGCATTGATCTCGTTCGAGTGCTGTGGCTCACTCGGTTGGAGGGCTTAAGAAGCGTATTCAGTGCGTTTCCTCAGTTTCGAGGAGGCAGCATGAAATGCTTTGTGCATGACCAAATTTCGAGCGTGCCGCGCGCCCAACATGGTATCAGACCAAATTTCCCATCTCTCGTTCACGAGCAGGGTGGATTCCGGATCTGATCGTGGTCTTGCAACGCTTCATGAAATCACAACGGTGACTGTGCGCTCGTGTCTAACTTTCGATGTCGAATTACGCACGCACACGCATCCACGATTCACGCTCTTGATTTCAATTCCTCGCACACTCATCAAATCTTGAATCACGAATTGGGATTGCGACTGGTCGTGTGCGGTCAAGCTCGGCAAGCTCAGCAAGCGACCAAGCCAACCGACAATCGACTCCTTGACTGTATGGCCGGTACACGATGGCCCGCGGGACGCCATGGACTGCATTTCCCCATTTCACGATTGTCCTTCAATATAGACGTACACTACTACTACTACTACTACTCAAGAGTACTCTTGTGCCACCATCGAAAATGCCGCGGCACCCGTGCAGTACCGCCAACGAACACGGGACCGCATGTGAAATTGATGCTCATATACCTATAGCTGCGATCTTCGGGCTCAGACGCTACTGCACTGCTTAGATTTATCATGGTGCATGGGAGAAAAAAGCATCCGTCGAATCTTGGCAGCCGCGCACGGTCTATTTGTGACCGCAGGCCCTGCATCAGCTACAGCAGTCACAGGGAGGAATGGCGGAGTAACAATCAAGGAAGAGCGGGCAACCCTGCTCAGCGGAAAACCTGGAAACAGGTTGAGGTGAAGGGTCGCTGACGGGTGCCTCAGCGACGCGGGTGCGGGGACTTGACCGCATCGCATCGCCGCGAATGGCCAATTTTCACCTAAACTCCGCGGGGTGGAGCGTTGACGTCTGCTGCGCGCGATTCTTATTCGGACCTCGTAGACAGCCGAAGCGCTCTGCTGATGCGTGCGCGTGCATCACAAGGGTTCAGCTTTTCCATCGCGACTGTTTCAAGTTGGCAGTGTTGCACCTCGAGGAGCCACACCGTTGCAGCAGTCATTCAACACCAACGTGGTGCGGGACATCCTGCGGGCCTCCCTGGACCCGTGAGCAGTCCGGATGGAAGAGCTCGAACCGTCTGGGATCAAGGGACCATCAAGATTGTACAGACCCAGAACAACGGATGTTGCCCTATGCGCGTGGCCGAAAAGGCGGTCGAAGCCTGCTGCTGCAGTCTGAATCATGATTTATGCAACAGTCAAGACTCACTTCGCGCGCCACCGGCTTGACCAGCTGCGTTGCGCCATGGGCTGCGAGGAGATGGACGCAGCACAGAGCAGCACGATTGCACCACACAGTTGGGCGAAGAGCAGAGTGAGTGTCATTTTGATGCATACACCTGGCTTCGCAGTCCGGCCTTCACGATTGAACGGGCCGACACTTGGGATCGAGTGCTCCTCCCTGCGGTGATGACACTTGCTCGCTCCGTTCTGGCTTGCTGACGCGCGCGTCCGACAACCCAACCGTGAGCGCAGCCAGATAGGGGCGGGTGCAGCAATCAAGTCAAGCTAGAGATGACAGGCAATCGCAATCAGGGATCTGGGTCAGACTCCTGCGATGAATCGCTGATGGCCTGCAGGAGCCGGTCCACGCACTGACTGTAGGGGCACCGTACCCATGATCGACTGACCACTGTTCTCGATCGGCAACGTTGCTGTCAAAATTTCTGCCCACACTAGACAGTGTAGTGCCTGACGCAGAATGCAGGTAGGTGGGCGCACACGCAGCGGGCCTAATCCATCTCCATGCCGCGTTTTTTTTTTTTCCACAGGCAGAGTGCCCATGGTAGTCGATTTGCTACTCTCACGACTTGGTCTACTGCTGTCAAACCATCAAGTGCATCAGTCAGCTCTTGACGATGGCGTGCTTCGGCACCGCTGATATGCCGCCCCTCGATCGTCCGTGTCGCCTGCAACATGCTCTAAGCATCGTTGCTGTCCGGCAGTCCACGGCCGAGGCAGTCGCTGCTAGCGGTCGACGAAGTATCTCAAGACTGACAATGTGCACTTTTTCACATATCTCCACGTTCGCCTTCGGATCTCGGATTGCGAGGGGCGGAGTAGCCTCGCCTGGCGTAGCTGCAACAGGCAAGTCGAGAATGCTGCTCCCGATCATGGACAACGCAAAGCTATCTTCTTTGCTGCTGCTGACTGCCTCGCCAGAGAGTCACGACGATGGGTCAGGCATTACATCTTGACATGACAGTGAAGCTGAGCTGGAGCCGCTGTTTCCGACTTTCGTACGGGTACGGATGAAGCAATTCTGGCCCACGTCAATTGGCCGGCACTTGGCAGCATCTTTTAGCGAGGTGCATGGTCTGCCGCACGGGCAGGGTGCGCATCGCTGTCGATCTTGATAGCTTCCGCCTTCCGCATTGAGGCAGTCCATCTGAAAGGCGGAGCCGGCTTGCGCGAGGACTTGTGGGGCAACTCGCCTCTGGCCCGCACTCCCGGCTCATCGCTGCTGAGCTAGCGGGTGACATGCTTGCTATCAGACTTCCACTGCAAGCTGCGGGGCGCTGGTCTGGTGAAGGGTGGGTGTATCATCATCACGAATTTCAATTGAAAATGAATCGCCCGAGCCGCTAGCGCATTTTCCACGCTCCTCACTAATGATGCGTGCACCAAACGCTAAGGATGTAGGTTCACCCACTGTAGTGCACTCACAAGGCACGAGTGGATCAAGTACTGACCTGCTGGCAGGAGGTGCACGATTCACGAGCGAGTCTACGGAGCATCCGTGATTGAAATTTCAAATCTTGAATTCATTGACTCGACGAGCTACGGGCAGTTAATCAGAAACAAGCACACGTGAATGCTGGATCTTGCGTCTCGCTGCTTCCTTGCGCGGCAGAAGGGTAGCGTTGACTGTTCCGCAAAGATCTTGCAGAGTCGACGGTCCGAGTGGCTGAGAGAAAAGGCGCTGACCTCAGATTGTTGCTGCATTCGCTGAGCAGACCTGATCACTGAGGATTGCCGCACCTGCTCGAGTCGCCAATGCACTGCGACAGCTTCATGCAATGAATGCAAGGGTTTGCTACACCACCCCCCACCTTAGGCGTGTAAGATCTGCGTGGTTTCCGAAACAGCAGCGCGAGCCTGACCGAGTAAGAACAACGCGACTGGTGACTCCACTCCTGCTTTCGCAGGCTTTGCAACCGACATGTGAAGGGCTAGACGCCGGAGGCAATTTGTGATTTCGCTGGTGTTGAGCCCACGGAGTGAAATGCAAGCAAGACGAGAGCGCTTCACAACTTTGAATCTTTCAACCGCACACGGAGCAGTGTCACAGAAGTAGCGCAGCGAGATGGGAAATAGGATCAATCGGTTTTGGCTGCATCGGTACAGCGAGCACGCGTTGAAGCAAGAAAGGTGCCGGGAAGATCGGCCTGAGGACAGATACAGAGGGACCTTTTTCGCGTGGACTTGGGTAAATACCCTCGTTTCCCCATGATGCTGTCTGTACGATTGGCCGACATTCTCGCGCTTCTTTGACATGGGACCCCACATGTACCCGTGATTCTGAGCATTGTCCCATCGAATTCGTTTGATGCCAGCAGTCGTGGTCGTCGTAGTTGTAGTACCTGTGAGTCGGGTTCAAGAACGTCGTCACTCGTCAATCATCAACTAGGAGCGACAATCTCTCACGACTGATCTCTGCAGACCAGTCTTGAGTGTGAATGCATTCCTTCAAAGCAAGGCTATCCGAACAGCAAAACTCACAATTGCCTTTTTTGGAGCAGCGAGTCGTCGAATTCTGCGCAAATCGCATAAACCTGTTCTTGCAGCCATGCGCTCGCTGCCCAAGTAAGCTGATCATGCCGCGGTGCCGTCTCAATGACACAGCCACGTCCCGATCGAGCACTCTCGCTCCCATCCCCCCAGCTAGAGTCGTAGGCTGCCAACAATGCGCCACTTCAAGCCTGACACTTTCGCGCGCGGTTGCTGCTTTGCCAGCCTTGGAAGACGAGTGCACCAGAGAAGCCTGGTGCATGGCTATACCAACTTGGGGCACATGGCTTGGCGGAGGTTGGCTGCAAGGAAATCATTTGATCTATGCGTGCATTGCGTCTGCTCTGCAGCTGCAGCTGCATTCACACGACCGCAATAAGAGGATGCTGCTGCTGCTTCGCCATGTCAGGTTAACAAGGTCCAACTTTGCTCATTGGATTTTAAACTCCGCCCCCTCATGACGACTCGATGTCTGTCAGACTCTCGCGCAGCGGCAGCAGATGGCGTGCATCTGCAATGGGTACAGTATTCACAATCAAATTGCATGGATACCGTGGCTGTACCATAACTTCTTCACGCCACAAGCCTTTGCCATTGGCAGCGTTGAGCTTGTTCTATTGTGGCCAACACAACGGTGCAACTCCCCTACAGCAAGCGGTGCCCCTAGAGTTAACGGGTGCCGCATCGACGGCGAAGTCGCCGACGTGAATGCCGATGCGCTGGTTCAGAGCTTCAGTGACAGTCAAAATTGTGGCGCTGCGAGCACAGATGTTCGAAAGAAGGAAAGCAGGAACATCTTGACGGAGCGTGTTTAGCGCAGCGCGTGCTGCGTTTGGCACACTAGCCGATGCTGCTGCAATTCCGCGCAGCTCGCTACACCGTGGCAAGCATGCGTGCGATGGACCGCACGACACATCGTGGAGAATGGGTACGAGGACGTGCAGGCAATAGAGGAGTAGGTCGTTGTGAAGGGTTTCCTTTGACGCGAGTGCTGCCCTCCTACGGGTGCTGCGTACACTCTTGACTGTTCCGACAGATATCTTAATCGCTCGTTACAGCGGCATGGTCAGCCTGACAGCGTTCCCGTGTCTACGCGGGCATGAGGCATCATTATCAGTCTCCCCGCCTCGGGCTGCACGGCGAAGAAACCAGCTGCATCTCCGTTCCGCTGCAAGTTGCAGTGGATACTGCTCTGTACCTACCAGGGATGTAGCAGGGGCTCAATGGCGAATGAAACGCTCGGGCCACATCTTCATCGACGATCAGGATCGTTTTTCACAGCATTCTCCCTTCCTGGCAAGGTGAACGGCACTAGTGCAGTGCTGAAAGGCGACCAGACAAAGCTTTAGACTCTCCCGACTGTGCCTACATTGCGAGTACCTATTCCAGGAGCGGGCTCATGCAGCATCTCGAGCCCCCACGTCGACAATTGAAGCTTGTGCATGCACGTCGAGATGCCATGACCCGCAGTTCGGCCGGGTCTTGCTGACCCTTTGATTGCCGGCTGCACGCCTGCGAGGCAGTCGGAGCTTAATTCCGCCTCTCTCTGTCTGTCCCTGCAACATCAATTCACAAATCAGAATGGCAAGGGGCATTTGCAAGATCAACTTCACCGTGTCAAATTTCGCAAGTGACTGCGGGGATCGCCTTGATGTCTCACATTCGGATCCTGACCGTACTTCGCGTTTGCTAGACCTGATTCGCGACCCCTGATCTCCTTGCGCAACTAGACCGCGGCTGACAGGAAGACAGACAAATTGCTCGCCCCCATCTCGATCTCCCAGCACAGTCTTTCCACAGCCGGCTTTCATTCAGGGCAAGTGGATGGGCTCAAGAGCGCTCGAAATGCTCGCTATCTCCGATCCGACGTCATCAAGTCACCAGTCGTCCTGTTCTGCCTTGAACGATAGCTAAGGAAGCAAAAGCGCTCGACCTAAATGCTTCGCACGCTGAGTTTAAAAATACAACCTTCAACATTCCACCACGACGTCAGAACGCCGCTGTCAAAGCGTCTCGCTTCGTTGACATTGACATCCATGGCCCGTATCTCTCGTCATCGTAGCCGAGGCATCTGAGTTCGGCGCGACAGCAACATCCACGATTCTAGAAGCCTCGGCTTGGACTCACCAAAACGACGCTAAAGACTTCCCGTCTCACCTCTGCTGGTTTGACCAGCATCGGCTGCTAGGCTTCAATCTGGCCGCAACCCAGTACTCCTTGCGATTTCGGGTTCATCTTAAGCATCCACGGCTACAAAGAGACGGTCCCTGATAGTCGGCGAGCTCGGTGCGCTTCTGGGAACCATTCGTTGGCGGACACCCACACACAGAGCTCCTCAGTCGCCAATTGGCGCGGCTCTCGACTCAATTTTTGCACCAAAGTCTATTCGTCGAAGCGTTCGCTTCCGACCGACTCACGGCACCTGACGCGGGTTGGTCGGATCTGTGGGAAACGACGCCTTTCCACCGCGCTGGAAGAGCATTCGATTTGCTTCAACCTTCACTCCCTCACTTTCAACAGCACATCCATCAAACCCAAGTCGCACGACATCGCGCTGGATCGAACAGAACACAACAGCGCACGCACCACGCCCCGCCCCGCTCCTGGGCGTGTGGGCATATTTTGTGGAGATCTCCATATCGCTTCGCCTCGGCAATCTGTACAGGAAGTGCCAGACACGTTGACGGTCATCCTTAAGTGGTCCCCTCGAACATTTACTTGGGGGGCAACTTAGTTGCACGGTGTTTGGGCAGACTACTCTGGCTACGCCCGCTCCGATTCAATCGTGTTCGGACACGTTTTCAGCCGACAGCAAATTGCACATACCCCGCCCTTTCACTCTGGAGTAGGGCGCCGAGGCTCGCCGAACAGCACCGACCAAGCCACTGTGAGTGTTGCATCGGAGCTGCGCCCTGAGACGTCGGCTTCCTGTCCGATTTTGGCTTTCGCAGCGATCAGTGAGTGTTCGTGTCTGCATCTGGGATCGTGCATCTATATCGCGTTTGCGATGCACCCTGTCTGCGGTGTATAAATGAAGGGCAACAATCGCAGCGTTGCGCAAGGAGTCGAACTCGAAGCCAATCTCTGCGCAAAGCTTGAACGCGTAGGCGACTTCTTCAGCTCTACGGGGTGCGTCGAATCGCGTTATTGCATGGTGGCGTGGTCAGCAAGGCCCAGAGAGGGTACTCAATGGTTTGCGTAAATACGATCGACGCCCTGCCAACTCTGAGTGACATGGACCACCCTTGCGCGATGCCTCACGACTTCTCAAACGAGCGCATTTGAGATGATCCGTGATCCAGCGTCACGGATCGTGTGCCGAGAATCCGTATGGCGGGACCAGCACTAGGGAGGCAGGCTCTCAACAAGCGCGCCACGCAGCATTCGTCGGTCGTCGTCTGGCGCAGAAGCGTGTGTTGAGATCGTTTCAGGCAGCCCTTCGATGGAGTCGGGCCCCTCTTCTGGGCGCAGCCAAGGGCTTAGGGTTCGTCGCCCTATACATCTAGACCAAGCTCTTGCCCCACTCGTGTCACAGGACCGAGGTGTCATCGATCTTGCTCTTTCGCGCCTTGGGATCTTGCAAACGCACATTTACGTGTATCGCGTGGCATCGCTGGGCGCCTGACTTCCTGTCCTTCTCTAGCCAATCGCAGCACGGTTTTAAATCAGTCGTCAGCTCTATCAGCCAGCTTCTCTGATCGTCAAGATGACGGAGTGGCCTACTGAGTCGCAGCAGACCACCCGTTGGGACACTGATCCCCTCCCACCGTCAACGATGGCATCGTCAGCCTCATCGCACGCTTCCTCCTCTTCTACGGGCGGACACGTTGACCTTGCGGAGCCGAGCACAGGATCGAATATGATACCAAGAAGCGGACTGCCAGGTCCTGGGCATTTATGTAGTAGCAATAATGACATTCGACTTCCCCCCATCTCTAGCTTTTTGCCACCCTCTGCTAGCTCAAGCAGCAATTCGTCATCTGGGACGGCGATCGCATCGCGCGAATCGCGCACTCACAGTGTTGGTGCCCTGACAGATTCCCGAGTCCCAAACCGAGCGTCATTCGCTCCGAGCTACCAGCAACGTCAGCTAGATGCTACTGCGGCACCGTCTCCTCGACTACCTCACGGTCATCATTCGCGCAGACCGCGCAGTAGCGAAGAGTGGTCCACGAGCCGGACCGCATGGAATGGACCTGCAACTTCATCTTCCATGTCTGTCTCTCCTAGCTACCAACAATGGTCGACTATGGGATCCACTCGTCTGCCTGCCCTTTCGGGTGTAGGCAGCGTACCTCCCAGCACGTGGAAACGTGCGAGTCCCACGTCCCAGCACTCTCATTTGCCACGATCACAGAGCAGCGCTGGTGCCTCGCCCACGCTGACATCGCGATCGTCGTGCAGCAGCCTCGGCGTGGGTGGCAGCAGCAGTGCTCATTATAGCACCGCTAGCGCCGCTACGAGTGCGGCGCCCCGGCAGTATTCGCCGGCGCCTTCTTCGTACCGGGGCAGGCCACCTTCAAGCCATTCTGCTGGGCCAGGAGGCCCCAACCGACGCAGGTGGAGTGGTGGCCCGAGTCAGAATGCACCTTCTCCTTATGCTCGCACCTCCCCCAGCACAAGTATTCGTGTAGTTGAATCTAGGCAGCGGCGCAACACCGCGCCCGGATCCGATCGAGGAGCGGCTCCGCTCTCTCCCGGCCAAGTCGCTCGTGTGAGTCGGGTGATGAACTGTGTACACGACGATTCGACTGACGTACCGTACATTCTAACCCTATGCAGCTCAAGGAACTGCTTGAGCAGGTGCGATCCGCGAATGCTCAAAGAGGCATGGATTCCTCGTCGTACTTGCCGACTCAATCCCGGGGTCCGAATGGCGCTGACCTCGTCAGCTCGCTGAAGCAAGAGCTTGAGCGGCTTCGCGTGCACGACCCTCCGATAGCGGAGAGGCTTGCACAAGACGCGGGAATGCCGTTCACGCACCGCGACGACCCTCTCTTGCCTTACGATAGCGCCAGAAGTATGCGCACCTCTCCACCAACGCCTCTTAGTCCCGAGCTCGACGGTGACTACATGCAAGCGCACGGTGGACTTCTCCTTCCTGGCCACGCTAACATGATGGACGTCGACGACGACTCGGAGCTCATGCGCACCGGCTCCCTCTCTTCGTCTGGCCCTGCCAGACGCCAAAAGAAGTCGCAGCCGAAAAGGGTTCGAAAGCGAGAGAACGAAGGACACCAACAGTGTCTGGGATGCGATGCCATCGAGACGCCCGAGTGGCGCAGGGGACCGATGGGCAATCGCACGCTGTGCAACGCATGCGGTCTGCTGTACGCCAAACAGAAGCGCAAGAAAGCAAAAGAGGCGGCGAACGCTACGGGACAAAAAAGTTCTGCGGCAGGCACGGAGGAGACGGAGGAAGAAAAGTTGGCAGCTTTGGAAGAGCTTAGAGCTGCTGTTCAGGCCAAGTCGGCATCCCTGGCTACCGCGTCCCTGCCGTATCTCGCGCAGGCTAGCGCCTACGGTCCGCCGGCCTCTTCGCTGATTGATGCGGGTCACCACCTACAAAGACCGCTACCGCCTCTCCCTCCGAAAGCGGCAAGCGCCGCCGAATCGTACTCTAGTCCAGTCGCATCGTCGCCTAGCAGATTCTTCCCGATGTCGCACCAGCCGCCGCCGCCGCGATTCTTTGAAGGTCCGCCTAGCGATGTGGCAGACCGGCAGGGAGCAGCAATGCCTCAAATACATGCAGGCAGACCATCCCTACCACCCCTCGGCACCTTTTTCCAGCCTGCAGATCCATCTCGTCTGGATGCGCCTCTTCCGCTCTTGCCCCACGAGAAGAGTGGCGGTCTGAGCGGACCTTCTCTAGGTCCACCACCACCTCCTCCTCGTTTCCATCGATCGCACTCTGCCACGACTAGTGCTGATTCGCACAACAATTCGCCAATCTCGCAGTCTGCACCCTTTGCTCCGCTGCACAACGCTCCAAGCGCTACCGCCACTCTCGGACTGGCCTCTCCCACCGCTGCAGCTTCTAGGCTCTCCATTCGCAGCGGTCATACGCCAACACCTCCTTCGAGCGCAAAGAATCGTGCAAGCCAATTCTTTGACAAGCTCAACCCTCTTTCCCACTTTTCTCACCGAGAAACGGCCCCTTCTTCTCCTTCCAACCTCTCGAACGTCAATTCACGTGACTCGTCTTTGCATCATACAAGCGCGATGCACCATTCTCTTTCCTCCTCCTCCTCCTCCTCCTCCTTCTCAGCCTTCGACAACGAACGCGCAAACACGAGCAACGGCGGAGCTGGTCTACCACCGCCTGCCATCTGGGCTTCTCGAAGACAATTGTAATGTAATATAAATGTGATTCTTTTGATCCTGATCTTTCTTTGTTCACTGGCTAGCGGGCCGAGTGTGAGCAGTGAGTGGGACTGTGGAGTCGAGAGGGAAGAGGAAGAGAGCATTTACATTTACATTTAAATTTGCGCTTTGGTATCCATCGGTTGGGCATACTATGGTCTTGCTGTCGCTCCGTGTTCAGAAGTTGTAGATGGGCAAGACGTGCGAAGGGTTGAGATGTTGTCTGCAGAGGGGACACTCGGGCTAAGATCCGTGTGGCGAGGACAAGGGCATGAGCGGTGATGAAGATGCGATGTGGCAAGTCAGGCGACGCCAAATCGCTCCCTCTTGATGAACACCTCTCTTTCTCTCCCCCTCTCTCTCGCGCTCTCTCTCTACTCACTTTTTCTCTCAACCAGCCCAAGATGCAAACCCAACAAAACACATGTCCACACTCCGTCACCGCGCTCGAGCCCTTTTGCGGCGCTCTGCTCTCCATGCAAAGCGTGCACCTCCTAATGCCTTGCGAAACGCTCTCCAACTCTGCAGCTTTGCCCCTCGCAGCAGCTCTCAGAGCCTCCAAGGTGCTCCTATCCGCACTGCTCGCCAGACCCAACGAAGATGCGCTCGGAAGAGCGTCGGGATCGGGATAGACTAGCGGTACGCTAGCTCCTCGAGGTTCGTCTGCTTGGGCATCGCCAACTTGCGCATCCTCCTCCTCCTCCCCTTGCCCTTCTGCGCCGGACGCGCTGCCCAGAGGTAGGACGACGGCTGCTCCGCCGGCTTGGATGGAAATGTCGGTGCGCTTGGCCGGAACGCTGGCGTGCGACCAGCTCGTCTCGTCCAACCTGACCAACTGGTCATTCGTCGTCGTACCCGCTGCGCTGCTTGAAGATGATGCGCCGTCGCCGCCGCCGTGCGCCCCTTGGTGCCCTGATCGCGAAGAAGCTTCTCGTCGTTCCCGTCTCCATTTCAAGAGGGACATCAGAGACTTGACGCCGATCTGAATGCCCAACAAAACACCCAACACTTCGTAGGAAGGCGGACGAGAACCGGGTCTTCGAGGGATCGTCGAGATCTGTGCACGAGGCAAGGGAGCGTGAATGCGCGTGCGGGGTGACGATCGAACATGAGCACAGACACGCAGTAACGCCAACAAGTGAACACACACACACGCTTTCGCGCACGGACTCACATATTGCACCTTTGCTACTCTTTGACCCACACTGTGGTACTTTCCAGTGATGTAAAAGATGGCCAAATGAGCGCTTGCGATCCATGCGAACCAATCCTTTGTCTTTTGCAAGCCATCGGTGGGCAGCGACTTGGATGCCAAGCTGATCGCTCGATCCGTCAAGGAGGGAAGAGGAGCGGATCGCGAGCGCGTGGCTTGAGCACGTAGACGTGCTCGATGAAGCGCGGCTTGACGCTGAGCTCGCAGACGGGCTAGCAGTTGGGAGAGAAAAGTGTAGATTTGAACAGAGAGGAGCGGGAGAAGGATGTGCAGGGATATGAACAGCAGTCGACGCTGTCAAAGTGGGGATATGGATGGCGTTTGCATGCGCAATCAAAAAGTGATCAGTTGTGCTCGGAGTGCCAGCGATCAGGCGAAAGGGGGGGGGGCAGCTGACAGAAAAGCACTGAAACCCACCTTTCTGGTGACCACTTTGCCATTTGGACCGGCCAATACCGCATTGACATACTCTTCGCCGAGCGTCTGAGCTCCACCCATCGTAGCGACGACAAAGTAAGACAACTTTGCGCCAGCTGCGATGAGATCGGAGTGGGTGTGCAAGGTGCGAGAACCTAGGATACCTCGCGCTACTTCGTGGAATTGGGATTGCAGGGTGGAGAGGTAGTAGAGATCTTTTTGGGCGGCGCGGACCAGGTGCGGTTGAGCTGCTTGGGGAAAAGAGAGGTGCGCGCGCGGTCGGTAGGAATTGGAAGGGCGCACAGCGGATGGAGATGCTGCGGCGTGGGTGGGTGAGAGGGAAGAGCTCGATGCTGCTTCATTGCTGTCGTCGCTCATGATGGAAAGGCAGAGCAGGTATCGCGGAGAGATGGGCAGCACAAGGAAGCGATGCGCTATGATAGGAACAGAAAGTGCGAAAGCTTTGTTCCTCGATTGCGAGTTCCTGGAGTTGCAAGTCGGCGCGAATGCGAGCGCGAATGCGAATGCGAATGCGAATGCGAATGCGAATGCGAGTTTGAGTGCCAGTGATGGAGGATGATTCTGAGACTGGGACACTCGTGACTGGCTTGACGCATTCAATTAGCGGCAGCAGGAAGGAGTTTGACGACAGCTAGGTGAGTGAATGAGTAGGGCAGAACTTTCAATTGTAGCATGTATAGTCACGAGCGTGTGTACCGACCGGTCCGGTGTATAGTTGCACGCTCCGCGACATCCCCACAAAGCGCAGCGCAGCGCATCGCATCACACAACCGCCCGCGCATTCAAGATTCGGTCAATCATTCCGGTGCGCGCTCGTGATACAACCAAGTATCACGTGATCCAACATTGAGCGTCGCTCCGTCTGCTCACGTGATGGGCAAAGAGCCGCGGTCCAACTCGATTCGAGCACCCATGCACGCACTGCGCACTCACAACTGATGCACTCGCGACTCTGGTCTGTCTAGGCGGCTTACATGGATTAAAAAGGTTGTCATCGTTTGCAAGCGCGCGGATGCCAGTTCGATCGCAGCTCACACACACCCCACCCAAGCCTTGCTAGACCGCATGCACCCTCCCTCACGGCTATCGCCACCTCATTGGATTCCGCAATCATACACCTAGACAGGGCGCAGGGGGGATACAAGACATTTCACACAGCAGTGGTGAGTTTGAGTCTTGCTGGGTAAGGTAGCGAGTCAGACATGGTCTCACGTGCACCTCGTCGGGCTGAAACCAGCAGCTTTTCCTTCATCCCGCGGTCTCTACTTGATACAGCCGCATCACCATTCTCTTCTCAACGCCCTGCCCTGCCCTTCGCTACGAAGACATGTCGCTGCCTCTCCAACCATCTGCGGATGCGCAGTTCGGTGCGAGACACATCGCAAAGGGAGTTGGAAGGTTGACTAATCACGTGCTGAAAAGGGGGCAAGGGAGTTGGATCTTTACGGATCAAAATGTAAAGCTGTTGGACTTTACCACAGGCATCGGTGTCGTTGGTCTGGGTGAGTGAGAATGTGTGTGTGTGGGTGCATTGCAGGGCGTTGCGAGTTGGACTTGAGGCGGCGGCAAACGAGGCTGTGCATTGACAGACGGGGAGGGCGGGGGCGGGTCACATCATCGTTGCGATTCCTCTGCTTTTCGAGACAACTCGCGCTCACGCTCGTAAGCGACCTCGCTCGATCCGATCGCTCTCTGCGACTCTGTTGCGCCACGACCGACTGTGCTTGCACGCCAGGACATTGCCACCCCAAAGTGACGGCAGCAGCTCAAGAGCAATTGGGCAATCTGGTCCACGCGCAGATCAACATTGGGCATTCTGAAGCCTACATTGCCTTGCTTCGAGCACTGCTACCCAAATTGGCCCTCGCCCATCCTTCGCTCGACTCGGTATTCTTGTGGAACTCGGGGGCAGAAGCTGTAGAGGCGGCTATCAAGTTGGCAAGAGGTTGCACGGGAAAACAAAATGTGGTGGTCATGCAAGGTGAGCTGGCGTACTGGTGCGCTGCGAGAGCGCAAGAGCAAAGAGCAAGATGATGCCCGACACAAGAGAGCTGATTGAGCTGAGCTGGCTGGCTGGCTCATGATGCCGTCATAGGCTCCTACCACGGTAGAACTTTGCAGACTGCAGGCATGACGAAATCAAAGACGGTCTACTCTGCCACTTTTCATCCCGTGCCCGTGAGTTGTTTGTGGGTGCTGCACGATGCGCGGACGGAGATCAGTTTTGGAGCAGAGGTGACCCTGACAACGTGCACACCATACCTGCAGCCCGGCATCTACACTACAGCTTTTCCCTACTATGCGCAGCACGGGCTGCCACCGTCCACACCCGAGTCCACTCTAGTCTCTGCCTCGCTGCATCAGCTCAATTTGGTCTTGTCTCAACAGACCTCACCGCGTGATACGGCTGCGATCATCCTAGAGCCAGTGTTGGGCGAGGGAGGATACGTTCCAGCTCCCGCTTCCTTCCTTCAAGGCCTGCGTAAAATTTGCGATCAGCACGACATTTTGCTGATCTGCGACGAGGTGCAGAGCGGGAGCGGAAGGACGGGAAAGTGGTGGAGCTGCCAATATGCAAATGTTAGACCGGACATTTTGATCTTTGCGAAAGGCATCGCCAACGGTCTGCCCTTGTCTGGCATCGCTAGTCGAAAGGAGCTGACGGATAAACAGGCGCCGGGAAGTATGGTGAGTTCGCGAACGCGCGATGACATGGTGTTGCGTCGGTCAAGCCTTTTTGATTCTGATGGGCCCCTCGAATGGCTGGGACGCTGACCCACTTCTTTTTGCATCCACTTTGCATTTGCCCTGGCTCTTGCTGCGCGACGTGGACAGGGAGGAACGTATGCGGGCAACGCTGTGGCTTGCGCAGCGGCACAAGCCGTGATCAAGACGTTTGACGAGGAACGCGTCTTGGACAATGTAGCAGAGCGCTCTGCGGAGCTATTCGAATTCCTGCACAATCTGCGAAAGACCGAGGCTGGATCATTGATCGAGGATGTGAGAGGATTAGGATTGATGGTGGGCGTGCAATTCGTGCTGCCTTCTACATTGAGACAACAACAAGCGGCCGAAAGAGGCGCGGGAAAGAAAGGTCAGGCACCCGTCTTGAACGACGCCTCACAAAATACCGCCGCCTCGGCGGCGGCGGCGGCTCATGCGGCTAGCAAGGATGGGGAAGAGGACGCGAAGCATTCGCCTTGGGAAGTGGGCATTGCCCCGAGAATGCAGGTCGCTCCCAAAGTGGTGGCGGAATGCCTTAAGCGGGACATGCTGCTCCTCAGCACCAGCGTGTGAGTCTTTTGTTGTGCCTTGCCCGTCTTTCTGCCCCCCCGCGCGTACTTGCGCATCACGATCCCGTCAATGTGCTTTCTGCCCTTGCCTTGCTGACCCTTGTTTCTCTTTGTGTTCTTTTGTATTTTGTCCCCTCCCTTGGCTCTGCCTGGTCCACGCACGACAGCTTCGATGTGGTCAGGTTCATCCCTCCGCTCAATATTTCGCGCCAAGAGTTGCAAGAGGGATGCGACAGGTTCCAACAGGCGCTCGAGGCGGTATGGAAGGAGCTAAAGAGTACATGACGAATCACCAGCCCCCCCCCCCTTTGCGATTTTTGATCCTGATCCTGATCCGATCCGACGCATTCCTCTTGCTTTTCTGCGCCCTTGAAGTTCCGCATGCCGATTGACGAATCACAAATGACGCGATCGAAATAGGATGCCTTGCTAAACCGTTGGCCTCGACTTAGTCGAAGATTGAACGATGCAGAATATTACGGGGTTGGGGGGGGGGGGGGGGGCGGGGGCATGTCTCGATTTGCACGTGGCCTTTTGCGGATGATGATGATGCAATGGGGAAGCTTTACAAGAGGGGGGGAATTTCGTGAACTCTCACTAGCGCTAGCGCCCTGTAGTCGGACTGTGCGCTGTTAATCCCCACTCGAGCACCAGCGTAACGTGACGATTGGTATGCCTGCTCTGCCGCAATCTTTAGGGGACACGCGCGCGCGAGCGGGCTGATCTCGAGCGGAGCGTATGCCCAACCTTTTGTTCAGCACAGATTGCACAGATTGCACCGCACCGCCCTCACCATCGTGTGAGATGGCTGGAGGTGGGCTGAACCTGCTTTCAGAATTGCTTGTTGTTCTGAACTGAGAAGCCCCTTGGCCGAAATGCGAGGATATCAGGAAAGATCTGAAATGCTGATTTTTGAATTGGTGAATTTGAGCCAGCGGTCCAGCGCGTCGGTGGCATTCACGAACGTCTCTATCGGTCTTGGGTGGAGGGGAAGGGAGAGAGAGGTGAGGGCAAGGGTCTGTGTGACGCGTGAATCGTGGAATCGGTACTCGAGAGGGCAGCTATGAGGTCGTTCGCGATTGGACGCCTCAGCAATTGTGCCAGCGCGCGACCCTTCAGGTGTCGTAATGGGAAAGACATCGCAAAAGTACGAAAGCAAGGCCAGGAGGGAAGGCCTGGATTTGGAACATGGACTCGAGTCTTGTGCTGGATGGGGAATTTGCGGTGTCTGGGTGGGTGAAAGCTCCTACGTAGCTGCTGCCACGGCACGCACGCGGACGTTCCAAGGCGTCACGAAGTGGAGAACTTTGCTGCACGCGTGCGCAGCGCATATTCACATCTCCCCTTTGACACTTTCACTCTGCAATCGAGAGCCAGCTCAGACTTGTGACGGGGGTTGTTGTCGTCGTCTGTGGCTGATGCTGGCGCTCCTTGTGTTGTGCTGCTGATGAGAGGTCAATCATGAGTCAGCAGTCACGAGTACGAGTGAGCGTATTCGCTGAAGGGTGGACACTTGCGATGCAGACTCATCTCGCGTCGTGAGTCAGCAGCAGACGCGGCCGGTCGCTCACTTCAACCCGTATCATCCAGCTATATAGCTGCGGCTTGTTCAGTGTATCGGCTATGAGACATCTGTCCGAGTGCGAGTCATCTGAGTCAAAAGTCATGACCAGAGTGTCCATATCCTGGACTTTGATTCAATTCACAAATGGGAAAGTCAGTTGACTCTGATCCGTGACGTGACTTTGGTGGATCGTGCATCGTCTCATGTGGTATATTCACATATATCATATATCATATACATAGCGCACATCAGCATGGATGGGCCGGCCGGCATTCGTGATTCACGATGATGCGAGCGCAGTCAAGAGTGTGCCTGCTGCGGGCCGGCGGGGGCGCGACCGCCGGTGGATGCATGCATGGTATAGGTATATATATGCTCGGCGGCGCAGCAGCTAGCAGCCATTTTAGCTCCGTGTCCGCGATGTGCCGCTAATTAGTTTAAGCGGAGGCTTGGGAGCTGCCGATCGACTCAAGACTGACTCAAAGATTACTCGTGTTTCAAACTCACGTTGCTGCACAGCATTCACAGCATTCGCCATGAGTCTGATTCGATCGAGACTGCTGTGACCATCGTCCCACTCGACGCCGGTGAATCACGAATGCACCTTGCTAGAATGGCGAGAGCAAAGCTTCGTGCTTCAGGACTATCAGCCGACCTCCTCGGTCGCAATCTTGAATCATAGACACATCTCCAGCAGGCGCAATCAAGCTCGACAACAATTGTCGTGCGGAGAGAGCAGGGGCGAAATTCTGAACAGGATGGCTTGGTCCACGAACGGTATGCCGTCAGTCTTGAGTCAAGATCCACGACGTCATGAGCAAGTACACGCAATCACACTTGACCCCTGCTGCTGACACCGCCCATCCGCATTTTGCTTCGCATGAAATGTCATCGGCCGGTCGCGGCGGTCAACTTCGGCCGTCGCGCCTGCCGCCGCCCACGCATGATCGAGCATCCATGATGCCCGACGGACAATTGGTCCATTCACGGACTTTTGGGCGCTGTGGCAATGGCTGGAGGAGGTGTCGACCAACAATGGTCGCAAATACCACCCGTAAATGGCGGACTGCCCAACCAATGGCAGCTGTTTAGGAATCGCCAAAGTGTGTGCATGATGCTTGAATGCAGCGAAGCGAGCAGCTATGCCGGAGCGTAAAGCTCCTTGTTCTGTAGTCGGGCGAAGCGAGGTACATTAAAGGATGCAGAGATGCTCGTTCGGCACCCCCGGAAACCCATCCTGTCATCGACCCATTCCAGATCACTCCCAAGATTGGTCTCTGCGCTGGTCAAAAGGCAATTCCTGACCGAAGTGCTTAGCCCTTTCTTACCTGGCCTCGAAGCACACTCATCGAAGACCTCTTCAAAATGCCTTTGCCAACGTTCTTCGCCTATGTTCTAGTGCTAGCATCACTTCTGATCTCGGTGGAGGCTGCCAAGATACCTTCGAGTGCAAGACGACCTGCACTCAGCTGCTCGTCTTCTTCTTCTTCTTCCTCCTCCTCCTCCTCCTCTTCCAATGGAGAATCGTCCTGGACGTCATCGTCGTCGAGCTCTTGCGGTCAATGCACCGGCGGTTTGCCCGGCACTCTCACGTACGGCAGGAATCTGCTCGAGTTCCAGTATGAAGATCAACCAAAGAGGCAACACATTTTGTACCTTCCCAAGTCGTACGATGGCTCTACCCTCCTGCCGACCGTTCTGGGCTTGCACTACAGCTCAGGCAACATCGATTCCATCGACGCCATGGCCAAATTAAGCGACCTGGCGGAGCGTCACAATTTCGTCTGGATCGCGCCACAGGGCGGGGTCACGTTCAAGAACAACCAAGGCTACGCTTGGAACATTCCCTTTGTGCCCACCACGGACGACTCCAACATCGAGGGTCCCGTGCTGGAAGACCGCAAATACTTGGTCGCACTGCTCCAGCATGTGCAGAGCAATTTGTGCGTCAATACCGCGCAAAGCTACGCTATGGGCCACAGCGGCGGAGGGCGAATGTCGTCTTCGTTGGTGTGCAATCCCGAGATGAGCCAGCACTTTGCAGGCATCGTTGCCAGTTCCAGCCTTCAAGCCGGACCTTCCGCCGGACCGGACTACGCGGCTCCGCTGGCCGTTGGTCAGGCCAACGCCTGCAATCCGTCTCATCCGATCGGTATCGTCGCCCTGCACGGTCTCGCCGACCAAACAAATCCGTACGACGGTACTCCGGAGGATGGCACCGAAGACAACAAGAAGCGTTGGGGCTACTCGGTCCAATCTGCGCTTGCGCATTGGGCCGAGTTGAATTCTTGCGATTTGAGCAGCAACAACACAGTCGAGGCTACGACTGCGACCGATGGACCCATCATCCATCGGCAGACCATCAACTGTCCCGATGTTGACATCACTGCTTGGCTTCAGGATGACTTGCCCCACGCTTACTTTGACATCAACAGAGCCGACTTCAACCCAGGCGATCATTGGTGGGACGCCATCTCCAAGTTCTCCCATGAACCACAGTACTGATAGTCATGTGGTGCGCTGTGCTGTGCTACCGGCTTTGTATGAATAACGATCTCCAAGCCGCTCCCTCACTATCACGTTCTCCAATTTTCAGACCGTTCCCACCACTCTCTCCGCCATGCTCCTTGCTCCACTTGCTGCTTGTAATGTCGACCGCATCTCATGAATGTTGCGCATGGACAGACTGCACGTAACGTGACCTTGAGGCTGCCAGACGACGAGTGAGGTTGTGAGAAGTGGACGAAGCGCATGAGAGAGTGCATGACTTGCAATTCAAAGGACCGAGCGCATGGTTCTGCACCGCGCGCGGGCGTGCGTGCGGGCGGGCCTTCCTTCACTCGCCTCATGCTGCACCTTTCACCATCACAGCGGACGCAAGGTCCCTTGTTTTTTATGGTGCAGCACGTTCAACATCAGTCGTGAGCGCGATCGAGCACATACGTGTTTGCATAGCTAGCGAGCTTGGCTGCATATCGTTGTGATTGTCAGTCTGGATCGTGAATGCGTCCGTCGGTCCGAGCTGCCTTTCGTCTGGCCGTGGCGGCGACTCATCGCGGCCAAATATGGTAGCTCAAGCAGCCCGGCCGCACACCACGTGGGCTACAAATGTGAGTCTTGAGTTGGGCTTGATGCATTTAGCAGCGAGATCTGTTATCGAGATTGAATTCTCGATTGACTTGATTCAAACTCGTGACTGCATGTGAGGGTTAGTCGTGAGTTGGCTGCTGGCTCCGATCAACGCTCTCCTCGATCGATCAAGCAGTCAGCACGAGAGCGCGGGCGCTGCTGTGTAGCACGTGCAGAAAGTCGCGCTATTTCGCGCTAACCGCGTGAGCGGGCTGCTGCGCCGAAATCTCGCATCGCTTCCCGCGGTGGCGCAGCAGCCTGCTTGCGCCCACCACCACGACGTTCTATTTCGAGAATCAGCGCTCAGCAGCAGTAGTCTTGTCGAAGCGGAGTTGGTCAAGGTCGTGACTCGTGAGTGTGTGCTGATGTTGACCTCGTCGGCTGCTCGTTTCGAGCGGAAGCGGGGGCGAATCATGCTCCGAGGAATCTTTACACGCTCTCCTATCGCAAATAGCGTGATCTGTTCTGAGGGCAGCGAGGCTGCTCATGCAGCGTGCAGAGTAGCAGCTAGGTGCTGGCATCGGACGCCACACATGCAGCATGCACGCTCCACGCGGTCAACAATTGTTCCTACCACCATCACATCACTAGAAAACCAGGCCGAGTGGATGCGCGCGCAAGAGAAGACGAAATGGTCGTCGAGGAAAGAGCATGCGGAAGAGCTCAAAAGGTCAAGAGCGATCAGTAGCTGATGTGCGTGGGCGCAGCAATCGTGAATGATGGATCGAACCCTGCAAGACGATCATGTGAGCCGCTGCAGAAGGAAGCAATCAATCGAGCTCCACTCGAGGTGCAGACTTGACGCTCAGCATATGAGCAGCGCGAAGGGAAATGGCTCATCGACTGATCATCCATGTGCTCGGCTAGCGAGAGAACTATGGGCGATAGCGCTGGCGCATGAAGTTGCTGCAGACCTCGCGGCATGGGTTGCGAAGGCATGCTTACCTTCGAACGTTCACGCCGTGAGCGAGCGGCTCACAGGCCAAATGTAAGTCATGCCGAGGCAGTGTCATCGCTGCTAAGATCTTATCGATGAGACCCCTCGTGCTGGAAAAATCCGCGCCCTCGTCCAGCGTTGTAGTGTCAAGCTAGCTGCTTGATTGCATGGCATGGGAAAAAACATCTTCGTACTGGAGGTCCACGTTGAAGCGAGTCAGGCATCTGTAAGCGTAATGGAACGAATCTCCGCTCTGCAACGCTCAGCGTGGGCATCCAATCGGAGTGAAGCGAAAGCGGAATGCTAAAGGATCAGACTGTCAAACTTTCACCATGCTCTCTGCCAAAACGAGCACCACGAAGTCGTGTTTCGAGAGAGCAGATCATTGGCGCAATCAATCATGTGGATCGTCTTCACGACGCGAAGAGGTACAGGTGACACTTCGTAGTCAGCGAGATACCCTTGCGCTTCAGAGGTGGTCGCTGCACGTCACTCGTCCTTTTCTAGGACGCCAACAAAGCTTATAAGGCAGCCTCTTGATCGACTGAATTTGCATTCTCTCCTCCTCACAACACAACACTCAAGCACTCCACCCACTACACGAGCTTTCGACGAACACAGCTGGTCTGGTTCTCCAACTCGCTTCTTCTTCTTTATCGAAACTTTTTCTATCTTTCTTCTTCTCTTTCGAAGCACCTTGCGCTCGAATTTTCTCTTTGGCAATTACTTTAGCTCTTATCGTACCACCAAACCACTCCCATCCAAATCTCGACACAGGTCCAAAAGTCATTCGGAATGCACTTCACCAAGACACACGCACCCGTCGCACTCGCCATTGCTGGCGGGGCACTTCTGACGGCGGCAGCGCCAGTCGGTTCTCCTCTTCCAAACCCTCACTCTCCAAGCTTCGTCCCGTCTCTTCGCAGCGAAGCCGACCTGCTCTTCCGTCCCGACCATCTTGGCCCTCGTAACGCTGCTAACGTCGTGGAAGATGTTCTCGGAGGGATCTTTGGGGCAGGCGCTAGCTTGCTTGGGGGTAGGTTGGGTGGAATGGGTGTGGGTTCAGACCCCATGTCAGGCGCGATGGCAGGTACAAACTGGGTTGAGTCTTTGCAAGCCCAGCACGGGGACGGAACTAAAGGGTCTAAGCCCAAGCAGACCAACGGCTCCAATTCCCAGCAACAAGGCCAGCAGCAAGGTCAGCAGCAAAGTCAGCAGCAAGGCCAGCAGCAAGGTCAGCAGCAAGGTCAGCAGCAAGGTCAGCAGCAAGGTCAGCAGCAAGGTCAGCAGCAAGGCCAGCAGCAAGCTCAGGAAGCGCAGCAGCGACGCAACTTCCAGCAGGAGTCCCGCAATCTGCTGGACCGTGAGCTTCATCGACGCTATCGTGCCCCGCAAAGTGCAGATTCGGGGCGGAAATCGAAGTGCTCAAAGCCTGAATCCAAGCACGATCGTCATCCGAAGTCGGACAAGCGAGCGTCAGCGATGAACGAGGAGCTGACCTACAGGTCCACCTCACATGATCAAAATGCCGACTCGCAAGAGGAGGACTGCGAGGAGCAGGGAGCTGCAGACCAGAGCGCATCGCAATCATCCTGGACCGGGTCGACGAACACGACGGACATCACGAGTCACACCAATTCTACCGTGACAGTCGAATGCAACGATTTGGCTTCATTGCAAGCGACAATTTCCCAGTCGGCTCGTGGCGGCGAACCAATACCTCGCTTTCCCTACGCTCTTCAGAAGGCCTTTCAATCGTCATGTCCACCACAAGCCAACGCGCAGTACAAAGGACACGGTCCGGCTTTTTCCCATTTCCCTATACCTGACGGGGCACTCGCGGGCGAACATCCACATTAGACGGGCGCAAGAAGCTGCATCGATCCAGTCCAAGCACGACGTCAATGGCATCAATCCTCTAACCGTCATTCGCCTCGCGTCGGCGTCAGACCCGCTGACCAAGAATCCTTGATAGGTTTCAGCAAGCTCATACTTCCAGCTACACTTGTAGCAAAACAAGGTCGATCACCTAAGAGACAAGCGAAAAGAAGTTGGGGTATCACAGTATCTCGTGGCTCCTCTGACCCGTCCTGCGCACACCATCGCACCGGTGTAGGCTCGCCTGCTCTACGCTGCCTTTGTACTCTACCCCCCCTGCGGCGCCCTGCAATATGACCAGTGAAGCCAACCTTTTACGAAAGATTCAGACTGATTCAATCAGATTTGGCACCTCGCCAACATGTTGCTCATTTACACTCTGTACGCAAGGCACTGAACCAAAGCAACACAACTTTTGCAACGCACGCATCAATTCTGTCAGATCGCATGGATCATTTTTCGTTCGCATTTCGCTTTCGTACAACTTCTCGTGTCTCTCGGAGTGGCGCAAAGGTGCATCGAGGCATCGAACGTCCGAACAGTGCGGGCACACGAACCGATGCCCACCTCTCCATGACCCTTTCCCCCCCCCCCCCCCTGACTCCTTCTCAGCTTCAAACTTGCTGTTCTCCCGAATAAGCAGGCAACTTCTGACAAGCGCCTTGCCAATCGATGTTTCCATCGCACAGATCCTTGATGACCTGCACCACCTCCTCTATACTTCCAATACGTTGCGACGTCGTGTCCCTCTCTCTCAGCGTCATCTGGTTGGGCGAGGTGTCAAGGATGCGCAAAGCAAGAAGAAAAAGAAAAAAAAAGAACCAAAAGAGTCAGCTGCATGATCACGATGGAGATGGCAATTCCACATCGAGGCGTGCGAATTTTGCTCATTGCCCCAGAGCAAACTGCCCGAAGCCATGATGGAAGCATCCACCTTCGAAGCGCTCTTCACAACTCACCGTGCCCTTGGAAATGCTGGCAAAGTCGAGCGTGCAAGCAAAAGGCGTTCCAAGCTCATCATTTCTGGCATACCTCTTGCCAATACTAGCGCTAGCCGAGTCGTCCACTCTAGCCATGATGCCCTTTGCCCTGAGCATTCTGGCCACTCTTCTAGCCAACGCGTCCAGATCCTTGTTGGAACTGATGGGCAAGACGAGCGCTTTGAAGGGCGCTACGGAAGGGGGCAAGGAGAGCACGCTGCGCTCCGCATCTTCGGCGCGCGCCCAAAAGGAGTGTTCGAGCAAAGAGTAAAAGATTCGTCCGATGCCGAACGAAGGCTCGATGACGTTTGGCACGAATTCTCGTACCGTCTCTTTGATCCTCTTCAGCTCCACGCTCAGCAGCTCCTTGTCCAGCTCAAAGGACTGCTCGCCAATCTTCACCGGTCCATTCTTGATCTGGCTAGAAATCTTTTCCAGCTCTTCTTGCGTGAGCGCATCGATGGCCTCTTCCACAGCCTTTGCCTCCTTCCTGAACAAGGGACCCAACTTTTTCTTGTTGACGATAGCCGTCCACTTGTCGTAAATCTTTGGCTCCTTCAACTCCTTTTGCACCACCAAGTTTCTTCCCGTCTTTTTGGCGTGCACGGTCAGATCGTAAGCCGAACGATCCGCGCATCCCACGCATTCGATCCATCCGTACGAAGTGTGAATCTCCGCATCCCAGCAATCCGAAGCGTAGTGAGCCATCTCGTTGGCCATGTGTTGTCTGAATCGCAACCTGGTAGGATCAATACCGATGCGAAGCAAAAAGAGGTAGATCCTTCCCAAAAAGTATCCCAGCGTCTCATTATCCACCATGCCGCTCTTGACCGCTTCTTGCAGACTGAGCTTCGAGATATCGCTCTTGCCGCTCTGCTGCACATCCTTGGGCAAAAAGGGAAGTTGCAAGGAAGAGACTTCGACGAAACGATCGTGCGACTTGTCCAACGGATCCACATAGTGCTCAATCTCTGCCATTGTGAATTCGCGCACGCGCAAAAGACCTGCTCGCGGACTGATCTCGTTGCGGAAGGATTTGCCAATGTGCGCGCTGGCAAAGGGTACACGCCCATTGTTGAAGTCCAATAGGCGTGAAAAGTTGACAAAGTGACCCTGCGCCGTTTCGGGACGCAGGTAGCTGGGCGGATGGGGCAGACAGGCAAGCGGGCAAGGAGGAAGAAGGGAAGAGAAGAGCAAAGTCAACGCTACGTTGCCGAGCGCATACGACCTCGCTGGCTTTGCTTTTTGCCCCTTCACCACTCCCACACGCTGCTCCCCAACTCACCCCTTGACGTAACCCGTGGGCCCAATCATCGTCTCGAACATGAGATTAAACTCCACCGGTTCAGTGACGTCATTGCCGCTTTCTGGAGCTTTGACTTGAAATTTCCTAATCAGCTCTCCCAGCTCCTTGCCGGTATAATTATCGATCTGCGCCAATGTATATTCGTACTCTTTGACCTGCTCGTCGCTCAACTTGATAGCTGCGCTCTTGACCTTTTTCTTTTTGGCTTTGCTCGTCGTGGAAGATGATGCGTTCGCATCTTCCTTTTTGGATTCCGCCTCCACGGATGTTGGCCCATCATCGCCACCACCACCGCCACCACCACCACCACCGACGGCAGATCTGGCCTCTTGATCTCCCTTGAGTCTGGCTTCCAACACACCTTCGAGCAGATGATCCGCTCTAAAGATTTCTCCATTTTTCAAATCCTTGCACATCCAATCGCTAAATTTGTCCACATGACCGCTGGTCTTGAGCACGTCGTGAAGCGTCATGATGGTCGTATCCAGTTCCAGCATCTCCTCTTCCAAGATGAAGTGTTGACGCCACGTATTGATGATGTTGGATTGCAACGATGCGCCCGTCGGTCCGTAGTCGTACAGACCAGCTACACCTCCGTAGATTTCAAAGGCTTGAGTGTAGAAGAATCGTTTGGTCATCAGACCTTCTAGCGCTGGACGGGAGAAAGCGTGGGCGGATCGATCGACATTCGATGCGCTCTTCTGTCCATCTTGATCTGCTGCTGCTGCTGCGGCGGCGGCGGCGGCGGTGGTGCTGATGGATGACATGTTGATCGCGTGATGAAGAAGGTGTCGAGTGGAGTGTGGAGCGTGGATGGAGCGCAGTGAAGCTGAATGGAGAAGAGGCAGAGGCAGAGGCAGAGGCAGCAGCTGCGAAGAGATGCAAGGGCGTATGGAGCGGAGCAGCATTCACGAGAAAGACGAGTCAACTTGCTGCTGCCCAGCGCATTCAAGCGGTTGGTTGTTAGTCAAGTGAAGGATCTCTGAAAGTCGTCGTGAGTGTCGATCCGAGTTTTGGTAGGGGATGCCTGCTGGCTGGCTGGCTGGCTGCTGAAAGTCAGGAGTCACGAGTAGCGTGATCAGCATTCGTGACTCGTGACTCCCATCGAGCGTTGCATCTCGAATCACGAATTGAATCAGAATTGAATGGGCAGCTTGATCGCATATGACTCGCCCACTCGCGACTCGCGACTCGCGACTCGCTCGCTGCCTTTGCGCCTCATCCTCACTCAACTCACACTACTGCAGCAGATCGATTTCCATCAATCAGCACCTATGCGTTGCATACTGATGTTGAGATTCATTCAATTTGAATATTCAAAATTGGCTGCATGGCCGTGCCCGCCATTCGCGCAGGCAGAAGAGGGATTAGAATTCGCATTCAAGATTCGCGTTCATGCGAGTCGGTCACGTGAGGGAAAAGGGCAAAAGTCACGTGGATGCATAAAGCGTCACGCCGTCGATGCAAGAAGCGACTCAGACTCATCTGGCTCGCGACTCACGACTTTGACTGCATGCATGCATGCATGCATGCATGCATGGCACACTTGACTTCTCCACGCTTTGGCTCTATCATTCAAGTTCATTATTCGTGATTGCACGCCCTGCATCCCTTGCCACTCACACCCCGGCACTCACCCTCATCATCAAGCCTCAGACTTGCGCCTATATACACATCCAAGCCAAGCAGTCAAGCGTCCAAGCGTACAACACGCCCGCCCGCTCTCGAGGCGCAACCACATCGCAGCACACTTGCCCCCACTCGACGACCATGTCGCTGCTGAACCGCACAACAACAACCTCTCTTCCCTACGCGCTGGACGCATCCACCCCCCTCTCCCCCTCCGAGCTCAACGTGCTTCGAGGTCAGTACGAAAAGGAAAGGGCGAGCGGACATGCTACGACGCAGACCAAGTTCAATTATGCTTGGGGATTGGTAAAGAGCGATAAGAGGGAAGAGGTGGGCGAAGGTGTTGGCGTTCTTGCTGGTGAGTTTTGCGCCGGGGGGGGGGGGGGGGGGGGGGGGGGGGGGGGGGGGGGGGGGCAGTCGGTCGGTCGCAGTGAGGGAGGAAGGGGGACTCGATGGGCATACGGGACGGGAGTTTGACCGTCGAAGTGAGGCCCGCGTACGATATCGTGCCTCATCACAATCAAAGCCAACAGAGCATTCAGCTTGATGCAATCTCAAGGCAACTTTCAATTTCAATTCATACAAAGGCCACCCAGAGGCCTACAAGCTCACTCAATTGCTGACGCACTCACTCACACACACACGATGGCAGATATTTACAGATCAGATCCTCCTAGGCGAAGGGAATGTCTGTACTACCTCAGCCTGGGACACTACAAGATGGGCAATTTTGATGAAGCTAGGAGATTCAATTGTGAGTTTCGCGAGAGTCGGGGGCCCGCAGCGATGATGCCGAATGTGCATGTAGGCTGGCGGGGAGGGTAGGGTAGCATATATGCTGGTCAAGGGCGCGCGGGTCATGCAGTCATGTCTGCCACCAGCTCCTTCGCAAGTAAAGTCTTGGCCCCCAGCTCTTGAACGCCATCGTCTCATCTCTTCTTCCCCCTCGAAACAACCTCGCTGACACCCCCTCCTTTGTGCGCCCAATCCCTCAACCCCACCTCGACATCTCGCCCCCCGACTTTTGCGGCGGCGGAATGGGCTTCCTCCCCCCCTTCTTCTCTTCTTCACCCTCGTCACGCATGCGCAAGCCTTGTTGATGGAGAGGGAACCGCACAATATGCAAGCTCAATCATTGGCTCAGTTGATAGAAAAGGGCGTAAAGAGGGGTGAGCAGCGAGGGGTTGGATGCGCGGTGCTGGTCGCATGTGCCGCTTCCAAAAAGAACAAGCAAGCTTGGACACTTGCTGACGAAATTTTCCTGCCCTGCCTACCATTGCCTGCCCCACTCTTCTCCCCCGCTCTTTCCTTCCCCCGCCCCCACTTTGCCCCTCGTCGCGCATTGTTGGGATGAATGGCGTTATTGGAACTTTTTTTTGGATGCAGAGGGCATCATTGGCATGGCCCTGGTCGGTACGGCAGCGGCTGCTAGCGCCGTCGTGGCCGCGTGGCTCTTGGGTCCCAGGAGAAGATAGTTTGCCTTTCCCCTCCCCCCTCTCCGCATCCTTTTCAACTCTCACGAATGGCGGCGGCGGCATACCTGAACATCTTTTGACGCATGATGCACCCGTTCGTGAATTGTGAATCTCATGCGGGGATTTTTTCTGGTGTGCTTTCGGCAGGAATTGAAATCG